ACTGGTTCAATGACATCAAGGGGTATGCCCTGGGGCCTCCATTTTTAGAGCCCACTGGTTCAATGACATCAAGGGGTATACCCTGGGGCCTCCATTTTTTAGAGCCCACTGGTTCAATGTTGTATTTATTTGTATTTTGTTATGTTTTTATTTTTATTTTTATTTTTTGTCATTATTTCAGATTTTCCCAAACTCTTCTGTGCGACTCGCTCAAAGATGTTCAAAGGTGTTGAAAGGTGCTTTAGATTCTAAGAAATTCTAAGCGCATATATTTCAAGGTCGATCAAAAATACCCAGAAAATTTCTAAAGAATAGTTGCGCCAGGATCTGCAAAATAAGCAAAATGTTCACATAATTTTATAACATATCGGTTCACCATTTCCTAGAGTGGTTTGTACTTGTACATAGTTGTTCACAGGTAGGACCCGGAAATTCATTGGTCCGTTGCCGTTTTGCTTCAAGCTTGCATATCGTACTTCTTCTTCATGGCTGTCCAGTCCAGGCGTTGTTTGGACAGGGGGCAGGCTGCACTACATCGACCTGTTGTTTTTCAACCGTCACGGGTGTATCAGCCTCATTGGTCATTTGGTGCTTTCTGTACTGGTCTTGTGCTGGGTTTTGCCTTGGCCACTATTGCTTTCTTCCTGTGGTTGTCATCACTTTGATTCTATGGCTGCCCCTCGTCGTGTTCTTCCAAAGGAGATTCGTTTTGCTTTGGAGTTTCAACCTGGTGCGCCTTTCCAGCAATCCATCATCAACTCCATCGTGGTTCCCTTCAACCTGGATCAATTGTATTGTAGCATCAACGAGATCATTTATCCCACTGCCTGGCCTGTGGGTTTTGGGGGTGACCCGGACATCATTGATCTTCCCACACATTGGGTGCCTTGGGATGACGACATTGTGTCCACCTCCCAATACCATTTTTATGTGGCTGACCTTGAAGTTTATGAGTCCATGGCAGCGGTGGCGACAGCAACTGACAATCATGTTTCTATGGTACCTGCTGGTCTCGTTTTTGACCTTAGAATGGAAACCATTTTGATTGTGCATCAGTTGCCAATGATGCAACTCATGGAGCTCGTCGCTCGGTCGGCTGATAGAATCATCACGTTGGAACGGAGGTTGGGTGATGCTGAGGCAGCCATTGCGCAGATTCGCTTTCATCTGGGTCTCTGATGCATTGGTCAAGTTCCACTCCTTTTCCTTTGGTGATTGGATCGTTGTGGATTCCTTCGGATTCACTTTCCTGGTTGCGGAAAAAGTGCGTGTGCTTTTCATTGGTTGGCCGCTGCTCTCCATTTATTTGTCCTGTAGTCATGTTCCATCATTGCACAGCTGTGCATTGGATTCTTTGCCCGACTGGCAGTCTTTCGGCTCGAATGACCCGCTCTGGTCGCTCTTGCCATGTCCCACCGTACCCCGTTGCGCGGTCTCAGGGACTCCATTCATGACAGCTCGGATTGGAGGTTGTCCTTGGAATTTTTGGTTCCAAGGTCTTTACCTCCACCTGTGGTGGAATCATGCTCCGTGACTTTTCCACCTGGTTTCTCCTTGTGCCAGGTATCTCAAATGTTGGAACATGGAGGTCATCATCATTGCCGAGTTCATGGCATTCATGTGGCCCTTTATTCACCTTCAGGTCCTACTGAGGCTGTCGCGTCTCCACCTGATTTTGGCTCTCTAGTTGATGCGGAGGCTGCGATGGATGCCGACGACTCAAACTCGGACCATGGTGCTGGCAATCCTTTAAGGAATGGATCCGTATTGGACCTCGCCAGGTCTGTCTCGACTCACAGATTGACTTCCAATGAGGTGCATGCAATTGATCACCTGGCTTTGCAAATTCATCAGAGGTTGGAATCCCCTCGTTCAGTGCCTCATCATTCTGATGAATATATATGCCCGTGGGTCATGGTTGATGACCAGAGCTTATATTGCCAGAGCCTTGGAGGACACCATTGCCAATCCACCGGCTCGGGATGGTGCTGTATCATCTGATACGCCTGGTTCAGTGGACCTTGACCCGGGACTCAACTGATTGTTTGAGGTTACTCCCGGCCCATCTTGGTCATGATTGCTGCCGTTTCCATCCTGTGGACATCCCGGCCAAAATCCAAAGGATTGGGACAATCACAGCCGCATTTGAAAAAATCGAGGACTGGGCGCGCAGTGGCGCTTGGGAGAACAAGATTGCATCCGTATTGGATCTATTGGACACCCAACTCGACCCAAAAGAAGTCGAAAAGGCAAGGGAAGTGCAAATGGCAACTTTGGTTGAAAAAGAGTTTGCCGTTCCAAGGCTCAAACGCGAAATGTCCCGCAAATCGAAACTGTTCCATTACAAATGGGTGGATGAAATCAAAAGAGGCGCGTACCGCAGCAGGTTCACATCTGCGGACATAAAGCGCAAGTACACGCGAGAAGAACTCGAGGAGGAAACCAACACCTTCGCACCAACACCGTACGAAGAATCCCACGTTTTGCTCGAACTGAAGTGTTTGCAAGAGGGTTGGCACACAAGGTCAGGTGACGTCAGGTGCGCATACCTGTTGGGACGGGATTCCGGCGACTCTGCAGGGAACCCTGTTCACATCCGAATGCCCCCGGAATACCAGCCACATTTTCAAGCATGGCTACACCAGCAATCGCGTGAAGTGCAAGCAAAGTTCGAAGGAGTAGATTTGAACAAGGCGATTGTGCTGGAGTTAGTTGGTAACCTGTATGGACGCCGACCGGCTGGGAACAACTACCGCAAAGAGTTCGAACAAGTAGTTACGGAGAAAATGGCCTCGAAAGGCTATCAGTTCCAAAGGGGCAAGCGCGACCCAACTGTGTACACCTGTGCCAAAACCGGTGCAACCATTCTCCACCATGTTGATGATCTGCTTGTAGGAGCCGCAGACGTTGATCTGCAGTTTCTGTTGTCCAAGCAAGGTCTAGGCGAATTCCTGGACATGAAGGTAGGTAAGGGAGAAGCACCCGGAACAAAGGTAAATGTATTAGGTAGGACAAAAGTACGCACCCAAGATGCATTCTTTACCCTGCCTGAGGACAAACACCGAGACAACATCCTCACACTCCTCGACCTCTGGCACGCCAAGCCGTCGAAGGTTGCAGGAAAAAAAATCCCCCGAACTGAAGACAACACAAAGCCTGTAGATAAACACCGAGCCGTGCTGTACCCAAAATGTGTAGGAAGCGCAATCTACCTCAACATCGATCGGAGGGACATCCGTTTCGAAGTAAAGGAATTAGCTCGACACATGCGGGATCCTCGTGAAGTAGATTGGGACAATCTCCTGACCCTAGGACGTTATCTCCTTCACAAACCGGCCCTCGCAAGAGTTGTCACGTTGAATCCCGAAAGTAGAGCCTCCGGCATCTTGACCGTGGATGGCTTTACGGATTCCGATTGGGCAGGTTGCCTTGACACACGTAGGTCCAGTGATTGCAGTGTAGTAATCGTAGGAAGCAGTGTCGTAATAGCGCACCCACAAACGCAGCCCGGCCTCCCCGCTACCTCTTCTGGCGAAGCCGAGACACGAGCTTTGAGCCGAGGAGCGCGGGATATCATGTTCATCAAACAGCTTGGTGAAGAGGATTTTGGTTTAAAAATGGCCGTACCGCGTGTTTGGACAGATGCCAGCACCGCATTGCAAACAGCAAAGCGTTTGGGCGCAGGCTCCCGGATGCGTCACATCGATGTAGCTGCGCTGTACGTCCAAGATTTGGTGTACCAAAAACAGTTGAAAGTCGGCAAGTTAGCTGGGACAGCAAACCCGTCCAATTGTCTCACAAAGCATTTGGATGCCAAATTGAAGGGTGAATGCCTTGAAGATTTAGGCATGGTAGATATCAGTAGCTCAGACTGGCAGCCGCTGATTGAAGCCGCTGAACAAATTGAACTCGTAGCAGCCTTGTTGTCCCAACGCCCCAAAAACGAAAGCGAACACACCGTGGAAACCAAATTTCGCAATCGCCGCTGATGCGCTCCAAATTTGCATCTTACAATCCTTGGCCGGAGTGTCCACAGCAAAACCCCAGGTTACGCTTCACTCAGGCATTGCCTTGGAGTGATGGTCTTCGAAACTCAGGCCCAGGCTTTGGAGTTGCACGCTGTCCGTAGTGCAGGCGTGTACAGTAAGCCCCAACCTTTAAGGGGCGTGCGAGCGTTTGTAGAGGTTTCCAGGTCAAACAGGTAAAGGTTGTAACTTACAACGTCGTAAGTTTCACACACGTCTTCTTTTCACTTAATTTGTAGCTCAACATGTGCTACCGCAGCCTTTCAGAATCCGTGTTAAAAGAGCGAGCCCAATACGTCCCCCTGTTGTGTCACCCCGCGCGCAGTTTCCCATTAAATTGGAAAGGATCTGCACAATTGGTGCCGCATTGGAACGAAGTCACTTGTGCAGAGGAAACCAACACGTTTGCACCTACGCTGTACGAGGCGTCGCATGCCTAACTGGAATTGAAATGTTTGCAGCGAGGTTGGAACACATGCCGCAGTCAGCCCCCTGATCTGCAAAAAAAAATTGAAGGAGGTGACCCGTTCAAGGATGTAGTGTTGGAATTGGTCGGGAATCTGTACGGTAGACGATGGGGAAAACCTTTTCACAGTAGGACGCGGCTTGTTGTTCAAACCCAGGGCAGTGGCCGTGAACCCCGAAAGTAAGGCCTCCGCTGTGATGACCGGCGATGGTTTTACAGATTCGGATTGGGCAGGATGCTTTGACACAAGGCGTTCCAGTGACGCGAGCGTAGCGGTCATACGTGGAAGCGTAGCCCGGAGTCATCGCGCACCCCCAAACTCAGCCCGGACTCCTCGCAACATCGTCTGGAGAAGCCGAAACGCGCGCCTTTAGCAGAGGAACTAGGGATATCATGTTCATCAAACAGCTTGGTGAAGGCGATTTTGGTTTGAAAATGGGAACCCCTCGCACTTGGACAGGTGGAAATACATGTTGCAAACATCCAAACGGTTGGGCGCAGGTGCCCGCATGCGACGCATCGATGTGGCCGCCTTGTATGTCCAAGAATTGGAGCGCCAAAAGCATGTGAAGGTAGGCAAGTTCCTGGCAGAAACTTGCATGATTAGTTGTCAGAGGTGCCCGAGGTGCCCCCATATAGCCCACTTGAGTTCACAGCGCAAGCCGGTCAAAGGGACATTGATTTGAAACAAAAAAAAAACAGTGCGAAGCAAAGCGCGGGTTCACGTCAATGGTTCGGTACCTCGCTTAGGTCTGCGTCGACGTTGCGTCACAGATACACGATGATATTGCAATACAAGGGTATGACCATATCTTTGATGTTCACCGTGTTTTCCAATCTCAAGATCTATGGTGTGGGGTGAGCGACTGCTGGGTGCTGTGGGGATCCTCCGTGAACTCTCCTCTGGCCTTTCCTGTCCGTTTCACTGCGGCTCCTCCACTGTCACTGCCTTTGGATTTGGTCTTTCCCTTGGCCTCTTGCTTGGTGTTTTGGCTACTGCCTACTTTGCTCATTTCTTACTGCTCCCTCGTGTCAGTGTGCCTTGTCAGGTTCCACCTGAGCCTACCTTTGCCTCTTCTGACCTCAGAAGGCGTACTCGGTTGTCAGGGTACTTGCATGAGTGATCGAGTAGTTGAGCGGCTTACTTCTGCAGTAGAGCAGCTAACCATAGCCACAGACCAGTTGCGTGAGACCATCTGTGCAGAGCGACGTGCCACAGTCCGCTCCATCCTTGAGGAGCAGACACCAGCAGTTGAGTCCCTTCAGTCTGACATCACCAGGGACGGTTTTCAGATAGTGATTGAGGAACTCTCCCGACTCCCTTTTCCTGACAGGTTTCAAGAGGAACGGATTCGACAAGAGTTTCGTGGAGCCGAAGAGGGCCCACCTGAGGTGCCCAACTTCCTAGTTCCCTGGCTTCGCACAAAGATCACAAACAAGCCTCCTGGGGTTGAAACCCGTGTTGAGATTGCCTATAGGACAGGGTACTGGTCCAAGATCGCCATTGATTGCCAGATCCCCTATACTCCCAGACAGCTGCACCAGTATTGCTCTCCGAGACATTGGGTTGTGCTGAGAAGCTCCTACGGTGAGCCATTCAGGACCATTAATAAGACTGATCTGAAAAGGATTTGTACTGTCAGTGACCCCTTGCTGGTTTGCGAACCATTTGAGAGCATTGCGGAAGTTGAGATTTATTGCCTGGGCGCTTGCGCCGCTGTCCCAATCCTTCGAGGATGCGAAAATCACAATTGAAGTTTGTTGCAGCTGGAGAGGATAGCCTTTTGTGCGTCTTTGACCCTCCTATCGACACAATTCAGGATGATCTTCCTGGTGCATGTGTTTGCATTCCCATCATGTCCCGTGAAGGGGTTTTTTTGCTTGCCGTTCCTTGTGATTTTTTCAAAAATGAAGTTCTGCAAGAAGCAATGCCTGGCTTGGATGAAGGTAATGCCCTTGGTCCCTCTCAGGAGCTTACTGGCTTCCTTCTTGAGGAAGATGAGGCTGGTGTCGAGCACAAGATCGAGGTCCTAACGAAGTTTCTTCTTTTGGACGTCAATGACAATGCATTGAATGCCATGAGGGAATATGATGTGTTGTCCGATCCCCAGCTCACCATACAGCCTTTTGATGTGGATAGGCCCCAAGCTATCGTTGATGTGAAAGGTGCCTTGCCGGACATTTTGTCCTGGGTAGAGAACACAGTAGGTGGGCAACGGCTAAATTTCTACAGCGCTCGAGAGGAGCAGGAACATGCAGCCCAGCCCAAGGCTCCCAAGAAAGCTGCTGCCCAGACCAAGAAGGTCACCACTGCCATGCTGGCGCAGCAGATGGCTGCGATGGCCGAACAGATTCAGGCACTTGCCAGCAGGCAGGAATCTATGATGCAGTCCCAACAGCCACCCAACGGCTATGCAAGTCCTGCCGCAGGGCTGCCTTTGGAAGCTGGCGTGGCTGCCAGGTTGCCGCCAGTGTCTGCAGGTTTTGGAGGGCCTCCTCCAAGTGGGGTTCCCAAGGTTGCGCAGGTGACTGGTCCTCCACCCAAAGTCAGGGCCCCGATTCCGCAGAGACCACAGGTGGAAGTGCCCGACACAGGGGAGAGGCTGGAGGACATGAGTTACCCTCCGCAGACAGGTCAGGACACTATGGCTGCAGCGATCATGCAGCAGAGTGTGGCACTGACTTCTTTGGTTGCCCAGCTCACGAGTGGCGATCCTATCACCGATCTCACATCATCGGGATCGGGAGGGCAGAGTTTGAGTACAAAAGGCGTTGCGCGAAGAGAAAAGATGCAGCAAGATCTGGCCTCTGGAAGCAGCAACTATTTCCTTCAGCTACAGCAGCAGTTGTTTCGGAAAATGCATCCCACAAAGCCCTTGCCGAAGACCGATCAAGAACTGGTAAGTTCTGGCGTTACCATGACAAGCTATATGGATCGATACGGCGGGTACAAGGGGAAACCCGAAAGTGCTATGATCATGTGGATGCTTTCCCATGTTGCCGACGCTGCGGCTCAAGACAATCTGCCCCTTGCGAAAGAATATTTGGCGCTGACCATAGCTGCGGTAGAGCAAGCTGCACTGGACGGCAGTTGGTCCATTGCCTACGTTATCGGACTCCTGGAGGAACCTCCTGCTCAAGTTTTCATGGACAGAAGCACCCCTGTGACAGCCATGGGGCGCCCTTTTGCGCCTCTCATTCCTGCGGCTTGGAGTGCGGTAGCCCTGGCTTATTTGAAGGAGGTCGAGCTGATCACCAGCAAGAAGGCCGAATCAAAGCAGGGCAAGAATGCTCCGGCAAACAAACCCATCGAGCCGAACCAGCCATCGCCGCCTCCCAAGAGGCCAAAGTTCCCAAAGAAGCCAAAAGGTGGCGGCGAACCTGCCGCCCCGAAGCAGCCCTGACTAGGACACCTAGTGCGTGCAGTTTTGAGCACTTGCCGAACCAAATTAAATATAGTGCCGGTGTCATAACTGCAAATCCCTTTGCCTGCCTTGCCAATGACGATGAATCGATCGATGGCCCATTGCACCACGAACCTCATGCCCCTCCCCATGGAGGTGAGACCCATAGATCCATAATTAGGACTAGGCCGGGATGCCAAAAAGATGCTCCTTGCCCCAGTGCTGATGTTCCCGATGCATGTATAGGTGTTTCAACCATGGATGATGTAGGTAGTTCCGATGGTTTTCAAAAACTGAAGCAGGTGTCCCTGTCATATCCGAAGTGGTGTGCTGAGGTCATTGGCATGGTTTTGAAGACCAGGACGCCCTTTGCTGCCTACTTGTCCAAAACCATCCAGCTGTCCAGGAACTCAAGGAAACTTGGGAAACCTGCACCGACTTTTTTCCCGATTCCAATCCCTCATTTCGGGGTGTTCGGTCGGAAGACTTGCAAGGGCTCTGCTGTTTCTCGGCATAATCTCCAACTTCGGCGTGTTGTTCATTTAGTTGTTGCTGCTCTCAATTTTTGGTATGCAGGTGGCCGTTATGGAGAAATGGAACTCTTGCAAAGGGAGCCTTCGAAACACCACTTTGATCTTTATCGAAGAATCAAGCTCCTGATTGAGTCGGATGGGCCTGCTGTCGTGGAATCGCTGCCGAAAGCAGGTCGTCGTTTTCCTGAATTAGCTGCTCGTTTAGGTGAACTTTCGGATGCACTTACAAAGCTTGGCAGCACTTCAAATCCTTATGAAAAGTCATATACGGGGATAGATGTTTCCAAGTCTGACCATGATGAGGGGATGCTGAAGCCCTATCATGATTGCTGCCCGGAAAAGCTGAAGCTCTTTGGTAAAGGAAGTTGGGACCCCTCGCCTTTTTTAGGGGACGATTTGTGTGTGGCCTTCAAGGAGCCCAAGGTGTTGCTTCACCATCAACCTGCTCCAGAAGGGCCCCTAATACGTGACACGCCTGAAACCATGGCTAGGCTTGCTCGGAGTTGGGATGATTTAGGCTTGTTGACTGTGCACAAGACTCCGATCCATCCTTCCAGCAGAGTCCGTATTTTTGGGGCCTATAAAGATGCTTCGACCCACCGCCAGATCGGTGACCGTAGAGGCCAGAATAGCTTGGAAGCAAAGGTCCTTGGACCGAGCCGTGACCTTCCCTCAGGCGCTGACCTCTGCGAGGTTTTTGTAGACCCTAAGACATCTCGCCTGCATATCTCGATAACTGATCGTAAGGACTTTTATCACCAGCTTGAATGCACCCGGCAGAAAGCTATTGCTAACACCATTGGCCCTGCCATCCCGGAAGAGCTGTTGTCAGACACTAGGGCGTACTCTGCATTTTTGCTGCAACAATCCAGACGGAAATTTGATCGCCAAATGCAGGGAGATCAGCTGCGGGGTGTTTCTGATGAGTCTTTCATTGTCCCTCCTCCTGGTCAAGTTTGGTGTGCCTTTAATGCTGTGCTGCAGGGGGATCACGCTGGAGTCGAAATTGCAACGGAAGCCCACAGGAACCTCCTGCAAGCAAATGGCCTTTTAGATGCAGGTACTCAGCTGAGAGCAAGCCGACCGTTGTTTTCTTCCGATTGTGTCGACGGTTTAGTCATTGATGACTATTTCTGCGTGTCGGTTGAACCCCAGCAAAGCACCGGCAGCTTTTCTCGAGCCAGAACAGCCTATCACACTGCTGAGAAGGTATACCATGAGCATGGCCTTATGGGTTCGCCTCAGAAAGACATTGTTGATCAAGATGAAGGTAGGGTAATTGGTGCATACTTGAACTCCAGCCATAGAGCCCTGTCCAGGGGGCTTGTGACCGTTGGGGCCCCTCCTGAAAAACGTGTGGCCATCTCCCATTTGACACTTGAGCTGTGCCGCCTGCGCAGCACCACGGATGCGCTCCACTTGTGTTTAATAGGAGGTTGGGTTTCAATCCTCGGCCACCGCAGACCCCTTATGTCTGTCCTGCAGGAGTCTTTCAGGGTAGTTGGTATAGCCACTTTTGATAGGAATAGCCCTAAGATAATCCCCCTATCTAGAGAAGTAGCAAATGAGCTCACGTTGCTTTCGGTCCTCATGCCACTTGCTTTGTGCGAATTATCGGCACCGTTCGATGATGCCATTTATTGCACAGATGCTTCAAATGAGCGGGGGGCTGTTTTGCAAGCACCAATATCACCCGAGCTTAGTGAAATCATGTGGAGAGTGTCACGGTCAAAGGGGGCGTATTCTCGCCTCCTGTCCCCGATTGAGGTCATTCTTAAACGGCTTGATGCGCTCGAAGAGAAAGACCATCAGACCCTGATTGGATCGCCAGAAAGGCCCCTTGCCTTTTCTTTTGAGTTCATCGAGGTTTTTTCGGGGGCCGCAAAGATATCCCACTTCATTGCCATCGAAGGCATATCTCCGGGCCCTCCGCTGGACATAGGTGATAGCCCTCAGTATGATCTTAGGTTTGTCCATGTCATTTCTTGGATCACCCATTTGATTGTTGAGCGCAGGCTCCTTGGTTTCTTTTTGGGGCCGCCATGTACCACTTTTTCCATTATGCGGAGGCCTAGGCTTAGGAGCAAGCAGGTCCCTTTTGGCTTTCAGCCTTTTGAAGAGAAGACTCAAGTTGGTAACCAGTTAGCGCACCGATCCTTCCAGACCATGGGTGTCGCAGCTCAGTGTGACTCATGTGGCATGTTAGAAACTCCATATAGTTCCTACATGAAAGGCCTGCCAGGTTGGCAGTACCTGAAGAGCTTGCCTGAAGCTGAAGAAGTTCGGTGTGACTCTTGCCGTTTCCAGAGCCCTCACCTCAAGAGTTTCCGGCTGTTAGGACTGAGACTTGAAATGGATAGCCTGAATTTACGCTGCCAGTGCCAGCACAGACATGTTGTTGTTGAAGGTAGCCTTACAAAGTCATCCGCCACCTACACAGATGCACTTGCATGCCAGATTGCCAAGGTAATCTCCAGAGGTATTGCCGGAGTGAAATCCCGAATTTATGCCGATGCGGATTTAGATGTCTCCGGCTTAGAATCACAGCTCTCAAATGAAATCATGCTTTCAAGCTGCTGGGAGGTAAAATCCTCTTGGAGATTCCGGAAGCCTAGTCATATCAACATTTTAGAGGAAGCTGCCTTACTCAAGCTCTGTAATCACCTTGCCATTGAGAAGGCGCCAGTTAGATGTGTCGACATGGTAGATTCGAACGTTGTCCGATGTGCCACTGCGAAGGGACGATCGAGCTCCCTAGGTCTTAGCCCAATCTTAAGAAGGGTTTCTGCGGTTTGCGTAGCCTCAGGCATATACATGTCAGTTCCTTTTACACCCACAAGGCTGAACTGCGCAGATGATCCTACTCGCCTGCGGGAATTGCGAATGCCGTTGAGGGGCTTAAACCTGGAACTATGGAGCCGACGTGAATTGTTTTTGTTGGCTTCTCTTCCCAAGTTGAAGAGGTGGGCTTCGAATTGGGTACGCCTTGTGCTCAGGCTTTGCGGCACCGCTGCCCTGTTTTGGAATGACCGGAGCCTGTATCGTAGAGGTAACCTTTGTAATGTGCCCAGGACCTCACCTGACTACTCTAGTGTTGACTTTGACAGTACCCTTGGCTTTCCTGGGGAAGGACCGTTTTTGTGCCTTTTCCTTGATACCATGTATTTCATTGGATCCTGTTTCATGACCCTTTGGACTTTGCCCAGACCCTGTCGTTGGACTTTCTCCCATACAGGGCTTCATGCGTGCTCTGCGCCACTGTCTTCGGCCCTCTCCTGTGCCCTGCTCTTCCTTTGTTCTCCCTTGGGGTGCTTCTTGCTTGCTGGGTCTTGCTGGGGCGCTGCTTCAGCCATGCCGATATCAGCTGCAACACCTGGTGAGCTGCGCAGAGCACAGACTCGAAGTGGTCGTGGGCCCCTCCAGACTGGAAGGCCTGTGACAGAGGCCACTAATGCTGCACGTTTGAAGTTTTGGAATCTTTTTGTGGACTGGTCGTTTGAGCTGGACATCAACATTGAGGCCATGCTGGACGGCCATCACCTTTATATTGATGACATAAATATGCTTTTGACAAAATATGGTCGCGAACTGTACGACTCTGGCAAGTCATATAATCAATATGCTGAAACAATCAACGCTGTTGGAGCTAGGAAACCTGCAATTCGTAGGATGCTACAACAAGCATGGGACCTGGGATATGCATGGGTGCGGAGTGAGCCCTCAGTGCATCACGTAGCTGTCCCCGTCCCCATTATTTTGGCCATGACTTCGGTTGCTATGATGTGGGGATGGATAAGAGTTGCTGGCTGCCTCGCATTGGGCTTCAGCGCCATGCTGCGACCGGGTGAACTTGTGGGTGCCTTTAGGCGAGATTTGCTGCTCCCGAAAGACTCTGGATACACCATGAGATATGCACTACTTAGCATTCGTGAGCCAAAAAGCAGGTTTACTTATGCCAGGCACCAGACCGCAAAAGCAGACAGCGAAGATTTTTTGCAGATTGTTGAACTTGCTTTTAATGATCTTTCAGACCATGAAAGACTTTGGCCTTACAGTGCGCAGACCTTACGTCAGAGGTTTAAGACAATCCTCAGAGCCCTTCATCTGCCTGATGAGAGCCGTCCAGGTGAGCGCTGCCTTGATCTAGGGTCGCTTCGGAGTGGTGGTGCAACTTTTATCATCACCGCCACAGAAAACTCTGAACTGGTAAGGCGTCGTGGACGCTGGGCTTCAAATAAAATGATGGATATTTACATCCAAGAGTCGATGGCGATTCAGTACATGAAGATGATTCCAGAAAAAGCACGTGTGACAGTTCTTTCAGTTGCAGGTGTCTTTCCCGATATCCTCAGACGCGCGAAACAATATCATGAGGCAAAGATTCCTTTGAATACTTGGTTTTTTCTCTTTTCCAGCTGAAAGATCCGATGTGGAAAATGGGTGTGAAAGATGGGAAAAGATTTCAGGTTGCAATACAGATTTCTGTGGTCTGGCCATCACTGGCTTCTACGATGACTAGAGATTGCCGAGATGTACACAGTCATAGCTGGATAGCAACCATGTGGATAGCGCAGCATACGCTGGATGGAAAATGAAGGTGCGCTGAAATGATGACCATATCTTTGATGTTCACCGTGTTTTCCAATCTCAAGATCTACCCTCCTGCTACTGCCCGACCCATTGGCTGGAAAAGATTTCAGGTTGCAATACAGATTTCTGTGGTCTGGCCATCACTGGCTTCTACGATGACTAGAGATTGCCGAGATGTACACGGTCATAGCTGGATAGCAACCATGTGGATAGCGCAGCATACGCTGGATGGAAAATGAAGGTGCGCTGAAATGATATTATATTCATATACCAGTACCTTCCACTACACTTCACTACATTACACTACACTCCACTACACTCCACTACACTACAACTACAAGTGCGCAACTACACTCCACTACACTCCACTACACTACACTATATAAACTACACTAACACGATCTACATTACACCACACTACACTACATTCCACTACACTCCACTACACCACACTACATTACACTACACTACCTTACACTGAATGACACTGCACCACAGATAGATAGGTAGACAGATAGACAATACACAGATAGTTAGATAGAAACATAGATAGATTGACAGATAGACAGCTAAACAGCTAGACAGACAGACAGATGAAAGAGAAGGAGCGAGAGAGAGAGAGAGAGAGAGAGAGAGAGAGAGAGAGCTAGATCGATAGATAAATACATATATAGAGAGGTAGATAAGTAGATAGTCAGGGAAAGAGGGAGAAAAAAAGGACACCTCAACCATTCGGTCCATCAGTGGCTTCGCTCTGCCATCCCTGATTCACAACAACAAATCTCTCCTATAGGTTTCCTATTTTTGAAAGTTTCGCCACCGCCTTAGTGTAGTGTAGTGTAATGTAGTGTAGTGTAGTGTAATTTGGCGTAGTGGAGTGTAGTGTAGTGGAGTGTACTGTAATGAAATGTAGTGTAGTATAGTGTACTTTAGTGTATTGGAGTGTAGTGGACTGTGGTGGAGTGTAGTTGTGTAGTTGTAGTTGTAGTGTAGTGTAGTGTAATGTAATGTAGTGTAGAGTAGTGCAATTTAGTGTAGTGGAGTGTAGTGGAGTGTAGTTGTAGTTGTAGTGTTGTGGAGTGTAGTGTAGTGTAATGTAGTGTAGAAGAGTGAAGTGTAGGTGTAGTGTAGTGTAATGTAAAGTAGTGTAGTGTAAATTAGGGGAGTGGAGTGTAGTGGAGTGTAGTTGTAGTGTAGTGGAGTGTAATGTAATGTAGTGAAGTTTAGTGGAAGGTAGTGTAGTGTAATGTAGTGTAATGTAGTGTAGTGTAGTGTAGTGTGGTGGAGTGTAGTGTAGTGTAATGTAGTGTAGTGTAGTGGAGTGTAGTGGAGCACGAAACCTTGCGTTTTTCCGTGTAAAGTGGGTGCAAGCGACGATGAAAGGTACCTCCTGTGTGCGGCGGGTGCGGTTTGGATCGTTTCGAGGTCAATCGGTTCTTCCTCTGTGTTCTGCAACGAGTGGTTGTTCCTGTGTGTGTAGTTGTGTGGTTGTAGTTGTAGTGTTGTGGAGTGTAGTGTAGTGTAGTGTAACGTAGTGTAGTGTAGTTTAGTGGAGCGTAGTGTAGTGTAATGTAGTGTAGTGTAGTGTAGTGTCATGTAGTGTAGTCTAGTGAAACGAAGCGAAGCGACATCTGAACCTCCAAAAGTGGTCGAACCCCTAGTGTTTTTAACATTTTGACTTCGAAATTGTGTTCGCGCCACAATGGCGTGCACTTTATCGACATCTGAATCTCCAAAAGTGGTCCGAACCCTAGTGTTTTAAACATTTTGACTTCGAAATGTGCTTCGCGCCACAACGGCGTGCACTTTTTCCACATCTCAACTTCCAAAAGTGGTCCGACGCTGGGCTGTTTTGTACATTTTGACTTGGAAATGTGCTTCGCGCCACAACGGCGGGCAATTTTTCATCTCTCAGCTGGCTCCGCACCGGCCGCTTTAGCAAGCCTACTTTTCGACCTTCCGGAGCCACAAATCACTGGAAAAAACACAGTGTTTCGCGACTTTCCTACCTTGTCGCACGTGTGCATCTTCTTTCTTCTTACTCTTTCTCTTCTACTCTTCTTTCTTCTAATCTTTCTCTTCTCTCTGCCTCTTCCCTGCTCTGCTTTTCATCTGTCCATATTGTCGGAAGTTTGACGTCTAAACTTGCTTCGATCAATACAAGATTTTCGGTTTGCGCATGTGGATTCGAGATGCGCATTGGGACATTCAGGTCATAGGTTCGTATCCAATAAATCTTGGTATGTTGCTTGTTTCCTTCCCCCCACCGCCAATGACAAACTTTGAAGGTGTTTAACCACTGGATCCTGGAATTTCAATCGCCTCCTGTACCTCTAGCGGTCCCCTCTGTCCCTTGTCGCCGGATCGCGGTGGTCATCACTCCCGGCCGGGTCCCCACACCCAAATATAAACCCTAAAGGTGTGTACCCAATGTCCTTTATCCCTGGCCCCAATGGCCTCCGAAAAATAAATGCTAAAAACCTATCAAAGGCCTTAAACGTATGCACCCCATGCATGCATTAATCGTCTCCTGTACTTCATATTGTCCCCCTCTGTCCCCAGTTCCCCCCTAAAGATAAACCCTGAAGGTGTGAATCCGCATCCAAGATTGTCGGCCCAAGTGATCCAAAAAGTCGGCGTAAGTGCCATGGGAGCCACCGCAGGGTGGGTGAAGGCTGACAGAATGACAGAAGATCAAAGGCATCAGCTTTTTCCAGGATACATGATTTCCGGATCCTTTGTTTTGTCCAGGTGGTGGGTGGCAGCATTCCGGTAAATCCATCACAAAGGGTTATCACCACAACATTTTCCGAAAAAAAATCCAATATGGTTTCATATAATCAAACGTGCAAGGGATTATCCATACAGCCGGTTAATGATTCATGCTGCGCTACCTTAGAGGCAAAGACGTTTTCCAAACCCAGCGCGGTTGGCTTTAGAAACGACAACAACAAAGATGCATTTTTCGCATCTGAGCTCTCATGCAATAGTGTTCCAGTCGCCCTGTGCAGGTAACTGTTGAAAACATGTTTCAACCGACAGTCCAACACCTTATTTGGATGAGTCACCTTCCCGTCATACTGAATGGCTTGCACACCTGAAAATTTCCTAAAAAAATATTCGCCCTACAAAGGATCTGGGACACGACCCGCTGCAACACAGAATTTTTTTGATCACTTGGAAAACTTTTCTCACCACCGGATCTTGGCAACCCGAACGGACAGGTTGAAACAAACAAAGAAACATCAACATTAACCTCAGGGCTGAGATGGGATGTCATTTCCTTTTTCATACATCACTCACGTATAGCCCAGGACAGTAGCTGCCCTGATCGACAAGCATCCACCACGACAAAAAAACAAAATTGTGTATACAATTGGGCATTGGGGCCCGCTAAGCGTTTTTGCGTGTATAATTGGGCATTGGGGCCCGCTAAGCGTTTTTGCACCGTATGCTTACTGTCTAAACATATTTAGTGCGACTATTCATTCAACATTCGCGCCCAATTTTTTTTTCTTAAACATTGGGACCGTCTGGGTTTTGAAGAACCTGGGCTTGAAAAGGTAAGGGTTGACTGTCTGTGTGTGTGTTCTGTATTGCTGGGTTGCCAGTTTTATTTTTTTGTATGCAACGATGTTGCAAACCACAAATCGTAAAAACGACATCAATGCGCTATTAATTAATCCGATTCTTTTTTTTAACACGGATAGGCATCACGCATTACAAACGTGCAGTTTTGACCCAGGAAGTGACCGATCCCAAAAAAAATATGCGGAAATTGCTGGGAAAAAAATCGCTACCAAACAACACAGGTTTTGCAGTTTCTTATAACTGGTTCCAGGTGTTTGCAAAGGTCTGTGTCCACCAAGCAACAAGCATCAATCTGTAAATTTGATACATGCCGTGATCCATAATCAATGTATTTAAGTGAATTGATAGATTAAGTTAAATAGCGATGTAGGCTGCCTTTTCTTGTAGCAAACCTCGTCAGCATGCTGCCGGATGTTGCAATGTGTTGCAACGTGCTTCCCGGTGCCAATGTGGCTTGGTTCGGAATAAGGTGGTTAGCTTCAAGACGGGCCGGCCTGTGAAATTCATATGCTTGCAAATTCCAGATTCAGGGTTAGATTACATCCATTTTTCCTGTTCAACTAACTATCATTAGTTACATGTTTATACATAATTTCTGACAATTTAGAACGGTGTAATGATGCATGGGGAGCTGTGGTCTATTTCAAATGAGCTCAGCCTGGCGAGCAACACAGGTGGTAGACGTATCCCGTTTTGTGTGTGCTTCTTCATGTACGTTTGCGACGAACTCGGACGTTTTCCATGTTGATGTTTTTTTAATTATAAAATTCGGTTCAATGATAAACGAACAGGGTTTTCCGAGGGGTTCTTACGGTAAGTGTAAAGGCCGGTGTTTGATCAGTGTGCTCACTGTGGGCCGCGGCATTGTTCCTGTAAATTTCCGCATGAAGTGGCTCTGGTGAAGTCTTGGCATGCGTTTCGACTTACAGGCTCGCACAACGTCTGCGGCGCGGTTTTGGTCTGCAGCATTTTACGTGCAAATTTCCGCAAAAAAAATTAAAGATTCGCTTTTGTGAAAATCTTGACATGCGTTTCGACTGCGTAGGCTCGCGCAAAGTGTGTGTCTGCGTTCTGGGCCTAATCTGGGCCGTGGCATTTTTCTTGTAAATTTCCGTCCAAAGTGTCCCTCTTCTCATGTTACTGTTTCTTCTGACATCTGGACGTGAATTTCGATTGCACAGGCTCGCACAAACTGCGTGCCCGCGTTCTGGGCCCAATTAGGACTGCAGCTTTTCATTGTAAATTTCAGTATACAGTGGCTCTTGTGACACTTTGACATGCATTTCGACTTCGCAAGCTCGCGCAAAGTGTTTGTCCGCATTTTGGGCCCAATCTGGGCCGCGGCATTTTTTTTGGGTAGATTTGCGTTTAAAGTGGCTCTTCTGATGTTTCTTGTGACATCTGGACGCGCATTTCGATTGCGCAGGCTCGCACAAAGTGTGTGTCCGCGTTCTGGGCCCAATGTCGGTCGCGGCATTCGATTGCGCAGGCACGCACTAAATGTGTTTCCCGGTCTTGGGATCGGTCTTCCTCCTCAACATCATCTTCCTCAACGTCATCATCTTCAACGTCAACATCATCATATTTCTCTCCCTTGGCATCATCATCCTCAACATCACCACCCTCCACCTCATCTTCCGCAACATCATGATCATCCACCTCATCTTCCGCAGTCATCCTCCTCCTCAAAATTATCCTCCTCAACATCGTCATCTCCTCCTTCTCTACATCATCATCCTCCACCTTTTCATCCTCCACTTCATCTTCCGCAGTATCATCGTCATCATCCTCATCATCCTCATTATCCTCATCATCTCATCGTCATCCTTTTTGATCATCATCACCGTCACCGTCACCGTCACCACCACCATCATCATCATCATCATCATCATCATCATCATCATCATCATCATCATCATCATCATCATCACCATCATCATCATCATCAGCAGCGCCATCATCATCACCATCACCATCATCATCATCATGATGATCATCATCGCCATCCTCATCACGATCATCATCATTATCATCATCATCATCATCGTCATCATCATCGTCATCATCATCATCATCGTCATCATCATCATCATCATCATCATCATCATTAGCATCCACCTTTTCATCCTCCACTTCATCTTGCGTATCATCATCATCATCATCATCATCAGCATCATCATCAGCAATCATTAACACCAACATCAACAGTATAATACATTGTCCTTTTACTGCCCCGACACTGTTTCGGGTCTCTTGCTGGGATTCTTTTCGCATATGTTTCGAGATCGACATTGTTCCGTTTTAGGTGATGCCATGAATAGCCAGCTGGTCTTTGCTCCCGTCCAGCGACAGACGTGAAACGTTTTGCCATATGGTCGAAACGTTTTAGTATTTGATGAGTGGGAAGAATGGCGTGTTTATCTTCTGGGATGCTTCAGACAGTCCAACAATAGGTAAAACCAATTTAGGAATCATTCAAGATCTTTTTGCAAACTGCACGCGGCGAAATGTTTCCCTCCAGGCGTACAATGGCCTCCGAAAGCTGGGCTCCCCTGACTGTTGCAACGTGGCACGGTGGTGAAATTTCCAAACGCATGGATTGTTGTCACTTGAGTGATTCGTGTGTGCCACGATCTACTTCCGGCAGAACAAAAACACAGTTGGTTTGTTGCTGGCTCAAACCCTCTAGTGAAGGCGGTTTTATGAAGGTGATTCCATCTCAGTCATCTTTCCAGCGTGCTAAGCTTGTAGGTTCCCATGGGCACAAATCACCAAACTCTGTACGCCAGACACGTCGAGACACAGGCAGCGACGCCAAATGCACAAGGGAAACATTCGTGGTGCTAGTTGCTGCTAGTTGCTGCTAGTTCATATCCAACCAGGTAGAAGAATCATCAATCCCTACCCCAAATCGTGGGGGTCACGGTTCGGTGCCATGTCCATCCGCATCACCAAGATTGAGTGTGACAAATACAGCACAAAGTTCACAGCTCAGAATCACGGCCTCCCCCGAGGGGCACGGGTGAGAGTGACAGGCACGGTGCATTTTGGCGAAACACGGGTGTGTCCCAGCTTATTGATTCGGGGGATCCCAAGCCAAAACCAGTGGGTTTTCCTTTGTTTTGGAGGATTTGCCACCTCCCACATGAGGAGAAAATGTGTAGAGTCGGGGCCCCAAAATTGAAATTCTCATGTGGAAAATGATCACGATTCATGTTCAGACATCGTCCAGATGGGCATGGGTCAAAATGAAAAACAACAAAATTGGATACAGTAGGTGAACGGCCTAGTGGATGCACAAAATATACAAAATATATCAAAATATATTCAAAATATATTCAAAATATATTCAAAATATTTCAAAATATTTCAATATGTACTCAGCACTTACTCATATGATCGCCGGATTATTGAGGTGAGGTGACGTAAGTGCCCTGGGAGGCATACCAGAGATTTCCGAATCTGAGACACTTCTGACGGATGACTGCAAGAGCAATAGCTTCTCCCTTCGCAGGGATGTTTGTGTAGATGTGGCAAGCATTGATGACCTCAGCTGCATCGTCACAACCAAGCAACCACATCAAATATCGGACACGCATGAAGCTTGCTGCGGCTCAATGAGTCTTGGGTTTCGAAGTTATGTTGGTTTACCGTCTGGCAACTCAACATGGCTATTGAAAAGTCCTTGTTTTTTTTATCGAGATATAGATTGTTAGTGTATCCCTTTGAAATGGTGACTAATTACCATTGCCATGTTAGATTATCGGAGGGTACCCCAGTTCACTCAGATATGGTTTTGTCATGTTTTGTCTGAAAATAGGGCCTTTAAATTTTAAAACAAACCATTTGGATCCATTTGTTTTACCGTTATACTACCCCATTGTCAGAGCAACTGTGATGGGTTGCACCCAGGCAGGAGTGAAACTCAGGGCTTTCGACAGTGTGACAAAATTGAAGCTGGAGGAGACCTATAGCATTGAGAGCATCATCGATTCCTATTCCTTACGCTTACAATCCTACTGCCGTGCCCAAAGAAAGATTCTTAGACTCCAAACATGGGCTTTGTTTTTTGTTGGGGGGAGGGGGTGCAAGGAAACACACACGCAAAATCGGTCACCCTGTTGAATGACCTCTCCATCCATCCAGCCATCCATCTCTATCCTGAAAGCCTTGCGATGGGTCAAACAATGCACAAATTGTCAATTTTGCTATGGATCAACACCGAGCAGACCGAACTTTTCACTTTGAAGGTCATGAAAATCTACAGGGCCCCAGCTGTTTTGACATGCACCAGGGGTCCCTGAGGGGTCCCTGAGTTCCAAGGTGGATTCCTGCAAAGCTGTCCTGCAGCCTGGTAGATGCGACACTGAGCAGTGACCACCGTGACCTGGTTTGAAATCAGCTTCTTGCGGAATTGGGGAAGATTTGTTGAAAGCTCATGAAGCATAGCAGCATAGCAGAGCCGAGGTCAAGTGATGCTCTCGATGGGGGTGAGGACTGGCTGCTTGGCTTGATGGAACCACGGGTTGTCATAAGTCTTTTTCGTCAAAGGGGTGGAAACAATGCCCAACTGGATGTCTAGTGCTCAGTTTTTGTCCTGTGCGGATGCCCTGCATTGATTGTTCAGGAAACTTTCTTACAAAATTCAATTTCAAAATTGAGAATTGAAATCCATGGGTTCCTGCTTGGGAGCGAAATGACTTGACCAACCAATGGCACAGCTGGTGTCGTTTGCTAGCCTCGTCCAATGATTCTTCTTGCAAATAGGTTTTACCCGGCTCTGGCTTTGAATCAAACGTGGCAGCTGAGTTCGTGGTTCCGCTTCTGTGGTCCATCAGCACTACTCCGAGCAGACGTGCATGAGAAAGTGGCAATCGACACTGCGTGCGGCTGTTTCTGCGGAGAAATTGGGCAAGGAGAAGGAGCCCACGGAAGCCACCGCGCTTCCAGATGTATTCTCGCTGCAGGTCGACTCGTGTGGTTGGGAGGATTGCCACGGCATTTTCCATCGCAGTGCGGAGAGTCCTCTACGATTCGAGCTGGGTCGTGGGCTGATCTCTATCGTTTATGTGGAGAGCTTGAAGTCATGGTGCATGCTGGCAGAGGTTGCTTGTTGGAAATGGCATGCGTATGCTTTTGGTTGGCGAAGTTTGTGCATTATGTGTGGGTGTTCAAGAAATTCCCTTTTGTTTGTCTTGGTTTTGGGATTTTCGTTTTCGAATTTGATAGATTTGGTTTTGGGATTCTGTTTGCTGATAGAGGTTGCACCACTGTACCCCTTGGAGTACGAGTATTTGTACTTGAAATTGGAGGATATGGAAGGGCCACAGCTTCTCTACATTTGCCGCGGTCATGGCCTTCATGGCCTTTGGGAACCGGTGCTTGGCCCAGCCCCTGGTCCTGATGTGAAGCTTCACCAGGAAGTGGCTGTACGTCTCAATGGAGACGCTTCCACGCAGTCATCTTTACTTTTGCCTGGCATCGGTTCCATCGTTTTAGATTTCCTCTTCAACTACACTTTTGCCAATTGGCGAGGTGGTTTTAGCTTTTCAGGAATCTGGGGCTTGAGTTCTTTGGAAGCCATCCTTTGTGCTCTACGCCTATGGAGAAGCATGCAAGTTTGCAGCTCCGTGTGTCGGACATGGCGGGATACTTTGCAGCCCTTCAGCGACTTGACAAAGATGTGCCACCACGCAATGCAGATTCCAGAGCTTTCGGAGGAGTCGTTGGAGGCAGTGAAGTTGCCAACTGTCCCAGAGCTTGTTCGGGCCATCAAGTTTTCTTCTACTTGCTGGAATTTGACTTTGATGCTTCCCCGATCATCGTTTTTCAGAGGCAAAGCTTGGCCTGCGCAGATCTCAGAGGTTCAACTACAGACTGAAATGAGTGAAGATGAGGACCATTTCCTTGAAGGGCCATCTGCTGCCTTCCTGAACCAGCATGCAAAAGCATTTCTGAAGGCTGCAAAGGACATGTTGCAGGTTCCGCTGGCATGGAATACAAGGCCCCATTGTCGGGGTGAGACCACCATGGGTGACGGCCGTCGTTTTGCCACCTGCAATCTGCTGGAGGAGTCTTTCGACCGGGGCAGGAAGTTGTGTCGTGTCCTGGCACAGGCGGATGCTGAGGGCTACATGGAGCTGCTCGGCCTGGATGGGTCAAGCATGAAGCCTTGCCACCGTAGCCTTGCCCCCTTGCTGCAAAGTGGTCTCACATTTCGGGCAATCACACGACAATGGAGAGCCAGAAACAAGAAACCCAAAGGGCCGAAAGATCCTTGTGATTTCTTCCTGTGTAAGGAAGCCTCGAGATGCGATTTGTGTAAGAAGGATGTGGAGGGTCGAAGCCGTTTGGGTGCTTCTGAATTGTTTGGTGGATACAAATTGGACTTCACAGACGGGTCCAGACAGATCAGCCTGGAGATCGAGGTGAAAATCATCCCATTCTTTGTCACTTCCAAAGATGAGTCTCTATTTTCTGAGCTTCACACCTTGCTTCCGCTGTCCGAGAGTGAGACGGACCCTTGGGGTAATTCCTCCGAAGCCGATGAGGATGAGGACGACGAGGAGGACGACGACGGGGACGATGACGGGGATGACCCAGATGAGCATGGCGAAGGCGATGCAGAAGATCCTGATGCCGAAGATACCGATGCCGATGAAGATGAGGATCAAGATGAACAAGATGAACAAGATGAACAAGATGAACAAGATGAACAAGATGAACTTGAAGGTCAGGAAGTGAATGGGACTGGCCGCAACGAGGTGACCGGGGCCGGAAACAACGGGGCGAGGCGACGGCTGATGGGGAAGCAGCCGCCGCCGCGTGAGTGGTGCTAAGGGAAAAAGAGGTTGATGATCCGGTTGATGCTTGGCACGTGCTGTACATTGCCAAACAGCACAGTTTGATACACTTGCATCATTTTGCCAGTTTCCCAAAACCAACTTTCATGTAAATCTGTCTGCCGAAGGCCCTGATGGTTGCAGCAACTTGGCCAGAGCTTGGGAGCTGTGATTTAGCATACAGCTCCAAACGCTTTCTGAGACTTGTTTGGGGTCTAAACACTGCAGCTCCGAGGGCATTTGGAGCACTAGGTCACTAAGTGTGAGGCAAAACCAATGGGCCCAATGTATATTTTTTGAGGGATTTTTTAGGGCGATGGAGAGAGAGAGAGAGAGAGAAATGTATATTTTTTGAGTCCATGTGCCAGCTTTTTTTGGGAAGTGTATCTGGGCCGAAAAGTTGTCGGGGACATCATTGCAGGGGATATTCGGATATTCCATTGCAAGATTCGCCGGATCATCCCTCAGTTGCCCCAGTTCATACATTTAGCCACTTGGAAACAAGTTGGTGGCATAATGCCTTGTATCCCATCCTCCTTCGTTGCAAATCATCTCACCCAGGGATGCTATGGTCCTTGTGAGGCCTGGACTTCTGACCCGCTTTCCATGACTGGACCATAGGGTGTGAAGCACCGGAAAGATTGGAAACCCCATATCAATCCATATAAATGGAGGTTTCAATGGGAATATCATCTATACATTTTGGATTTTCCGTTGCCTTTTGTATGATTTCGTCACAGTCTCCTTGATGCCCAGAAAGCAGATTTACCTTATTCGTTTCCGACCGCTGCAGTTTTAAGGAGACGGTGGGCGTAGGCGTAGACGGGGGCAGCTGCACCAGAGAACCACGGAACTGGTTGCAATAAATAACTTTCAGAACCTTTATTGCTATTGCTACTAGCATTCTTAGCAATCTCTGGATTTCACGCCCCCCTTGTACAGCGTAGCTACAGTAGCTCTTTTGAAGCTTCGTTCGGCAGCATGCATGGCTGCAAGAAGCAAAGGCTTTGTTCGTGGGACTCTTCCCCCAATCTTTCCACAGCGGCATGTGAGTTGAGGGCTGCTACTACAACCTCAAAACTCCAATCATGCTTGGCGCGGGAAGAAGCGAGAACAAAGGAGGTTGAAGCCTTCTATGAGAGGTTGAGCCACCTGCAAAACAATTTTGAAGTCAGCCCATGGTACAAACCCATCATAGTGAGCGTGGAAGGAGCCAAAAGAACGAACTTCATCGAGGACCTGGCTGCCATGTTCCGGCCCTCACCCGTGCGTGTGGCATCCTCTCCTCCGGCATCTTTGGGAGTTGTCAGGGGCATCTTCCAGCAGCTTGGGGGGTCGGCAGCAAAGGCATTCGACGTGGTGTCCAACTACATGGCCGTGCAGGAATGCAAGGATGTGTGCATGGCTGAGCATCAGCCCTTAGTGTCCTGGATTTTGCTGTTGATATTGGATGAATGTGATATATTTTTTTGGCGAACGGTGAAAACACATCCACCTTTTCAGGGGAAGTTTTTACATCATTTCTTCTATTTGATTCAGCACATCCAAGGTGTTCATCATGGAGAATTTTTGTTCTTCGGCCTACCGTCTTGGGGTGTCTGAGCATTTGGCCTCTGTATGGCCTCCAGGTTTACTGAAACCCAAGCTGCAGATTGTGCTCCGGGATGATGAGGATGCTCATGCCACAAGCCCAGCAGCTGACTGGGAACAGCTCATTCTGACCAAGGGGAGCCTCAGCGAGCAGCACATGCTTCAGCTGCTTAAGGGTGGGATCAACAAGAAGATCTTCCCTTCCACTGAAGACTTACAGTCGCTGGGTGCAGATCCTCTTCGCTATCTAGTCGATGTTGCAAGGAAGGAAGGGCTTTTGGGGGACAGAGCAGGGGACAAGACATGGCAGTTGGGGAGGAGAGGGAAACACATCCCATGGTCCTTCCAACTCGCTACTCCCAACCGTTCATCCGGGGGGCCCCCGGCTCTTCGGACCCTTGGAATCCATTCCGTGACAGAGACCGGCTTCATCTTCTTCACTTTGGGCAGTGCCGGTGGTGCCAGTGGGCAAACAGGTGAGGAGGTTGTTGCCTCCATGGTGTTGCTGCTTGGCAGCTACCCCTTCCAGCAGCAGTGGAGGGGGGAAGGCATCGTCCGGAAGATGAGGGGATCCACTTTGCCACCTTTTAGCCTGGCCTGTGCCATGCAGAGGTGCAAGGAACTTGCCCATGGGCTCGCTGGGCCAACCAAAAAGCGAAGGAGCTTGGAAGACCAAGAGGCAGTGTTAGGTGGGCATGGGTCCAAATTACATCAAATTACCATCGAAAATGGGATGGTTTAGGATCCTGAAAATGACCAGCCTTTGTAAGTCCATTTTTGAAACTGAGTCTTGAACCAACTCCAGGCACTCGCCCTGATGATACTCGAGAAGGACCTTCCACTGCTTACATCTTCATTCCCCGCAGGATGGAAGTTCTCATTGCACATCCGCCAGCTCCGGGAGGGACCCGACGATGTGAATGGTGGCGCTTGGCTGAGAGCCGACTCTGGGAGGGCCCCCGGGTGCTGTTGCCCTTCTCCCCAGGTTGCTTAGAGATGTCTTGGGAGCCACGGGTTCGCAAGGCTACTGTGGTCATCATGGGTTCGCATACGGCAGGGAAGAGTTCTGTCAGAAAGAGGCTGGCTGAGAGAATGCAGTGGGAATCTGATGAGGAGCTAGGTACTTCCATGCGCGGAGAGAACGAGGAGCAAGGCAAATACCCAACGGCTTGGGATGATGTGCTTCATCAGGCGGAGGTGGCCCGGGATCAGGAGCGGATGAGCACTTCGACCTCCAGGGTGGTGGAGACATGGCATTTGGGGAATTTTGTTTGGGCCATCACCCGACGTCCCGAGCAACACGGAGATTTGCTGAAGCGCGCAGTGGATGCCATTCAACAGGAACAGGAGGCAACCATTGTCCTGCTTGTCCTGCTGAAGATCAACCCTTCTACCATGGTGAGGAGGAGAGCAACGTTCCAGACTTCTGCCATGGCTTTCCAAGATGAGGAGGTTGACGCCTCAAAGCTTGCGAAAGCCACCGGGGAGAAACTGGACCAGATGCTTGGTGAGCACGACTTCTGTTTCCCTCATGGCAAGCTGCCGGTCTTGAAGTTGGACAACAATCAAGACGGAGAGGAAGCTTTGAATGACACAGTGGACGCCATTGTCGATTTCATCACCCTCTTTGTGTGATGCTTTTCATATGCTTTTCCTGGCCCCATGACTATGTTTTTGAATGAGTTTTCGGGCTAAAACGCCGAGTCGTGAAACAGACAAACAAAGCGGCCCGCAAAATCTGGAATTTATGAGTGCTGACCGCAACTGAACTTGTACTGGTTGGCACAGAGGTCCTGTGCCAGGGCAGTTCACAGATGGGCTTGGTGCACTGAAAATTCATGACTCTTGTGAAGAATCGGTTGCTTTTCTCGCATGTCACTCGCGTGCAGGACTTCCGCAGTGCTTTTCAGCGTTGTCGTCGCGGAGTTCTGCAGGTTTCAGCCGGGTTTGACTTGGATCCACCGAAGCTGGATGAATCAGGATGAACAGCTGATTTCAGTGGCAAGTGCTGTTGATACGACTATGGACTTCGGTCATCATTCAAGTCTAAAGTCTATCCAAAATTGGAATTGTGTCCCAGAATCTTCAATGCAATGTAGGAGTAGGGATAGGGTATGGTTTGGTCTGCAGGGTCTGTCACAGTGCCGGTGTTTGCAGTGGAGCTTGCGCCTTTCTCACCCGGAACAGAGTGAGGTTGAAGGGTTTGCAATATGTTTCCTAGGGGGTTGCAAAGACGGTCGCACCAGCAGAGAATCATTTTGCACCGTTTGTCCGATTTGTTTGAGTTTTTTTTTCCCGCTATGACTGCAATGAATCAAAAAATAAGGCGCCCCAAAAAGGACATTTTTCCTCTATTTTCCGGCACGGATTCCTGAAGAAGAACCGGCCAGGTATGGCAGGCTGTGTTTTTCAACGGTGAAACATAGCATGTTGAATAAGCAGGCTTGAAAAGCCTCAAGGCTGGTGGTGGGATAGTTGAAATGGAGAATACCATCTACTGTGTCCATCTAAGCACACGCATATCTCTCTCTCTCTATATATATATATATGTTACGTGTACGTATGTAAATGTACATGTAATATGAATATGTTTCTGCTGTCTCTATTTGATCATTGTAATCATCTTTAATTGTTTTTTCTCCATCAACACGGCACATCTGCAATACTGGGGCCAAATGGCGCCTGGGCAGCAGCTGTTTCAAATCGACATGTGGCGCAACGGACCAGTTTTGTGAAAATGGTGTCGGGAGGGCCGTCAGTGCAGTGGTTCATTTGACGCCATTATTTTTATATTCAGTAGGCTCTGCAAGAAAGAATCATTGGTCCAAAAACCATAGGCGCCATATGCCCTAGGCCAAGGTTTGATGCGAATGTAGCCACCCCGAACACTAATTATCTCAAAACTTGAATCATTGGCATGTACAACAGGGCCTACCACATTGCCTCGCAAGAAACACACATGCTTGGCGTGACATTTGTTCTTTGCCAGAAATTCATGAAAATCTCGTGACATCCATACCAGTTCCAAATATACCTTCTATATCTTGTAGATGGATGTCATCTCTCTAAAAACGGGCTATACTTTTCCTTGATGACCATACTTTACTGGGCCTACTGGGCTATGTGATGAGAAACGCGTTAAAACCCTGGGAGTTTTCGCATTTTTCTCCCAGATCTTCCAAGCATCGCGGTGTCGCAGCGAGCGGCTCCCCATCGTCCCGCCGCTTCTTCGCAACGCACCTCCGCCATGGCGGTGCGCAACGTGACGCTCGAAATGAAGGCGGCGAAGGATGCGTTGAGACTCGGGCCCAGAGGGAACGGTGAAGGATGCGTTGAAATTCCCCGGAAAGCATTGCTATATGGTCAGTTTTCGCGCCGTTCATTTCTCGTGAATTCATGAATTCTTGAAATTGGCACCTGCGAGGCAATTTCAAACATCTAATATGAATCAAAAGGAACGGATCATGATTTAGACGGGTGGTTATGCCAATGAAGTTTATGAGAATTTGACTCTTAGGTTCCATCACTGAACTTATACACCGCACAGCAGCTTAGTATGACGTCGCTTTCTGTGATGATTAGAACCACAATTCTTCGAAGTTGCCAATGCGTTGCGACTTGGACACGAAGCCAAGGAGCACCGAAGAAGCCACCCTGCAGGCTTGGAGTTGGAATAACTCCTAAGGGAGATTCCTATGCAAAAAAGACACATGCCATACAATAAAAAAAAAACATGGAACAAAAATCACACTGAAAAAACATCATGGAACAAACATCACAAAAATCACATTGAACCTTTTCCATCTTTTGAGGGTTACTATGCCATACTGTAATCGCAGAGACCATGGCTTCAGGTGGCTCAGCAGAAGCTGGGGCACTTGGAGCAGATGCTGCCGACCAATCAGTTCGCCCTTGCAATGGTGGAGTGGGAGGCCAACCTGGATGTTTGGCGGGTTGGGTGGTCATGAAATCTGAATTTGGTTATTGAAAGGCCATATTTTTGGGGTAAATTTGGATGGTTCTTTGGGGTAACAACTCCAGAAATGGCATGTGAAGCACATCTTTTGGGGGTTGACTGGTGCATCGATGATCTGGTTGGTATTCGAGATGAGCCCTGCAAAGATCTCTCAGATCAATCCTAGATACAGTGGGGGACACTAGGACGCTTGACAGAACAGGTATCACATCACTTTCTTTCGGGGACCCCAGCATGATGAATTTCAATTTTCATCCAGTTTTCTTCAGTTAAAACTATTTGGAAGGGACTGGTTCCAGCTCACGCGCGAGGCTGGAGCGGCGAAGGACAGTTCGATGGGCACACACCAGCATAGGGGGCACCACCATGTGGTGAGATGGGACAATTGAACGAATTGAATGAGTGAGCCATTTTTGGAATTGTCGTGAAATCTTGGGACTTCAGCAAGATCTTTTCCTTTGACATCATTTCACAGGCAAAAATGTGCACGGACTTCGATGAATCTGGGGTGCGGAGGTTGGTGCAAAATGGAGACGGCTTTGGGAAGGTTGACCTTTAGACGGCCAACCCGGCGTGGAAGTGTGAGGTGCCATGAGGTGCCCATCCCTGTAGCTTTTTCCATAGGAGAAAGCCCTCTGGCGCCTTCAGAAAGCACAGCAGCAGCTCTCTGCGTCGACGACGGCGCCGCTGACGGATCCAGAGATGGCGCAGTCACAGCGGGCCGTCAAAGTGCTGCAGGCCTCTTGGATGGGAGACGACCGAGTCAACCAATTGCATGGTTTTAACTCTAAGCGTTGAACCACATAAAATTTGGGTGTCACCCAACCAGGGATAGATACACTACTTCAGTCGTTTTTTTTATAAATAAGGAAAGCCACTGCATATGGGAAATCAATCATCGATAGGTGGTTTCCCCAACTTTTGATGGATACCAACCAGCAATCTTAACAAGCATCCAATATTACCAGCCATCTAAGAGTGGCCATGAAAATTGGAGTAACATGTAGTAATTGTCATGGCCATTTGTTCTCAATGGGCTTATATACTGGTATAATTATAAAGAAACTATTAGTAAGATCCTGACTATGAAAAGCCAACCACCAATCAACTGGACCGAATCTACAGCGATGAATTTAGGTACCAATAAATGCCCATTAGCCATTTGCAACAGTTGACCGATGTATGGAAGATCCTTTTTAGGAATCTGAACCAAGACAGCTGAAGGGCAGGGGATTCCGGCAACAATAGGGTTGCCGGGGATGAACTATACGAGGGGATCATTGGTCAGTCCCCCAACCAACTAGCAATCATGCTGAACAACCTATGATAGAATCTATAGGAGTTGGACGGATCCCAAATAAAAGACCAAACTCCGTAAATGATGGGTTTGACATTGGGGAAATTCGGAAGCATCCGGTCAATGGCCCGAAACTAGAATTGAGGTTCACCCTGAACGGCGGTAAAACCAGTACCAAAACCAACAATGTGTCCGGTGTGGAAACATCATTGCAAGGAAAATCGAGGCACAAAAAAGAGATAAACCAGAATGATGGTTGTGTCATGGGGGTCATTCTGCAGCTGTGAGAGCACATGCCAGGTAATCAGACAATCTGATAGTCAGATAATCGAAACTTAACAACTGATTCTTAGCAAACTAGCCCTCCTGGCAGTGGAGGGGTTATCCCTTGAAAAGGTGTCCAACTAAGATAGTTCGGGGACTGCAGCCCAGTTATTCAAGATAAGTCTGAAATTGCAGGAAACATCTGTGTGTAAATCCTGGTGTGGTAGTTAATTTATTTCACAATTGGGATGCTAACGGATAGTATCCATATTTGTTAACCCTATACATACGAGTATTTCTCTATGTGCGCACGCATGCAGGGAACGTGCATAAATTAAATTACATTATATACCTTACGTTACATTAGATTGCATTACATCAGATTACATTACATTCCTTTACATGACATTGCATTACAAAACCCATATTTAATACAATGCAATACAGTGCATGCATACATACATTATATGTAATGTGGGTAAAACATGGAAAAACAATTTCATAATCCATCCCCCAGTCACCATGTTTACATAGGTATACATAAACCATTCCCAGTCATGGGTGGTTTATCATATATTGTTTTACCATGTTTTACCCACATCAATTTCTCCCTGCGGGGCGGACGTTCGCCCAAAGTTTAATTGGGGATTAGTTACGTTGTGATTTGTTCAGGATATATTTCAGATTGTTTTAGGGTTTGCTTAGGTTTTTTTAAGATTTTCTTTGGGTTTGTTTAGTTAATTTTCGTTCTATTTAGGGTTGTTTTGGGGTTTGCTCACGGTTGTTTTAGGGTCTATTTAGAGTTATTTATGGCTGATTTAGTGTTGGTTTAGGGTTTGTCTGGGGTTTCTTTAGGGTTAGGTTAGTTTGGTGTTCTTTCAAAGTCTTGCGCTTTGTTGAGGTCTCAGTTAACGGCTCAAAACACTGCAAATTGCGGAGGATATCTTTAAGATACGCTTCAAAACGTGATTTTGGTACCGTCTTAGGTACGTGCAAAAACGCAATGAGACGCAGGTAATATCAATATTTTGCATGCTCGCAGTGTGCGAAAAACACGCACGGAAACAACACAGCGGATTGCAGTTCCGCATGGAATTCCATGGATTTCGGGCAAACGTCAGCCCCCTAGCGTACCCTCTGGCAAACTAACATAGCTATTGAAAATGGCCATTTATAGTGGATTTACCCATTAGAAATGGTGGTTTTCCATAATTATATGTTAGTTTACCAGAGGATAATTTCTGTACACAGCGACATGTTGCAGCAACCGTTTTGCGCAGGATCGGATCCTCCGGCAGTCCTTGCGGAAGCCGACGCAATGGCGACTTCGGACGACCAAGGCTTGTGAGTCTCCGGGAGGGTGTGGGGGAGCCTGGGATCGGATCTATACATATATATATATATATATAGATGATATAGGTATGTACGGAATAATCCCAATTTTCATTCCCCTATTGTTTTCCCCTATTATATATTGCATAATAGGCATCTATAAACGTATACTTTAGTATTGGAGTTGTTCATTAGGGGGAAAAGGATGATTCATGGTCTATAAATGGGTGATTTTTCATGGCCAGATTGAGTCAATAGAAAACATCTGTTCGAAACATGACTTTTTTTTTTGAGGCTTCAACAAGCTTTTACCTCCTTCACAAGTTGATATAGGTGATGTTCAAAAGAGGAAACAGAAGCTAACCTGCGGGAAGTGAGGGCGTTTGGTGTGTTAGAGTCATCTTGGAACTCTTACATCAAGACACCAAACGGAGTTTCATTAGCTACGCATCTGCAGGGTTTCTACAACGTTGCCATTTCAGAGTTGCAATTCTTTTACTTGTTTCACCGGGAGGTGCTTTAAAATCATAATGCATGGCACCCGCAGGTCTTTGACGAATAAGTTTGATGCATGCACGTCTTTCCATGCAATTCAGGCGTGTTTCTGTTTTACCTGTGCTTTTCTGTTTGTATTCGCCACATTCTCATCATGTTTCAGTTCACGATGTTTCCACCACGTTTCACCATGTTTTTCCTAATCTCTGCACCATCGAAAAGTTCATCTTTTCCATTCGCTGAAACCATTCGCGGTGCGAGCTGATCACCGCTAAAAACACCCCAGAACCAGGTCTTTGAGCACGAGCTGGCAAAGAAAAGCAACCAAATTGATGAAAGCCGAATCATCTATGAACAGACCAGGACGGGGGTCGAAACGGTACCATGGGGAAGGTGAAATGGTCTGTTCATGGCCAAAATGGACAAGCTTCAAACATTTGAGTACAGCTGTGCCAGGAAAAAGCAAGGGAATAGCATGGGGTTTCACCCAATTAATTGGCGGGCTGATCATGTTTTCTGTATCAAATAGGGCTTGTAGCTTTAAATTGTTATTTATCCCTTTCCCCCTTGTTCTCGGGATATAATGGGGATACAATGGAACTACCATGGATAAAAATTGCGTGAAAGTAGGGGAGTGTACTGGGATGTACAGGGTAAACGGGAATCATCTGCATATCATCAATATTGAGCAGTGGCCAGCAACTATAGTAAGTGTATACATCCTAGAATTTGTAAGGGACCACCAAAAAACAGGAACCCACCCTTGGTCCCTTGAAGCGATCCAGTGCAGGATGGCGAAGGAAGATGTGGCGCTGACTGCGGCTCAGATGGTGCGAGCCGAGGAAGATGCGAAGAAGGCCGAGCCGGGGGTTTCTCCACCCATGAGGATTGAGGCAACCAGAATCAGAATTTCATGTGCTGTCGGTCAACAATGAGAGTTTAACCGTTTAACCAGCCAGAAAAAATGGATTCCATGTGTTTTTTTTAAATCAACAAAAGTGGAGATGCACTGTAACAAGCCAACACTTGGGTGCAATGCAACTTGATTTGTCTTGGGTGGTAATGTCAGCAACCATGGTATGACCCTCATTTCCATGGTGTGGCTTCCACTCGCACAAGAATTCCCCGAAAGCCTGGCTGGCGTGTAATGTCAGCCACGGAGTTGCAGGTCTTGCCCCCTAAATAGTGATACCCTCTGGTAAAGTAACATAGCTATGGAAAATCACCATTTTTAGTGAGTTTTCCCATGAAAAAATGTGATTTTCCATAGTTATGTTAGTTTACCAGAGGGTAATCTGCTACAGCCTGTATTGTTCAACTGTATCCCGAATTCCCCACCACGGGTGCATGTGCATGTGCAGCCCAACACGGCTTCATCGGGGCCCTTTACATGTATAATAATAGATAGTTTCCCCTGTGGACAGCTTGGTTGACGGTCGAGGACGAACATCTCTGGGGCTATGATCGAAATTGAACATGAAAAAAATCCGGGAGTATTTTGCATAATTATATATACTATAACATCAACAATAATGGACAACAAGCGAAAAATGGGTGAGTTCTCATCCATTCCCGGAATTGTGTTGAGGGAAAAGTTTACAGGAAACCCACATCTTTTATATATATATAGATTTTAAAAGGTAAGAAAACCATAGTTTCAACTTTTAAAGGTAAGAAATCCACCAACAAAACCACACCAAGAAATCACATCCGCGAGGAGAAGGAGCGGCTGGTTGCAAAAGTGGCCCAGTTGGAGGACGTCCCAACTGACCAACCGCAACTCCAACTTGGATGTGTGGGCCCCACTTAGGATCCGTGGTTTATGATCCCATGATAATGGCAAGATTTGATGCCAGCCATATCTAAGTGAGGATATTCGATATGGAGCTGGGGTATCATCCATTAAAATCATTAAAATCCATTTACTAAGTGGGATGCACCCCGAAGAAGTGGCTTGAGAAACCTTGGTGGTGGATGTAAGAGTCATATAAAGAAGTAAATGATGGTTTGGATGTTTTGGGTCATGGCGAAAGTGGAGGAGTGTTTCGAAAGAATGATGGAAAATCCATGAAAATCCTAAGTGGGCGGTTTCAAGCCAGGTTAAGCTCAATATCATTGAACTGCGTCGAGGTAACAGGATGAACTGAGCGACAGTTGAAGTCAATGGCTGACCTTCTGCGGCTAGTCCAGTGTCGATGATCAATTATAATGAATCAACACATTTTTGGGAAGCCAAGTTGCAAGTCACAAGCAAAATTGTGGTTATGCTATTTGATAGAATCCTGGCCTGGTGGGCAACTACTTGTTTTCAACTGGAACGTCATTAAAGGCAGCTGGGAAATTCACCAATTCAAACCGCTTCGAGGGTTGTTTCAGGTAGGTCACCATCTACAGGTCCCCTGAACCGAAAACTGGGGACGCCAGGAAGATATCGGCAATCAACAGCAGAGTCCGCAGCCTAGGGCATGGGAAACACCAGGCAAGTCCTACAGCAATGGAAAACCAGCATGTTGAATAGGCAAATGATTTTTCGAAACGGAGAATTCTAATTTTCAGCTGTAGATTACCAGAGGGTAAGGATGGGTCAAAAACCCATTACCCTCTGGTAAACTAACATAGCTATGGAAAATCACCATTTCTAATAGGTAAACCATCTATAAATGGGCCATTTTCCATAGCTATGTTAGTTTACCAGAGGGTATTGCCATTTGGTTGGGGTGAGACCAGCGATTTGATCCGTGGCCTCGGCCAAGGTGTGCAGAAACAGGAGGACGTGGTGGCCCGAGCAACCTCCAAGGTTCAACAGTTGCGGGAAGAACTGGCAGCTCAGCTTGGAGCAACCCATGACTGGGAATGGTTTCTACATACCACCTATAAAAATGGTACTGGGGGATTGTTTATGGCATTGTTTTACCCACATTAGAAAAACATGTGGTGCCAAAGCTGATTCGGTATGTTCGGTGTTGAGAACATCGAGAGGAAACTCTGAATTCTCCTTTCAACAGGATGTAGCCGGATTCCGCTCAGGGTCCAGCATGGCAGGATTTCTGTAGACTGATGCGCTCCTTCGCAGAAGACAATGATATTTGGACTTCTAAAAACAGCTCTTTACTGGCACCTGTGGGCACGATGAGTATCTATTTTAATGGTGGCTGGCTGCTGGCAGATTACACCCTTGTTCATGTTATACAGATAAAAAGGTTTAGATTAATAGAAAAATCAACAAATACATGGATAAAAAGTAAATCGACCAATAATCAATGAGCAAATGAATAGACACACAAACAAACGTATTTACACCGTGCTTCTGGGCCCAGCTTGAGTTTTCCATGTTACTCGTATGTCTACTATACTTTGTTGTACATGGTTGCCGTTCAAGATCTCTCAAGTAGCTGCTGCTTCATTTCCCCCTTGCCCCAACATGTTCCCGCAAACTTTTCTTTCCAAAATGAATACAGGATAATGCAGGGTGGTGCTCCCTAGCTATTAGTTGCTTGAGTATCCCCATCAACGTCCATGAATTAGTTGGATCTATCTCTTACAAATCCCAGTTGTTGAAGTTCCATGAGCTAGTTCGATACATCTCCTATAAATCCAGATAAATCCATGTCAATCCCAGTTATGCAAGTTACCCTCTGGTAAACTAACATATAATTATGGAAAATCACCATTATTAATGGGTAAATCCACTATTTCTATGGCCATTTTTAATAGCTATGTTATATGTTAAATTACCGGAGGGTATATCCCATTATTAATCATTGATATCCCATTGAATCACTATATAAATCCCATTAATCACTATTAAATTACCCTTGTCAACACGTGCCCCTTTTACACCCGAGACGCTGCACGGCGAAGCTGCGGTGCTGGCGAAGATCTTGCGCCGCGCCACGCTGCCGGAGGGGCCCAACTTGCCAAGGCGAGCCATGCAGCTGGCGAAGCAGATGAAGATGGAGATGCGGGCGGAACTTGGAAGGTGTTGAGGTTAAAACAATGGAAACAAACATCATGATCTGATAAATATATGTATATATATATATGGATTGAGGTTTGAGGTTCAATGGTTTGGAGTTTGCTTTTCTATCCTTTTCTGAATAGTTGGGGTTGCTGTACAGTCATACTTCTCGTTCGGTGGTTTCAGACATGTAACATGATATATGCATATAGAATCATATAGAGATGTAACATTTCAGTAGTTGATTCAAACTTTTTTTTTGGGTTCAGATTCTTATGATACACTTACCAGCTGGGATGCACATCCAAGTTCATCCAAGTGCCTTTTTGTGGTAAACCCAATCAAGATGAACAAATCAACGCCAGGACTGGTGCTGCATCACCGCCTCTGCCGATGGCAAGGCGACTTCCGTGAGTATCGCGGAGTTCATGGACACGCCGGAGTGTGGCGCCTGGGACAGGTTGAGGATTACCATCCTTTGGATTTCACGAGGGAAAATCAATGAACATCAGCTACTTCAATGGGTAATCGGGCAATTGTCCATGGTTATGTTAAATGAAGTTCAATGACTAGAGGGTGACCTGTTGGAAAGATCTGGATAGGGCATAGATCATGGGGATGTTATGTCATGGGGTTCTAGTGGGTTCAAAGTCCATAAATCCCAATAATACAGATGATAAGATGATGGATGATTGTGGATCATGATGAATCTTTTCATGCTGGGTTTCTGGTTAAGCAAATGACTGGGCAAACATCTTCTCAGTAACAAACACATCAATAAATGCCACATCAATCCATTTATGATTTAAAGATGGGTGCGTCTACAAATAGGAGCATCCCAGTCCCAAGCAATTTCAAAGGGGAAAACGATTCGATCAACCGCTGGATTTTGGGGGGTAGCCTATTCTCAGACTAGCCAAATGTGCATTTCACCAATGAACATGGTTTTCTTTTGGCACTTTGATGGATGAATTATGATGAACTTGATTTGTGAGAAATCGACCGGAAACTCTTGTTCTACCACTTGTAAATCTGGGGGTAAACCTTCTAATTTTTCCCTCACTTGTAGGACTTGAGCAGTGCTTGTTTGGTGAAAAGTCGGTCAACCAGTAACTGACTGGGATATAAATATATATATATAGATATGAAATCACCTGCACACTCCTGGGAGAGTGGTAAGGGCTGGACTTTGCTCAGGCAAAGTGAAAGAGCTTGCGGAGGCCTATGGCGCACGAAACGACTTCGAGTTCGTCTTCTGGTTTCCATCCAACGAAATCCAGGCACAAGTGACCACGGCTGGTGGTTTTTTCTTGCGACCACACTGAGCTTTTTGGAGAATTCTCTCAAATCTTGGGGTGTCTTTGGTCCAAAGCCATGCCACTAGACCACTGCACTGTGTTACCCTGGGTTCCCCTGGTGCGAATTCAATTTGATCGGCATCCCAGTACTTTCAAGCAGTGCAGGCGGGCCGTTACTTGCGCCTGAGCGCGCAATTGTGGCCCAAGCTGAACAGCAACGTGGCGCCATTTTTTTTGGGGTCCAGTGTGACAGGTGGCCCAGGTGACCCCAGTGCCGGGTAGCCCCAGCTGGTCAGAATTCCAAGACTTTGGAAGATAGAGCCGACCCGATGGAGGCTTTTCCTAGTTCTGTTTACCACAAACTTCAGAGCTTAAGAATGCCCCCAACCAATGGCGCTAAGTCTTGATGATTTTTTGGCACCTCCATGGCACCAGGTTTCAAACACCCAAGCCACTCATCTGATAGCAGCTGGAAGCGAGGTCCGTTGTACAAGAACCCCCCCACGCAGCTGAATTTCTTCGAGCTGCTCCGCGCTTCGTTGGGGGATTCTCAGTTCAACGACGTGTGGTTGGTGCCGGAGGCACAAGGGTCTACCCGGTCTAACCCTGTGGATATCGAAAATGGGTGGCTGCAAAACCTGCGTGGTTTACTGGGACCACACAGCCAATCCGTGGATATGTAAACCAGGGGAAGTTGCTATAGGATGGCATCTTGGAGGATGGTTTATGATCATCCAGTCTTTCAAATGGCTGGTTTAATCCTGATTTTTGTTGCTTGGATGCCCATTCTTGGCTTTCCTAAGCATATTGTCGGTTCAATCCCAACATCAGGGTTGGAACATGAGGTATACCCAAACAGCAATTACAATGGGACAAATGCTGCTTTAATCAGTGGATTTAAGGGTTCCCCCCCTCGAATTTTCAAACAAACACCTTATTTTCTCCCATCATTTCCCAACACCCGAATCATGTTGAACCCCACATGGGTTTGACAACATCATTTTCCTGATGAAAAACGTGCTGCTGAAATGGGGGCTTGATCCCCAATTTCCAGACAAACCCAAGTCAAAATGGATGTCGTTGGTTAGTTATATCCCCATCATATCCCCATCATATTCCCCATATATTCCCATCATATCCCCATGGTATCCCCATTTTCCCATCCGTTGATCCTTCATATCCTTTCATTGGCGTCGAAGCAGGCGCCCCACTTCCACCAGAAAGCCTTAGGCTTGGACCGGATGACGGACTTTGTACCACCCCAGGCTGGACGAGATCAGTGGGGAAAGCCTTTAGGAGGAGATCCGGGGGATCAACTTATGAACTTAGCCTCTGGTTATGTCAAAATAGCTATTGAAAATGGCCAGTGATAGTGGATTTTCCCATGAAAAATGGTGATTTTCCATAGTTATGTGACAGTTTACCAGAGGGTAAGAGGGGTTCCCAATCTTCAAGAGGACGCTTCTAATTTTGTCATGAGAGAAGAATCAAGAATCAACACCTTTCAACGGAAAAAAGGACATCAACATTCCGCGGAATCCCAATTTGAGAGTAGGAAAACAATCTACAAATACATTCTGGTAGACAAACGTGGCCGGAACATCCCGCATTTTCATCAGACATCATCTGCAACACATGGAGATTGAACTGGTGGTTTCTGCAGCCTGCCAGTTTGGTCTACCGGAACCGATTCAGATACTGTATTCCACCTACATGCTGCTTCATTTGGTATGTCGCACTTTTTCGGATCCCATTCCCAGCTATTTCAGTCTTCAGATGTTTACCCAGTTTACCCATCATACAAGAACATACAAGAACCATATCCCCGAAATGTCCCAGGCCGTGGCACCTCAGCTGCGGCCCTACCAGCTGGCGGGCTTCCGCTGGATGGCCTGCTTGTGCAAGAACGGCCTGGGTGCCGTGCTGGCGGATGACATGGGGCTGGGCAAAACGCTGCAGTGCATCAGCGTTTTGCTCTACCTGAAGGATGGGATGGGGGATGTTGGAGCAAGTTGGTGCCCATGAGCACCATTAAACTAGAGGAATGTATGAGGTGTCTAGCATAAATGCTAGTTATTGGAGTTATGTTTGCCAACTTGGCTGACGAACTGAGTCAAAAGATATGGGATAGCAATATCAGCCCCCTAAAAAGGAATGGTCAGCAGGAATAGCAAAAAAAATCAGCTTATTGCCTGCGAATAAATTGGGCCCTCAAAATGATGATTCCAATTTGAAGTGGCATCCCCCCACAGCAATTTTCACGGCATCACCTGCAAGGCGTTGCCCCCCATAAGTTGGAATTAAAACACCCATGGTCTATGGCTATACCATCAATCCGAAATCCCGACCTATATGAGTTATCTCATGTTATCTCATGTTATCTCATGTTATCTCATATGATTTCCAGCAACTTAGCTAACTAATACAATATGCATGTGCATATGTACATATATCGTAACTATTATATGAAATTGTATGTATATGTATTATATATATATAGGTCACCGCCTAGAGTATCAGGGTGCCAGGAGCAGAAGCTATTGACCAACGAGGAGAACCAGAAATGCCCTGCCCTGGTGGTGGTGCCTCCAGGTCTTCTGCAGAACTGGCAGCGGGAGTTCCAGCGCTGGGCCCCGACGCTGAGCTTCTACGTCTACCATGGGCCCAAACGGAGCTTGCCGCTGAACAAGGGCCGGGTGCCTCGGCGGAAGCTCCAGGAATGGGGCTGGAAAAAAGGGGGAAGGGTCTGGGGGACAAACTTGGGGAGAGCTGGGGGGTGAAAGAGTGGTTTTGCCGCTCATGGAGGAGTAGCTTTTAACCACAAAAAAAGAAAAGAAACTTACCATTGAGGAAATATAAATTTATTTATTTTTTTCCGGAGGGTTTTTCATGGTTTTTCTATTTTTTCCAGAGGGTTGCTACTGCGTACTATGGTAACGGTTGCAACTGCGTGAAGGCTTTAATGGGAACCTCAGATGATGATTGACTTCAGGGTGCCAGTTGAAACGCTATCCAAACTTGATGATGGTTTTTCCAAGCGTCCTCAAGGTCCTCCCACCATATCATATCCTTTATATTCCTTGATAACGTCATGGGGGATGGGTCAAAACATACAATCTCCACAATCTCATCTTCGGGGGAAACAAATTGATTTCATGATTTCATCTTCGGTGCACCGATTGCCCCGCCACCCCGGGCCACCCCGGTGTTCTCTGCGCAAGGACTACGATCTGCTGCTGACCACCTACGAAATGGTGCGCAACGACCGTGAGAAGTTTGCGGATGCCCAAAGCATCTGCTTCTCCGGTGGCTTGGAGAAAGAGGTCTGCCGGGTACTGTACCTATCCTTCGTCCGTCTATCTACCCTCTGGTAATTTAACGTAGCTATTGAAAATGACCATTAATAGTGGATTTTCCCATTAAAAATGGTGATTTTCAATAGCTATGTTAAATTACCAGAGGGTATCTAATCTACTAACCTACTAACCTACTAATCTACTGATCTACTGATCTATGAATCTACTAATCTACTAATCTATGACTCTATGAACCTATGAACCTAGGAGTCTGTGAATCTACGAATCAATGAATCAACGAATTTTTGAATCAATGAATCGATGAATCAATGAATCAATCAATCTATCTATCTACCTAATGCTAGCAAATGCTATCTAAGTATATATCTGGCAGTATGTCTCCATCCCAATGAAGGTTGTGGTCCACCCACTGGCCCCGTGATCCTTTTTTTTTGCCATCAAGGTATGGTGATCGATGAAGCCCAGAAGATCAAGAATCATGGCGCGCTGGTCTCAAAAGCCGTGAAGGAAGTCGGCAATGCCATTGGGCACACCCGCATCGCACTGTCAGGTGCCATGGTGACATGCGGTGCAGGAAGGAGATGGAGATGGTGGGAGGTGAGAGTTGGAGGATTAACCCTGGTTAGTTGGTTTTTGTTGCTTTGCGTTAAGCCTATTATTTTCTGCTTACGTAGGTCTCTTGAAGAGGATTTCGCATGGCTCAATCAGCACCGGACGGGAAGCAATGTCAATGGGCAACTTAGAAGTCAAAGGGTGAAACTTGGAGGAAACCATGGTATATATGGTATTTAATTTACATGTAATCGGGTACAGAAACCAACCCCCAATCTTCACCAGAAATGGATAGAAACCCTCCAAACTTGGAGGTTCATGAAACTGGGCTTACTACATTCTTCACCCACCAAATTTGTGGTTTTCCTGAATTAAAACTACCCGCGCAATTGGAGCGAGGCACGCCGATTGAAAACAAAGTGGACGAGCTGCACAGCATTTTCGACTTTGTCAACTACGGCTACCTCGGGGACCAGGAGCACGTCTCTACGCGCTCCAAAAGGTGGGATATCCCCAATTTTTCATCGCAATCTTTTAGTGGGGAAAGATCATGATAAACCATGATAAACCATGATAAACCATGATAAACCATGATAAACCATGATAAACCATGATAAACCATGATAAACCATGACCAACCATGTCTTGGCATTTTCAGATGCAACCAGAACTAGTTGATGGAACGGCTCCTGGTTCAACTGATTCAAGGTTCCCCCTGGCCACCTGTTGTAGGAAATGGTCACCACATGTCACTAACCCAAGAACTGCCACATGGAACTGCCAGTTTGCAATCTTGAAATATCTTGAAATCCAACTATATCCGCATTGTACTTTACACATTCATATATATATACACACACTTATTTACATATGTACATATAAATAAATGAATGAATGAATGAATAAATAAATACATAAATACATAAATACATAAATACATAAATACATTAAATAAATAAATAAGTAAATAAATAAATAAATAAATAAACACACACACATATATATTACATTTATAGTAAGAGCCAAAAAGATAGAAAAACAATTTATCACCGTTTTAGTACTTTTCTATCTTTTTGGGGGTTGCTGTATCCAAATTTTTGGGGAGCTTCGTGGCCTTGTGGATTGCCAGGAGAACTTCGCGAGGACATTCTCACGCATCATCGAGAAAGGCCGCCTGGAAAGGAAGAGTCGTTTGTTTGTTGAGTCCCAAAGGCCCAAATCAAGAAATGGATGGAGATAGAGATCTGTTGAATATAAATCCATATGGTCTTATCAAAAGTATACAATTATAGAATAATGGATGTCCCTTTAATTACATTTGATTATAGCCTTATCGCCATACAGATCTGGATGGCTTCTTCTTAGTGGCCATTTTGGAGGCATGAAGCATGGTTCACACGCTGCGGGCCATTGTTATTTGGGGATTCCCCGCTGGTTGGCACTGGTTGGCTGCTTTTCCTGCACACTCCAGAGAGTACAGCAACGACCAAAAAACATAGAAAAATAACATCCTACGAGAATCGTGATAGGTTCCTTTTCCATCTTTTTTTCTTTGGTTTACTATGTATCAATTTGGTAGATTACATTCCTAGATACTTATCGAACGTGATCCTATTTGTTAGGCCCATTTCATAGATGATGAGATATCAACATTGACATATGGATGTTGATATCCTAATAGATGAAGCCACCTCGATAGACTATACATGACTACATATAGATATATACGAATACATGATATATATATGTCCTACACTATGTCCTCAAATTGGACCACATAGATCGATGATTTTCCTCCAAAAGTGGGGTGACTTTTCGACACGGTGTCGCCAGGACGGGATCCTCAGAAGAAGAACGAAAGCCTGCAGCTGCTGAAGAGGCGCAGTTGACAAAATCCAGGTGCTGATGGCGATTTATCTGGGATTTAACTATCAGATATTATGAAAACCCATAAGTAACCCATAAGTAACCCATATGTACCCATGATTATGTAAGTTAAATCCCAAATATAATATGGTTTTCTGATCCTATGGGATGACTACTATGGGATATTATGGGATGATCCCAATGAAATAAAACATGTGCTACACGTACATGGCAAATAGGAAGAACAACTCCCAATAATTATCAATAATTAACATCCCCAATCGTGGCTTGCTGCTGGTAAAGCATCTGACAATCACAATTGATTCCTAACTTTTCTTGGTCTGCTATGTTATTTTAGCAGCTAAGCATCATCATGTTGAAAATTGTTTTGGTGCGATTGTCACCTTGAAAAGCGTCGGCTTGGGCCTTCAATGGCCTCATTTTTTCTTGGTGTTGCCCATGAGGCTCACCACCCCGTTTCAGATGCGTCGCACTTGGGCGGCATTCGAAATGCAGGGTGCGTTTTGTTGGGGAAAAATAATCTATCTCTTTGCATTTTTCTTCCCTTGACATTTGATGTTGGCTTACATAGCTGGTCAGGCCCCAGAATTTTTTCTCACGGGCCCAAGAGTAGTACTACATGTCTCATTTTGTGGATTTCTCATGTGATGATGGGGCATTTGATCCATCCCCTCAATTTAGGTGATGTCCCTATTGTTGGTGATCTCTCCGCAGTTTCTTGTGGATCTTTCCAATCCTTCCTGGATTTTTGGGTGATCTCCCCTGATCAACCGACCCACTTTTTGTGTATCTACGTTGGGGGTTTGAGTTTTTTTTTAGCAACTTGATGAGAGATCCCATGTGTAGGTGATGAACTGTTGGATTTTTTGGGGACCCATGGGGACCCCGAAATCCAGTCTCCAGTAGGGCCAGTAGGGCCCCGCATCCATAAGGTCTCAAGACGGATCCCAACATCCTGCCGGATCTGCCTGACAAGATCGACATTTCTTCGACCACCAACCTGACCAAAGAGTCGCTGGGAGAATCTTTGGGGCCTGGTACTTGCCCGAGAAAGGCGCTGTGAAGGGGCTAAGAAACCCAGAACATAGACCTGGAACATGCATGAGGGACCCTCCAATAAAATGCCTCCTTTGCCAGCGATGCTCAGATACCTCCAAGTTCGGTACCTGACATTTCCCTGCTGGCAGCTGCTGGCACTTGGCCAAGGCAGGAGAAGCTCTATGTCGCGATCCAGGAGGATTTTAGGAGCACGATGACACAATCCAGGTGCGATTGGGGCAGCAGGTCCTGTAGTTTTGATGATTATTTTGCGAAGAAATGCTCCAGAAATTTCCCGTGACTTACTTTAGGCACTTTAGCCCTGGTTAAATTTTGAAGAATCACTAGCAACATGGGCTCTTTGACTTTTTGTCTTAACTTAACAAGGCCATGGTTATTAAGTTATAGCCTAGCCAGTGTATGAGGTATCAGTCCCCTTGGGTCCCCTGACAGACTTTGTAAGTTGTGAGATGGCCATCCAGGACCCCGAGCCATACGAACTCTCATGGACTTTGGCCCCTCACCAGACTGGGAAGGAACTGGGACACATTCCAATGACTTGCCGACCTCAAACCATGGTGAATTTGCCACATTATCCCCAAAGTGTTCAGAGATCACTGATCCAACCACCATTTTTGTTGAAGAATCCCGCGTTTCCTGAGGCATCACCCCCAAAAAGTCGAGACGTCATCCCCGAAACTGGCCAAACGTCAGGGAGACCGCGGGAACAAACCACGCCTTCCAGAGGTAGGACGGTGGTTGGATGGGGCATGAAGAAAGGCACAGCTGCTAAGGCCCCAAGTTTACCCAAGATCAGAGGGCACCACCAAGGGACTTAATTGTACCTGGATCAAGTGCTGTTATCGATTTCTGGCTGGTAGAGATTTTACACATTTCCACATTTTTCAACTGAAAATCGGAGGATTACATCCCAATCGACAGATGGCCTACCAAATAGCCTCGTGACTTGCCAGGCGCGGTCACATCTTCGCCATGCTGGAGCAGGTGCGTCGCGTTTGCTCCCATCCCTTGTGTTTGGACAAGGAAAGATATCCCCAGTCCTGTAAGAACATGGCGGTGCAGCAGCGCTCCTCGGCTGGTATGGTATGGATAGCATGGCATGGATGGCTCCGCGGGTAAGAGTTCTTTTTCGAGTTGGAACAGGAGGATAGAAACCCCAAAGAATGGTATTTGTGGGGTTCTGCTTTTGGGTGGCTTGATGCTACTTGTAGGTTTTGGTGACTCGGGGGCTGAAGGAGTTACAACTCATGTCCGCACAATACACATGCACACACACACACTATTTTATTTATCTATATGTATATATAAATATGCCCATATAGATACATACATGGCACTCTTGAAAGCGAAAAATCCTTCTTGCACCACGTTGCAATTGCTAGCCCGTCTTCCAATTCTTCTCATCTCTTCCTCGGGGTAGCAACCACCTGCACGCACAGATCTGATGTTCTCTCAAAACACCTAAATATTTGCAGAGCAAAACCACACTTAAACCGCAAATGTCCATGGTCTGGAACCAAGGTTACCAACTTAACTAATATTTGCAGGGCAAACGCAAAGGTTTCCCATAATTGTGCCCACCACTGCTCCTTGAGGTGTGGAAAGCAGCGGCAAGACTTCGCGCTTGGTTGAGCTGTTGGAGGCCCGAAGGTCATCAATGCCATAAACTCCCCCAGGAAAATCACCATTTTTATAGGTGGGATGTAGAAACCATTCCCAGGAAAATGGGTGGTAACAATTTATGACATTGTTTTAGCCACATGAATGAGAAATCCAGGTTGGTTGGGGGAATCTGTCGGAAGAAGTATTCTTCATATTTTCCGTTTGCTGGTGAATGGAGGGAGCTGTGAGCTAAGCAAACTGGTTGTTTCCATTTTCCTCCCCGAAGTCTGTGGAGGCAGTGGGAGCTCCGAATTGAAGCAGTCATAGTTTTTCAGCACAAAAAACCTGGCAGTGTTTCATTGCTCGAGTTTTTCAGGGCGGGTGACCGGTGCCCCGGTGTCTTTCTAGTTGTGTTTTTTCAACTCATCAGTATCAAGGTCCATCAAGGGTCATCAAGGTCCCAGCCATGAAGGTCTTCCAGTCATGATGGGATCAAGGGAGCCAGTGATAAATGGGGCCACTGGAGCCATGGGGAAAGCAGTAATTTTCTTGCATTTGCATGGAAGTATAGCCACATAATACCAGCATTTTCATCATTTCCCAATAAGTTCTCATCATTTTTTAGATTTTTTTCCATCAGTTCCCCATCATTTTCATCATTTCCCAATATTTTTCCTTTTCTCTCCATCAGTTCCCCATCATTTTTCATAAGTTTCCGTCATTTTTCATCATTTTTTTCCCCCCCTTCAGTTGCGGATAGTTTCCATCTTTTTAACTATTCCCCCAATTTTTGTTTTCTTCTCTCCCCATCCAACTGTTGCTCTTCCGCCCCTCTTCCGCAGGAGATCCTGCCTGCCAAAGAGAAGGCCGTGGTCTTCGCAACGCGTAAAGATATCATCAGCGCCCTGGGTCCATCTTTTGGCCGAGATCAAATTGGGATATGATGAGATAAAAGTGGGAGAAAGCGGGATATCATGGAGGATACTTCATGATTTCTAAACCAGCAATGGGGGTAACTATCCCAAAATAGCGGTATTTCGAGATCGCTTCCTTCTCAGATTAATTTTTTTGGGAGAGGTCTCCGAAAACTGGGCAGGAGATTGAACATCTGATAGGACTGGTGGTGGTTGGAGATGGATAACATAAGTTATTGAGTTTGTGGGGGATGGGCAAGCCGAAGCTGGTGTGTTTAAGAATCTGTGGCTTCTCAAGGTTTTGAGAGGGATCAAACATGGAGGGATATATCAACAATGGGGATTTCATCAGCCCCAGAGGCCCCAGGTGTGTGTGAAACAAACGGGTTCATGTGGGTTTTTCTTGAAACCAGTTGTTTTTGACGGCATGATACATGATATACATGGGTGGAGGAGCAGGAAGCAGCTATTTCCAGATAAATGCAGATAGCCTTCGGCAATCAACCATAGCTGGCTAGGAAATCCCCTATAACTGGACGTTTTAACATCTATAAATAAGGGATTTTCCAATGCCATTTTTAATGAGGGTACAAATCCCAGGGCAGACTTGTGACCGTAGGTCAGTCTCACATGTTGAGATGGGGAGAGAGAGAGACTTGCGACCCAAGTCGGAACATCCACAATTAAATACTGCTGTCATGGTCCTTGAATGTGCATCCAAGTTAACAGTTGGCCAATGACCCAAAGATGGTGATAGCCCCCAAAAAAGATAGACACGTTTTCCAGGATGCTATATATATATATTTATTCATGATGGTTTCCACCAATTTCAAGTTGGTTTCCAATATATTTTCTATCTATGACTAGGAGTTGCTATGACTGGTAGTTGACCACCAACTGATATTCAACATGATGACTTTTCTCTATTGACACCGTAGATTTCAGATCTCGGGCCCGAAACGCACCGCGTGTGGACCGTGTGGACCGTGTGGACCGTGTGGACCTCTTACCGAGCCGAGGTGTGTTGGAAAAGCTGATCCGTGATCGCTTCAAGTTCACCAACGTGCTCATCTTCACAGGCGACCTCTCCTTCCAGGACGACCGTTGGGGGTGCAGGGAAATGATGTGCTATTTAGGAAGGAACACCCCAAGTACAACCCTCTGGTAAACTCACATGGCTATGGAACATGGCCATTTATAGTGGATTTACCCATTAAAAATGGTGATTTTCCATAGTTATGGTAGTTTACCAGTGGGTAACCATTTACCAACTGTACGAATCACCCCCCTAGAATGATTGAAGGAGCGCTCTCGGGTGGAGAACAGGTTCCAGACCGATCCCACGTGCCAAGTCTTGCTGATCACGTTGCAGCTACTGGGCTGCAGGGGCCGACACAATGGATGTGGTGTTGAAGCATGGTGTGAATCCATCATCCATTGTTACTCGGATTGCATTTTTCCATGGAAGTATCATCAGCACACACACACACACGCACAGATAGATAGATAGATAGATAGATAGATAGATAGATAGATTAGATTAGATTAGATTAGATTAGATTAGATAGATTAGATAGATAAGATAGATTCGATTCGATTAGATTAGATTAGACTAGATTAGATAAGATAAGATAGATAAGATAGGTAAGATAGATTAGATTAGATTAGATTAGATAGATAGATAGATAGATAGATATATAGATAGATAGAAGGATAGAGTAGGATAGGATAAGATAAGATAGATAGAGAGGGTTGATTAGATTAGATTAGATTAGATTAGATTAGATAGATTAGATAGATAAGATAGATAAGATAGATTAGATTAGATTAGATTAGATTAGGTAGATAGATAAATAGATAGGTAGATAGGTAGATAGGTATATAATATAAAATTGTCAGTGAACTAGGGTTTTTACACCCAATTTCGAGGGAAACTTGCAGGAAATTCCTGGATTTGACCCGAGTTTCTCTTTCAATGTTCTTTTTGTAAACCAGCCATGGGAGTCCATTTTCATTGGTGAACCATTTCCCCTTTTCCTCTGACCTCCCTTCAAAGCTCCCCACCACCTGTTGGGTCGCCTTCCGAGGTGTGGAGGAATTGGCTTGAACCTGACGGCCGCCAACCACGTGATCCACTTTGATCGCTGCTACAACCCGGCAAAGGAAGCGCAGGCTGTGGCCAAGGGGTGGGGAAATGCTGGGAAAAGGTGGGTCTTAACCTCCCGTGGGAATCCAGCGCGGGCTGGGTCAGGCTGGCACTAAGAACATGGAACGCCATCTCGATGTTCGATGATCAGGTATGGTTGTTTAAAGGCTTGGAAACGCGTGGCCACAGATTTCCAGCTTCAGACTTGGACCATAGCTGCCATAGCTATTCCTTTCGCACGGCAGTAGAGGTCATATTTTCCTTGTCAGGTGAACAGCTAGTTTCTGCAAGAACTTGAACATCAATGGATTGGTTTAAGGGAAAATTTACATGAAACCCCCATATTTAATGGTAAAAACCATGGTTTCCGGTTAAGATTTTTCCCAACAAACCAATCCATTGAGAACAGAATTCTTCACGATTCTCGCCTACAATTTCCCCACAGTTCGTAGCTCCTGGAAAGCCAACGAGAAGTGATGGAAAATTCAGCAGAAACTCCGCCACGCCGAAGGCCACCGATCGATGCCACCGTTTGGGGCAGAAGCGTTCTGCTACTGGGGCGTTGTCTGTCAGTGGTGCTTGGAGAATTAATACATACGATTTCTATAATCATATGGATGTGGGTCAAAATGGAAGACCTAGGGGACCACAGATGTTAGTCTAGTTTAGTATTAACCATCCAATTATTGGGGTGCCTAATTTTGACCCATACCCATATTATTATCATGATATTGATATAGCTATTATTCACAATGTGGCACACCCTGGCAGCCATAAACTATCCCCGAAATCACCATGTTTTGCCATGGTGCCGTAGGCTTCATGGCAACAACCTCGCCGATTTCCCAGTAGTTTGATAATTTTAGCTAGGCACAATGCTGGAATTGCCTAGAATATTTGGACATAGCAACCTCCAGAGAGATCGAAACGAAGACATTTGACCATAATCTACCACTCTTTTCCTTCTCAGGATGTTGCTGCAATTCTATCTCCTTGGGGCTTACCACTGCCAGGGCATCAGCTGAGGTCTGTGTCCATCGGCTGATCACTGAAGGAACCTACGAGGAGCAGCTGGAGAAGATCATGGCACGGAAGCAAGACCTGTCCTCTCTGACGGTCCGGTCCCGGGCGGTTCCGGGGAGGGCTCAGTAAAGGGCGGGTGAAAAGGATGAGGTCGGGGGATGATCATCGCAATGTAGTAATGATATGTCTGATATGTAATGATCATCGTAGTCATCGTATGTAGTGATCATGATTGGTGATGATGGTCCAATGGTGATGATGGTCATGGCAAGTGGCAGCTTGGGGGTTTATGGATTGAGGAGCTTGAGGTGGAGTGTAGAGTGTAGAGAAGTTCATGGCTCAGTGGTTTCCACATCTTCCGCTGGATGAGAGATGCATTGTACCCCTTCATGACTCCATAACCATATATAGTACAACATACCCAAGATGCGAATGGGTAGTGATTGAAGACATTGATAGTTGTGGTTGTGACCATCTGCCCGTTGTTGCTTAAGCCCATATAATCATTGGATTGGTAAAAGGGGAACATTTACAGAACCCCCCCCCATTTTCTCATGGTAAAAACCATGGTTTCCGGTTAAGATTTTCCCAACCAAACCAGTCCATGCGCCCGCAGGTGACAAGGGCAGAAGATTGGATCGCAGACTATGATGACGAGGCCGGAAGCTGATGCATGGGTAAAGGACAGTGCAGTAGATTGTTGAGGGCTGCACTGAAATATGTTTCTTTGGGGGATGATTTCCAAGATTTCGGAGAGGATGTCGCAGGGTGCCTCGAAAAATGGAACCTCCCAGGGAAACATTGAAATGTCCTTTAGCCAAAACGTTCACCAGTCCACCTGTGGCTTACTCACTGATATCTCAAGTTGCGGTTGTAATTAGCAATGTACGCTGAGGAGCGACCGCAGCATCTCAGCCCCAACACCCCGAGCGTCAGATTCTATCTACTAGATTTGACGGTATGGTATGGGGGCCTCACCCAATCCCATAGGATCCATGTATGGTATATATGGTAACATTTGGGGTATATTGATGGTAACTGTTACCATATATAGCATACATGGATTCTGTGGGAATGTGACCCGGCAAATCAGCTGGAGAATCGTGCCGAAGCAGGTTCGAACCATCCATCTGCATCCAAGGCCTTGTTTGACCTCTTCATGCTGCGCACCGGCAGCGCGCGCCGCCAAAATGCTCCACTGCAGACACCACCTAGGAGCCCTGGTTGAACTTGAGGGAGTTCCAGTCGCAAATCATTACCTTTTTGGATCTTTTGTTTTCACAAAGTGCTTCAACACAAAACCATTAGAGCCCGCGATAGTAGAGATATGAGCCTAAGGCTAAAATCACTCATTTCGCATTTCTGGGCTTGATACTCGATAAGTAATAAATACTGCGATAAAATCCGCAAATAGATGCCTGTCATATGATCCTCCAAAATGATTAGAGTAGATTCGATCCAATATTAGCCCAGGGTTTTTAGGGGGGTGTTCAATATAGTGGGACAACATTTGTCTCAATCACCAATTCAATGTGATTCAAGCACCAGAAATGCATATTTCATTTGAACACATAGTCTCCGTGAAAATCAGCAAATCCTTTGAACAGATTTGAACAGTATATGCTACATACACCCCATTATCTCGCATTATGTTCCCATCATTCTTGATTCGATACCCCCAGTTGACTTAACTCATCATTGATATCAATAGAAAATGTGTAAGGGAACATTTACAGGCCTCATATTTCGTTTCCACAGTTTGCAGATGTTCCCATTGAACCAATGATGCCCCAGGGCCCCGGCCATCGCTGCGCATGCCACGATGTCGGCACCCAAGCGACTCGCCCCCACGACCACGTCGCCGGCCAAGAAGCCGCGAGGCGCAGCAACGGCCAAGGGGTGAGCCGCTGAGCCCCGGGGGTTTCACTCAAAACTTGGGGAAAGGATTCAAACATCGACGAAACATGATGAACAAGGTTGATGTTATCAAATTTCTGGACGAAGAATGGGGACATATCTTGAATATTCATATATATATGAATATATTGATTTACCGGGACAATTTTGATTTACCGGGACAATTGGGATTTAGCTGTGGAAGGTGGGTGTTGTCCCCCGAAGCAAATGTGCCACTCTGCCAGTCACCAGCGATCACTGACGCCACATATCCCCGAGGTTCACTTGAACGCACGTCCGAAAATTCCACTGTGAATGGGGGTATATACTGTAACCACGACTTTAAAAAACACGTTTTCCACATTAAGTCCACGAATATTGAGATTTAAGCAACGCAATATGGTTAAAAGGGTTGGACACACATTTTATAGGGATTTTGCTGCCAACCATGTTAGAATTGCAATCAATTTCTCACGGGGGTGCAAGCCAAGAATTGCTGAGCTACCAGGGGTTGCTGGGGGGATATTCATGAATGTCAGCTACCTTCTTCAACAAAATGGTCAGTTGTGTGGGAACACGTTCCACCCGATCAACATTGGAATCTAACCAAGACAAGTTGGAGTGTAAGGAGTGCAATGAGGAAGTTCGGAAGCAAGAAAGAGGAACTCGCAAGGAACTAGGGGTATTTGACCGTTTCTACATGGTCAGTTGCCAATTAAGATCTAATACGGACTGGATCCATCAAAGCCGGGTTATGGCTACCAACCATATTTAAACGGTTGGAATCTCACCTGGGAAGCGATTTTTCGAGTGTTATATACAGGGCTTGGCATCCTCGGCTCAGGAAAATGATGCCAGGCGCTGTGGATGGCATGGGGCATGTTCTGAGTGCGAAGGTGTGTCCTGGCACAGCGAAGAACTTGTGTAGACCGAAGCAAGGCTGCAAAAAAGGCCGGTGAACCAAACCGAACCTCCTATGCTTTCAGAATGTCCCAGCCTCAGACCGAAGCTCGTAGTGGCCTGACTCTTCCATGCAGCCTTGTGTTGGGTGGTTTTAGATTAGATCTTTTAGGGCGCGTTAGACTTCGGGAGCTTCCAATGCTGTTGGAAAGTGCCAGAGATGTGTCATTTGCTGAGGGGCTTTGTTGCCGCTTTTCCGAATGCACGCGTTGGAAATGTGCGCATATGTGCACCACATGGTGCCTGGGTGTTCAAGTAGCTGTTTGTGGTTGGTGCTTTCCGTTGCTTCTATCCCTGATTGGCCAAAGGTCTCTATTAACAAACCGGTTGCCACAGGCCTAACGCCCTTCCTGCTTGTGTTGGTTCTTGGACATTTGTACCCATTTTTGGGCCCATTTTTGTCCGATCAAATGGGTTTGTCTGAAAATAGGACACCTCCAAAATCCCTATCATTTTCTCTATTACAACTGCGGGTCAGGTACTACCACATCATCATTTATGGACCCCTTCCATCATCGGAAGCACCGGTCGGCGCGGGAAGACTCACATGGAACCTGCCTCCCAGCAGCCCGTGACTCTGCAACTTGATATGAATGGGGTCACCATGCGAACAGGGCCGAACAGGGCCGAACAGGGCCTATCAATGTCTGTGATCTAGGATAATTATTCAACATGACATATATATATATATATATAATTATATAATTATATATATATATATAATCTTTCATTGTGGTTGGATGACCGGCCCCAATGTGTATGGTCTTCCGACCATTGGATACCAGTGGCTTTTATTGGGGCCAGACTTTGTGGCCTAGTGGATGCAACTATGAGGTTCAACTACGAACCCTGGGGATCCAGCAAAGACTGGAGATATAGTGACTGTATACAGTAGCTAGATGTAACTAGTAATCAGCCAGCCGACTCTGGTGACTCTGGCTCTACTAAAATATGGCGTTGGGATTTCATTGGCACAAATATGGCTACAAGAAACAAACAATGGGAAGATTAGGCAACACACATGACTAATATATGGAGATGTGGCCGGGCCAACCCAGCAGAACCTCCCAAGAACTAGATGGTTTGGGTTTGAGTGCGGAGCTGATGGGGGCGGGCCTTGAAACATCCTGGTCAAATTGAAGTGGCAAAACTTTGGGGACTGAAACCTATATAAATACATGGCTCATACAGGAACAGGGCTACCCCTGACCACTGATACAGTATAATTCTGCATTTCTGGTTTGGCCTGCGGGCAGTGAGGCCTTTTTTTTTGGTCTGCGGGCTGTGAAGTGATTTGACCAGATATGGACAATTCAAGCTGCGGCTTTTCCAATTCCAAGTCCATTGGTCCGGTCCATGACCATCAAGCCAGATGGGCGCGACATCGGTTGCCGACGGCCAACGTCGGTGAGGGGGCGTCCGGAAGTGACGAAAAAGCTGTTTGGGAAGACCATTTCGGTGCCCAAGGGAGGCAGGTTGCAGTTTTGGAGGTTAACTGTGTCCAAGATGATTTGATTTGGAGGGTCTCAAAGTCAAACCAGATGAGCAGATTTGCTGGGGTTCAGACAGGCATTGGCCCCAATTTCCAGCAAATTGCAGCTTGTGTGGGCGGAGAAGCTTGGCTCAAAGCCAGTGTTTCCCAGTGCATTCTCAGTGGCCTCGGAACCTGACCCTACCAGCAAGGATTCAGATGCGAAACATATCCATCATCGCAACCCCGGATTAGTCAGCCCTGGTCAATTGAGGAGGTGACCTTCTTCATTTGGGCAGCCAGGTGAAGAGTCTGAACTTGAAGCCATTGGGGAACTTTTGATGCACGTTCTAACCAAAGATGGTCCGAACTTTACTTTCTGGTGCGTTGTACGCGGGGAATTTTCGGGAATGATCCATTGGCTCACTAATAATAATATGTAATCATCATCCCAGCAACCCCCAGCAACCCATCCAGCAACCCTACTTCAAACGCACCAGTAAGTTTTAATGAAAACCATATGGATTTCCCCACGACTTAGCCAGTGCTTACCGAGTCACGCTTAAGCTGCTTCCCGCCATGGAATCCACCGAGCGGTGGCGCTGTCGTAGGGGCCTTATTCTTATTTTTCTTCTTATTATCATTATCATTATATCATTATATCATTATCATTATCATTATCATTATATTATTATTATTATTACTATTATTATTATTATTGTTGTTGTTGTTGTTATTATATCATATATACACATAGTGCATGTGTGTGTGTATAAGAGTTCTGCATAGAGAAGCTCGTAGGTACAGACAGCGACATCCGCTCTTGGTGCTCCTCCCCTTCAGACTGCCGCCCCGAGGCTGAGTCCATGCACCGAGGGTGCGCCTTGCTCTGGTGTCTCTTGATCTGCACTGGGCAAGCCACCGAACTAGGGCAGCGACGGGTGGTGAAAATGCTAAATCTATCAATCCAAGCTACGCCTCAAGATTGGGGTTAGGTATCATCTCATGGCTTAAGTCCCATCCACTTCCCATTTTTCGAGAGTTCCATCCAACCTCTTGACAGTTTTTTTTTTTATGAGTTCAACTGAGTTCCAGCATCATTTTCGATACTTCACCAGCCAGTTTCGCTCTGGCCAAGGGGTCAGCCCGTGTTTTCGATATACATAACCAAACTATAGACTTCACCAGGATTCTGAGGATTCTTTTTGGTTCAACCGGTGGATCTCCCGATGTTCTCAGCCGAAAAAACGGGAGGTGCCTGCGCCTGGCTGCCGCGGGGCCATCCGGTGGAGGAGGTGGTGGGCGTTTGGAGGGAGCCCCCCAGCCAGGTGCCGGGCAAAGGAGACCCGGCCGTGGGGATCTCCGTGGGTTCGAACCATCAAGATGAATGTTTTTTTTTCCCCTCATGGATGGAAAAATATGGAAAAATATGGATGAATCTGAATTTGGTGAAGTTACAAGTTTTTCATCTTGAAGTGAGTTGATGTTAAGATTGGACTATGAAGATGTTAGGATAATTGGCGTTGAAATGGATTTCAATGGGGTATCCATGGTCAGGTTAGTTGCATTTAAACCATTAACTATGCATAGGGATTTCACGGGACACTCATGGTGATACAGTGGGGAAACTAGGATCAAGAGCTCGCTTATATGATTGCATTTATAGTTGGGTAGTAGTTGAAAGATGCACATACAGAATATACACACATAGATGAAAAAATAGTTTGGTAAGTTACATAGTGATTAGTCCATAAATTGATGGGGAGCAATATGCTACGCAGTAGATATATGTTTTTGATAGCCAGGAACAGTTATGTAAGTTGCCAGGTTTACCCATGGTAAAGTTATTGAGCATCCCGCTACCCACTACGTAATTTCTATCAAAGTCTTGCACCCACCAAGAAGAGAGAACGGTTGGACACTTGGAAATCGTGGGGAAGACATGATCTATAACATGCTGGAAATTACCAGATACAGATAGATCAAGGGGAATTCCAGGACCCTAAAATGGAGGTACTGTACCATATGAGGCCATATTTTGCTGGGATATTCCCTTACATAGGCCTTATATAGGCCTTATATATGGTAGGTACCTCCAATTTAGGTTCCTGGAAATGGCCATTGAATAGATCCAGTATGTGTTCAGCATATACGACTTATAATGACTTCTACTGGTTGGTGGTTTGGAATATTTTTTTCCCATATATTGGGAATGTCATCATCCCAACTGACGTTCATATTTTTTCAGAGGGGTAGGTCAACCACCAACCAGTATATATATATATACATTCAATACAAGGCATAGTATAGTTGCCGATGACTTATTCGTTGATCTGCGCGTCGCGCACGGGTCCGGCACGGGTCTTTGATGGCTCCTGAGGAGTTCCAGATGGGCCTTTGATAGGCGGATGGGCCTGTGGGATGTGCCTGGGATGGGCTTTACTGGTGCGGCAGCATTCTTTCAAGTCTGGGATAGTGAAAATTCTTGACAGAAAGATTGCAAGATTGCCTTCAGAACGGATTTCAGAACCTGAATCACGATAAGCCAATTCGGGTGCTTTCGTGGCCTTCGTTTTTGGTGGGTGGGCTTGTTCCGCATTAGGTGTTGTGACATTTCATTTGGCGCCGTATCTCCCGAATTTTCATGGATGCCCTCACCATTTTAGGACAGCCGCAGGCAATGGTCAGCTTGGGGGAGCTTTTGGGTGGCATGTCGAAGATGCGCCAGATGGCTGCAACCGAGGCTCCCAAAGCCCCCAGATTTTTCAGGCTCATCAGAGTAACTGCTGGATCCAGAAGTACTGAACATGACCAACTGTACTGGCGATGTTTGTCTGTTTGTCCCTGCAATTTTATAGCCTTTCCATAGGACTTTTGCATGGTTTCATCACAATTTTCACAGAATTTCAAGTGAAGCCTGTCCCCTACCATACCTCAAATCTGGAGCTCACCCCAAAATGACCCAACTGAACCCATGGTTTCAGCCAGTTTCAACCAGTTTCAGCCCTAAATTCTGACGCCGAGGCTGGAGGTGGACCTTTACCTGGGCCACAACGGTTTCTTCGCCGCACCCAGCGCTGGGGCCAGCAGCTGCGGCTACTCCCCGGGAGGACGCAAGGTGGGGGAGGAGGAACCAAGGACAATCCTGAGGGGATAGATGTCTATCTGTATATTGTATGTGTATATAAATATAAATAAATAGATAAACATAAATATGATATATATATATATAAATATATTTTCTCATCTATTTCATGTTTCCACCTATCACCACATTACTAAATGCATGCACATCATATACAATATCTACATATAGTTCCATTTTTTTTGGCACTGGTGGCTTGGGTACCAAGAGGCAAATGGAGGCAGATGATGATATGTGGTATACCGACCCCAAACCATTTTGTCCCTGCAGATGGGCACGATTGCTGCTTTCAAAACTAGTTTAGATGAAGGGACAAGTTGCAGGAAACCAGGGTTCATTCTCAAAGTGTAGGGGGTTCCTGAACTTTGTCTCCTTCAGGAAGGAAACTCGCACAGGTTGGGTTTATGTTTTTTTTGATTCCATCTAAAGGACATTTTCTAACCCCATGTAAATTTGGAAAAGTCTGCCATAACTAACCCTCCGGGGCCCTTGCGACTACCATGGGGTGTGGTCAGGCATTGGCAGGGTTGACTCTGAAGCACCTGGGCAGATGGCGTGGGAACTGCCGTCGTGGATGTGATGGAAATACGACGGGAATATGATGGGAATATCATAAGGTAAATAGGGATTGCAATGCGGATATTGACGAATACACGCTCGAATGATCGATTCCCCTACTATTAGGGCGGATGATATCATATTACAATGCATGTGCTTTGTAAGTGTCACAATTCTACATGTAGCCATCATCAAAAAACGTGGAGGTCTTGCATGCAAAATATGGTCAAACAGTCAAACATATCCTCCGGCAATCAAAGGTAGCAATTGAAAATCCTAGATAAATCTTGTTATAATTGGGAAATCATCGAACTAAATTGTGGGTTTTTCATTGCCATGTTTGATTACCAGAGGGTGCTTTTGGTCATAACCACCTATCCATCGGATGCCCCGAGGTTTGCTGGGAGTCCTTCAGTCCTGGTGGCGCGACAGCTGGCTGCAAACGGCACAGTGCAGTTGCAACTGTCCGGGTGCGCCTGGGCCGTTGGGAGAGGGTGGAGCGTTTATTTGGGAAAAGGTGCTTAATGTCAACCCTTGACTCTACTAAACCCCTGGGTTGCCTAATTGGGGGGGTGCCATTTTTAGTACGTAATGATTACTGTATCTTTTTTTTGGGGGTTGGGAACCTCACCTCGACGATAGGATTGCCTCCCCAGTTGCACGTTGCACCAGCGGGCGGGGATTTGGCCCACAATTTCCGAGGGCTTTCAGCCACTTCAAGCTCTGAAAATGGTAGGCGTTGACCCATTCCATCACCTCCCCGCTTGTTTTGGTGACAGTAAATTTCAGTGTTTGTTGCTCAAACCCACCACTTTAGGTTGAACAAGCAGGCATTCATCAGCACCCACCACTTTTTAATGGAAAGAGGTTGATTTCTGCTTAGTTCGCGACAAGCCTGGCCAAAACAGTCCTGGCAAGGTCGCAGTCTGGCGAGCTGACCCTGAGTGGCTCGTCAAGTGCGAAGCATTCGCTGCGGCCGAGGGCGGGTAGTGTGGTAGCATAGGGCCAAGTACTAGTGACTAGTGCTTGGCAAGGGATTTCCAACGGAGTAGCCCGCAATGCGGCAAGAAGCCAAGGCTTAAACTCTTAAACAGATTCTTGGTATTGACCTGGGGTGCAGGAGCCCATTTGGCACATAGCAACCCAGTCTTTTGATAGAAATCCATAAGGGGAGTACCAGATACCAAAGCAGCAGAGGCAGCTTCTTTGTTTGAAGAGAATGGTGATGGCTTCTTTTAAGAAGGGGGAGGCTTTGCAGAAGGGAGGAAGAAATACAAAGGGGCTTATTCAACAAAGGTGGGTGACTGTTTCAATCGGGCAGGAGCTTGCTGAAAAAAGGACGCACCCCTCTTCCCTTTTCGTTTAAGAGACACCTTTGTTTAATTTGGGTCAAGCTAGTGTGGTTTGGTATCGTATGGAGAACCAACAGGAATTCTTCATTACTTCCCCTAGATATATCCATATGGAGGTTTCCTGAAATGGGGGTACCGCTGTAGTGCTGGCTATAGTTATCATCCATTTGTAGATGGGATTTTTCATAAACCAACCAGCTATTGGGGTACCCCCATGACTATGGAACCCCCCATATACGACTGGCCTACTATGAAACACTATCATCCCATTAAATGAGAGAGAAATATCTATGGGTTCATTTGATGGCGTCATCTGAATGGTAACTCATATGAACATCATGGGATTTTCATTTTTTTAATGGGATACCCTCTGGTTATGTCAAAATAGCCATAGCTATTGAAAATGGCCATAGAAATAGTGGATTTACCCATTAAAAATGGTGATTTCCCATAGTTTTTTGTGTGTTTACCAGAGGGTAAACCATCTACCAACTGGTGCAGGATTTCGCAACCAGCGTTGAGGCGCCTTTATCCACGCCCTGGAGGATGTGGTGCTGTTGGAGTTGCAGGGCGACGCTGGTGAGGCGGGTGGGGAGCCCATTGACTCACAATATCATGGGAGAATGGATGTTGAATGGGATTCTTACCCTCTGGTAAACTAACACAACTATGGAAGATCACCATTTTTAATGGGTAAATCCACTATAAATGGCCATTTTCAATAGCTATTTTGACATAACCAGAGGGAAATGGGAGAGTTCACGGCATGCTTAATGGGATTCTGATTGACTTTGAATGGATTTTGATGGACTTTGAATGGATTTTGGGTTGGTGGATTGAAATGTTCGTTATTCTCAAGCCCATTTGACAGGATACTGGTTTCAATCAGTTTGAACATGTTTGAACAGTATCTCGCCAAATTATGGCAAGAAACAGCAAGGCAGGGCAGAATCAGTTATCACCCAAGAAGTTTTGAAGAAGGAATGTTAACCCCGGATTAATAAACCATGGTGTATTAACTAGGGGGGTACTCCTCCAATAGTCATAATCTGATACTTAAATGGTACCCGGTACCCTCCCAATTAAACAGCCGTTTGGGGTTTATTACTCCAGGGTTGACATTATGCTAAGATCCCCAAGAACCCATTTTTTCAGATGGCTTGTTTTGCTGGGTCGGACCCATGGGACCCAAAGCACCCAAAATTGGCTGCTGGTATGGCTGGTTGAGGTGTGCCATGGTGATCTCAAGCGTGCCAAAATCTGCCCAAGGATGGCTAAAATGCGACATCACTGCAGTCCTTAACTCATGATATCTCGTGATAAATCATCACATGAAGACACCATCTGCCAATTGGATTACATGAACGCGAACATTTACATGAACCCTCTACTCACTGCAAACATGATGGTTTCCTGTGGCTCTTTCCCCTCTTGAATCAATGCAATCAGTAGTCCACAGCAAACTCGATAACTGGGTTTTGGTATGTTCCACTATTATCGATCGTTAGATTCGCACAATATTCCGGATGATATTTTATTGAACCCCACAACATATCTTATTGCTGCTATTCGTATTTACTCTCCACTAACCTGCTACGGGAATAGTTGAAAACTTAATCCTCCACTATCGCAAGGTTGAAAACATATTCTTTAATGATCAACTGACTTATACAGTTTAGGGTCAGTTTTTGGACCTTGTATATGTCGTATGTTGGTGTGTAGTAAGTCCCAGACGTCTTCCTATTACAACTCTCCGGTGGTGCTTAGGAAGGAGTGGTTCGGAGCGACGCATTGAGTTTCCCAAGCTGAGTCAGAATCACTGTCAGAATCTATTTTTTAATGTATTGATAGGATCTATTATCATAATATAATATATACATATATAATATAATCACCATCATATATAATATAATCACTATAATATAATCATAATATAATATTATCAATCACTATATCATAATATATAATATAATATAGAATATAATATAATCACTATAATATTATGGTATGACAATATTTTAACACTATAATATTTAAAAAACTATGGTATGATAATCCTCCACCTGCACCGATCCATCGATCTCAGGTGGAGGTGACTTTGTGGACCTTCTCCGGGTGCCATGGCCCACCGCGGCCACCTGTCTCACCCAGCACGCCGGTGCCGGAGGCCCCCCTTTGGGGGTTGGAAAACCCACGTGTCTTGTGGAAACTATGGGGGCGATTCGATGGGAACTACTGTGGATGGGAACTACTGTGGAATGGTTGCGAAATCTTGCACCAGTCAATAGGTGGTTTATCCCATTATTTCTAGGCTTTCTACCATCCCAGGTGGCGCAGGATTTCGCAACCATCCACAGTAGGGGCAATGATCCAGGTTCCCAATAAGAAGGGATTCCTGGATTCCTTATGAAAATTTGGGCAAAAAGAGAGCAGCTAAGAGTTTCGCTGCTCCATGATAAGACATTCAAACAACGAATCTGTGGATCGAAGCCTCCAAAATTAGGATTGAAGCCAAACAGTTTGGATTTGACTATAGAATATAGAGGAGATCTGATATCAACCAACAAAATATAGAGGAGGATGAATCCCCGACATGACGTTTCGGTCTTGGTGACTGGATCATGGGGCCCATCAGCCCTCGGTTGCCTCATGCAGGGCGGGCTGCCAGTGTCCAAGACCACTGGCCCCACCAGCGATCGGCTGCCGTCGCAGATGGTGGCAGGGCCTCAAACGCTGCAGGTGATGCGCGGCAATGGCTGGCCCTTCCAGGTGATTCAAGGGGAGGGGTGGATAGGGGAGACAGCCATTTTTTGACCTGGCAAAAACTAAGAGGTTTAGTTTTTTTTTTGGTTGATAGATTTTCGATGATTGATGTGGGATGTGGCGTTTTTTTACCTACAAGAACCTGGAGTTGAATGGTAATGAAATCGGGGTGTAGCCAGCAAAGATGTGGATTTGCGAATGGGGTTTCAATGTAAAATTGGGGCTTCAAGCAGCAACGCCTGGGCTCCGAACCAAGTGTACCATAGGTTTTAATTGTCCTGATTTTGGAAGTGGATAAGCCCAAAATCAGGTGACGCCCGAAGCAGGATAGTCTTCGTCACTTTTGCAGGATAGTCATCCAGTTTCTAGGCTCAGGGCATTTGAGAATTTCTCCCAGTGACCAGTCTCCCCTGAGCTCCCCAGCTTCAGAGAGGCGGCACACTTCCCCGTGCGCTGGCTGCTAGGCTGCGGCTTTTTGAGGAGATCTCTGTTGGTCCAAGAATGTAAAAATGAATTTGGGAAGAGGATGATCCCTCGGAGAATCGCCAACTTGGGGTTCCATGATGAATTGCGACAATCCCATCTCTGTCTATTTTCCAGGGGGGAATTCCGAGCTTGCTGCCTGATTTGTGATGCATGCCTGATAACCTAACAGTGCAACTTCGAATGTTCCAGTGGGTGCGAGGCATAGAGAGCAATCATCACCATGCTTTTCCCCAACAGCAAAACTTCGCTGTGGGGTCTTTAGCCCAGATTAGCTCCGGTGCGATCCGGAGCAGCTTCAACCCCAGGTTCCGGACAAGGTTCATTCCGGTGCAAATACCTGGTGAGGTTCTGGAGGGTTCCGGTGCAGATACCTGGTGAGGTTCCGGAAGGTTCGGGTGAAGGGTTCCGGTGCAGATACATGGTGAGGTTCCGGAAGGTTCGGGTGAAGGGTTCCGGTGCAGATACATGGTGAGGTTCCGGAGGGTTCCGGTGCAGATAGCCGGTGAGGTTCCGGAGGGTTCCGGTGCAGATACCTCGTGCGGTTCCGAAGGGTTCCGGTGCATATGCTTTGTGAAGTTCCAAAGGGTTCCGATGTTTTTTAATGGCGGCATAAGCACTCAATTCTCAAACAGCAAAACTTAGTTTTGTACATGGTCTTCAGCCCACACTAGCTCTGGTGAGATCCGGTGCAGCTTCCACGCGTGGTTCCGGAGAAGCTTCCATGTCCACATCAGGTTATCCAAATTGTGTTCTGCCAGGTTCCGGTGCAGTATCCAAAGGTTCCGGAAGGAACCGGCGTGTGGTATTGGAAAAAGTGCTGAAATTATGATGCAGTTGGGGATGGCAGTTTATTTTTTCTCCCCCACATTCCCACGGTACAATGTCCAGGAAATATCCCAGACTTCCCATGTGGGTATGGATCAATACCTATTAATACCATTTTTAGTGGGATGAACATCCATTTACCAGCTATTTTGATGTTCACCAGGGGTACAAGGTTTTGACACACTGCCATGTGGGTCTAAAAAAGAAAAACACTCAGTAAAATGTTCAGGAAATGTCTGAAAATAGGCTACCTCCATTCCAGCCCATGGTTTTGACACACATTTTTTTTGGGGGTATACGGCGTATACTGTATGCCCCAGGGAGAAAGCCCTGAGGTTCGGCCTCACGGGGAGCATTCGGAATGAAGCCATGGAGAAGGGACAGTTTCATGAGGTCGAGGCTGGGGGTTGCCACTCCTTTTTTTCGGTAGCCAATGGTATGTAACTAGGTGAGTGGCTAGGTTAGTTATGGTTAGTTCAATGGTAAGTAACTGCCATTTTCTTCCTGATGGTCTGGGATATTATGCAATGGTAAGTAACTAAGTTATATAGTTCAAAATACGCGCCTCGCATTTGACCCTGCCCCAATGTTCTCGCATATGACCCTACCCCTGCTTTGCAGTAGAGTCGAATGTGAGCAAGAGGTGGTTTAGCTTGCGAACAAGAGGTCTCAAATTCTTTTTTGCCATGCACATTGACGTCATGCACACACTCACCCTGTGTGTAACTGTGCCGTTGTTGTGCGTCACCACCAATGTAGCTTGATCAAAGCAGGTTAGTTCAATGGTAAAAAATGCAATTTTCTTCCTGATGGTTCGGGATATTATGCAATGATAAGTAAAACCAGGTTAGTTCAATGTAGTTCACCCCCTGGAAACTGGGGGTTCGGAAGTGAAATGCAACTCACTTATGTGACGATTTCAACAATTGACACAGCCATACAGTTGCAACATCGACATCAACAGGGATCATCCCAAAACTTGGAAGGTCATCTCACTGACTGAGTAACTGTTTAAAACTGTTTTAAATGCAGTTAGCATGATTGCCAGTCATCAGGTCCAGTTTATAGGTCCAGCAGCCTTTGGTACATATGTTACATATCGCTAGTGTTTCCAATGAAAGATTGTAATTATCATCATTTTCTTTGCTTTCTTAGATGGGCCATGGACTTAGTTGACGGGATAGGTAAGTGGCTTACAACTCATCAATTATCATCAATTCCACCCAGCAGTTATTGTTGAAAGCAAACTATTTCACGAGGATGAGGGTACCATTATGTATATCCGATAATCCATCTAATTATCGATCTACCTATCTAATCCTACATATAAATATACATGTGTATATACATACACCTTACACATATTATATAGAATATATACATATATATATTTTGTATCTTTATTTAAATATCATATTCTACATCGACCGCGAGGCCATGGGCCGCTGTGGCCCGGAGCTCTTCCTTCGCGGCCCCTGTGCCCGCGGCACCTGGCGACCCTTTCAGCGGCTCGGGCATGGTGAAGTCAGGAGATGGCAATTTTTTTCGGCTGGAAATTCACCAAGGAACATGGTGATGGGAATAGGAGTCTTGGGAATACATGACTAAAGGTTTATAGTAAATGCGAAAGTTGGAGATGCATCCATATATTTGGAGCTATATAAAATAGTTGGTTTTGGTTTTGTTGCATGTTCCAGCAAGGGACAGGGCAGGCATTTGGTACCGTAAATCCCCCTCGTTTGGCTCCAATTAAACCTGGTTTCATCCAGTCCTGAGTATTAATATGTGTGGGTGTGTGCTGAATTCATCAGAAATACCATTTATATCCATTTATATCCATGTATAATAAGGAAACAGAATCACACTTGAGATTTGATGGGGATATTTTGACGGATAAATGATATGATATAATGGGACAAGTATTCTTAATGATTTTCAATGATCTTTACATATCTTGGTAATGTATGGTAATTCCTAATTAGATCTTTACATATTTTGCGCTTGATAAAGTATATCGGCAACCATTGACTGGCATTGTTTTTGGAATAAAGCCATCAATCATAATCTGGTATAAACGGTATAATCAGAATCTGGTTCCTTTCTGGATCTTTACAGTTCAAAGGTAGCAGAAACGAAACACCGATGATGATGATGATGATGATGATGATGATGATGAAGAAGATGATGATGATGATGGTGGTGATGATGCTGCTGCTGCTGGTGCTGGTGGTGGTTATGGTGGTGTTGTTGTTGGTGGTGATGACGACAATGACGACGACGGTTGGTTTCCAACAATTTGTGGAGATTCAATGTAGAGATGAAACATACCAAATTTGAAAAGTTTTTGTTTGATGTGTATGGATCCAGCTTGGCTTTGTCAGGGTATCCTCATTTTTGTTGGCTGTAAATCCCATTATATATCCCAGCATATCCCCATCATAGCTCTACATTCCCTACCCCTGGTAATTTAACATAGCTATGGATAATGTCCCATTTATATATAGAGGATTGCCAGAATTCAAATGGTGATTTTCAATTATATAGTGTTCTGGTTGAAATTTGAGGACCAGCCACCCCAGCCACCCCAGCTGAGGGGTCAAAGCTTGGCGATTCAGCTGAGCATCTGGCCCTTGCTGGACCAGCCCCAGTTGCTTGACCGAAGATCCTCGGGTCACCCGGGTCATCGAAGTTGGCAAGGGCGATTTCCCCAGCTTTTGGAGATGGCACTGGGAAAATTCATTTGAAGGTGTTAAATTTTAATGGCTGGAGTGCCGGAGGGTAGCTTCAACCGCGCTTTAATGGGCTTTCCCATTGACAACAGGATACCCATAGATGAAAGTCTAGAAACCAACCAACTGAGAGATGTTTGCACAATACCAACCGAAGGTTAATGACACATAGTAAAATCAAGGCGATTGAATTGCGAGGGCCTATTTTGAAAGTTATTCAACATGTGTTCCTCTTTCCTCCATCCCTGCCTGCTCTGAGGCTTCCTGAACTGTGGGGTGGCCCAAGGAATGGGGTTCTTCTCTGGTAGAAACATGGATTTAGAATCTCGGTGATCATATGTTGAAACCAGATGTTTGATAGAAAAAAACGACTTTGTCAAGGGGCAATAGGGGAGATCATTTAAACAAATTGGCAAATGGGCTGGTTACATATTTTCTATATATGGACAAATTTCTTCCGTGGCGCGTGTGGAGGATCCGAATGTGGTCTTAAAACGTTTGCCATTGCACTTGTGTGAACAAGAGGCTTCCTGGGAGCTGAAGAAACTTCCGAAATCAATCAATCATTTGCCACATCTAGCACCAAAAGCTGGCATCATAAGCTTTTGACCAATCCCCGCATACTTCCATATTTTCCATATAGTCCCATATGTAATCCCCGTATCATACCCCTTTTCGAAGGGTATCAGTTGACCATCCGTGCAGGGCCCCTCCTATTGGGACACTAAGGAAGCCGTTGCCACAACTGCGAGTGGCTTGGCACAGAAAAAAGAGGGGGGGAAGGCCCCAAAGGCCCCAAATGTCCAGCCAGAAGAAGCTTGGTAAACGGTGGAAATGGCCGAGATTTTCCCATTTTCGCCAGGATTTTTCGCCAGGATGTGCGGAAGTGAGTTCAGCGGCCGAGTGTACAACCATTGCTACCGTAGTCTCCATGCTACTTCTCCCTCAAGGGGATTGCCAGGGTGCTGCATCCTGAGCATTTGGCCCAAGTTTTTGTAACTGTCTTACGATCCCAAGCAAAGAAAACATACAGACATATGGTGATAAATGCACTGATACCTGCAATGGCAGTTCTGGCAAGTCACGGCCTCAATTACTTGAATGCGCAAAACGGGTAAACGGTAAACGGGTCTGTCATGGGCTGTTTACGAAAGCATTTATATATATATATATATATAGCTAGCCGACGGCGGCAAACGGTCAGAGAGAATTCTGTGGCATGGCGGTCGGAACTTGGCTGGAGCAGCTCAGAGTGGTATGGAGACGGGTTACTTTCTTCGAAGATTCCGCAGCTTGGCCAAAAAATGCAACAAAGTTGTCGTTTTTTAAGTGTTCACCATCTGATGTTTTTCTCTTTTTGCCGGGTTGGTTGGGTTTGCCGTGCTGGGCCGGAATGGAAAAAAATGGAATTTTCTTCCCAAGTGCCCTCTGATTTTCCGCCAGATTCATGGGAAGCAGCCTGAGGCAAGCTGGTCACTTCAGGCCTTCGGGTCCCACAGGTGCCTGTAGGTGAGTCAACCCTGCCGGCCCTGGCCTTCGGGGTTGGCTCTGCTTGGCTGGGCGACAAGGAGCAGCAGCAAAACTTGAAGCGTACGGTGCTGCAAGCGCTGGACACGGGCTTTCGGCACCTGGATTTGGCTGAAGCCTACCACAACTCCCACGTCGTGGGGGAGGCCGTCCAGGAGTGGTTGCAGAAGACGGGCTGCAGAAGAGAGGATCGGCTTTGTTTTTGCGTCCTGAGTTTGGTGAGAGTTTGCGGGCCTGAAACAAGAGAGAAAGCTGCCAATCTGCCAGATTAATGACGGCCTTGCAGTGTCAAAAACTTGTTGAATAAAAATGCAGAACATCCAGGGATTCTTCGGCCCTGATCACGGCAGGAGCTGTTCATTACGAACAAAGTCATCAGCTTGGACAGCGACATCGCCCAGGTCTGTGATCAGCTCTTGAAGGACTGCAGAGTCGACTACTTCGATCTGTCAATTGGCATGCAACCGGGCGAACTCACCTTCAACTGGAACCTTACCAGTCCCGCTATCCACGTCATCAAACATGTCAATGGGAAAATCCGAGTTCAACCATAAACCGCAGAAACCATCATACATGGATGTGCGGACATATATTAAAAAAAACATAAATACATAAATGCATAAATAGGCAAATGTGGATATACATGAATTCTTGAATACTTAAATACATGCAGTTACATGCACATATTGCAAATATGCAAGTAGAACTGCAAATACGTACAGTACACATACCTACACACAAAACAATCATATACATATACGTATATTATACATATACATATACATATATGATCATATATGTATATATTTATATATATGTATATACATGGTTATAAATCTGGGAATGAATGTAACTATGAATGCGTAGATAAAAACAAGTGAATACATACTGAATACATAAATAGATCATTCAGTCAATACATACGCGCAGCTATATATACAAATATATACATACATGTAAACAAAAATGTAAATATAAACATGAATATGAATATGAATATGAATAGATATGAATATAAATATAACTATAGATACGCATATAAATCTAAATCTAAAAAAATAAACATATCAATAAATAAATAGATAAATAAATTGATATGAATATAAATATAGATCAATGAATAAATATATAAATAGATAAATCATTAAATAAATAGATAGAGAGAGAGAGAGATATATATATATATACCTGGAAAACCGTATGGACATTTTTTTTGCACATTATGGGTTTTACCGGTAATGGACGTTTTTTTTGTTCAATTGCGTATTTTGATTTTTGATTGTGAAGGGTTTTTCAAGTCCTTTGACAACAATGGGTTCGGACATCCTCCGACAGTCTCCAAAAGAGGAATTTCAGCCTGAAGTGGAGCAAATTTGGAGTCGTGATCGGGTACCCAAATCTGGCCACAAATACTGCCATATTTCCCACCAAATTTGCATGTACCCATAAAATCTAGTATTTTTCCAACATTATGTTGAAAAAAAAACAGTAAGCAGATGTCAACATACTGCCCCAAATACTGTCTATAGACGAGATACTCATACTGTCGGAACCAGTCCGAGGAATCCAAGATTTCAGGAAAACTATTGACCTGTAAGTAGAGGGTTTGCAGCCGGACATGGCCGTATTTGGAAAAAAACGCAACAGACAAAAAAATGTCCAAACCCCTACGGACAGATAATTTTGTCTTTATGGTTTTCCAGGTATATATATATATAATTATATATATATATATACATATGCCCATGCAGTCACAACACGCCAACTCTTTTTTCTTCGTCCAGGCCTTCTCGGCCTTTCCGGCCGAAGCTCATCAGGTTCCTTGTGCATTGTGCCGTCTCGGAAGAGAACGAGCCGTTCGCCAAGCCGTTTCCCACGATGTGGGAAGAAATGATGCCGCCTGGCATGGAATGATTGGAGGATTGCCCAGGTATGAATGGCTATTCAATGGCTATTCATGGGATTTAACATATTTAAGCATGGATAGATATGGATAGCTTTCCTTTTTGGCACAGCAATGCTGTTCTACTCGCTGCGATGCCTGCGAAGTGATGCCATGAAAGTATATGAAAGTATTAGGTCGCCAACCAATTCAGCAGAAATGCGTTTTCACAACCATGGGCATGACTCATGTAATGACCTGTTAAGACCCAAACCTTTGAATTTCGTTTTGTGTTTCGAAAACCGTTTCATCAGACTCCTACCGTGGTACTGGATAGACTATAGCCATACGCCTGGATAGACTGGGCGTTTTTTCTCGTTGTTTTCGGGTGAAACCATCCATCAGCCCATCAGCCGGCAGAATCCAGGTCGCTCCAAGCTGCTGGCAAGGTGAAGGCAATTGGAGTGCCAGTGGTTGCAGAGTTGCAGGTGGACCCTGAGATTTTGGGTGTCTCCCCAAAAGGCATAAGATTTTTTTGGGGTATACTGTAATGTCAACCCTGGATGAATAAACCATGGTTTATGAAAAAAAAGGCGGGTACTCCTCCAATAGTCATTTCATCCAATACTTTTTGATGGTATCCTCCCAACTCAACAGCCGGGCTAGGGGTTTGTTAATGCAGGGTTGACATTACTATTTTCAGACCAGGCCTTGGCAAAGTTGGTGACCTGATAGCCGACCAAACCCCACAGCGCAGCAGCCTGTTGTGGAAGTAGTGTTCATCTCGGTGAAGAAGACTGGTGAGTTTATAAGTCCGCATTTTCCGGGGTTTATGCTACTAGTACTTACGACTGGGCTGCAACCCGGGTTGCTAAGTGTGCTTGACGACTATTGCAAGTGAGTGCGATCCAACGTGTTCTGAGCTCTGGGTTGGACCACCCTCAGAAAAGTGACCTTGCAATGAAGAGATGGCGAGCATACATTAAGTTCAAAGCTTTGAACCCATCATCAGTATCCCAAAGGCGCAACTTCAGAGTTGTATATCAAGTAAAAACGTTGTTCTTATAACATGGGTTGAACAAACCTAGACTAGACACACACACACACATATATATATATTCCATCATATGTGCTGGGTCTGCATCTAAATCATTTTCTTGCCCGCCATGGCCGAGGTGTCGAATTGGCGGATAGAAGAGCTCCAGAGCATCGAAGGTGCCGCCGTGCAGCCGGTGTGCAACCAGCTTGAGGTGCGGAACTGGTTTTCCCCTGAAGCAACGTGGAACACCAAGAATGTGTTCAAATGATAGGGAACAAACGGGCACTTTTTCCAACCCCCAATTTTTTTCTCTCTACTTCCAATGCCGGTCTTCCAAGACATCCTTCTTTTCCTCTCATTTTCACTCATTTCAATCCAACCTTGCCTTCCACCCACATGAGTTTGTCTGAAAGCACATGTGTACCCCCAAATCTTTGTCAGTTCCTCATCTTCCTCACCAAAAAAAGATATATAGCCATCAATTGGCGACCCTAACTCCAGGGTTGAGAGCTCCCAAAAACAGGTCCGTCTCCCGGCTAAGGCACATCCCCTGCTCCAGCAGAGAGGCTTGCGGGCCTATTGTGAGACGAAGCGAATCGACATCACTTGCTATGGGGCCCTGGCGCCCTTGTCGAGGAGAGGGAGGGGAAAGGAACTTGTGGTGAAAGATCACTGTGAAGTTGAAGGCATCAGGTATCATCAGGTCATCAGAAAAACACTGTTCCTATTATGATTTATCAATGTCAAAGATGATACGGGGAATTTCATGGAAATTCTAAATGCCAGACTAGGGCTGTTGTCAACGTCGGTTTAGGGATGCTGTCAGCTGTAAATTAGTCAGATGGGTCAAACAACATGCACCTCCATGAACATCCCATTTGTATCCAAGTAGCATCATCAACCCCTATCACAGTTATCATTCAAATCCGCTGACCCTTTTTAACATAGAACAACATGCAGACACATGGTTCAGTATCGCCATTGCTTCGGAGGTTAAAAAACTGGGAAGGGGATTCACTTTCCACTTATATACTTGGCATATACTTGGCATATAGTCAAAATAAGTTCAATAGGCCCCATTCTCGTAGCTTGTACGATGTTGTTTGCCCATTTTGGTGGATTAGGGAAGAGCTACAGGAAACCACGAACCAAACCAGCCCAACGAAACCGCATGGTTTTGCTGGGTACATCCAGATTATTGATGTATATTCCTTGAATTTCATGGAATTTCCAGCTCTTTGATGGGTGAAACCCATGAATTTCTAGAGGTGTTGCTGATTCTCATTCTTTTTCACAGGTGGATTTGCTTGGACATGAATCCCATGTTCACGCGCCACCTTTCGGGGGAATCTTAAGCACCGATAACCCCAGATGGGAGGCCGGATTTTGGGTATCTCTGTCAGTATTCCATGATGTCCCATTGCATCATCCCAGTTATATCCCGATCCAGCCCTATTACTGAATTATTCGATTAATAAACCAATCTAACCTATGACTGGGCTGCAATCCTATCAACACACACCACTAACATCCAGTTTTTGGTGGGTAAAACCCTGATTTCGTGGCGATTTAACAATTAAGGGCTCACTAACCACCAACAACCGCAATTGCAAGGGCGAATCTTAACCTGCTATGATATAACACCTAGTTTAACCACTAATTACAGCCCTAAGTGGTTGATAAGCCCTTACATTGCCTATATAGCCAATTAATCCCCAAAAACGATCTTATTAGCCATTGAATATTTTGTTATCTATTAGCTTAACCATCTAACCACTTATCTCCCTGTTAGCCACAACAATGTGGGCCAAGCCTGTTATAAGTTGGTTTATAAACCCATACGCAGCACTGAATCCTTGAGACTTATTTCGAAGTGAGCAAATTACCCAGGGTCGTTAACACGGCCGCAACTTTGTTTTAGACCCTAAGATATCCTAAGATCTTAAACAAAAAACATGTGAGTTGTTGGAGGTATGTTCACCATGGCTATCTGTCACCATGGCTGATCCTTCGCACCGAATCTCCGGGAGTTGCCTAAGACCAGGAGTGGAGCCCTGGATGCCGCCCCGCTGCTACGCCAGACCTTGGAGCAGCTGGCGGAACGGCACCAGAAGACGCTGGGGCAGGTGACGTGCACCGCTTTGGAGGTGATGATGGCCCTTGAAGGTGAAGACTACTGTGGTTGCGAAATCCACCAGTTGATGCCAGTTGATAGGTGGTTTATCCCATTACTTATAGGATTTCAACCATCCAAGGTGATGCAGGATTTCTTCCCTTCATAGTAGTTCAATGCTAGTTGAGGGTTTCCTAAGTCTTGGGGGTACCCAAAAATTGATGGATGGTTTCATGGAAAATCCCATCTACAAATGGATGATTTGGGGATATCCCGATTTTAGGAAACCACCAGTTCATGATGATGAAATCGTATTAATACAAGATTGTTGATGCTAGTTACTATTACCGTTTTTAATACTCGTTAGTGGTGAATCATATTCGAAAATGTCAGACTCGGACTCTGAGATAGCGATGGAGAGAGATAGAGAGAGAGAGAGATACAGAGAGAGAGAGAGAGACGTAGTGATGATTATCAGGTAAAACATGGTTAATTATTAATACATGGTTTTTAATCAATCATGTTGTAAATTATTCTAACAATGGTTGACAATTGTTAATGATGGTAAAATGATGGTAAAATGATGGTTAATAATGGTTAATTGTGATTAATGAATCGTTAATGGGTATCAATGGAATTAACTTTCAATAGTCAAACGTGGTGTGCCAGAAAATGGCCCACTTAGTTGGATGTTTTTTCCGACCTATAAACCTGAATTTAGTTCGGGGATTTCCCAGCTTGCCATGGTTGATTACCGGAGGGTAATTCCCATTAGATATACCATTAAGTACCCCCATTATTATACACTTTTATCCATTATTACCAATGGTTAACCATTATTAACCATCAATAACCGTTATTAACATGTTTTCCCCACTAAATCACCAACTTCCTCCTATTATTGGATGTGGGATCAAGCCAGGTGCTGCTGCGCTGGGGCCATCAGACCAGCCGTGTGCTGGTGACCACCACGAGCAACCCACAGCGGAGCCTGGAAGGAGTCGGGTCAGGTGACCATCCCCAATAGCTGGGTCGTTTTTTCATGGAAAATTCCATGACACTGGATGATAATGCATGATTTAATGGTGATTTAAGGATCATTCAATGGATTTTTATGGTGGTTTAAGGATGATTTAATGGATTTTGACGGGATTTTCATGGTAATTCTATGGGACAGTAATGGATTTGATGCGCCATACTCTGTGTAAACTAACATAGCGCATGGAAAATTGCAATTTACAGTTGATTTACCCATCAAGAAGGGTGATTTCCATAGCTAGCTTAGTTTACCAGAGGGTACCTGAATGACAATGAACTCTCTTTTGGGTATTCACTTGCAACCCAACCGATCTTGAGGGGAGCGCGCCTTCAGCCAAGGATGGAAGAGTATTTGGACATGTTCAGTTTTGAGCTCTCTGAAGCTTGGGAGTCATGAAGGTGCAGGCAAAGGGAATCACCCCAAAATTGGTAAAAATCACAACCCTGAATGAATACGCCCAGGTTCATTCGGGGGGTATCCCTTTGGTTCCCTCCTAATAGTGACAAGTTGCCATTGAAGTGGCCACCTCAATGAGCTAGCCATGATACCCAGCACTGTCGCTCTGGATGGGAGCTCCAAGTATTTAGCTTGGTAGCCTTGTAGTGAAGTGTACATTCGTTTTTGGAACTGCCAAGAGCCCTGGTGATGTGTCAAAATCATTCAAATCATGGGACGTTTGATGACTTTTACCAATCCCTGGCTGGAAAATCCCTGGAAACATATCATGATATGATAATATGACTGAGATAGCAAACCCCACCATGATAAATTTGCAATCTTAGAAACCGGCAAACCCCACAACATCCTGGATGACGTTTCCATCACATATATATATATATATATTTTCTGGGGACAATATCAATCGACGCGATTATCCACCATTTCCAGTTTCTAACCAATTCAACTTCCGTGTTGATCAAATCAATAAATACTCTCTGATAAAATTTAACGTAGCTATGGAACATCACCATTGTTACTGGTTAAACCATCTATTTCTCTGCCATCTGTACCATAGCAAACGGTCAAAGTACCAGAGGGTACCAAGTCAAACACCTGACTATGCACTGACCATTCAATTTCGAGCTCAGGAGCAGGACGTGCAGATGATCAGCAGCGCAGGCTTCCGCAGCACCCAGAAACGCTTCACGTGGCCCAAATGCGTGGCTCATCAGGCAATGAATTTGGGTGATGTGTATGCAAATCGAACATCAATTGCATTCAATCACACACACACACATATATATATATGTATGTATATAAACTCATTTATCTCACATAGACACACACACACACACTTATACATACATGCATGCATGCATGCATGCATACATACAGACAGACGGACGGACAGACAGACAGACAGACATCCATGCATGCATGTACACACACAGATATATATATATATATGTATACCACTAGAATCCTGTTTGTATACGTGGGTCCTCCCCCAAAATAGAGAGAAAACTGCGGGGAGTCTGGGAGATGTCCATCGATAGGGCTGTTCTTTGGCCTTGTTCTGGGTTTTTCTAGCCACATTTGCATCATGTAAGGTTAGTAAAGCAATAGGATCTACCATCCCCAATGACTTACCATTTTTATGGGTGGTAGAAGCCATCAACATATGGGTGGTTTATGGTCATTTATTTGGGTAAGGTGCCCGCAACCTCACTGGAGACGCCACCAACACTAAGTGCAAATGGGAAATTATGGAATCAACATGAATAAGCAACTAGTCTTTGTGGCACCAATTTATAAAGTTTATTCTCCATCCTATTTTTTTTCGGGATGGGCAGCTCCAACATCTCAGAAATTGGTGCCCAGATTTACAGAAAGCCATTCATGTTTGGGAGTTAAGCACTATGGTAACCAGGGTATCCCATCGGAATACCCAGCACTATGCCACCAACCAGGTCGGAGTTGGAAAGTTCTGGTCAGACGATCCGCCCCTCGGCAAAATAGCACCCATCACTGCGCTATGTTTGGCACTTTCCACACCTGGTACAGTAGGTGTTGTACATGATGTTGCCATGTTTGGGAGCACGCCTGTGGTATCATCTGGATGCATGCCAGTGGCAACTGCCAACTTTTTCAGTTAAAACTGAAAGGACTAGCATTTTCAAGTCAGACCCCCCATTTTTTTTTAAGAGGGTAAACCATTCTCCCCGGTCATCATGCGACACAAACCGCTCATCAAAGGCTTGTCAAACTTATAGGGTCCCTTTGTGGTCTTGGCCCCAGGGGCCATGATTTCCAGTGGAAGTCACGGTGCCACCAAGGATGACTGAAGTCGAAAGCCAGGAGTGGCCCCCTTCAGCAAAGGGCGCCCACTAAGCCGGCCGTCGAGATGATGCCATGGGGCGGACATATTGGAAATGCTGGGAATATCATGGGGATACTGTTGATGGGAGAAATCCTGCACCACCTTGGATAGTTGAAACCCTATAAATAGTGGGATGTTTACCATCTATCAACTGGTGCAGGATTTCGCAACCATCCACAGTATTATGGTGATATCACTTGGATTCATGTGGGGATAATAATTTACAACTATATATTATATAATCATTTGGATAAATTTGATCACTTTGATCATGTCGCGACGTCACGGTTGAATGATGGTTTTTGATGGTAGGGGAATCATTTTAAAAGGGAAATTGTGAGGTTGGTCACTTATGGTGCACCATGTGAAAACATGCTTCGTTTTCGGATGGGATACCCTCTGGTAAACGTTTACATAACTATGGAAAATCACCATTTTTCATGGGAAAACTCACTATTTCTATGGCCATTTTCCAGTTAGCTATGTAAGAAATTACCAGAGGGTAGTCATCAATCCAGTATGGCAATGGGGTTTATAAAATCAACCCCCAAGGCTTCCCATTGCGAGATGGGCCCCCATTAAACCAGGAAAGCGTGTCGGTTGCACTCCCTGGGCTTCCCTGGCTCTGGCTCTGCACACTTATCCAGAGATTTTTTTGTTTGCAGTTGTATTTGTTTACCCTCTGGTAAACTAACATAACTATGGAACATCACCATGTTCAATGGATAAATCCACTATAAATCAACATTTTCAATAGCTATGTTAAATTACCAGAGGGTAGATATTGGGAAGGCACATTTTCGGGTCTGTTAGGGAGAAGCAAGGCACGTGGGAAGAAAACCAAAGAGTGCCAGTTGGCAATGGTCAAGTAACACATACATATCAATCAATTGTTCAGAATCAATCGATCAGAATCAATGAATCAATCAATCAATCCATCAATTAATTCATCAATCTCTCTCTCCCTCTCTCTGCAGTTAGTTTTTTTTTTTTATTTGTTCATATATATATATAGTCATTTTATCTACCTAAAACTACACATAGAATCTGCATGCCCCAGTTGCCAGCAAAATCCTCCCACTGAGGTGTCCCACATTTCCAAGCTGCGGTGCTGAAGCCACGGTAGAAGGGGTTGCATGCCTTTTTTCTTGGGGCAGAAAAATGGGTCTTGGTCAAGTTCTCAGGCTCCATTTTTGAGTGATTTCACTGCTGGTTTCATCATGTTTCATCTGTGGTTCTGCAAATGGGGAATTTATACCTCAGTCATTGTTTTTTTTGTTGAGGAACATGATGATGCCTACGGGTGGACGATCGAACGTGTAGTTGTCACTATTTCATTGTCAAACATCTTGGGGTGGGGTGCGGTATTAACGTCCTTTGTAGTAAGAACTTTCAACTACGTTATTGACTTCTCTAACATCTTGCACGGGGTGGGGTGGGGTGGGGTATTAACGTCTGTTGTAGTAAGAACTTTCAACTACATTATTGACTTCCAACTACGTTAGCATCCAACTACGTTGTTATCTTCTCTGTCAACTTCCAACCACGTTAGAATCCCTTGCAAGACATCTTCCAAGTATGTACGTTGTTATCTTCTCTATCAACTTCCAACTACGTTATCATCTCTGGTCAGACTTCGTGCAACTACGTTGTTATCTTTTCTATCAACTTCCAACTACGTTTCTGATGCTTGTGACTGGCAAAACCCTTGGCACAGATTGACCAAACCTTGGCGCAGAAAACAAGACCGCTTTCATGTGCCAAAACCATGGCCCCACTGTCACTTTGTGAAATGACACCAAAAATTGAGTACTTTTCTGGGGAGGGCTATTTTTTTATTTTTTATCACAGCAGGCTTTGTTTTTTTTTTGGTTCCTGGTTCTATGCGTTTCTGCTTCTCTGCTTTTCTGCTTCTCTGCTTTTCTGCTTCTTAGCTTCTCTGCTTTTTTTCCTGCTTTTTGCTTTTCCTGCTTCTCTGCTTTTCATGCTTCTCTGCTTTACCTGCTTCTTTTCTTTTCTGCTTCTCTGCTTTCCTTGCTTCTCTGCTGCTCTGTTTTTCTGCTTTTGTGCTTCTGTGCCTTTCTACTTCTACTATTCTGCTTTTTCTTTTCTTCAGTCATGTGTTTTTGCTGCTCTACTTCCTGCTCCTCTGCTTCTCTGCTTCCTGTCTTTACTGCCTCTTTGTTTTTTTCTTTTCTTTTGCTTTATTCTCTCCTGTTTGTATCCTAAATGAAACCCTAAAGACCCTAGGTGAAACCCAAAGAAACCCTAAAGAAATCCTGATAAGAATTCCTGATAAGAAACCCCTACATGAAACTCTAAATGAACCCCAAAGAAACCATAAATTATATAACCCGAAAGAAACCATGAATGAAACCCTAAAGAATCTTTGAATGAACCCCTAAATGGCATCCTAAAGAAACCCTAAATGGCATCCTAAAGAAACCCTAAATGAAACCCTAAAGAAACCCTAAATGAAAACCTAAGAAACCCTAAATGAAACCCTAAGAAACCCTAAATGAAACCCTAAAGGAACCCTAAATGAAACCCACATGAACGTTTGGAAATCCTGACAAGAAAGTCCGATTGCCCTACATGAAACCCTAAAGAAACACTACATGAAACCCTAAATGAAACCATACATGAAACCCTAAATGAAACCCTAAAGAAACCCTAAATGAAACCTTAAATGAAACCCTAAATGAAACCCCACAGAAACCCTAAATGAAACCCCAAATGAAACCCTAAATGAAACCCTAAATGAAAGCCTAAAGAAACTCTCAAGAAACCCACATGAACGTTTGAAGTACCAAAATGTAGCAAATACCTTGCAAAGGAGAGGTTGAAGTGCCAAAACATGGCAAATACGCGAACATGGCCAAATGTAGCAAATGCCATGTAAAATGCAAAGTAACCATGCCAAAATGTAGCAAATACCATGCAAAATGACAGATTCTAGTTCCAAACTGTTGCAAATACAAGGCAAATGGTACCAGGAAAGAAAGCCAACAAAAAATCCAGAACCCGAGCCAAAAAAAGATCCAAAAACTATTCTGAACCGTTCTGGGGATGAAACGTCCATATTTGATGGCCAGCGCACAGAAAAACCATAAAACCAATTGAATTGAGACGCAAACTTGACAAGAAAACATGAACTCCATTGCAAAACGCCAAACGACACTGGATCCACAAACATCAAAAGGGCAACGCCGCCACGTGAAAATTGGCAATGGGCCATGTGGCAGCCAACAAAAACCGCAAATTTTCTGAAGAAAATCCTGCGATCGCCAGGGATTCCCAGGAGACCTTGACCTTGACCCCTGGACCTTTGGGTCCGATTTGGACAGATGAGGAGAATCTCAGTGTAGCGGTGTTTGTGGTCCACAAGTCATAGAAGTTGAGAGCTTTCGTTGGCTGCTGGTGTGAGCTGGTGATCTCTGGTCTTCATGGCAACTATTTTGCCCGAAAATCAGCTGTTGTTTCTGACTGCACTGAGGGCGGTGCTTTTGAGCACTACGCGAAAGCAGGATGGTGGATTCAAAGATCCGTTCTTATCCGTCCTTAGTTCGGAGATCACTCATCGACTCATCCATTATCATCACTTGACCAATGTATTCCATGTATTGCTGGGGATTTAATCCACCCGGCAGCATTTAATGTTCAGGGATGAGCGCTGGGGGACATTTGGTCACCCCAGTGGCCCCCCATGTGACGTGGGAGCGCCTCCCAGACCTGTCCTGAGAGACGACTGGGCCACCTGCGTCACTGCGCGCTGGAAGGAGTTGAACCTTGGGAATCCAACATCTTCCCCAGTAAGCAACAAATTTCAATCTGGAAATATCTGGAAATCATACAAAATGGCACCCAGGACAGAGAGAGAGGGAGAGATATAACTATATATATATATATTATAAGCCACCTCAATTTTCACATGACTTTACCAGGCCTGGGTAGTGTAAACCATCCCCAATCCGAGTTTTATGACTGAGGCCACTCACGCGAATGCTTGGATCGATTATTGGGAACAGCCACTGGGCCCAAGCTGAAAACTGGGTAGGTCAATGGGTCATCCTTTTTGATGGGCCCATGTTTTTTTTGGGGCCATACATGGGGAAAAATGGATTTACCAGCCATAGCCAGTCAAACATTCACTCCTGTCAAGTGGAATTGGAGGTTTAACCAGTCCAACTGGGAATTTCATCAACCAATGCCTGGGTTAACTCATGAGCTCCAAAATGGCAGGTTCAAAAGCTTCAAACACGGTCCTGAAGCTTACCAAATTTCTGGGCCGGGTCTAAGCTTGGGCCGAAATTGACGCGGCCGGGCCCAAACAAACCAATCCTGTTTCGATCCATCACTGCCCCACTTATATTGCCGTTGAACTCAGCCTGCTTGAGGAAGCCATCAGGACTTTTGGCAGTTAACTCAGCGCATTTTGATGATTAAACCTCGGGTCAAGTCCAGATTTTTGTTGCTTGAACCCGGAATTTCTTTGAATACCTATTAATAGTACCATCTAGCAAACTAACATAGATGTAGAGAACCTATCATATACAGATCATTTTCCTGGGGAAACCATGGGTTTTCCACACTTTTTTGTTAGTTCACCCTAGGGGACAACATTTTCAGGCACCAGCAGCTACCCAGCTACCCCGCGCCCGCGTTGAGGTCATTTGTTTATATCCCTGACTCGCCCATCACCATGTCACTGGCTGAGAGTTCAGCTGTTTGTTCCCCCCCACAAGATGGGAGATTTCAGGACAGATTTTGGGACACAAAATGCTTGTCAAAATGGTGAGGAACTATGGAACACATTTTTTTGTCTCGCTCATTGCTGGCGACTGTGCTCTTTTTGGGCATTTTGGCCACTTGTAGATGACTCACTGTGCATTCTTTAGTAAAAGCCGTGCAATGTTGGTGGTTGCTAAAGGGTACTTAGCTTGCTTTCATCATCAGGATCATCAGGATCATCATCCGATGATGATGATGATGATGATGTTGTTGTACCAAAGGTCAGCATGAACGCCCTGAAGTATCACTTACCATGTTGTACCTGTTAAGCTAAGCAGTGAGCTCACCTTCCGCGGCCCAAGTGGTTAAAGAGGCAACCGGGCAGCCTTGGTTTGCCAGGTTTGGTACCTTTCAACTTTGATCACAGGAAGGGCCCTACTTGTCTAAGTTGGTTTTATGTAACTAGGCCAAGTGTTGCACTTATGGTGAATATATCTTTGTAATTAGATCGGCTTTTTTATACCAACAGGCGTGAAACACGAAGGGAGAGGGTGTTTTTTCCAAGCCTTCCTGTAGTGCCCAGGTTTCATTGGTACATGAGTCACTACCTCTTGCGCATTTCTTCCTACGGCACCGCGCCGGGCCTCTTTGGACCCTTTGTGACAGATGACGAGGCCGCGGATGGCGGATATTGGCGGATGGCCCTGGGCCCTGAAACAACCATTTTGGGTCGATACGTTTGAGTCATAGCCAACTTTATGGCTCATGGAAAGTCACCCAAATTTTAAAAAGTGATGAAGCCTACTGTACATCTCAATTTGTTCGGAATATGTTTGAACAACATCCCAATCGTCGTGGTTCAGGCTATCGCATGCTATCGCCTGATGAGGTGCTGTGGTCAGGGGACATCACCCTGAACTACAACGCCGAGGCTTCACGGCCGTGACGCCGCTTTCCGGGTCTGTGGAGGATGATCCCCTGAAGTAGACCTGGCTTGAAGCCCACCCTGAGATCTGGAATGGATGGATGTTTTTCAGATGGATAGATACATAAGATGGGTTGATATAGATATAGAGTCATGAGAGTGATGGATAGATATGAGAGATAGCCTCAATCGAGCATGGCTGGAAATTCCCATCAGTTGTAGTTGTTTTTTCCCAGCTATAAACCTCCATTTTTCTCGGAGATTTCCCAGCCTCATTTGTCCATTGCAATCGCCAGAGGCAGTGTACTACGATGCAGCGGCAGCCAACCACATGGAGGCCTCGGGGTTCCCGAGGTTTACGGAGAAACGATGGAACCCTGGGGATCACTTTTTTTCAATTGATTTCAGAGAAATCTTGAGAGGAACCAACATACATTTTTATAGATCTGGTAATGACTAACGTAATGACTAACAGTTTGCGACATTGAACATGGCAATTTAGATAGTTCGTTGATTTACCCACTAAACATGGTCATTTTCAATAGTTCCCTCTGGTAATTTGTTACAGTTTGCTATGGAAAATGGCCATAGAAATAGTTGATTTACCTACTAAAAATGGTGGATCTTTTCATAGTTATGTGGCTGTTTGCCAGAGGATATGTAAGATGATTGGAAGTCAGGGATGTTTCTTTTTTTTTCTGTTCAGAATTCACAGGTGTTCCGAAGTAAAATTTCCGAGCCATTGAGCTACCCATTCCTGGCGAAGAATGGGTTGTGCAGACGCCCGGCAGGTCTTTGAGCCGTACTTCCAGGCGATTTTGGATTTCTTACCCGTTCCTTGCCAGAGAACTGCCGGAACATAAGGGAAGTTCGCAATGCTTGCACCGTGCCTTCGACCTAGAAGTGGGGTGTGAACAACACTTTTTTGCTGAGCCATATCCCGTCAGTGTCGCTGGAGCAGTGTGTGGAATGGTCATGCTTCTGACCAGTTCCATTATTTGGTGGTTCATCCTACCTGAACGGGTGCACATTCCAATCCACTTACAGCTGCGCTCACTTCTTGCTAAGTAGGATGAACCACCAAGTATCCATTAAGTATCCAGACATTTCTTGTTCATATTATACAGTCATATTATCTTGAAAGAATTGGTAAACACTATCGGCAATTAATCTCTGCTGCCTAATGCTAACCCCCCAAATGCTAAACACGGTGATCTATTCATATTATTAGGGGGTATTTAGTATTAGGGTGCCCCTAATAATAAAACAAAAACCGTAGTAAATGAATAAAAAAGTCAATTTCAAAATCAATTAAATCCCTTTTTACAATCTATTTAAACTATATATTGCCAAAAATCCGAAAGTTGCAATCCACTCCTATTTTCATTAATTGGGGGAGTTTTAGTAATAGGGAGAAGAGATTACTACCACATTTTGAGCCATACCCGTTTTAACTTTCCCCACTTAGCATCTAGGAGAAGCCGCTAGGTATAATGTGGAAAACCCAACAATAAACATCCCCAATGCCCTCAGAAATGGGTGATACAGTGATATCAATAGTAATAATAGTATATTAATAGTATATATATATATCCAAAGTATATATATATATATCAATAGTATATATATATATATCAATAGTATATATATATATCTATCAATAGTATATATATATATATATATATCTATCAATAGTATATATATATATATATACATATAAATGTATGTATGTGCATACACCATCTAAAAATGAGGTTTATTGTTGGGTTTCCTACATGAATCGGACCTGGAAGCTGTTTGGATTCAGCTGGCTCTAAGGCGGCGGCGCGCATGGCGCAGGAACTCTATCCCAAGTGCCCCGATGCCCTGGTCTTTCCGGTGGGGAAGAGCCTGGGGCTGCGAGATGTGGTGATGATGAAGATGATGATGATGATGATGATGAGGATGATGATGATGATGATGACGATGATGAAAATGAAGATGAAGATGAAGATGATCAAGGTGATGAAGATGATGAAGACTAATATATACATGAAGATGATGATGACGAAAAAGACACATACGCAGATATTAAGCTGGAGGTGATGGACAAGAACATTTCCTTCAAAGATGCCTCCGTTGCCAGGCGCACATCTTGCCCAATGGCGTGCATGCGCATGGCGTCGGCCGAGGGGATTTGGGGCAGAAGCAGATGGGTCCCTGGGCAGCCTGCATGGTGGCAAAGCAGCCACTCCCAATTCTCTCCATTCCCGAAATATGGCATGGCCATGCATGGCCAAGTGGCAAAGACAATCCGAAACACCCCCTACCCTCTGGTAAACATACAAAAAACTATTGAAGGTTGCCATTTATCGTTGAATTACCCACTAAAAATGGTGGATCTTTCCATAGTTATGTTAGGTTACCAGAGGGCAATTTTAGACACAAATGGCTTGTACAAGCCGTCAGCCCTTGGATTCTCATTCCCCATTGGGCATTGGTTTACCGAGGACTCTTCGCTGCAGTGCCGTTCATTCTGCCGCTTTTTCTGCAGGGCCAAGCCGTAGAAACCATACTATCTAGAAATATCATGAAATGCTTAAGCTTAGCTATTTCTTGGGGGTGGTATGTGTGCATATGTATTTACATGTCGGTGTATAGAGAAATAGATCGATAGAGGTGGCTTTCCATAGACCCCTTGTGGGTCAACGGCTCCCAAAGGTATTGGCGCTACTCGGGGAACTTGGCGTTTGCCCAGCGTGCGTTGCCATTCCTCAGCGGTGTAGCAAGGTTTTGGGAAGCTCGGTGGATTGGTGGATGTTGTGGGCTTGGGGAACTGGTCATTGCAAGAGTTATACCATGGCTGTAAATGGTTAACGATGATCTACAACTATCTTACACAATTATAATTTCTAATGGTCACTACATGTTAATAAGGGATGAATTATAGTTAATAATAAGGCTTAATAATGGTTTAAAATGGTGGAAAAATGGTTAGTACTGGTTATATATGGTTAACAGTGGATAATGGTTAATAATGGTTGTACCGGTTTTGATAGTGGTTAACAATGGTTGATATAATGGTGATTAGTGGTTATTCGTGGAATTACTTGTCGGTCATCAAAGATTTTGTGTGCTAGAAACCGGCCCACTTAGTTTGATTATTTTCTCATGAAAACCAGCATTTGCATTGCCATGTTTGATTAATGCAGGTACAACAATAACAAACCATCCCCCAAATCGCCATAAATAGATGGTATAAACCATTCCTAAATGGGTGGTTTATTATTGTTTTACCCACATTGCTGAAGGTTACAAGTTACAATCATTTTGGAGCGTGTAAAATGCATCACATCACATCCCATGATACGACTTCACTGATTGTTTTCCCGCGTGCGGGATGCATTGCATCATCTACGGCACAGAGGAGCCCAGTAATCCTAATGGTCAAACATGCCAAATTCCTTCAAGTTCCACCCCCGATATTTCATGGGGGATACCATGTTTTCCTCTAGATGTTCCTTCATTTTTAACTAATCCAGTGATCAGATTGCCTCCTGAGACGTGGGTTTCTATCTCCAGAGCCTGGGGCCGGAGTTGGATGTGGAACCTGGACCATGATTTGTTCCATGGCCTTAGATGTACAACATCTCATGTCGGCTAAACCAGCAATGCTTTGCTGGATCATGCATTAAATCTCCCCTTATTTTTGATGGTCAAATCCCAGCTTTTCATGATCCAATCCTGGATGTTTTCTTCTTAATCCACATTTTTAAACAATGCTCGAACTACCCTTGGAAATTTAACATAGCTATTGAAAATTACCATTTATAGTGGATTTTCCCATTGAACATGGTGGATCTTTCCATAGTTTTTTGTATGTTTACCAGGTCGGGTAATCCACATTTGTTCAATGCTCGAAGTAGCTTTTTTTGAGGCAAAACAAATGCCCACCAGCCCACCATTGCCTGGTGAAGTCCCGAGGAATGCAATCTCATGGAAGGCGCAGATGGATACCTCCATGATGCGGAGGATTGCGCCGAGGAGCGACGGCTGGCTCAAACGGGGCAATGGAAAGTTTTTTCTAAAAAAAGAAGGTGAAAAAATGGCAATTCATCATCCCCAAATGGAAGATTTTATCCATGATCCAAGTGCATCAATTTGCATCCACATCTTCTTTGGCAAGGGATTCACATATATATGTTTTGCAGGGGACTATGATGTGATTCGTTTTTTCTTCTGGAGTTATGTGCCCTTCTCGGGTGTCAGTGCGATAGCTACTGTGTCAAAACACCATGGGCCGCGGGATGCCGCGGCTCAAGCCTCGACCTTGAGATGTCACCGGATTTCACCATTTTCACACCAGAAATGATGCGGAAAAAGTCACGAATCCAATCCCAATACCCTCTGGTAAACTAACATAACTATGGAAAATCACCATTTATATATGGTTTTCCCATGAAAACTGGTGATTTTCCATAGTTATGTTAGTTTACCAGAGGGTAATTATAGTGGTCTTTTTTCGTGGTCCTCTGTTTCGCTTCTTCTGTATCGCTGAAGAATCCTATGAATCCCATCCATTCATTTTTGATACACCCCTTCTATGGTCCCAGTCAGCAACCGAAATATCACCGCTGCAATCGGCCACTTTTTGTCGCAGATGGAGGTTTCCAAGGCGTCATGGTAGCCAAAAAAAAAACCCAAATCATCCCCGTGAAGGACCATGACTTAGTGTTGAAACAGCGTGGTTGTGGATCCCAGAGATTAGTGGTGTATATATATAATATATAATATATAATATATATATCCCATATTCCATATTAATGTCAGATATCCCATATTCCATATTAATGTCAGACTATAGATAGATTATTCCATATCAATGTCAACCCCGGATTTTGCTAAACCATGGTTTATTAATTAGGGGGGTACTCCTCCAATAGTCATAATCTGATACTTAAATGTTATCCCCCCAATTTAACAACCGTTTGGGGTTTGTTAATCCAGGGTTGACATTATATATATATATCCCATATTTCATATTAATGTCAGACTATAGATAGATTATGGAGGGCTAATTATTTTAGGATTTTTTTTTTGATCAGGTTTAGGATTTTTTTTAAATGATTATTCCATAGATTATGACTATTGGAGGAGTACCCCCCTAATTAATAAACAATGGTTTAGCAAAATCCGGGGTTGACATTATATATATCCCATATTTCATATTAATGTCAGACTATAGATAGATTATGGAGGGCTAATTATTTTAGGTTTTTTTTTTTTTATGGTTTAGGATTTTTTTATGATTATTCCATAGATTATTCCATATTATCTGGGTAAATTATAACGACCTCACTGCGACCTCACTGGAATCATAGTTAATAAGGGGAATCATCCCAAAATGGCCTTAATTCAGGTTAGTGAAATATTATAATTTACCCAGATAGATAGATTATTCCATATTATCCATGACTTCAGAGCCCTCCAAATATGTCGTGGCCAGGAGATCTGCCTCCCAGATGGCGATCTGCAGCCCGATCCCACGGCGCCGCGGACTTTCTGAATGGGGATCGAAATGATGGCTTTTGCGAGCGGAACATGGAGAAATATAGGTGACATATGGTAAAATATAGATAAAATATGGTAAAGTATAGATAAAATTTTGGTAAAATATAGGCAAACTATAGGTAAAATATGGTAAAATATGGTAAAATATGGTAAAACATATGGTAAAATATAGGTAAACATGGCTGACTGAATGGTAAAATATGGTAAGATATGGTATACATGATTATATATCCCATCAAACCACCATTCAATTCATAGCCCATCATATTCCATGATATGATCTGGGTAAATTATAACGACCTCACTGTTCCCCTCACTGGAAATCATAGCTAGTAAGAGGAATCATCCCCAAATGGCCGCAGGATTCAGGTCTGTGAAATATTAGAATTTACTCAGATGTAGGTAAAATATAGGGAAAATATCGCAAAATATAGATAAAGTACAGGTAAAATTTAGGTGAAATATGATAAAGTGGGTGTTAGATGCAAATTATGATGGGATGACGCGGGATGACCAGATGTTGGGTTAACAAAAAAAAGGGGGTATCGCTTTGGTACTGAAAAATGTCCGAAGAAACTGTGGGCCATCGACAGGGTGGTGATATGCAATGGGATACAATATATACCCTCCAATAATTTAACATTGCTATTGAAAATGACCATGTATAGTTGCTTTACCTATTAAACACGGTGATTTTCCAGTTCGTTATGCTAAATGACCAGAGGGTAAGCAATATATCAGGATGTAGCCAAAAGAATACGAGGCCACAAAGCATAGGGAAAATGCTGTGTTTGGGTGCCCCATTGTCAGACAAATCCATAGGGACAACCATGCCACATTGGCCTTGAGATTTGGATACATCAATTATTCGATTCAATCACTGGTTTAAATACATATTTTCCATACAATATATTCCCTTGTATCTAGCTTCTTCTTGTGTTTGTGCGTGTACATCTCTACTTCCAGAGTTGGACAGTTGACATTACTTAACAGAACAACTCCTAAATTTGGGCGTGGAAAACAATAGAAAACACGTGTTTTTTTTTGGTTATTTTTGGTTCGAAACCATCTAGCAAATCACGTCAGATCATCATCCCCAAGCTTGAATGGGTAGTTTAATCCTTTAGTGTCCTGCTGTAAATGATTATAAATCTGGGTAAATTATAACGACCTCACTACGACCGAACCCTGGAAATCATGGTTAGTAAGGGAAATCATCCCCAAATGGCCGCAGGATTCAGGTTAGTGAAATATTATAATTTACCCAGATAAATGGAAAATCACCGTAACATCCATGTTTGCCCCGCTGTTCGACACAGCTCAGGTCGTCCTGTCCTTGCTGCCCAGCTTCTTTGAAGCCGTTGCAGAGGTGCGAAGAGCCAGTTATGGAGGTCATAATGATAAAATTATAGGAATCCCTGTCAACCGACTAGTATAGTGTATAGCGAGATCAACCACAGAGAGAGAGAGATATATATATAATATAAATAACATACATATAATGGGATAGAACCAACAATATGATTTGATCTAATTGATTTGCAACAATCTCACTGCGACGTTACTAGACTATGGGGGGCTTTAAAGGGGCCGTCCCGAAAATGAGTTCATTTCAGCTGCCGCCATGGGCTCATTATCCCTCTAACTGGGGACCTCTCTTTGAAGCATCTATCAACAATGAGGCCCACAAACCGGCGTGGCCACAGATCTTGGTTGGGAAGGGTGCATGTCATGGTCATAGCCATTTGAACATCAACGCCTTTGCCGGGTATCTAAGACCCAGGATGCAACGATAGAGGAAGTTGGACTGGCAATACTTGGACCCCTGAGTCTTGATAAAGTTGCGGATATTCACTGGTTCACATTCCACGCTGTCTATGCACATGATTTCAACACATGGTGTTGCTGCATCCCCATGTATATAACCATCAACATTCATCAACCTTAAATCTCAGTTTTGTTTCAATCAGATCTTTGTGTTTTCAACAAGTTCAACAAAATCTCCAAATTCTTAAGCTGCTTTGGAGCTTTGGACATTCGAAGGGCTTAAAAAAAGGCGTCAACATCGCCGAATCTCCGATGCCTTCTCCGCTGGGATCGAGCCATGGAAGACTGGTCGGTGGACTATATCAACTCCTGCTGCCACTGAGCCGTTGGAGCCGTTGGGCGGGGCTGGACCAGGGCTGGATACGATCATTTAAACGCCCGTTTTTCCGTTTTTTCATGGGGACATGATGGATGAATGATATGTGTAGATAAAGTGGAAGAGTGGTTCAGACATGTTTAAATGATAAACCGTAGGGGGGCATGCTATCTTTAGACAAAACCAAGGTTGAACAGGCAAATCGTGTGCAACACGGACATGATCCAGCCACCCCTGTTTGATTGCGGGAGTTCAATCCCCCACCGATGCTTGAATTTGATATTCAATTTGGTGGTCACACCGTAGTTCTGCTGGTGAATCTCAATTTTGGGTGATTCAAATTAGGAACTCTCCAGATTTTTCCCCTTCGTCTGAGGTCGAGAGCTCTTCGAGGGCAAGGTTATTTGTGCTCCAGCTGCAGAGGAGCTTTTTCCATTTCAAACAGCCCTTGGGAATGGACATCCTGTATATTTTTGGTGATCCATGGCGATCCAGTTTTTCTCATAGACTTGCAGAATCAGCTAAGATTGCCAACCCTGCACCCCAACAGGGTTGACTCTACCATTCCTTTTTTCCGGAACCGCTTAGGTGATCTGTCGGCCAGTGACTGGGCGTTGATTGATTGCAGCTTTTGGTTTTAGGCCAATGAGCGGCTGCCACATGATGGCGCCATGGACTCTTGGAGTAGTTAGGTGCATGCCATAGGCCATTCACTACGTCCCGAGGTAAAGGTCGGATCCTCCGCGCGTGCCGCAGCTTCAAGCAGGGGGAACTCATTTTTCAGGACGGCAAGCTTGGTGCAAATGGGTGGAGAGACTTAGGGCAATTTTGGAAAGCCCGAGGCTTGTAGGAAAGCCTGAAAAAAAGATATCAAAGTAAGTAATCTACAAGTATCCAGTGAGATTTTAGTAGGATTCTCTTTCTGAGCTGTTACTATGCTGTCTATATTTCAACGCCATTCCATTGCAGGGTACCGTCCCGAGGGATCCCCCCACCCCCAATGGCGACCACAGGAGCCCCCGTTGCACATCGTGGTTGGGACTCAGACGGATGATGCCTTTCGGATCGTGAAGCGAATCAGCACAGCCTTCCAGGAGGGGCTGTTGATGGCTGTTGATGGCTGTTGATGTTTGTTGATGTCTGACTGGTAAAGCTCAAGGCTGTACCATGGGATACCATTTTCGTACCATGGGATACCATTTTTAAAACTACTTATATATTAAAAAAAATACAAGGTAATTGAACCGCCCAAGATACAACTATATTATTAATCATTGGAAACAAATGAGTTCCAAACCCGTTCTGTTTCCCAAGTTTTGATGGCTTCCACTTTATATCAGCGATCATTTAGGTTTGTTGTCCCATGGTTTCCAACCTGATGCTCTATTCAGAATGAACATGATCATTTTGGATACCCAGCATTCTTGGGCATTTTCATTTTTCATGGATATTTATGGATCAAATCCCTTTTTGTGATCATTCGATAGCCGTTTTCGCTACTAGAACCTGGGATCCTTGGATCCTTGGATCATCCCACGGAGCGTAAGTGGTGTGATGATGTTTCCCCCATAGCCTCTGGTAATGACTAACATAGCGAACTGGAAAGATCCACCATTTTATAGCTGGGAAAATCCACTATTTCTATGGTCATTTTCAATAGCTATGTAACAAATTACCAGAGGGTATCTTCCAGCTTTCCAACTCTTTGGCATCAACCTTTGGGGGTAGCCATTTGTGACTGGGTTGGCACCAACCCAGCTACGAGCGACCGCAGGACACTGCCTACCAGCCGCTATGGTACTGGGCCGCGCTGTGCAGTTTGACCGCTCCGGAGCTGGGGCCGAATTCCAAGCTGCAACCCGTCAGGCGCCGTCCGGAGCAGTGGCAGGTGATTTCCCGAGCTTGTTGAAAGGTATAGTGTCAGCGTCATGTTTCTTAGGGCGTTTATCCAAGGTGGTTGGGAAAGCATTCACCCCGGGAATTCGATGTTTCACACATCAAAATGGCTCGCCATTTGTCAGCTGATAGGTGCACTGAAACCATTTTATGCGAGCATACTTGGATGTGCATCCCACTTTGCGCCTGGTTCGTAAAGCTTGCTAGCAGCTAGAGAACCCGCATTTCCTGGCATCATCCCATTTGCAACTGGGGACGCGAATCCATCCTGCCCCCTTTGCATCACGAGTTTGATTGGTTAGCTTCCTATATTTTTCCAGACTATATTCCCTCCCGTTGTCGGCAAACATCCTCAGCTATCATCCTGGCTAACCCTTGGGTTTTTGCAGCTCAGAACTGTCAGGGAAGAGCAACAGAAGAAACTTCTGTGCCTCTACCATGAGCCCATCGTTGAAGCAAGCGCCTGGGACTGGTCGAGAGTGGGTTGACCTTGGTTGAGACTGCAACTTTTCCGCCGGAGTTGGATCATAGCAGCAAACGCCATGCGATTTGACCCCCTTGAAGTTATGGGTGTGTGGAGCATGAACCCAGTTATTGTTGTGACTTGGTGCAGGGTTATTGGGATCCGGCCAGGCCCAGTTGTTCTGGCTTTGGTGAAGGACGGGGGTTGGAACTCCAGACTACAAGTCGTAGTTGCCCTGCAGTTGGCTGGTTGGTGGTTGGGAACATTTTTTATTTTTCCATAAATTATATATATATATATATATGGGGAATAGTAACCCCAACTGACTAATATTTTTCAGAGGGTTGAAACCACCAACCAGTTGGTCATTTCGGGGTGTATGGTGGGTTATAACTCTGGAAGGGGTCATCAGATTTAGCATCCAGTGGTGAGGAGCTTCAGCTGCCGGTGGACCCCTTGAAAGTTGAGGAGCTACTGAGGCATGGGGAGTCGTTGGGTTTAGCGCGGGTTGCAAAAACCACAGGATGGGCCTGAATTCTATGGTTTATGGTAGATATAACCAACTATAATTCATGGGTTTATAACTGCGGGGCACCATCCTGCAGGGTTTTGGAGTTTTTTTTCCCTCTCCTCCCTCGAAATCGCAATGTTTTGGGATAAACATGCCTGGTCATGTGGATATGTTGGAATTTAATTTAGCCGGATGAAACGCACATTTGATGTAAACTTCAACCAGTAGAACCAGGCATGGGTGATTGATTATAGACACAGATGGGTTTTTCAGCACACTTGATCCGATCTGGACAGATGGGATAAGATGGAATTTGAATTTGAGGTAAAGACTGCTCCCTTTCACACCCCGAGGTGTTGGATCCTGAACTGCTTTGCCCCTCGGCACAGCCGCAAAGTTATGGAGTTTTGAGATTCCTCTAGGGCCGTTCTTTGTTTTCCCCTTAAACTTAAGGCAAGTTTCGGCATTTCAAGGTGTTTTTCTCCGCAAAATGTGGGACCCACAGAAACTTTGAGAATCTTCAGTGTCACAGGCTCTAGGGGTTGGCTTGGCCTTGGCTGGTCAGCTGAGGAGCATTCAGAGGATCCAGAGGGCTATTCTGCTTACTTCATCTCTTCCTTCATGTCCCTCAGCTACAGATGATGTGATTTATTATGTGGTGTTTTGCCGTGCCGCAATTTCCTGGTATGGAGAGTGCGAAGCTAAAGCTTTTCGGCTGTAGGTTGCCAGGAGCCTTTTGGAGTAATTCGATGGGTGACCTACTGCACCGATGCTCATGCGTATGAGGGAACCCACCTCTCACATTTCTTGTACCCTCTGGTAATAACTATGGAATCACCATTTTCAATGGGAAAATCCACTATTTCTATGGCCATTTTCAATAGCTTTTTGTTAACGTCTACCAGAGGGTAACTATTCACCCAAACAAATTCCCCTTGACCCCAGTGGTCCATCGGCCAAGACGAGCAGGTCGCACTCCTGTAAGCCGAACGCCATTTGGCACGAGGGCTCCGATGCCATGCACGTGCGCCAGCGCGACTGTCGGGATTGGGCACCCATGGGCACCCGGAAATGGCCAAGAAAATGCTCAATTCATCCCCACTGTTGCTGGTTGCACCCCCAGTACCAAATAGTTAGACCTGGATTACAACATATTACAACCTCACTTGCTAACCCCTTAGGATACTGTAAGTCCCTGATTCTTGCGTTACGCATCCTTACGCCATTTTTCCCCCCCCAGTTGGCCCAGAAAAGAACGGGTGGAATGAGTTGGCCAATTGAATTTCAGTGGCTTATAATCATTAAAACTAAAGAAAACTACAACCTCTTAGGATAAGTCCCAGATTTTTGCTCAATCCCATTTTCCCCCGGGTCCTCACCCCCCCAACCCCCCCAAAAATCCCTAACCACTAACGAAGTCACTGGTGTGATCCCAGGTGGTACGAGCGCGGCTGGACATTCAGGACAAAGAAGAGATTTGCATCTCGTACCTCTCAGAGGCGAACAGCTGGGATTCACCAAGCAAAGCTGGGGTGAAGATGGGGATTTCACTCGGGAAAATGGATGGATATATATATATATAATATAATATATATATAATATATATATAATATATAATATATATATATGACCATTTGCCAAATATTTGACAGAAGATTTGTACTAGTTGTTGATAATTAGTGTGGACCTAGTGGTTTTTCCTCTTCGTTATGAGGCGGCGCGCAACTAAATTCACCAATTCTGCAAGGCGCTAACAAACCCGCTAGCAATTCGTCAAATATGGCTGTGGAAATCCACTGTAAATGGGCATTTCAATGTGAAACATAATCTATAATAGGGGAATTTTCCATTGCCTTGTTTGATTAGGATATAACCATTAGTGTGGGTGTCACCTTTGGGGCTGAAACCCTATGACTATGTCAGAACATCTTCAATAAGCAAAGCATCTTTAAGAAACTGATGCCACAATTATGGTGGACAAGGACCATCAATACCCCGATTTGAAAGTTATGGCAGAATTGTGGTCGAGTACACTCTTGTTATACCCTTATTTTTGCAATCCAAATCCCAAACTATGGTGGATTCATGTAGATTACACACGCAGATATATGTATATATATATATATATATGTATATTATATACATATACATATATACATATATATATATATACATATATATATATATGTATATATCTACATACCTTTAGTTGTACCCTGGCCCTAACATATCGTTCTTCCACCATCCATTTCCCCAGCCGCGGACTCCCACAGGACATGTTGATGTACAGCGCACTGCAGCGAAAGAAGGCGCTCCGCAAGACCAAGCTCTTCACCTGCGCCTGCGAGCGCTGCGCAGGCACCGGGATGCCATGGGGAAAACCGGGGGACAGCCACGAAACATCCGGTGGCTTCATGGTTTTTTTTCGAGCATTTCAAGCCATCACGTCTCAAAATCATTTCAAACATCTAGGAACACCCCAAACTGTGACTTTGCTAAACGGATAATAGCGAAAATCTGTGGTTTGAACATGATTGAACGCCAATTTTGGATTGTTTTGGGTATGCAGCAATTGGATGCAATTGGAATTTCACTGGCGAAACATATGACTGCCTTGGAAAGGACACTATTGCACGATCATTGAGACAAGCCATTTGTATAGCTGCAAAGTGATGCCACCGAGTTCGTTGTTGGTTTATAAACCCATCTAGCTCCAGAATACTATAGGTATATTCATCGCACACCCTAGCAAACCTGTTTGTAAAGAAACTTCGCCATCATTCATCACATCTAAACATCCTATAAATCATGAAAACCTTGGTTTAATCCTGATTTCTGCTCCTTCAATCCCCCTTTTTTTGAAGCCCTTAAGGGGCTCATCTTCCCCGCAATTCTGCCGTTCCTTCGCCCCGGAAAACCCTCCAGGCTCCAATGGCGTGCCCGGCACCGATTGGTGTCGTGGCTTCAGGTGTCCGCACTGCGACTTGGAGCCATCTAGGGATGGCAGATTTGGGGTCTGACGACAATTTGGTGGGAAAAATCATGGGAAAATGGCTTGAAATCTGAAGATGGGCTCATAATGACGAAAACTCGCCATTTAATAGGAAATCTGATGAGAATCTATGGAATGTTGGGGCATCCCAGCTGCAGGGCTGCATGTTCTATTCTAGCTGCATGTGGGGCTGTGTTTTTCTCAGTTACCCAATTCTTCCTCCAAAATTGTTTTGAAGGAAACTTCCTGCAGGAACATGCAGGAGCATGCTCCATGTGCATGGTAAAACCGATGTGGAATTCTTCAAAGAAACCAGCCCAATGAGGCAACCAGTTTATTTTAAAGACCGGTCTTGTGGTTTTCCTTTTGAACAATCCCCTTGAGGGTTTGGGAGCTGGCTGTCCCAGTGCAAATTGCACTTTAATCTATCATAATTAATTAGATCCAAAGCCAATATATTTTGATCTTTGGCCCACCTGAGTTTCTAGTCCCCCCAAAACCATCAGGTGGCAATTGCGGCATTTTTCCGTCCACTGGCAGTTTGCCAGCTGAGGCATGGTCATTTTGCAAGGTGAAATGTAGGTTTTCATGGCTTGATCTTTAGTCCTTGTTGATGGATGCATATCACTTGCCAAATGGTTTTGCCAATATATGTGGATATATTTTAGCGCAACCAACTTCTGTAAACAAACATGTATGTGCGTGTTTTTTGGGGGAGAGGGGTAGGGTAACCAAGATTGGCCATATCAGTTTGATCGTTCTGATCTGCAGCAACATTCCAACATACACCAAGTTGATCACCCCAAAGCACAAGAATCACACCCAACATCAACCAATCTGCCTGGAGTGGTTGAGGGATGTTGAGGGGACATTACAGGACCCCCTTGATATTGGGGTGAAACCTTGGTTTCCTGTCAAATTTCCCGGAAACTGTGCACCACTGAGCACCAGGACTTGGCAGCTCTGCGCTGCAGCATCTGCCAGCGCTGTTGTGGAGACTATGCCGCTGGCCTGCTGGAGCATAGGGGGTCCGATGGGGTTCACAGGGTTGGAAATCCCAGAAATTCCTGGAAAATGGCCCATTTATAGATGGTTTACCTGGGTTTACCTGGGTTTACCTATTTAAAATGGTGATTTTCCGTGGCTATGTTAAATAACCATACAAATCCATAGAATTCCAGGCTTTGGGTCGAGGCACATCTGATGTCTTCGGACCCACAGTCGCCGCAGGACACGGAGAAGTACATGCGGCAGCGATTGCAATCCGTCGACGAGGCATCGCATCAGCGGGCAGAACCCGGGCGGAAGGTTCGGAGAAAGCGCAGATGCCCACATAGAAACACCACTGGTTGGTGGTTTGGAACATTTTTTATTTTCCATAATATATGGGATGCTCCTTTCCATTGACTAATATTTTTCAGAGGGGTAGATCAACCACCAACCAGACCATTAAGCATCAACCAGATAGATGTCAACCAGACGAGTACTGTTTTTCTTTCTCCTCAAATCACCACCAACCTGTTGCCAGAGGGATTGACCTTACCCTGGGAGCCTTGGAAGAGGGCTGCGCAGCCGTGGCAGGCCAGCTTTCTCCAGCTGGCCGAAGGAGATGTCAGGCAGAGAGGGGGGTTGGGTTTTGATGATATCCTGGGATGTCCTGGGTTTGATGGGAGAATGTGTATCTGTCTATATATACATACATAATATAACAATAACATAACATAACATAACAGTACATTACATTACTTTACGTTACGTTACGTTACATTACACTACAAACATATACACGCATACATATATATATATATACATATGCAAACATATGCACGCATATAAATCCTCAAAAACAACATGTATGTCGATGAGTTTAAGGATAAGTGGTGTTTGCTGGCTGATAGGTTGTATACGCATTTGATGATTCTTGGGTTAATGGATTACTTGTACCTTGTTGCGGGAAAACCAACCAGCAACAAAAACTCAGCTATGTATCCAGGTATAGTCATCCTGGAGTAGATGGGAATATGGGGGTTTGAGTTCGTCAAGATGGGCTTATTGCATCATACAACTGACAGACATGGGGTCAGACATGGTAAAACAAGATGTCAAATGCACGTGGCAATCAATCTATCATAGCTTCCCATCCCCCAATCATTGAAAAGCAACGAGGACATGGGACCTCAAAATGAACAGCTCCACTGCGTGTTTATTCTTGGAGGGAAGATAAGACATCACCCCATATTCAAGAAGTTGCATTCGATCTACTCCAGGAACTAAGGATAACCAGGGTATCTCCTGATAGATATCCCATTAGGTATCCATTACTATCATTGATTCACTATGAACACCAGTAAATCTTCCCGATGAAATCCCAAAATCCAAACAGGAAAGATGATGAACAACTCAATTCTTGGGATGCGTTTTTGTTTGCTTTTAATAATTTTGGGTGTATAGACATGATCAAAAAAATCATCCCCCATCGGGGTTTCTACCATGAGTCGTCATCAGTCCCTGGATTTTCTCTAGATTCTCCCTTCATCAATTCTGGGAAGATATCGATCATGTGGCGAAGCCCAAAAGTGGATCATAGCTCACCTGACATTTCTCTAAAATGAATCGTGTAAAGAGTGAACATGTGATAAGTCTCTTGCATTTCATGACTACCACACTGCCTTTTCGTTTCTCACCCCGCCTTCCACTTCTTGCCCGAAGTGCGCATGAATGTCACATGCCCAACATCACTTCCTGACAGAACCTGGAATTATGATGAAAACTCATCAGTTTTCCATTTCTCCATGCAAGCCATACCCTCCGGTTATTTAACGGTTTGCCATAGAAAATCATCATTTTCTAATAGGTAAACCATCTATTTGTATTTGCCATCTATACCATTCCAATGTTAAATGACCAGTGACAGCCCGTCATAATGATATGTGAATTGTATCATATAGTATCAAAATATCTCATCAATGGAATTATTATGACATCATAAGGAATATATTATTACATATTAATATATATATATATATGTGTGTTATATATATATATATACATATTTATTATGATATCATAGGAAATCTCATGCCATGTATCTCATCACCAAACATATCCCTTCAACCATCCTAGGCAGCTGCAGGAGATGATGGGCGACCAAGCCACCTGGGTGGAAAATCGATGATCTTTGGGATCTGCCAAGGTTCAGATGTCTTTGATTTTAAGACCATGAAAAGTTATGAAAAGTTTGGGTTTGAAATCTTTCGGCATCTTTTTTGGCATCTTTTTCGACATTTTTTTGGACATAGAGTGGCTAGGAACTGCAGACGTGAAGATTCTTAAGTTCGGGGTTGGACAGAGTTGTTCACACAAGAATTTTGGACAGATTTGCTTCAAAGTGCGTGCGCATCCTTGGTTGAATGGTTGGTTTGAATGTTCAATGGCAATTCTTTTCCTGTTTTTTGCATTTGAATCAAACATTGAACATTCTGGCCAGCTTATTTTACCCTCTGGTAAATAAACGTAGACCCTGAAAATCACCAATTTTTAATGGAAACTAGTCTTCCAATCCCAACAACTGCCAGGGTCTATGTTAATTTACCAGAGGGTATCTATCTAATTTTTGATTCCACAGTGAAATGTTCACCTTTTTCCCAGTTCGGCGAAAGTGATCGACCTCCAAGGCCGGTGGCGCCTTAGGGCCTCAGCATTGGTGCCCTGGATGAAACATGATGAACACAACAAACAATTGGGATTTAGGGGAAACCATAGTTTGGCATGGAATGAAACATGATGAAACCATATCTTACATATATATATGTATATAACTGGGATTATTTAGGGGCTGGTGAATTTCTGGGGGAGGGGACTAGTTTCCCCATCCGCATTTTGAAGGTCTTTTTCTTCTCCAATCCCATAATATGGGTTTCCCACATGAACAACATATCATTATATCCCCTTCGCCCTACTTGGCGGGTCATCCCAGCCAGTGGATTTTCTGACCCCCTGTGAATTGTATTGATGCGCTATATCATTTTGATACCCAGACCCATCAACGCCCCCAATGGTGGGTGGAAGAAATCCTGCACCACCAAAAGGATGGTTGAAACCCTATAAATAATGGTATAAACCACCTATCAACTGGTGCAGGATTTCTTCCATCCACAGTATGTCTACAGCATATGTGCCACGATCAAAAAAGTTCGAATGTCTACCCATATTGGGGTGCGGTCATCAATCCATTTTCATAGGGGTTTATATATCCATTACAAGAGACATTCCTGATAATAATAGTGGGATCGGGATGACCATTAACCGTAGAACGTTGGTAAAGCAATAGCAAACCATCCCCAGTTTTGCAAAAAATGGATGGTATAAACTATAGAAACCATCAACATATATGGTTTACTATTGTTGTTATTATTATTGATCATGATTCTATAGACATCTTGCTTATTGTTGTTATTATTGATGTGAGACATATTATATATAGAGACACACGCATATATATATAAACCATCTTAGGATTTTTCTTATTGCTTTAAAACCCCAACATGACCATGTTGACCACCTTTCGCATGGATCCCAGCCGGCCTTTGAAAAGCGAGGCTCTGCGAGCGTCTCTGGAGCCTGGTGGTTCCCTGGTTGGACGCCAAGGGTCGGAGCAGCGAAGCCTTACAGATGTTGGAGGGACGCGTTAGACGCCTGGCCGTTAGACGAGTTCCTGGGTTGGGAGGTTGACATGTTTTGATGGATTTGGCCCCTGGGATGTTCAGATATTCATGGATTTAAGAGGGATTTTTGATGGACTTTAGGATGCTTGATTGTGACTTTGAATGGATTTGAAGGAGGTTGAATGGACTTTGGATTTTAATCTGAACTATGGTTTATAGGTAGGGAATATATTATTTATATCACAAATGGTTGGATGGGTTATAAACCAACTTATTCCAGCACTGCTGGTTGGTTGTTTCGATCATGCAGACTGATGAACCCCAACCCCAACTAAAAAACACAGATTAAGAGACCTTGACAAACCATTAACGCAAGTGACAAAGATAATCTATATAGTCTTACCCTCCGGTCATTTCAATGTGAAACATAATCTATAATAAGGGGATTTTCCATTGCCTTGTTTGATTAGGATAACCATCTATTAGTGTGGGTGTCACCTTTGGAGCTGAATTGGGTATGAATTGGGATTATTTTTACCACCAGCAACCAGCAACCAGCGGCGAATCCTAATCATCAAACATGTGCTTGATATCACAGGGATATCTTTATAGATGGTGATTTTTAGAAGGACGCTTTTGTTTGACGTTGGAATAGTTTGGATATAGTTGGAGTTGTGTGAACCCCTATTGCATGATATATATATATGCGTGTGTGATATATATATATGTATATGTATATGTATATTTGTATATTTGTATGTATATATATATATGTGTGTATGTATGTCATCAAAATGTATGTTAAGTCAAAGTCTATCTTTTTTTTGGGTTGACTCTGCTTGTTTTCACTCAGTTTGGCCCAGGCTGCCAGCGAGAGATGTTTCCCTGGCCGTCCCTTGATGATTTCAGGAAGAAAGCGGCCCTTTCCAAGGTTTTTCCATGAAACATGCTGATTTATATATGTTAAATTGGAATAAATTGGACGCTTTTTAGTGTGTTTTACAGTTCACATTTTCCAGGCCACATCAAAAGCCAGAGTCGATGTGAACCAACTGTATTCAATGAACAAAACAAAGCAGACTTTGAGGAAGATAAAGAACATTTATGAACATTTTATATACCAATGAAAATCGGAACGTTGCCCGCAACCAACTGGGTTTGTTCTATTTGGCAGACAGAATCTCAGACTTGGAGCGACCATCCAAGACACGGCATCCCATATTCACCACCAGCCACAGTCATGGCACAGTCATGGCCTGGCACAGTGGCTATGCATGTGATATCCGTGGGCCTAGAGGAAGCATCCCCTTTTTTTGTCAGCCGAGCAGCCGAGGAATGCCACCAGAGCCTGGACGATGCAGAAGTATTGTCGCTTGCTGCTGCGGCACTACAAAAGCACCTCGCAGGAGCTGACTCCCGATTAACCGATGTGGAACACCAGTCTGTCCGGCTTTGCATCGCATGGTGCGGGGCTCGTTTGGCGGGAAACTGACTAGCATGTCAAAGATGTCAAAGCATTCACTCCCAAAACATCCTAGAACTGGGATGGTGATAAGACATACCGCCCACCATAGCCTAGTTGTGTTATCAAAAGTGAACTAGTATCAACCATAATCCCCGACTTTTGCTGATCAGATCATGTTAAGTCCCAATTTTGACTATCAACCCCTTATATATGTTTGCCAGTTAAATCCCCTTATTTTTGTTGGCTAAATCCTGCTTGGGGCCAACTGACCAAACTCGTTTAGAACCCCTTCCTCCCGCGCTTCATTGAGGAGAAAGGCCGCCTGCCAGTGAAGAAGCCACTTGTCTGGGAAAAACTGGGGAAAATGTGGGGTGCCCAGAAGAAAAACCCAGGGATCATCAGCAAAAGACGGTGACTTAACCAGGACATTAACAGGAAAACCTCTAGATGAAAGCACCAAGAGCTTTGAGGATGGCTTTGGATCATTATCCGAACATTTAGCCGATTTTAACCCAAGTTCTTGCAGGGATTTCAGCGAAAGAACAAGTGGGGAAGGTAGCCAACAAACTAAAAATCAAGGATTTCACCAACAACCATCGGGATAGAATAGACAAGAACAAGATGGAAGACGAACATGAAGAGAAGACTGGCAAATTGAATTGCTGGAGCCCCAACATGACCATATCTCAATCATCATTTCCTGGTGCTTCGTTTCTTACAGCCAATATCCCTGTAGAGTTTTTACACTACGTTGCACCCAACCATTCTATTCGGTCAAAACGTCGCTTGGGAATTATGTTTCATTGGAATTGCGTCATGATTTACATTTGTTTTCTCACAATTGAACTGTACTATTCCCTTCCCCCGAATATTATACACCCCCCGAATAAACCATGGTTTAGTAAGGAAATTACACACATTTGGGACTATACAATGGGAATGTTTTATATTAGCGGGGTGGGATGATTCATTCAATATTCCCATTATACCTGGATGATTCATCAATATTCCCATGAAGTTCACATTATACCCTCATTATACCCCCATTAAATCCCATTCAATCCCCATTTTGCCCAGCATTTTCCATGGGTTTCCCTGGTTGCCTTCCCTTCCAAGCCTTGGTCCTCGAGATGCCTCAGGGACGCGCCCCGGCGCATGCTGGCGCGCGCCCTGACGCTGCAGGAGGAAGCGCTGCGGCTGCTGACGCTGCTCTTCGGAGACGAGCACAGGAGCCGGGATTGGTTGGGCCCCTTGGGGAAGCAGCGGAACTGCTAGGAATTTGGGGAGATAAAAAAGGTGGGATGAATGGGAAGGGGATTTCATGGGGGTTATTGGGGATATAATCAATGTATATGAATGAGATACATTGGGATATCTGAAACCAACAATGTGATTTGGTTGTTTGGTTTCAGACATCTTGAACCTTTTCCAAATGTCCCTCCCCATTTGGAACCGAACATTAATTCTTCGATGACTCCGACGACTTGCCTAGCTTTTGCTTGGTAAGTTGGTTGTATGTCTTAGTTTCATCCAGGGGACTGCCCCAGTTGTTTATATATTGAGATTTTCTTCACCATTGTTTCTTCATGTTTCTTCCACATCCTGATCCTTCAGATCCGTTCTTCCTTTGAATGCCGGAAAATAGCAATGGAGATTCCGTCATTCGAAGTTGAACTTTCTACACCTGCGGAATGCCAAGCGCCAGCAAAATTTGATTACATGGTACTATGAATCACTACATCCACTCTATATCCCACATTCTCCCAGGATATGCCCATAAAACTGGTTGCTTTTGAACCTGTCTTCCCATTTCTTCATGGCCAGCCATGGCGATTCCCATCATCCTACGAGGTATGCGGCCCGTGCCAAGAAGAAGCTCCGGCGCCTGAAGACCTTGGCCGACAAAGCGCGGCCGGGCGGCAGCACCGGCAGCGCGGGCGCATCACGGCTGGAGGGGGCCATGGCGTAAGCCATGTGATTTGCTGATGAGGATTTCACTCACATTGGGGATTTCACCAGGGAAAATGTGAGCATACCAAAATCGAATATATATATATATATATGATATTTATATTTATATATTTATATATTGTATATATTATATATATAATATACCTATATATATAATATAATAATAATATATATATATATACCTATATAATATACCTACCCTACGCGTCCAAACCCTGGATTTTTCTCGGGTTTCAGGACAGAACTCGGTTTTACCCAACTATGGAGGTCAAAACTCGGTTTTACCATGTAAAACTCGGTTTTACCCCATAACCCTATATTTACCCCACAATCCATAACCCTGCCTTTGCCAGCACAGGAAATGTTTATTTCACGGCAGCATCGCTCAGCAATTTGGAACTATTTGGCAGGGTCACTCAGCAGATTTCGAAAGAAAGTAACATTCCAAAATATTCCAAATATGATCGTGCTATAGTATCAACATCTTTCGCGGGACCCAGCCAACTTTTGGAAAGACAAGTTGCAACATGGGCCTTTATAGGCAACTGAATTGAAGAAAATGGCAGCCGTCTGATTTTTTCTACCTTTTGGTTGGCCACTTTGGTTGACCACTTTGGTTGAGCCATGGCCATGGCAACTCTACTTTCCAAGTTTGCCGGGGCCCCCGGAACACTCAGCAATGCCAGAGTCCTGCAAAGCACAGAATGGCCATCAAGAATCCAGACAGTGAAATTGCATGGGGAACGGTTCGAATTCGAAAATTGTGGAAAACAACATCTATCGCGTGCATGTTATGCAGGTAGTTTTTGGCTCAGGGTGTCGGCTCTGCTGGCATGGCCCGCAGCAGGGATAGAAGAAACACCCCAGCTGAGGTGGCCAAGAAAGGACCACCTTGTGACATAAAGGAGGTTCACAAGGAATGGGACAATGATGACAATATCAGAAATCGTCTCCGTGAAGGGGGTACTTTCCTAGAGCCTGGCACAGTTGTTGATGCCGAGAATATCCAAAATGCAGTCACAAACAAAAATACTTTGATGCCGCTTTTGTGCCGGATGTCTGTTCTAGACAGGCGACCTTTGCCTGCAGTGGAGGATCTTCGGGACGAAATCAATGAGACTCTAACTGCTAACAAAAGGGTTGGGCAGGGGGAGGTTAAAATGATAATGGAGTCGGCCTCGACCTTGAAGAAACTATGCAGTTTTCTCAAGATGAAGTGCCGCCGAAAGGAGGTATCCAGCGTGACTCATCAGCAAGTAAGAGGGAATTTTCCATTAGTCCAAAGATTTATGTTCATATCGTCTCACAGCGCAGTTGCTTCAAACTTATCAAGTTGCTATCGCACCTATCCGAACCTACCCAACCCAAATCTTCCTGAGGAAGGTGATTTCCAGCTTCTTTGCTTGGCGCTGGATCCCATGTTGCAGGTGAGGGAAAAGTATATTGGTTTTCAATGTCTTGCTTCCTGAACTTTCGGTTCTTTCCACTTGCTCTAGCCCAAAGTTTCTCCACTCATCACCTTTCGGAGGTAGAGGTTGACAACGTGAATGCGAAGCGTCAGTCTAAGGACTGTTTTTTGAACAAAACACATGGACTAAAGATGGTCAAGTATCAGGTGTGTCCAGTTCATACCTAGTTCGTTTCTTTCTCAATATTTTTCCCCAGGAGCAAGTGGAGAACGAGAATGCAGATGAGGATGAGTACAACGAAGAAGGAGCAGGACAGGGTGAAGAAGGAGAGGAGGAAGAACCACTAGAAGTAGACGAAGAAGTACCAGTGGAAACTGGGCCACCAAGTGAGGTTGTTGCTGTTTCTGCACCGGCGGCCAATGGAGAGACAGGCGTAGGTCAAAGTGGAAACAAAGAAAACCCAGGGAAAGAAGTTAAGACAGCCAAGGACAAACCGCAGGAGGAGAGGACAGGAGACAACCAAGAATCTGGAACAAACAAAGCGCCCAAAACAAAAGAGGAGAATGATGCAAACACAGATCGCAAAACACGTGATGAAAACACAGCAAAGCAAAACCCAGCACAGGCAGGAAAGGAACCCTCGGAAGGAGAGAAGCCCTTGGAAGGAAAGGAAACGAATGACAAAGCAGGCACATATTTATGGGGGTGTTACTTTGGGTTATGTTATGATGATGCAAGATTGTGTTCAGAACAAGCCTTCATCACACGCTTTCCCAAACACTTTATATACTTTCTTTGTCTCAACCGGGGTGTGTTTTTGTGTTCCAAAAAATTGCCCAAAGGTCAGTTGGAGAAGAATCAGAAGAGACGTGAGGAAATCCAAGCACGCCTTGCGGAGAACCTTAGCCATATTTAGAAGAATGTGCAATCAAACGTCTAAGATGTGATCCAAGCCCAACAAAGTAAGCAACAAAGCATGTGAACAGAAACTCTGACCTTCTCAGGCTTCAAAAATTGAAGGAGGCCAGGGTGGCAACCACCACTGCTGCTGGCAAACAAGAACCAGGACACAATAGTTTTGTTGGGGGGTTGGGGCTCCTAATTTGTCATTGGTATCTACAGAATAGACCTTGGCCATTTTCCGGCCATGTTGTTAAAGTTTTGTTTACATCAGCCCCTTGATTCCCTCCCTTAACATGTGCTAAGACCGTTCGCAAGTAGTAGCAAGTAGCAGGTAATGGGTCTAAGCAACGTGCCGTTTGGTTTGGGTCTTGCGCTGTGACAGTTTTGATTTTCACCCACAATAAAGCTAGACCCCTCTCTTTCTCTCCCTTTGCCTGTTTCAGTTGCCTTCTTTTTTACAGTATGCAGTGTCACATAAATATGTTAATTGTTTGTTGTCAAGTTCTATTCCTTGTCATGCCATCCTTGCGAGGACTGGGGAGTTCGAGCGACGATGCCGACACGCTGCCCCAGGACATCAGAACCGTGCCTGTCCCACATGACAAATCTCCTGAGTGGACATCTCCAGAACTTTCAGCAAAGACAAGAAGGTCTAAGTATCAGGGTGTCAAGACAGCAGAAGAAGAGAAGGAGAGCTTAGAGAAGGTTGAAAACAAGAAAAATGATGGAGTTCTAGCGCACAAGCAAGAGCCTTCGCAAAAGGTTATCGAGAAGAAGAAGGAGGAAGCGACTGACAAGGCGACGGAGAGTGATGCCGAGGCCAGGCAGGACTGGGTATTGGGGTGTTATGTGTTTATCATCTCTAGTCTTATTGAAAAAATGATTGACATCAACTTTGTTCATATCGGTTGCTGTTGCAGGAGGAGAATTTTGTGCGAAGAGAGGACCAACTGAGAATGAAACCGGAAAGGGGTAGGGGTAGGGGGAAAGGAAAAGGAAGGGGGCGAGGAAACGCTAGGGAAAAGAATGCTGGCCCCGGAAGCTTGCGAGGAAAAGGCAGGGGAGGAGGGAATCCAAAACGAAATGCGTCAGGTGGAAGCAAGCCTTCCGGTGCCACTGCGGCTCCCAAAACAGCCAAGGCAAAAAACAATGCAAGCAAAACAGGCAAGGCAAAACAAACCGATGAAAATCAGTCTGAGTGGTGGGAGCAAGAGTGGACGGAGGAATGGGACCATCAGGATGAAGAGTGGGCTTGGGGAACCTATGAACTAGAGTCAGAGCAGGAACCTGCAGCATCAAGCAGGAGCAAAACAAAGAAGCCTCAGAAGCCCAAGCCCAAACGCGCAACAAAGAGCCCCAGGGCAGCAAAGAAAGGTGAGACAAAGGCTGATGCAAGCAACACTGACGATGCCATTGAGACCCCACCCCCCAAGAAGAAAGCCAAGACAGAAACCAAAACCAAGACAGAAGAGAATCCCAAGGAGAAGAAGAAGGAGAAGACATCTGACAAAAGAAAAGCCAAGGAGGAGAAGGACAATGCTGATGACCAGGAAAACGCAGAAGTGAAACCCAAGAAACAGCGCAGGCTTGTCGTCACCAATGTTCAAAATGGTGATGAATGTGAGCAGGTTTCCCGGGAAGCTATCTTGGAATTTTGCAGGCAGTTCAAAACGCGAGAGAACAAGGACCACAGTGAAGAGTCCAAGAGTGAGATCAAAAACAAGTTGCACTTAGATGACAGCCATTGCACATACAACATCTACTGGAGACGCCCTGCGGTTGGAGCGCATTCGCTCGATGGTAGCACCATCCAATACTTCGCCTATTCAGAAAACACCTCCCCTTGGCTATACCGTGCTGCTGCCATGATGAAAGCCGCAGAACTGTTGGAGACTTGTATGCGCTAGTTGCTGTGTTATGATGTCCATAGCGTCATGTCTCAATCCATGAGCAACCATGTAGAATGTCAATTTATTCTTAGGAGAGTGTTGTAGACCTGTCCCATAAACCCTGACGCTCGCGCTCGCTCAGGCATCTCACATGGAAGAGATCATCGCCGAAGACCAGATTGCTCCCGAAAGTCATCTGAAGGATAATTGGAAAATTTGTGCCTGGAGTGACATCTTGAAGAGGGCAATGAAAGTTGCCGACGAGGTCTGAGTTTCACTTGCTATACATCCTTGTTCTCCAGCCATGCAGGCCGTGTGGAAGGTTTGCCCATTTTTAAGGTTGGCGCTAAACATGTGGGAAAGCACACGCTATGGCCTGCTTAGCTTTCCAGGCTGTTTTGTGAACGAGGCTAGCGTCAGCAAAGAACATGTTCAAAGTTGAAACTCATCATGGCTACAAAATAAGATCAGGTAAAGATGCTTATTTTCCCACTTTTTGGAAGTAAAAAGTTTCACTAGAATAAAAGCCTATGCCATGTACAGCTCATAGATTTGAATCTTTGCAGACGCGGTTTGGCAGCGCGTGTAGCAGTGGGCCTATAGATATTCAAATCATAGCTCAATGGCCAATCCTGGGAATTTTGGAGGCTTTACAGCTTCAAAAGCAATTGCTCACAGTCAAAGTGTGTTGAATGCGGCAGCACCTGGGCCCCCAAGTCCCAGGTCCTGAGTTGAGCTGGTGGGACCACAGATCATCCATTTGAACCTGCGATCATTGTCGAAGCGGGCAAAAATAGGGCCGCTTCCGTGCATGTTGGGAATTTGCTGGGGGTCGCTTCTTTGAAACATCTTTCCATCTTACCACCTGATCCAAAAGCATCTATAGAAAACAGAAAAGTATCTGTTGAATGAAGTCGTGGATGTTTCTTTGCAAAGCTCTCTTCTTTGACCTGTGGACGCCACCGTCACACTGACCACCTCCTAGGTTTCAGGAACCACAAGCTTGTTACTTGTCCACTCCAGCCCGGCCTGAGGTTGGAAGATGCCTCCTGCCTGGCAAAGGCGGAACCCGTTGGGAGTGCAAAAGACATTGTTGAAGAAAGCCAGTGCAGCTGGCCTGTTTATTAGGCCCTTTGTCTGAAACCTGCACAACTAACTGATAATAATTGACGATGGTATCCTGATGCCTCATACTGACACATGCCCATTTCTCATCAGAAGCATTTGGCTTTGTGTTGGGGGTAGCTGGCTTGTGACACTTGAACGCCGAAATCCAAAGCAACAGAATCATTGATGCTCACTTCAAACCTCCAATGTGGTTTTACTTCTTAGCTTAGGGGGTCGCACTCCCAGTCTGTGCAGCGTGGCTTGCTGCGATCTTCGCTCGTGCAGCAATGTCGTGGCTTGACGAACTAGTGTGGCGGCTACATGAGCTGCAATGCCCGCAGGAAGTCCCCCCATACAGTTGAAAAATGCTGCATCTTTTTCGCCAATGTTTTTTTAGACGGCTTGACTTTTAACAACAATCCATTTTTGGAGATGCAGGATTTCGTCTTCTGCATACTGCTCCTGTGCTGGAGCGGATATGATCTCCTGCAGGCACCTAATCGGCTCATGTGTGTCGACCTGTTGTGTTCTGATGTTGGGTGTAGATGATGTTTTGACAAGATACTAGGAACAGTCTAGATTTTTGGCTTCTGATCGATTGCGCACGTATATGTGGGCATGAGGATTTCTGACAGCATTTTGTCATGTATCATTGGAAACGTTCCAAAATCCAGCAGCATACTCTCCTATCGTCTATCTACTGTCCCTGTCTTTCTCCTCCGATTGTTTTTCAAATGCCCCTTGGCTCTGCAGGAGTTTGAGTATGTGGAGTACTTTGCAGGACATGGGAACATCACTCGGCAGATGCAGTCTGCAAGGTACTGCGCTGTGAGGATGGATATCATAGACCATACCCCTAGGAAGCCGAAAAAACAAAACTATATGGATCTCTGTTCACCATGTGGATTTGCGTTACTCGCATGGAGTTTAGCAAGTATCCAAAATTTCCATCTTTACTGTTTCGGTACCATGCTTGTTAGTTAGTGCTGCACATGTTGGAACTGACTGTGTTTCCCCAATCATGTCTGTTTCAAATCTTAGGCTTGGAGTGTTGGTGATGTTGAAGACGGTTATCAACAACTTCGCAGCCCACTTTGGCATTAAATGCTCTTCACTGTGCCGAGTGAACAAGGGGACCAGCATGAGATCGGCTTGCTCTTCGGAAGGCTATGTAGGCCATGTCTCTGTTCTGATATCCAACAAGCTGCTAGACAGGACAAGGTGGTTTTTAAAATTTTGTTCGTATTTCAGATGGGAAAATAGTGTCTTGTCACCACCTGTTTTCCCAGCCCTCAGTTTGGCCTGTGCCACGCTGCTCCGCAGGACCTGTGCCTTAGTTTTGCTGTGCACAGCATTAGGCGGTGCCTGGAGTCTAGAACAACCATCGGGGAGCCTGTTGGAATATTTTCCCACATGGACTTATGTCATGCGGAAGATCTTCGATAACGGTGGCCCACAAGCAGCCACGTCCTCATTTGGTTTTAAGATGCCAAGCATTATTAAGAATGGATGTCAAAAGCACCTGTGCGTTCATACCTTCAAGTTGCATATGTGATGGAATCTTTTTTACGTGGATATGTTTACTTGGCAAATCAGCATGGCTATGCGCTTTTAGTGGCATCTCCTTTCTCTCTCTCTCTCTCTCTCTCCCCGTCTCTTTCTCTCTCTCTCTGTCTCTTTATCTCTCTCTCTCTCTCTTTCTTTCTCTCTAGTTTTTTTGGGGACGTTGCTCAGACACTCACAAACTCAGGTGCATATCGTTCGCTGGTGGATGAAACATTACGGATCGAGAACTTCAAAGCGTCACATGGGTTTTGCCAACTCACCAGCGATTCGACGACTAGACCTTGGACGTTTGCAAGTTTCAAAAGGACCTGCACCCAAAACATGCGTTAAATACCACGACAGACAAGGACGTCTCAAATACAAAGGAACGAAGCACCTAAAAGCCACTGAGATCCTTTGCTGAACATATCAGTGGGTGAAATTTTCAAGCCCCCAAGTTCAATTATATAGCAGCAAAATTCGAAGGGACTATTCTCAATAATGCTTCTTAAGTCACTGAGGTCTGATGGTTTTCCAAATCCTGTTTTCTCATAGAAAGATGCATGAAAAACGTGTTGATATCAATTGCCAAAGTCAGCTTTAAACGCAGTCAACTATGGGTGTTTCTCCTACCCCATAGATCCGACATGGCATCCAACCTCCCAGCTCAGCTGTCGGCTTTGAGGATATACCCGATGAAATTTGCCAGGGCTGTCTTGGACCTGGTGGAGCCATTGAAGCAGGGGGCCCGGGGACAGCCTTCACTCCCCGATGGTGGGGCACCACCCGCCTTGTATACAATGACCCAATTTGAATGGCCAGTCCCTGCTGGGCTTTGGAAATACGCAGATTTTGCTGAAACCTTCAATTACTTGAGGGGTTCCAAGCGCCTCGTCATTCCAGAGGAATGGCGCGATGTCGTCCCCAGAAAGATGAAGAACAGCTTCAGTGATGGGGATAGCATTGGTGATGTTTAAACCAGTTTTACAGGTTCGATTTATGGTGGTACACCTCGGAAATATCATCAACAATCGGATTTATATAGTTTTTTTAAGGTTTTAATAGGGTAAATCCAGGGTGCGAATGATTTTTAAGGGCCAACCCATGATTTACCCGTGTTATAACCATGATTTACCCGTGTTATAACCATGATTTACACCCGAAACCCAGGTTTTACCCCAAAACCTAGTTTTACCCCTACCCATGATTTACCCGTGTTATAACCATGATTTACCCGTGACGAACCATGTTTCAAAACATGGGTTTGGGGGTCAAAATTCCATATTCTTTTGAACACGTTTTTTCAGAAAATTATGACATCACCAATCGCTTTTCTTGGGTTTGAAGTCCATCAGCCATCAGAGAAATCGAGCCTGTCGGCTGCGATGGCCGTCGGTTTTCGGAAATCGGGAATCGGTTTCCGGGATGTCGGGAAGTCGGGTCCGGCAGGATCCAAAGATTGAAATTCTTTACAATTCATAGCCTGTAACGGTGGTTAATTCTCTGCAGTGTCCTGCCACGGGGTAGCTGGAGCTTGTCTACAAGCTTCTTTTGTGGCATCTGGGAAAATTATCCATTGCGGATGCCCTGCTTTTCACATGATCTTTGTGACATTCTTCAAACCAGAGCTTGCATCAACTTGATCGATATCTGTTACAAGAATGCCTAGTATACCAGTCACATTTTGGATCTCTAGTGCTGTAGTTCTTCGCGCCTTAAGCCTGTCTTTGCCTCATGCCTGAGAGACCGCAAAGCGTGGACAGTTCTTTGGGGGGCTCCAAGCGTTGGAGCTGTGGTACCCTTGAAGAGGGCATCGAGCATGTCCAAGGGGCAGCGCACAACAAGTCAAAATCTCTTGAAGAAGAACAGCTACTTAGAGAATTACAGGACCGCAATTACATCAAAAAAACATATGACCATATATGTGGTTTTGATCTGGAAATTTCTTTGCAAAAGTTCAATCATAATAGTTTTTGAACTCAAATTATTTTCCCTATGCTTGTTCCTTTCCCTATCTCGATGTTTTTATGTTCTTACCTGAGCAGGAGCTAGATCTGCAAGAGAAGGAGTTGAATGGAACACCTGCACAGGCCTCAAAGTTCGCACCTTGCCCCATTACATCCAGTACCCTTCCAAATCTTGAGGCCGCTGGCGAAAAAGATCCATCGGAGCTCGAGACTCTTCCAGTGAAATCCTCATTGGCAGCGCTTGCTCACTTCCAATGGGAAGGGGTTTCCTGCGGGTACAAACTGAGGCTACCGAAGAAGAACTCTGTGCTGCTACTTTGGGCGAGGCTACCCTGTGATTGTACTTTTTTGGGTGCGTTTGTCTTTGACACTCGCTCAACGGTTTCTGCAAACGACCCTATCAGAAACGAACAAACAAGTAGTTCATCAGTTGGTATCACTTTGGGGCAGGATCAGACTGGTGTGGGCGCTCCTGTGGCAACCCCAGTTCGCAAACGAGATGAGCATTCTGGGGAACCACCTTCCAAAGCTGCCAAGACCGAACCTGCTACTTTGACACCTGTGACACCTGCGTCCCAAGGGTCCCCGCAAACTGGCAATGCACCAGAAAGCCCACCCACACCTGAGATCGAGCCAAGGGATGGAAAGAGACCTGCGTGGCTTCAGGGTTTAACGATTCGCCAGGCAAGGGCTTGTGAGATTAAGTTCCAACAATAGTCTGTTGAATTCATCGGTACATCCCCTAAAGTTTTGACACAGTGATGATTCTAAAGTTGTTTGAATACCATACCAAACCTGCCTGACGTGCATTCTAAAGCTCATTAATCTTGAATTCCCTGCAGTTCAATGCACGCAGAGCTGCGAAAGCTCGCATTGACCGGATGGTCAAGCCCCACAGCCGCCGCAGAGAGCTCGACCCCCCAAGTTGGCTTGTAGAAGAGTGGAGGAAGGGGGATAAGAACAGCATGGCGGACCTTTACAGTTCTGTTAATTTCGACAAGGACCTGGTTCAGTTGAAAAAACAACTATGGGTTTCAACTGATATTTTAAAGCAAAGGTATGTCCATATAAATGAGTTTTTCTAGCACGTGAAAGTGAACCCACACCAACAAGCACACACACACACACACTTGAAGACACTCTCTCTCTCTCTCTCTATCACTTGCTACTATATGCTTCACTTTGCAGGAGCGTTTCTTGAACGAACTGCACATTCTGGTCAAGAAGAAGCAGACGTTCAAACTCACCGTCGACCAAGGTTGGTTCTCAGAGCAAGAGATGAAAGATGAGCTCAGTTGGTCACAGCAAGATGCTCAGTCGAAGTTGTTCACAAGCAATACTCAAGTCAGATTTCTTTATCTTGATATATCCTACTATATACATACTTCCATGGATCTTACCAGGTCGAAGATCAATGGAGCAAAGTCCAGATGCTTACAAATGGCAGAGACCCATGTGAGGCGGCGGCATTTGCATCTTTCAATGCATATATTTCCTCACAAATTCTCTTAAAAACACCTAACACATACCTGAGCTGATATATTCAAACAAACATCTGAAACACTCGTCTCCCTTCTCTTGCTGCCTCCACGCAGGAACAATGCATACGACGGTGTCCAAGAGTTTTGGATTATCGTGAAGGAACGGGCCCGGAGCACAGAGGAGAGCAGCTATGAGGAGCTTCAACACCAAGTATCCAAGGCCGACACTGATGTTGACACCAAAAAGGACAAATTGCATAGCTGATCCTGGCAGGCAGCTGCAGCGCCCACGTGCCAGTTTGACAAGAAGTTCGAGGGCTTAAGTGGTAATTCTGCCCGCACCCAGAAAGAACAGCAGTCTACCGCAGAGATTACCCAACATGACAAGTATATGCAGGATTGGGGTTCAAAACAAAAACCTGTTTTGGGTTTGGAATCGGAGAAAAAGTGTTTGAGCTTACAATTCAGGGTTTATCTTCACAGCGTTTTGTTTTTGTCAAGATGCCCGTGTCTAGCCTGCTCTTATACAAACAACCCTGAGACCAAAGAGCGTCTGACGAAGTTCTTGGAGTCCATCATGAACAAGAGCGGCAAGCTTCGCAGTTTGATCAGGGAATTGAGCACCAAGTATTCTGATGCAGCCGCTGCCTCGTTTCTTTGACCCGACCTTTTTTATATATATATATAGATTTCTTTCCGGATGCTAATCCAAGCCTCCTATCTCTCAGAATCTGTTCTTGCAGGTTCCATTATTCTAGTACAAAAGTTTCAAACATGATTAATAGCTCAGCCTTGTAGTCTTCAGACGCCATCCGCATTCCCACATTCTGCTGGCTCCTCTGCATCGCTGAACTCCAAGGTGTGTGACTTCCTTGGAAGCGGAGATCAAGAAGATTGACCAGCAGTATGACATCTGCAACGAAGCTATGGCTCAGGGGGAGCTGGATGGCTACAAGTCGGACAAATTACTTGTGCGTAGTCACAACTGCATCTGATTCATATACTGGTATCAAGACAGTGCATGACCCACTAACATTACATCAAAAAAACACAATACAAGATACGAGGCCTAACAAAGGTACCGTTTGGGATTGGATAGGAAACACGGGAATCGAAATTCCGCTGGATTAGAATACGCTGCTTCAGACACAGCCTTCAGTTTTCAAGGTTTTACAAGATGGCGGAGGACCGGATGAAGGCAGCAACCTTTGTGTGCATACCCTAGCGTCCAGCTGCAGTTCACTTTTCAGACCTATAAATCTTCACAAACGACACATATTTTGATTTGCCCCACGCTCGCCTAGGTGTTCCAAGGCTACGGCGTTGGAGCTCAAAGTGAGGACCGTCTATCAGCCTATCTTTGAATCACCGACGTGTCCTGCAGCATGCTGTGGTTCAAATTCAACTTCAAACATCTTGAACTGATGACCTAGTGAGCGGCAGGAATGCCAAGAAATTCTACGTCAAAGCTGAGAAGACGCCTGATCTTTCTGAGTCCAACCAACCAGAACCGAAGACAAAACCGGTTCCCAAAGCTAAGGCAAAGAGTGTGCCCAAGGCACCAAAAAAGAACAAGGCCAATAGCAAGGCCAGGGCCAAGAAGGCTTAGGCCATATATGTTCTGGGGTTCTAGTCCACCACACTCTACTGCAGCCCGCCACCACGGCACAAGCCAGTAGCGCAAGTGATGTTTAACATTCGAAACTTCAACATATAATATTTTATGGCCTTAAACTGGTTTGACTGGTTCAAAGTTACCACCAAAAGGATTTAATTCTCTAGAGATGCGTGGGTGCTTGAGAAGGGTGTGCATGGAAGGGGTCATTAGATCTAACGATCTTGGGCTCCACCTCCCGGCTAGCCTGGGCATACCTAGGCGCTTGAAGGAAGGTGGCAATCCTGCTGTGGCAACGCGTGAAAACAACACATGATGGATGCGCATCATAATCGTGAAATTTCAACAGTGGCTGATATTTGACTACGCCCATTGGATGCCGGGATCGCACATGCATGTTGATCGTGAAAGACTGTCAATAAGAACTCCCAATAAAGGGGAATCATAGTAATTATTCATTTTGTCATTTGCCAGGCAAACACCAAGCTGGGCGAACCCTGCGCGGCCTCAATGAAGAGATTGGCCGTGGTGTCCAAGCCTCAAAACGGGCCGAAATTTCTTCAGTTTTTTCCCCAAAACTTTGTGTGGGGTTCTTGTTATCCCGTCCGCCTCCTTCTCCTGCTCCTCCTCCTCCTCCTCCTCCTTCCGCGCGCGCGCGCTCTTTGTCACACACAACTTTGTCACACACATTCTTTCACACACATCTTTGTCACGCACAACTTTGTCACACACAATCTGTCACACACACACAGCTTTGTCACACACAACTTGTCACACACACAACTTTGTCACACACAACTTTGTCACACACATCGTTGTCACGTACAAGTTTGTCACACACGTAATTTTGTCACACACAACTTTGTCACACACCATCTTTCACATACAACTTTGTCACACACACACAACTTTGTCACACACCGCTTCGTCACACACACACAATTTTGCCAGACACAACGTTGTCACACACAACTTTGTCACACACACATACAACTTTGTCACACACAACTTTGTCGCGCACAATCTGTCACACACACACACACAACTTTGTCGCGCATAATCTGTCACACACAACTTTGTCACACTCAACTGTGTCACACACAACTTTGTCACACACAACTTTGTCACACACCTCACACCGCTTTGTCACACACAGCTTTTTGTCACACACACACACACACCATCTTTCACACGCAACTTTGTCACCCGCAGCTTTGTCACACACACACACAATCTGTCACACAATCTGGCAACGTGGCACTTCTTCACATCGACCTTTGTTTTGCATGGCAGGCGTGGCACTTATGGCACTGGGCTGTATCTGGTGGTACGCTTGGTCGCCGTTAGTCGCCCGGGGCGCCGAGGCACTTTGCGACATCGACCTTCGTTTTGCGTGGCAGGCGTGGCACTTATGACACTGCGTGGAATCTGGTGGCGTGCTTGGTCGCCGTTAGTCGCCCGTGGCGCCACGGCACTTTGCATGGCAGGCGTGGCACTTGGCGACATCAAGCTGCGTTTTGTGTGGCAGGCGTGGCGCTTGCTCACATCAACCTTCGTTTTGCGTGGCAGGCGTTGTACTTATGACACTGGGTTGGCTCTGGTGGCCACACACACTTGCCAAAAAAGACTGAAGGGGTTAAACTCCTTGGCGTTGTTTGGCCACCAGACTGGGTTCTAGGAGCCTGTGGAAAATATGTGTGCTTGCGCATGCTGACGCTTTTGGATTCTGTTCCTCTCTCCACCAATTGCCACAACAACTATCGGCAAACATGCAAAGTTTTGATCTCAAGTGCTATCCACACCAAGCGTCAGAATCAACACTTTTTTCCTGACCCACCTAGACAGTATTTTTTATTTTTTGCCTGAGCCTAGGCGTAATGCGCTGCGACCATTCGCACAGCCCGGAACTTTGTTGCAGATGTTGGGGAGACAGCTGCATCACGATCTGCTGGCCTTGTAGGGCTAGCACAGCGCAATGAAAAGAATTCTGAGAGGGACAGCCAGCGTTTGATGGTGAACCAGTTCGGACTCAGCTTGCCCATCCCAAAATCGGATTTGCGTTGCAAAGATGTTACTGTCCCAGTGCTTCGCTTGCGAGATTGGATCAACTACCTTCTAGCAGGAAATCACTGGCACATAGTTACGGGACTTGTTCGGCCGGACTGGAAAAGGGAAGAGGCCATCCTGGAAAAATTCTGGAACCAATATCGTGTTCAGCAGCCAAACCATCCAATCTTCGAGAAAGAACGGCTGGGACAACTGCGGCTGAGCCACTGCGCTCCGCTATTATTGCATGGCGATGAAGGCCGTGGAAGAAAACGGACCGCCTTTTTGGTTTGCAGCTTCTACAGTATCTTAGGCCGAGGGGTGCTGAATCGACAGAAGCCGAGAAAGGCACCTTACCTCAAGATGCTGCCAAATTTCCATGGACACACTTATACTTCGCGCTTCCTACTTGCGGCGCTTCCGAAGCACATGTATTCAGGGGCTGCCAGTCATGTCTTTGATAGCTTGATGGAGCTGGCAACTGATGAAGTTGATTTTATGTTCAACGTTGGCTTGCAGCACCCAGAGCGCGGAAATGTTCGAGCTTGCCTGCTGAACATTACAGGGGACTGGCCGTGGCTGGCAAAATCTGGAAACATATCGCGTTCATTCTTGAACGTCCAAAAGCACAAGGAAACTGCAGCATGCAAAGGTGTATGCCACCTTTGCAAAGGAGGCCAACCTGGATACCCTTATGAGCAACTTGGCACGAGGACTCCAGTGTGGCTTGGCAGCCTATTTTCTGATGACCCTTTCAAGACTCCTCCCCCTTTTCTGCGCCTACCACATGTCCCAGGGCAAGGCCCAGCCTTGTGGTTCTTTGATGTGTTCCACACATGGCACCTCGGGTGCGCGAAGCACCTTTTGGGCAGTGTCCTGGTTTTGCTGGCAGAACGTGAACCACAAAGCAATATTGACTTGCGATTTGAGGCCCTCTCGCAGAAGTATCTTTCTTGGTGCAAGCAGCGCAAGAAGCGGCCTTTCGTTTCAAAAATTACCAAAGAGTTTGTCAATTATCCAACTACGAGGTCTTACCCGACTGGCTCATGGCACAAAGGTGATTTGAGCACAACACTGATGGATTTTGTGGAAGAGCTCTTTTTGGCAGAGGGCTGGAGTGACAATGATGACCCGATGTTGAGAATGGCCGGTGAGGCAGTCGTTCAAGCGAACAGTTTCTTGAGGTCGCTATATATGGCTGATGTTTGGATGCAGCCTCCCGCTGCGCGTGCCGCTGCTGAGCACGGCCTTCGTTTCCTCCGTAGGTATGGAGCCTTGGCCAAGCTAGCCTTCGACTCTGGAAGGACGTTGTGGGTGGTGCAGCCAAAGCTGCATGCCCACCACCACATTTCACTTTATCTTCTCCTTGGGAGTGAGAGGGGTCCTGTGCTGAACCCTATGTGTTTTTCCACACAAGCCAGTGAAGATTTTATAGGCAGGCCATCACGCTTGTCCCGCAGAGTGACGGCTGCTAGGCTGTGCAGTGATCGGGTCATAGATCGTTATTTGCGAAGTTGCTTTCACGAATGGGTGAAAGCAGGATATATCATCGAAGCTCGGGGCTGATAATTTTTGATGCGCAGCAAGCTTGAACCACTTAGTTACTATCACTTACTGCTGTCATGGCGGGTCAGGAAAAAACACAAAAAAATGAAAGTTTACATATAGCTGGCAGGTATTTGTCAGCCTCAGGCACGGACAGTGCTATTGTGGATCATGCCCAGCACGTTGAGCCGCGAAAAGGCATTGGTGTGGTGGGAGGTGGATTTGGCAAAACTCGGTTTTACCAGGCAAAACCTGGTTTTACCCCTCACGCCTGAAAAAAACACAGTTTCGGAAGGAGAAGGTATATATATATATATATCTAGATAGATTTAGAAGACCAGAATAGCAGTAGGACAGGAAAGAAAGTCTATAGCTCTTGAGCCACTTGGCCCCGACGGGCCCCCTCGCGAGCACATTGCGTGGACCGGAAAAGGGAGCGAGATGGCGTTGTGCCACACCAGATGATAAGTGCTTCTGTGGTTGATTCACCTTCGTTTTTTGGTGAGGGTTTGATATGAATAAATCAATGAACGAATATGAACGAATGCACAAATGTATAGCTAAACACAGCTAAAGTATGCTAAAGTAAGTTTATTTAACTACAGGATGTGCAGTCATTTTGTGCAACATATATCAAACTAGTAGGGCTAAATGGAACAACTTTCGCATTGCCGGACCTATGCGTCCGTGCTGCCCTTATCAGCCCCATATTCCGTCCACAGTGATTTCCTAATATATCCTTTAGCCAAATAAGTGCTGATGCTTGGAGTATCTCACCGTGCCCAAGCCAATCACCACAGTTCCACTCCACTTTCACTTTAGCAATGTCTTGGTTATTCTCAATTTCTGCCAAATCTCCAGCATTTTCCAAGGCGGTTTTCCCCCTCTTAGAGTCGACCATCCGACTTCGTAACTGCACATCGCTCTAATCCAGTTCCAAACGGGATGCAGCTCAGAAGAATTGGGGACCAACCCACTTCACCCAGGCTCCAGTGATGTCCCCCGTTGATCCCCCGTTCCCCCGGCAGATGTTGGACGTCACCGGTGCCTCCACCATCGCCCTGAGCGCTGCGCAGCTGCGGCAGCGGGCGCGGCGGGTGGCGCCCTACGCCACAGAGGAGCTGCCTGGCTTTGAGGCCTCGGTGGTGGCGGACTTCTACGGGGGCGAGACGCGGCACGGGAGGGAGCTGCGGCTGCACTCAGGTGAGGGGTTGGGGAGGAGATGGGTATGGTGGTGGTCATGGTGGCTATAGGGATAGAGCTGGGGAATTGGAGGGCTTTGAAGGGTTTTGGGTTGTTGTATCGGGCATAGGGTTCTCACGGCTATCATTCCTGATAATCAGGGATATTGGTATTGGAAGAGTGTGAGTTGTTTCTCGAAACTGCCTAGAATTCTGGGTCGTTGAGGTGAAATCACCTCCTCTGGAACCACTGAGTCAAACATCTAAAATGATGATTGGAGTAGTCATCTACTGTAAATGCTTGGGAAATGGGATTTAATATGATGTAATTGTATAAATGGATGCAACCACTATATACAATAGGGACATTTTGGCATAGTTAAAGAATATTGCCCCACTCCTGCCCATTTAGGGAACCAGGGATGGTGGCCAGGTGGTTCTGTGGCTTGGGGTGGCCTGTTTGCAGCCTTCCCCTTGGGCACCGTGCACAGGCACGCAGCTGGTGATGACGGGTGAATCGGTGCCAAAGTCAAGGAAACACTAATCTCTTTCATTGTTTTTTTCTCCACCAAATCAGGTGATTTTCAAGTCAATTTTCCCTTGATCCCAATGCTTCAAAGAACCTGCTGTGGGGCCTGATGGATTTGGGTCGAGGCGCAGTTCCAAGGAGGATGTGGAGCTGGTCCACCGGTCACTGGCGTCTTGACAGGGGCTTGGGGGATCTGGTGGTGGGACAGAACCATGCTGAACCACCAAAAAGGGCGGAATCCAGCAACGGAAATGGGGATGAAATCCTCAAACCCTGTGATTAAAAGCAGAGAACATTGGTGGTTTAAGTGAGAGACATGGGGTGTTCACAAAGTCGTCGGGAATTCGGGCTCATTAGGGTGAACACTGTTGAAACAACAAATGAAACAAGGTTCATCAAGGTTCCAACCCCCCGCCAAGATCAGCTTCCCTACCAGCCCTACCAATTAGAACGCAACTTCATTTTCCTAGCCTTGTAGCTGCAAGTTTTTCTGGTTCCCGAGGCGCGCTTTTTCCACCAATGGCCCGGCGGCAAGCAGGGCAATAGCTTCCCACACCTCTTCGCTGCGGCGGCGCGGGTGGGAGCCATGGATGGGTTGATGGAGGCAGGGGTTGGGATGGCACCTGCCAATGTGGCCCAGCTCCGACATCGGCTCCCCCAGCCGCAGGTCTGGGAAGCTTACCTCACCAACACGTGAGGGGCCCCAAGTGAAAAATGAGGGGCCAAGAAGAGGATTTCCCCCCCTTGCCTGGTTTGGTCATAGATTTTCTTGAAGATTCAGCACCAATGCTGGCAAAAAGATGGGCATGTACATGCCAAGTCTTGTGCACGTTATGAGAAACTTCCAATTTTCAACATTCATATCTTTTCTTTGTCTCTATATTTGTCCAGAGTCAGGCCACTATTAGTTTGGAGGAATTTGGAGGATGTTTTCCTCTCACCATAGTTGGCACTGATATAAACTAGTTTGGGGTGCCTAGTCCTGCTGACGTATTTTGCAACCTGGACGCTCCCCAAAATGATCAGCAAAGTGCTTCTTCTTCCCGTTGCACTTTTTTAACACCTGACATCTCACCTGCAACCCCGAAAACGGTTCATCCAGGTTCCAAATTTGACAACCATCTTCCAAACTCATCAAACTCAGTTTTTTTTAGGTTCTATTCGGTTAGTTCATGTTAGTTCTATGTTGCTTTTTAAGGTTCTTGGTTTGTGAGGCTGATGCCGAGGTCGGATCCCAAATGCCGATTCTACAGCAACGGCATGGTGCTGGGCTGCGGCAGTACTGGGCTGGTCGCCTGGCAAAATGCCTTCCATCTGATGTTGATTGGGTCTCTTCACCATCTGACGTCTTTCATGTTCTTTGGAAGCGCCGAAATGGTGGTTTGATCAACAGAAAGTGGAGTTGGTCATCGACACAAGCAGAAGATTTGTTGTCCGAATGTTTCTGCTTGGGATGTTTCTGCCGTCCTTTCCTTCGGACCTGGACATGGTGCGTGTCTTCGCGATGCCGCAAGGAGAACGTGGGCGGCGCCGCCTTTGCGACGGAGATGATGCTCTCAACTGCCGGTGGCATCTTGGAGGCTCGCCGACTTCAGCGTGGCGGGCCAAAAATGGCCACAGAACCATTTGGAAAATGTGTTGAAGATGGTTTGTTGAGATTTTCTTGGGGTAGGATTCATTCTTACTGATTCAAGTTCCTGGAAAAGATGTCTGAAAGTCTGAAAGATTGTTTTTTGAAACTCTTCCCCAGAGGGTTGAATCCAACAGCCCAATTTTTGCTCGGTCAAATTCCAAGTGTCACGGGTCAAACTCAACTTTTTTTGTTTGCCAAGATCAACCAACAAAATAATATGCAACAAGATTCTGGATAAATGACAAGGACCTCACTGTGACGTCCCCAAAGGGAAGATTGGTCGAATATGGTCGAAGCATCTAGAAATCTCGAGATCTCCATTAGTCCCCCATGGACCCCTAACTTTTGTTGGTTAAATTCGAGAAAAAAACATATCAAACTTGTTGTTGGTTAAGCTACCATTTTCGATGGTTAAATACCAGAACATATCCCCATAATTCCCCATATATCCCATCTATCCTCCATCATCCTAGACTAACCATCTCGAAATCAACAATTCTCCGGCCGGAATCCTACTCAATCCTACTAGAAATCCGACTAAATCCCCTCCCATCTCAGGGGGATGGGTCAGGTCCCATCAGTCCTATCGATTCGCCCAGTCTCCGGCCATCGCCTCCAGGTCTTCCCCTCCCTGCCCTTCGAAACGGCTGCCTTCCAGCTCCGTGCGCCGGGGCCGCTGCTGGTCACCGCGCAGCGGCACCAGGGGCTGGTGATGGTGCCTCGGAAAAGCCGGAGGTGGTGAAAAGCAAGGCTTTTCCCGAAAATGATTCCAAAATGCTGGGTCTTCCACATCCATGTTGGTTGGAGGTTAGGTAGTGAAAAATGGGCCATGCCTTGGTGAAGAGTAGGTCACTAATAGTGGATTCATATTTTGGAATATAATTTCTTTTTGGCCTCCAAAAAAGGAGGAATGTTGACCTAACCAGCTAAAAAACAAATCGTTTTTTTGCGGTGAGTATTTGAGATTGGCCATGGGTTAATATAGGTGAAACGATGATTTTATATTTCTTTGTTTCTGGCAATTTTGATGAAGACAAGAATGCAAAGCAATTCAACGCTCCGCTATGAATCGTGTTGCTCGACATTTCTTGGGCCAGATAGTTGGGTAATTTTTCCCGGCACCAATATGCAACCGGCATGTTTTTGCCATTCGACATCCCATGTCAGAGACATATATAAATCAACTATATCACCTTAACTATAATCATCAAAGGTATCCCATTTATAATCCCATTGAAGCTCATTTAGGTGACACCCCAATCAACTATATCAACTATAGTCCATAGTTATCCATTTATCCATAGCTATCCGATATTTGTTGTTTTTTTGGGGGGTAATTCATGGAATTTTGTCCCAGACCGCCCACATGGCTATGTTTTCCGAGGAGATTCTACTGGAGCTCCCCTCCAACAGCCTGGGCCCGTCGGTGGTGCGCACTGCACCTTGGTTTTTGGGGGCACCTCCTGGCGCCACCATGGTATTTGTTTTGTGAACGTTTCAGGCCAATGTGAGGCCAAACTACCCTCTGGTAAACTAACATAACTGTGGAAAATCACAATTTTTCATGGGTAAATCAACTATAAATGGCCATTTTCAATAGCTATGTTAAATTATCAGAGGGTAATTACGTTCAACAGGCAACACTGTGAGGCCTGTGGGTTTAGAGTTGAGTCAGATGGCATCTGCCTATGTTTCTTCATTTTTTTTTGGGCCGCCGTGAGAGGAAACATGGAAACCGGTGCCCAGGAGAAAAACCATGCCCCCCTTCCCGTACGCTGCAATGGTGGCCGTTGAGGACTGGGTCGTGCAATCCCCTTGGCCCGAGTCTGAAGTGGTGGTGGACGGCAACCTGCAACCTGTGAGCGCTGCGGGGACCTTCCGAGTGTACCTGACCGATGGCAAAGTACATCAGATCAGGAGAAGAGAAGAAAAACGGAGGCAGCTGGTGGGATTTTGGAAAGCGATCAGATGACAGCAACAATGTGTGCAACAATAGGTATGGTAGGAAAGGTGGTATTCATGCATGTATCTGTTGGGGTGCCTGAAGTTGACAGTTCAAGTAGGTTGAGCACTTTATTCCAGTTTCAGCCTGCAGTATCCCAATGCTCAAGCTGACGCACGGTCCAACCAGGTCCAAACCATCAAGCACCCTCCATGGCTTCCGCCAGTGAAACACAGCAACCGAAGGAAATGCAAAGTGAAACCTCAAAGTGTCCATTTTCCAGGGGGCAAACTCATTTCCCAAGACATTTTTAGTAGGGGTTCCATCTGGAATTTTGAGAGAGGGTATGTACATAGGTCAGTTTCGCCCGTTTTTTTCTGGCAAACATTGCGCCCGCTTGGCCGAGACCATGACCGCATACCAGGGCGGGCTGGAAGAAGTTGATGCACTGATACAGATTGAGGTGGTGACGCTTCAAGGCTGGGTGTTTCACAGTCTTTCATAGGTTGGTGGAATTGATGACACCCCGGTGGTTGGAACTGCGAGTTGGGATGAGAACCCCAAGTGACGAATTCGTTCCAGGGAAACTTGTCAACATCCTTTAACCCAGCTATCGAAATCACCATCCACATAAAAAGTGTGTACCACCATCAATCAGTAATTTCGCACCATCAAAGTGCATTTTCTTCCACCATGAAGTCGCAATTTTCCCAAATTTTCCAACATCAAATGGCACTTCTCCCCATCAAAGTGCATTTTCCCATCATTTTTCCACCATAAATGCGCCAGCCTGTGGTGAGGCGTGTGCGCCTTGGTCCTGGCAGTGCCGGGGTCCATGCTGGGCCGCGAGCTGCGGAAGCTGGTCTGTGACAGGCGCGAAAATGGTGGATTCCACGGGGGAACATGAGGATATTACTACATAGTGGTGCCCCATAGATAGCTAAGTTGGTTTATAACTTATAACTACAATAAGCGGGACTTATGGTAGATATATCTATAGTTGATGGGGGTTACAAACTAACTTATAACTCGGGGGTACCACATTGTAGGGATATGCCGGGGATATGCGGGGTTGTCCTAAACTAGGGCCTAGGGTAAATTGAGATTTACATTAACTACATCAACTGGGAGAAATCGGGATTTATCCTGGGTAAATTGTGGATTCAGTATAAAGGATTGGGATTCATCAGGGAAAATGAGGGACTGGAGCCAGGCTTTTGCCCCAACCCTCAGCAGGCTGGAGCCCAAAGCGGGTGCTGGACTTTCCCTTCAGCACGGCTCCAAGATGGTGGTTTTAAACCAAAGCCTGGTGCAGAAAGGCATTGCTGAGAGGGGAGCGGCAACGACGGCAGGCCTATCGTGTGCCTACATCCCCATGAAGGTTGCGGATGCTTGGCGCTTCATGAAGGGACTGCCGGTGGATGAGGAGGAGTTTGCCCTGCAGGGCCTGACAGAAATTGAAGGAGTCCATGCGATGGGCAAGCTGCAGCACATGCCCCTGAGCCTGAGAAGTTTGACCTTTGGAGATGCTTTTAATCAGAGTTTGGAGGAGGTGATTTTGCCCAGGAATTTGGAGAGGTTGGTGTTTGGCCACCAGTTTGACAAGAGCTTGGAGCGGGTGCACTGGCCTCGCAATCTTCAAAGCTTGACGCTGGGGCAGCAGTTCAACCAGCCTCTGCAGGGTGTGGAGTTCCCAGCGTCCCTGCAGAGCTTAGCCCTGGGAGAGATGTTCGACCAACCTTTGGTGGGGGTGCAGTTTCCCATGCAGTTGCAGCAGTTGACCTTGGGAAACACCTTCAATCAGAGTTTGGATGCCTTGTATTTGCTTCAGCCCCACCCCAAAACAAGAAGAGAACTGCCCATCACATTCCCCAACTGGTGAATTGTGCAATTCGGACCACTTGGGAAATATAAGTACTAAGTACTTCCCATCAAGCCAGGGATGGGGAGCTAAAGATCCCCAGCTGCACTCAACATCACTGAATAAGCGCCCAACACCACTGAACAAGCGCTTAAATGGCTAAACCACATATTCCAAGTAGATTCCCCCAAACCAAAGGGTCCATTTATCTCCCCAACTAACCACAGAGGCATCCACTATGAATCCAATTGTTGGCCTAGTTATTTCAACCAACTTGCCTATCTAGGGGCAGTCCCTTACCGTATGAACTGGTGGAATTCAGCCCCAACGGAAAACAAACATCATCCCCAAAGTTCGGCTCCGCCGGCTCCCCACGAGTGGCTTGCCCTACGAGCGTCCCAGAGCGACTAGAGCTCTATGGTGAGGCGCGCCCCAAGCCGCCGACCCTCCGACGGCGGGCCCCGAAAAACACCAACCATCCTTCAGGAGGGTGGGGGAGAGCTTTTTGGCCGGAATACGGGTCGCTCATAAGCGTCTCCAAGAGCATAATCCCGCCCCCCCCCCGGACGATTTTTCGCTTTTCGAAAGTCACAAAATGCTGTAAATTACGGCATTTTTTGCATTTTAACGTCTTTTGCGGGAGCATTTCAAAAACACAGAAAATGCTGTAAATACCAATACTTTTTAGACCAGGGATGCACAAAACACTGCAAATACCAGCGTTTTTGCAAGCAAAGCAAAAAAAAACACTGTAAATTACAGCATTTTTGGTGGGTTGATCGCAAAAAATGCTGGTATTTACTGTGTTTTTGCAATTTCAAGAAACCGTGGAAGGCACGAAACACTGTAAATAGCGGTGTTTTGGCCACTTTTGGACGCCGAAACGATGGTATTTACGCAGTTTTTTGCCTGTGGCGGCGCCAACCCCCTGTAAATTACAGCATTATCTTCCCTTTTTGAACCGATTTTTTGCCTTGATGAATGCAAAAAACGCTAGTATTTACGCGTTTTTCAGAAATCGAAGATCGTGACGTGAACGAAACCCTGTAAATAACAGTGTTTTAGCCACTTTCGGGGACTAAAACAGTGGTACTTACGCGGGTTCTTGCCATCTGACAGCGCAAAATGCTGTAAATTACAGCACTTTGTGCGCTGGTTATGCTCATTTTTTAACCGCGCGATGCTTTCACCTGTCCTTTGCATTCTTCCACAAGAAACAATGTTGCAGATTGAAACTGGACGATAGCGTGACCCGAAAGAAAGCTGGATGGAGGAGTCGCACAGAAGCTTTTACACACAGGGGCTTTTACACAGAGAGGTCTTTACACAAAGGAGCTTTTTACACACAGAAGGTTTTACACAGCGAAGTCTTTAATCTAAGGAGCTTTTGCACACAAACGTCTAGGAGCCTTTACACACAGAAGTTTTTACACGAAGAAGTCTGTACACAGAGGGGTTTTTACACACAGACGCGTTTGCACACAGAAGCTTTTACGCAGAGAAGCCTTCACATAGAGGAGCTTTTACACACAGCAAACTTTTACACACACAGGGGCTTTTACACAGAGAAGTCTTTACACAAAGGAGCTTTTTACACACAGAAGGTTTTACACAGAGAAGTCTTTACTCTAAGGAGCTTTTGCACACAAACGTCTAGGAGCTTTTTCACACAGAAGTTTTTACACGAAGAAGTCTTTACACAGAGGGGTTTTTACACACAGACGCGTTTGCACACAGAAGCTTTTACGCAGAGAAGCCTTTACACAGAGGAGCTTTTACACACAAAAGCATTTACACACAGCAAGGTTTACACACACAGGGGCTTTTACACAGAGAAGTCTTTACACAAAGGAGCTTTTTACACACAGAAGGTTTTACACAGAGAAGTCTTTACTCTAAGGAGCTTTTGCGCACAAACGTCTAGGAGCCTTTACGCACAGAAGCTTTTACACAAAGAAGTCTTTACACAGATATATATATATATAGCTTTCACACACAGCCGCGTTTACACACAGAAACTTTTACACAGAGAAGCCTTTACACAGAGAGTTTTTACACACGGAAGCTTTTACACACAGTGAAATCTTTACACAGACGCGCTTTCACACAGAGAAGCTTTCACACACAGAAGCTTTTACACAAAGAAGTCTTTACACAATGTGGTTTTTACACACAGAAACTTTTACACACAAAAGCTTTTACACAGAGAAGTCTTTGCACAGAGGTGCCTTTACACGAAGTAACAAGTTGAAATTGGCAGCGGTTGTTCGGGAAAAACCCTTGGCAGGAGCTTTCGGGAACTCACTTGCTCCAACAAAGTTCCTATTCCATGATTTTTTTTCAAAAAACATGAGGAATATATTTCTGAAGCAGTCCCCATCCAAAAGCTTTCAAGCCCACAATGCGATGAAATGGAGGGTCGAAAAAATCCGGCGGAGCCGACGATGAGCGTCAGCTCTAAATCAAGCACATCTTCCAAGTTAGGTTCAAGATGGTTCAAAAAAAAATGGCGACAGCCCCAAGTGGGTTAAACATATCTTCCAAGAACCAGAAATTCTCCACAGGATGGGGTGTGTTTCCCCAACAGCCTGGCTGAGCTGTCCTTTGGAGACCTCTTTGATCAAAGCCTGGCTACCGTCCAGCTGCCACAGGGTCTGCAGCACCTGAGCCTTGGGCAAGGCTGGAACCATGGCCTGGAAGAGGTGGAGCTGCCAGAGCTGCAGAGTTTGGTGGGGGATGGCTTCAATCAGAGCTTGGAGTGGGTCAAGTTTCCGGAGAGCCTCCGGAAGTTGCTGGGTTTGAAATCATTTGTGTGTGCTGATGCGCGTGCGTGTTGGGGTCCCCCCAGTGGGTAGAAAACCAAACAAAATCGAATGGGAACAATGGGACCAGTCAGAAAAATCAGAAAATCAATTTTTGTCGATGATGCCCCCATAGTTAGCCAAGTTGGTACACAACTAGGGTTTTACTGCAATTATATGCAATTATAACTATAGTAGAGCGACTTATAACACCACCTTGATCCACCTTGTACCTCCAAGTCTCAGGTTGCAGCTGGGCAGCGAGCTGGATCCCCAGCACCTGGCCTTGGTCCAGTGGCCCACACTGCAGGAGCTGACCCTTCGGCACGACATCAAGGAGTGGCACCTGGTGACTTTCCCCCGCTTGCAGAGCTTGACCTTGGGCGGCCACTTCAATCGGAGCTTGGAGGGGGCGACACTGCCGGAAAGCTTACGGTGCTTGAGCTTGGGAGATGAGTTCAATCAGAGTCTGGAGGGAGTGGCTTGGAGTTGCCACTGCCTGGCTTTTCAAGTATGTTGGGGGATGGTCAGTTTCATGCTTGTCATCGGTCATCGCAGATGACCTACCAGGACAAGGACATTCAAAGCTTCGGGTGGGACATCCCTCTGGCAATAGCAACCTCTAAAAAGCATAAAGCAGGAAAACGATAGAAAGCAACATGCTACTCAGGAAATGGCACATGACTTTGGCACATATTGGCACATATTTTTTGAGTTGATGCCATACGACAGTACCTCATATGGTTTGGGTGAGACGAGTGACGAGTCCCCCATGGGCCCCAGGTCCAGTGGCCTCCATACCTCGGGTGCCTCTCCTTTGGTGAACTCTTTCAGCAACGGCTGCAGCGCGTCAGATGGCCAAGCAGCCTCGAGAGCTTGACGTTTGGCGCCTTTTTTGACCAGGACTTGCAGGGAGTCCAGTTCCCCAGCTTGCTGAAGATCTTGAAGTTTGGAGAAGACTTCAATCATAGCTTGGATGGGGTGAATCTGCCTCGCCTTGAAACCTTGAGCTTTGGCCATTTCTTTGACCGCAGTTTGCGACGGTTGCCGGCCACGCTGCAGCACCTGACCTTTGGGTTTCATTTCAACCAGAGCTTGGAGAACACGGAATTGCCCAACAGCCTCAGAACCTTGACCTTTGGCAATTGCTTCAACCAGAGCCTGGAGGGTGTCACCTTGCCCAGCAGCCTCAAAAGCTTGAGGTTTGGTGACGCTTTCAACCGGAGCCTGGAGGGAGTGAAGCTTCCGGACAGCCTCGAAGACTTAGCGTTCGGTAGGGCGTTTGACCAGAGCCTGGCTGAGGTACCCAGCAGCCTTCAGAGCTTGAGGTTAGGGGTGGAGTTCAGGTTTCAAGAGAACTTGGAAGGGGCGAGCCTTCCAATTTGCAGCTTGTTTCACCGAGACTTGCGGGTCAGCTGCAGTGGAGTGCTTCCGAAAAACTCTGGGAGCGGGCGGTGATTGCACCGGACGGCAGTCTGTATCTCGGTCCTATGGTTGGGGCATCTCCCAGCTTGGACAGAACGGATACCCTCTGGTAATTTAACATAGCTATTGAAAATCACCATTTTTAATGGGTAAATCATCTATAAATGGGCCATTTTCAATAGCTATGTTAGTTTACCAGAGGGTATAGCATGTAAAAAAAATACAACATATGCGACACACACACACACAATATCACACAATATAGTACACCGCATACTCCTTAGATTGAGTGTCTGGAACCGCTGCAGGTCAGATCAACGGGTATCACATTCTGCCCCATCTTAAGTTGGTGTTGGTAAATTGTAATAGCATGAAATATATGAAATTGAGACAGATGACACAGAGGTTAACTCTAATGCCATTTACATACAATAGATTAAAATAGTATGTCTATTTGGATCTATTTGGCTGCTTTCATAGGCACGTTCTCTTCCAAATTATCCACCACTTGACAACTTGGGATGATCCTTCCGCAGCGTTGTGACTCGACGGTCCGCCCGGAGCAGTCAGCACCGGAGCTGGCGGCACGTGGCACGTGGGAGGGATGAAGGTGGCAGGTTTGGGGAGGTGTCATCTAGAGCTGTGACCTGGGGTGTGTACTATGTGGTATTCGCATGTGTACATTTTTTAAACATAAATAAATATAAATAATAAATACACATATAAATATATATAATATAATTACAAACACATCCATGACCTCTAAACCCAAGGTGGGAAACGCAAGGGTAATCCATGTAATCCATTTTTCCGGTGAATGATTCTTTTGATCATGCCACCAACAAAAATCTTTCGAGTGAGAGGGCCCACCCAAGGGCAGAATTTTATGGATGAAATGGAAACCTGCGGAGGGGCACCATTTTTCTGGGTCAAGGGTGATCGACAGCAACAGCGGGGAATCCTCAAGGTCACCTCCTTGGCATGTTGGGCCCACCCTCATGTGTGACCAACGCATTTCATCTAAGAATCTAAGTCAAGTATCCTGAGTTTCATCCTGGACATGGCCAATTTTGTGTTCAGCTTCATTTACCCTGGTAATTTAACATAGCTATTGAAAATGGCCATTTATAGTGGATTTAACCATTAAAAATGGTGGATCTTTCCATAGTTACGTTAGTTTACCAGAGGGTAGTGTTGGGGGATGTCACCACGCAACACCCCGGCGGCCTTCGCAGTTTTACGGCCGGGTTCAAGAAACCTCGGGCGGCGGCGAAGCCGAAAGTCTGATCGCATGATCGAAGTTGAGCAGGTAACCGAAACTCCATAGCAAACTTAAGAAGTATAGGTACCAAAAATGGATTGACCATGATTCTTGCGACATTTTGTGAACTAAGATGTTGTACTTCCGTATTGGATATGAATGGATATGACGGATATGATTTTCAAACTAAACAACCATGTTTGATCCCACTCAATTTCCAAAAAGGTTACTTTTCGGCTTCGCCAGGGTCCAAGTCCAGCTGCCAACAAGTGCGGCTGGGCGAAGGACCCAGGTGGCCTATAGGTGACTTCTGGGCCTGCCATCCCGGTGTCGCTTCGGACGCCAGGGGCGTGGGCCTGTCGAGAGGAAGTTACAGTAGAAGACCGGTAGAGTAGACGACCAGCCCGGCGCAAAGAGAGGAAACCGCAAAGTTTTCTTCGAATTCTGGCCGCTTGCTTGTTTTTGGATGGTGTTGGGTGGTGTGGTTGGGATGGAGGTTGAAATGGGTGGCAGGACCCTCTTTTGAGTTGATATGATTGTTACTGTATAGTCTCGCTTATGGATGTGAATGGTTGCCTATTTTCCCGTTTGTGGGCTCATGTTGGATCAAACCCAATTTTTTTGCCAATGAAATCCCCCCATCAAATTGCAACTGCATCTTGACGCCGATTGACCCTGGCAATGAGTTGCGGTATGTTGCGGCGCTGGCCACGGTGCCAGGCAGGCCGTCAAAAACTTCCGGATGGTGTCTCCTGATGTCTCCTGAGCACGGCCCAGGCATTGAAATGACATCATCACCAACTGCCCTGGAGACGTTGGCTGAAGAAGCCAGTATGTTTTCAAGAAAGAATATCGCAGAGCCGAGCCCCATTTCCACAGAGGTGGGCATGAAGGTGAAGACTGGTGGGGGTGGTGGAGTGCAAGTACAAGCAAGTACATACATACATATATATATATATAAGTATTTTTATATATATATAGATGCACACATCTGAGGAGTGGTGTGCATACGTGATTAGTCTATCATGGTGTATGGTTCGGAGTTTTGGGCTGGTTTGCATGTGTTTTCAGGCAAAGATTTGGGCATGGCTCGTAATTCTTCTCAGTATGTTTGGAAACATGGGCAAACTGCTCAGGCATAGCAACTCGCTTAAAGCAGCATTATTATTGCCAAGAGATCATGACGGCACTAGGAGATCTTGCTCAAGTCAATGAACAGGGATCAAGACTAATTAATTTTCTTCGAGTTCTTATGCAGCCCTTTCTGGCCAGCTGCAAAAATCAAGAGGCATACGTTCTGTAGGATCGTACAATTTGTGCAGTTTTTTGGGGTTGGCAAAACTATGCAAACATAGACAAATGCTCAATACACTTTTTAAAAAATAGGATGCTGGTTTTGAATGGTTTTGAAACAACCCTTTTTACACCTTACTTAACTTGTCCATCTTCTACCCCCCTTGGTCTATTTGTGCAGCTCCTCCCAATCTCCCTATATCTACCTGACTCCATTGCGCGGTGATGTTGCAGGTTGGCTCGTCTCCGGATGCGCAAACGGACAGGTGCGCGGCTTCAGGGTGTCCAAACAGACCTGTTTGGGTGACTTGAAGATGGTGAATACTCATTCCAGCCCCCTAAAACCAAATATAACCAAATGCAGCATTATTTGGGACCCAAAAACGCATTAGATCCAATACTAAACCAAGATTCTATGGGATATTTAAACGATATTTAAACATGAAGAAGGGATTTGAAGGGATCAGTTGTGAATCCATGGTCTCTTCCAACCATCAAAGAATCGTGGAATAATCTCATCGCCATCTGCCAGCGCTAAGTGCCGGTCCAGGAGTGTGTCTGGCGATGAGCCGTCATTTCAAGGTCGACTACAGCTGGATTTGGAGGTCCACTGTCTCTTTTTTTCCCCACCTGCCAGGTGAGGGTTGTTAGATTTTATGTCAGTTGCCTCCTCCTCCTCCTCCTTCTCCTCCTCCTCCGCCTCCTCTCCTTCTCCTCCTCGTCGTCCTCGTCGTCCTCGTCGTCCTTGCTCAACTGCGACCCGCGATCCACAGTGTTCTCTGCTGCCGGACCTCAATCACGACCATCCACGCCCAGTGTTCCCTGCCGGACCTCAACCACGACCATCCGCGCCCAATGTTCCCTGCCGGACCTCAACCACGACCATCCTCGCCCAGTGTTCCCTGCCGGACCTCAACCACGACCATCCACGCCCAGTGTTCCCTGCCGGACCTCAACCGCGAGTATCCACGCCAAGTGTTCCCTGCCGGACCTCATGTAGGAAGATATGGGACAAAGAATGTGCAGAAGAAAGTTAGAAAAAATGTCAGAAAGAATGTCAGAAGATATGCCAGAAGATATGCCAGAAGATATGCCAGATAGAATGCCAGATAATATGCCAGAAGATATGCCAGATAGAATGCCAGAAGATTTGCCAGATAGAATGCCAGAAAATATGCCAGAAGATATGTCAGATAGATATGTCAGAAGATATGCCAGAAGATATGCCAGAAGATATGCCAGAAGATATGTCAGAATATATGCCAGAAGATATGTCAGATAGAATGCCAGAAGATATGTCAGAATATATGCCAGAAGATATGCCAGATAGAATGCCAGAAGATATGTCAAATAGAGTGCCAGAAGATATGCCAGATAGAATGCCAGAAGATTTGCCAGATAGAATGCCAGAAGATATGCCAGAAGATATGCCAGATCATATGCCAGAAGATATGCCAGATAGAATGTCAAATAGAATGTCAGAAGATATGTCAGATAGAATGCCAGAAGATTTGCCAGTAAGAAAATGTATAAATGTCATGGTGGGGATCACACGAAGTAAAGTAATTGGGGTGCGAGTGCGAGGGGTGGAGTTTTGATAAGCAGCAAACAAATGGCAAATTTGGGGATGGAAAAGCCGTGACATGCCGTGACCAACACAAGCTGGACCTTTTCAAACTAGGGTGAGGGCACTTTATAAGGTGTCCAGACCATTTAAAGAAGGACTGCGCGCAGGTAGGCGACAAACTTAGGACTTAGGGATGACTTGGAAGGTTTCAAGACCATCTAAGGCCATTCACGACTAACTATTCAGTACCATTCAAGGCGTCTTACAGGTAGGCCCGGGCACCTCCAATGTGGGTGCAAGCCATCGCCATGGCAGGCCATGGAGGAAGGAACTGCCAGTTGCAACAGCGGCAGCTTCGTGTTGCTGACGGTGCCGCGTGAGCGCACCCCCAACCCAGGCGGCGGTGGTGGCCGAGTGGCGGGGATGATGGGGGCAGTGGGTGACACCGCAGGTACAATGATGGTACCATGAAAAGTTCGACGTTGATGGACCATGAACCCCACAAAAATCTGAGAGTCAATGTTCCAAAAGCTGTTGCGGAAAATGGAGCTTCGGCCAGCACTTGTGCTATGCCCCAAACTCTTTCGGGATGATTGTCGGGAACCTAATTTTTGGGTGACCTTTACAGTACTTTGTGGCCATCCACTATGTTGAGATGTTATACAGTAAATTGATGTCCCTGGGCGAACCCAGGGACGTGCTTGATGACCCTCTGCGGGGAATCTGCTGTCCGGCAATCCTGGTTTTCAGCAAAAAAGAACCTAGAAAAACCCTAGGAAAAACATGGAAAAACACTAAATTAACCCTAAAGAAACCCTAAATGAACCCTAAAGAAACCCTGAAACAAACACGTATGAAAGTGTGTGTAGTGAAGTATCTGTGGGGCGTAGAGCTCGTGCTGCGGGTAGAATTAGGAAGGCCCTATTCCAGGCATGGTGTTGCTTTGTGGGGGTTATTCGGCTGAATACGTTGATGATGTCTGACCTGCCCTGGCTCAAGATTGACACTTCAGACTGGATGGTTTGGTTTGGTTTCAGGTATGACAGTGGTTTTGGTGAGCTGTTCCGAAACTACCGCCCTTTTATGTGATCATCATGCATTTAACAAGATACAAAAGCACAGAACCTATGGAACATCAACTTTGAGGTCTTGAAGCATGTCCCAGCAAATCAGCGCATTGTCAAGATGACAACAAATGGTGATGAACAGATGAAGAGCCACATCCACACATCCACACTGCAAAACATGTTGATTGACAGCCCCTTCGCCATGGCTGCGAAAGGGCATAGATCGGTTCGCCGCCGAACCCCATCGCAGCGATTGGTGGCTCTGTTGCTGCTGTGCTTGTGCTATTGGCTCAGCTCAAATGGGGCCTACTACTCTCCTCTCCAGGTACAGGTGGCCCTCCCTACCCTTCGAGCCGATTGTGAGCCACCAAAGCTGGACCCTCAGAAGCTGAAGGCGTGTGCACCGAAGCTGCTGGAGGCTGATCAGTTGAAGGATCTGATAGCAGAAGCCAGGGACCCAAAGAGAAAGCCTCGCAAGAAACCGAAGCCAAGGACGTCACCTGAGAGGCCAGGCCTGTGGCGCTGCTCTGCTTGTGAGCAGTGGCTTCCAGAAACGGCCTTCAATCTGGAAAATCGCTACGGGTCACAACGGCCAGGGTCTCCCTGCAAGGAGTGCAACAGACGGAGACTCAGGTTGCACCATCGCACGCTGCGGGGATGTTTGCTCCAGCTTCGGACGAGTGCCAGATCTAGAGCCAAACTGAAGCCATGGAACGCGACCCTGACATTTGAAGACCTCCTGGAGATTGTAAAGCGGCAGAACGGTAGGTGTGCATATTCGGGTGTCCCAATGGAGATGTGTTTGCCAAACAGCCACTGGAGAATATCCTTGGAAAGGCTCAACAATAGCAAAGGCTATTCCTGTGAGAATTGTGTGATTGTAGCTTGTGAGTTCAACACAGGAGATGGTAGCCGGAATAGGGGTGTTGATGCCCAAACAGTGAAAGGAAGTGCGCAGTGGTCGCAAGAAAAAGTTCGCAGAGTGCCCCAACTGCAGCTTGAGCCACTAGACTGCAAGTTGTTGGAGAAGGATATTGCAGAAGCCCGATTGCGACCCAGAAACAAAAGCAACCAGGGTGTTCAACCCACGCAGCGTGACAAGGACAAGACTGGCTGTATCTACTGTTTCAGATGTGGCATGTTTCTTAGCCCCGGCAACTTTACTGAATCAGAGAAAGCAGGTGCCCATCATCGGTGCAGAGTATGCATGCGGGAGCTCAGTCAGGTGCGATGCTCCAGACTCAGGGGTCACTTGCAGAAGTGCTTGTGTGATGCCAAAAAAAGGGCAGCAAAAAGAGGCCAGGAATTCTCCCTAACTCTCGCGGAAGTGCTCGAGATGCTAGAGCAGCAGGGGGGCCGCTGCTACTATTCTGATGTTCCTCTCAATTACAAACAAATTCACGCTCCCTGGCGTTTGTCCATCGAGCGGTTAGACAACTCCATCGGATACACTGCGGAAAATTGTGTGTTGATAGCCATCGAGTTCAACACAGCCGATCACAGTCGCAACAATGCAGTCACTGAAGTCTTCGGAACTGCGCAGTGGTCCCGGGAAAAGGTGGAGCATGTTTGGGGGCATCACGGCTGGGCGACTGCTGGTGGCTTGCGAGTCACCGGCTTGCAAGACAGCACATTGACCGAAGAGGTGCCAAGTGAGCATCCGCTCATGGCAACATTACCAGCTGCTGTAATTACTTAATCCACTTGATGTTATACATTTTTTCGACCCAAGGTCGCCAGAGTTGTGCCATGGCAACAGTCAATTCGTTGCATTTTCATACATTTTCACCTTTTCACCGGGCAGCCTGCCAGCGGCTTCAGTGCAGCTGGCTGAGGCTTCAGCAAATTGGTAACATGCATGACCCAGGCATATGTACCATTCAGAGCTGCAACCAGCTTGACAGAAAAGTGGCCCCGCGTAGATTAAGGCAAGGTAGTAGCACGCATGCATGATGGTGTCATCAGTCAGATTTCCGATTTTCAACGCGCAACTCGACAGGGTGACCCCAGTCGTACCGCCAACACCCTCAATCACTGTAGGCTTTGAATGACTGTAATTTTTTTCTTTTAAGTGTTTGGTGCTTCACCACAGCCTGAATGGCACCCTCCACCTGCCAGCCCTTGGAGGCAGCCTCGCTCAGAGCGTTCAGGGTCCCCTGCCTACAGTTCTGGGACGGCGCGACCAATCCAAGAACTCCTCCAAGAGCGTCGCTGGGACTTGGAGCAGTTGGGAGAAAGGATGAAATAAAACATGCAGGCACTCTGGAATCTGGAAATTACGATGGAACATGAGGGAAAATCCACATACTCAAAAAATGAATCACCCACAAATAGTCTCTCACAATATTTTGATGATTTTCATTGGGTACCATGTTAGATTACCAGAGGTCACATGTGTATGTTGGCAAGATTGGTGGTGGTTTATCATCCTTGCGATCTTGTGCATGAAGGTCTGTTGCGGCGCTTCCTCAACTTGTTTTTTTCTTGGGGAACCCGTGGCAACTCCATGGTCAGAGCTAAAATGGATGGGCTTGAGGCATCCTGATGTGCTGGCTTCGTAGACCCTGGACTTTTAGCAGAACTTGAGGAGGGACAATTCTTAGTTACAACATCTTGCATATATATATATATACACACATATATATATAATATAACTTAGTTACCCGTGTTTGACCTTGGACGCCTCCATGTGACCCCTGAGCCGAGCTGGGCCAAGGTGGCCGCGAGTTACAACGTGAATCCAAGTGCCTCGGATGATGCGAAGCGATCAGCACTGCCGCACACTGTGAGCCCTACATCGGTGTAAAGGTTTATGATGGTGACTTTGAAAAGATTCAGGATTACTTGGGAGACTCTGGAGTGTATATATGGATGTAGCATTTCTCATCATTTTAGTCAACCCACATGCCGCCAAATTGGACACAGTTCTAAGTCAAGGGTCAGAATCCCAGCTTGTTGCTTAACCATACTGGTAGGAAGTAGCGTATAGGCCCAGGCAGAGTAACCGGAAGTGCTTTCTTCAATTTTCTTCATCGTCCCAGTTTCAAGCATACTGTACCCCCTGCATGGTGAAACCATCAAGATGGATCCAACCATCCCAGAATTGTTTTCCCCTTACTTTTGAGAGGAAACTTTCTCAGAAATTTTCGTACATCCGCAGGGTGGCCATTATTTCACATTATCTTCTTATTTAAGACTGCAAATGCAATGGTTTACTATCCGTAAAATTCAACACCAAAAATGCATGACTTCAAGCCGTTGACCAACATATCATACATTAAAATGTAAAAAACAGCACGGTTTCCGGCCGATTTTCCCTGCACAATCCATCCCTTGACCCCTCCAACCATCCCCTCCAGCGCCACCGAGCCTCGCCGCACTCGGTGCTCACGCTGCCGCGCTCGCCCAACACGATGAGTTGGGTGCCACGCTGGCGTCGGGAAGAAAGCCGCGACGAGCCAGGCCGCCACGGGGACAACGACCACGGTGTTGGCTTTGGGGATGGCTGGATGGTACCTTCATAAGTTGGGATGTGACCCCTGTGACTATGGGTATATATATATATTTATAGATATTATAGATAGAGATAGAGAGATAGATTAGATTAGATTAGATTAGATTGGATTAGATTAGATTAGATTGGATTAGATTAGATTAGATTGGATTAGATTAGATTAGATGATAGATAGCTGGCTAGCTAGATAGGTAGGTAGGTAGATAGATCGATCGATCGATAGATCGATAGATCGATAGATCGATGGATGGATGGATGGATGGATACTGTAGATAGATATCCACTTATAGCTGGAACTGCACCCCAGGTACGGGTATGGTGCTTTCTCGGAGATCTTCGGACATTTTTTTTTGGAATGAATGGTGTAACGCTGGTGGTTTCCGCTGAAAAGCGCGCTGAAACGCAGGCCCAGGATTGGCGTACTTGGATACCGCCAGGGGCCCCAGCGATGTTCATGGCTTCAAGGGGAGTTGGGTTGTGGAATCCCCATTACTTCAATGGTTTGAAAAAATGTGGGGAACTTTCCATGAAACGTGTGTTTTTCACACGTGGAACTTCCGGGTTCCAACCTCGACCCCCGATGCCATCGGCTCAGCTCATTTTGCGCCGCTGCTTTCGCCGCCTGGATCCGCGCCATCCATCCGAGCCATGGGAGCAGGAGGTTCCGTGTCCATGCCCAAGGAGATGCCAAGCGATGCGCAGATTCAGGAGGGCTTGGGGTGGGAGGTGAGGGGGCAACCACCATTGGGATACCAGCGATGAAAATGGAGACTTCTTGATGAACTGACGCGAAAAAAACGATACAAAGAGATACTACAGCAACTATAGCACTCACCGCAGGTTTTTGTGGTGCCAAGCCTGAGTCACATGTGATGCGCAAGTGCGTTCGTGGCCATACCTGGTGGCAAAATGTGGCAACCATGGAACTCAGATGACAAATCATTGTTTCTCAACATGAGGGTGCCCCAAAACTTTTAATTTCCAACTTAAACATAACATTTTTTTAAAATAATGTTTTGATGATTTTGTGTTGAAATTTACACCTCCACATAATTGTCACACAACCACTGTGTTGTACGTATATTTTGGCTCAAGGGTAAAACAGTTGAGTGTGCTGTTTGCTGTGCATATTTTCTGAAAGTGGTAGCGGAGCTCTGGCTCCGGTAAAGGGCTCCTTGGGTAAGTGATACCAATGGCTACCCCGGAAGAGCAGTTAGCTCAGTTGGCGGATCGAGTGAATCAGCTTGGACAGTTGCTCCAACAAAGCCAAGAAAGGAACGCTCTGTTGGAAGGCCGCATGCAAGGACTGGAAGCGGCAGGAGCACAGATGGGACCCGCAATTCAAGCACTAGCAACAGCACAGACAGAAGTCGCAAACGCAATGAAGAAAGACGAAAAGAAAATCAACCTAGTGGACAATAGAGGAATCGGAAAGCCGGATAAGTTCAGTGGCAAAGAGAGTGAGAGCTACCTCAGATGGAGAATCAAGACAGAGTCATTCATGTTTTCAGTGTTCCCGGAGATGGAGCAAGTACTGAATTGGTGTGAAGAACAGGAAAACACTGTGACGGAAGCTCGGGCCCAAGCTGCTTTCGGCGTGGGCACGGCTAGTCCAGTGGATGACCTGAAGGACAAGAGCGCACAGATTTATTCTGTGTTGCAGAATCTACTCGAGGGAGAACCGTTCATGATTTTGAGGAATACAGAAAAGGCCAATGGACTCGAGGCCTGGCGACGCATCAATCGCCGATACGATCCCTCTACTGGTGCCAAGAAATCGGCACTCTTGAGGCACATCTTGAATCCAGGAAAATGCAAGCTTGAGGAACTCAGTGAGAGGATTGAAGGATGGATGGAGCTTGTGAACCGCTACGAGAGCAGAAAGGACAGCGCAGGAAATAGACAGAGCATAGCTCAGGACATCAAGATGTCGATCTTGGAGTCCATGTGCCCTCCAGAGGTCGAAAGACACCTACAACTTAACAGAAGTCGTTTCTTGGACTTCGATGACATGCATGCCGAACTCGCCAGCTACCTTGAAACGCGAGTTGGAGTGAAGCTCAAAATTGAGTCACTTGGCAGCAGACCGAAAGGTGAAGATGACATGGACATTGGAGGATTTGGCAAAGGTAAAGGCAAGAAAGGTGGAAAGGGTTCCAAAGGTAAAGGCAAACATGGAGGCAAAGGCAAGGCCAAAGATAAAGGAAAAGGTAAGTCGAGTGGAAAACATGGAAAACATGGTGGCAATTCTGGCTCAAGCCTGTCCGTGGTTTGCTTCAACTGCGGAAAGGCTGGACATTACCAGAAGGATTGCAGGTCACCTCCCAACAACAACAACAACAAAGGTAAAGGTAAAGGAGGAAAATCCAAAGGAAAAGGGAAACAAATCAGCAGCATGGAACAACAGGGTGAACATCAGGAACCTGAAAGAGAAGCCGAAACCGGCTATCTCGAGCTTGCCATGTTGGCTGCAGTCTCGGACGGCGAACCAGTACCGGGAGAAGTTGAAGTACCGGATGTTGGATTGCCAGATGCAACTCGAGTAGAAGCAAGGAAAAGGTACCGAAGACTGTTGAGAGAAGGAGCTACGATGACATGGAGGGACATTCCGGTCACAAGGTACAGACAAAGACTTGCGGCATCACTTGAAGCTGCAAGCAAATATCGTGGATCGGTTGCCCAGTCGATGGCTCAGATGGTGTTCCGCCGAGAAGGACTCGAAGATGCCTGCAGTTCATGCGATGATCGTGCAGGGCCATCTACAAGTGCAGCAATGGACTATGCTGCAAGGAGGTCTGCCCACGGAGTTGGGTCGGCTGAAACTGGCCAGGCAGCGCCGGAGATCCGAGAAGAAGATGAAGATACTGTGGATGATACCACAGATTCTGAAGCTGAAGATGAAGTCGAAGATGAAGCCGAGGCTGAGACCAAAGAACCAGAAGAGCCTGATGAAGATCCAGGATATGAAGCTGAAGATGACGAGGACGTCGAAGCTGTGATGGAAGGATACCTTGATGAAATGAAAGAGTATGACATGGATCAGGAAAGAGAGAACATCAGGAAGATCCTGAATGAAGCCAAGGAATTCCTCACGGCTGAAAAGGACGACAATGAGGTCCAGAGGCGATTGGAGTTGGAGAAGTTGGCAAAATCGCCGGAGAAGGATGAGAATGAAATGGAAGCAAAAGATGATGAGAAACCAGGCACAAAGGAAACGACCCTGCCTGATTCAGGCAGAGTTGTGACCCCGATGACTGGCATTCTCATGCATCGTACCATCGAAGGACTTCAAGTTGGCCGATTGCACTATGAGAAACGTAAGTTGGCCGAAATGATCGAAAATGCTGAAGATGAGGAAGAAGTTCAAAGACATGAGGAGCGCATCAAGGAAATTGAAGAGGAGTTGAAGCAGTTACGCAACTACATCTCAAAACAGGATAAGAGTACCAGAGAAAACCCTGTGAAGATGCTGACCAAAGAGAACCTGACGGATCAGCAATGGCATGATGCGCGCTACTTCAGGGCTATCGCAGCAGGAGTTCCGCACAACGAAGCATGGCGTAAGGAGAAAGCACGACGCCGAGCTATCATCCACCGACAGCAAGGTGTGGGTGAAAGAGCTAAAGTTCGAAAGGAACTACATGCCAAATGGATCAAGGAGTATAGGACCAGAGCAGTGAAAGAGGAGGAAAAGATACCCTTAGACACAGAACAGATCGGGTACCAAGGCATGGAGACCGAAGTGATCAAGGAAGGTGAGGAACCAGGAAGTTCAATGAAAGTTTCCAGTGGAATGTCAAGAACGGGATCCTATAAGGAAAAGAAGGTGTTCAGACCCCTCACCAAGGAAGAGTTTGAGTCATTCCGACAAGAGACAAGGGATGACGAACGAAAAGTGATGGAGAAAGGTCGAACCGAGATGAGAACCAAGAAGAAGACCAAAGGAAAGACAGTTGCGAAGAAGCAGAAGAGGAACAGAAAGAGAAAGGAAAGGAGACAGCGTACCACAGCCTGTCGAGCGTTGGCATGGGAAGGAGAATGCAAAAGGGATCCATGCCCGTTCTCTCATGACCAGGCTGTCATCGATGGATTGAAGAACCAGCATTGCAGATTCTTCTTGCACGGTTCGTGCAGGTATGGATCGAAATGCAAGCTGCTCCACGATGACAAGGAGATGGAATTGGTACGTATGGAGAAGAAGACGAAACAGCTCATTTCTCAGCTTGAAATGCGACCACCACCAGCACCAAAGAAACGAAGAGGTGAGAAGCCAAAGGAAGAAGAGGTGAAGACTGAAGTAGAAGATGAGGCAATGCCAGAAAGACCTCATGAAGATAACATGGATGATCCCGAAGAAGAGAGAGAACTTAGTGTGACCACAGAGATCAAAGGACTTCGGGAGTTCGAGAATCGCACTGAGGATCAGATGTACATGAACGCACCATGGCGAAATCCGGGACTCTTCGAAAACGAAGGCAAAGGCGACAAAGGTCGCGGAAAGGGCAAGGCAAAGAGAGGAAAAAGGAAATCCGGCCGAGCTGCGTCAAGTGCTGCAAGGGTTGATGCAGATGATGATGATGATGATGCAGTAACCACTAGGACTGAAGATGAGATGGATGATGTTAGGATGACCAATGCTGAACGTAGAGCAGCAAATCCAGGGGACGCTGATGAAACCCATGGAATCATGAGTTGGGCGGATTTGAACTCGTTCGAATCGAAAGAGTTTGAACCAGAACTCCAGGGTTTGTACAAGCATGTGGTTGTCAATTTTGACACTGGAGCAGCGGTTTCAACCGTACCACTGAAAGAGTTTGGAAGGTATGCATTCGGTGAAAAGCAGTCCACCCGCTACAAAACAGCCTCAGGTGAACTACTTTCTGACCATGGCCAAGTACAGTTGTATGGCAGTGACGCCAACTACACGGACAAGAGCTTGAATGCGAGGGTGACCGATGTGCACCGCATCTTGGCTAGTGGGTCGGAAGTGTGTAAGAGGAATATGGTAATATTGGACAACCAGGGTGGTAACATAGTTCCAGCTGGGTCGAATGCAGCAAAGAGAATCCAAAAGTTTGTAGACCAAGTGTTGAAAGAAGAAGGTGGGAAATCCACCAAATTGCGAATTGAAAGGGGTGTCTACGTGTTTGACTACTGGGTTGACGAAGACACCACAAAGCAGAAGTTGGAAAGGAAGTCGGGAAACTGACGGCAGGGTTGCCCGTAAGTCCGTTGGAAGAAGAGAGAATGGAAGAATCGCCAGCGGAAGCTGGTGCCCCTGCTGTTTCAGCAGAGGACCCGGCAGAAGCTGTCGAGGTACAGAGGCCAAAGGTCGCAAGGAAAGTCAGCGATCCAACAGCCCAAGAATTAGAGGAACATCTTGCCACAGCCCGCGCAGTACACAGATCGTGGTGTGGCCATTGCATGAGAGCTCGTGCAACGTACGCAAAGCACAGCTCAGTTTCACGGGATGAGGACAGTGAAATCCCAGTCGTATCAATAGACTACTTCTACTATGGTGAGAAGGATGGAGAATCAACGAACTTGCAGGTAAAAGACAGCAAGTCAAAGATGACGTGGGCGACTACAATACCCACGAAAGGACCAGACCTGTTTTCAGTCAACTTCATGTTGGCTTGTTTGAATGAAACAGGGTACAACAGGTTGATTCTGAAGAGTGACGGAGAACCAGCAATCGTCGCTCTGAAACGAGAAGTGAAATCCAAAGCAGCAGGAATTGAGATAATCCTGCAAGAAGCACCTACTGGGGACCACAGTGCCAATGGTGCAGTCGAAGTCGCGATCAGGGACGAGAAGCGACAGTCAAGAGCACTTTTGAGTGAGCTTGAGGAACACTTTGGAAAGTTGGAAGATACGCATCCATTACTCACATGGCTAAGTAGACACGCGGCATTTTGCCTGAGTAGATTCAGTAATCAAGATGATGGGAAAACCCCATACCAAAGATTGACTGGAAGAAAATGGAACAGACCTATGGTGACGTTTGGCGAAAAGGTCTATTTTAGACCGTTGGATTCCTACAGGGTTTCCAAGGAAGGTGAATCCGAAAGAAAGAAAGGAGATCTAGCAAGTAGGGTCATGAGTGGCCACTACGTTGGAACGCACGGCAGGAACGCCGATGTGTTGGTGATGACAAGTCAAGGTGTGATTAGAGGCAATGCCGTCCAAAGGAAACCAGAATCGGAGAGATGGGACCGAACGGAACTCAAAGAATTGAAAGGTACGCCCTGGGCGCTTCGCCCAAGGAGTGCCGAAGATGTGGAACACAGGTTACACATCACGTTGCCTGAGACAACACAGAAATTGACCCCGAGTGTACGGGATGGAGGTCCCAGGAATCTGTACGTCCGAAAGAAGGACTTGGAAAAGGAAGACGGTACAATGGACTACACACCAGGTTGCAGAGGTTGTGAGGCAATCATGGTTGGATTGCCAGCAGTTGCACACAATGCAACATGCAGATACAGGTTAGAACAGAGGTTGCTACAAACGGAAGAAGGAAGGAAACGTCTAGCAGACGTCGAGAAAAGGAAAGAGGAAGGTACCGAAAAGAAAAAGGCAAAACAAGTGATCACAGGAATGCCGGATCCCACTGAAGGTGAAGTGAGATCATCAGTAGCACTTGGACAACCTGAAGAACCTGAACAACCAACATCACCGAAAAGGACAAGATCAGACGGAGGGAGAGTTGAAGGTGAGAAGAGAACAAGGTCAGATACCTTGAGGTCAGGAAAACGGATACCAGACAACATCGATGATCTGTACTACGATGCTCAGGAGCAGGAGGGGCCGTTGGTTGTTTCAACCAGTGGAACTTCCGAGGGACAAGCGGTTGCTCCGGCTGTTTCAGCCAGTGGGACTGCTTCAGGATCCGCAGCCCCAGGTGGCAGACATGAGTCATGATCAATTTTGGTCACCAGTTACATCGCCAAGTCACGTTAGAGATGTCCAGTCGTTGTTTCACTTTAGCATTGAACCCGACGAAGATTGGGAAGTTTCATTGCAAGATTTGAAATCTCTTGGAGCACATGATGTGAGTGAAATCTTTTCACCGCCCAGATTGACAGAGAAGTGCAGGAATTATGGACTATTGCCAGGATACGCAGTTGATTTGGAGACTGGATGGAACTTGTTGGATCCAAATCATGTGAAGAGTCTGGAAAGGATCTTGGAAGAGGAGGATCCATACCTGGTAACTGGAAGTCCACCGTGTGAAGCGTTCTCACCGCTTCAAGCTCTAAACACAGGGAGAGTTGATCCAGCTGTTCGACAACAAAGGCTGGAAGAAGGCAGAAGGATGCTAAAGCAAGCATGCGAGTACTACAAGCAACAGTCAAGGAGGGGTAGGTACTTCCTACACGAACATCCAAAACCAGCAGCCAGTTGGAATGAAGAATGTGTCAAGGAAGTTCAGAACCTACCCGGGACATTCACAATTGAAGGACCAATGTGCAGATGGAAAATGGTGGCTAGAGACGCCAGTGGTGAATCCTATGTCAGGAAAAATACCAGATGGGTTACAAATAGCCCGGAGTTGGCTAAGATTCTGTCGGGCGTTTGCTCGAACGATGAAGGAACTGGAGAATGGCATAGACATGTTCATCTCGTCAATGGACGTGCCAAAATGGCACGGGTATACCCACCAGAACTGGTGAAAGGAATACTAAAGGCCATCAAGCAACAAATGAAAGCAGACGGTGAATACCGAGAAGTGAATGCATTAGATGCAGGACCAAGCCCGGATGACGATCCACATCTTGAGGACTACGAAGATGAGTACGTGCCGAAGTTTGAAAACAAAGGCGACGAACAGATCTTCTTTGATGAGATCACAGGAGTTCAGTTGGAAACGGAGGAGGTACTGAAAGCGAGACAGGAAGAACTTGCTTGGGTGAAGAAACAGGAAGTCTACGTCAAACGACCCATAAGCGAATGTTGGGCAATCACAGGAAAAGCACCCATCACGTTGAAATGGATTGATCGCAACAAAGGCGATTCAACGAAGAAGAACTACCGTTCACGCTTAGTGGTGCGGGAAGTGAAGAAGAAACATGGTTCACTCCCAGGACACCAGCTGTTTTCGAACATGCCGCCATTGGAGGCGGTGAAGCTACTATGCTCGATGTTAGCCACAAGCGGCAGTAACGAGCAGCTGGCACTCTACGACATATCACGTGCACATTTCTATGGAAAGGCACAAAGAACGGTATACGTCACATTGCCACAAGGTGACGAGGAAGAAGGAATGTGCGCATTACTGCAGCGCACTATGTATGGGACACAGGACGCCAGCCATGTCTGGCAGTCAGACTACAGCGAGTTGTTGAAGAAACACAATTTCGAATGTGGAAAAGCTTGGACATCCGTGTTCTGGCACAAAGAGAAGAACATCAAGCTGCTAGTACATGGAGATGACTTTTTAGTCCTGAGTGACAAGGCAGGACAAGAATACATGCAAAAGGTTTTGCAGGAGAGATACGAGTTCAGATGTGACGGACTCATCGGAAAAGGTGGAGGATCACATCTGACAGTCTTGAACCGAATTGTGACCTATGACCACGAAACAGGAAAAGTGACATACGAAGCCGATCCAAGACACGCAGAAATGATCATCAGACACTTGAACTTGGAAAATGCGAAAAGTGTGGTGACACCGTCGGAGAAGAAAAAGAGCAGTGAAGTGCTGGCATCGGTAGGTCTTCCACCGGTGACAGCAGAACAGACCACACTATACAGAAGTCTAGTGATGAGAGCACAGTTCCTAGCACAAGACCGTGCAGACATAGCAGAAACAGTGAAATCACTGACGAGAAAGATGAAAGCACCAAACGATGCAGACGTCAAGGACTTGAAACGATTGGGTAGATACCTGGTCGGAAAACCAAGGGTCGTGTGCACCTATGAACCTCAGAGGACACCCAAGGTGATTAAAGTCTACACTGACAGCGATCATGCGGGTTGTTTGTTGACGAGGAAAAGCACAACAGGATTCGTTGTCATGATGGGACAACACTGCATCAAACATGGATCGAATCTCCAATCGACCATTGCTTTGAGCTCGGGAGAAAGCGAGTTTTATGCACTCGTACGAGCATCCGCAATTGGTTTGAGCATCAAGGCGCTCATGCAAGATTGGGGAGCCGAAAGGGCATTAGAGATCTACAGCGACAGTAGCGCTGCACGCGGTACAGCGAGCAGGCGAGGTCTCGGAAAGCTAAGACACGTCCAGACCCGTTATCTATGGATCCAGGAACGTGTGGCTGAGAACCACCTGCGGATCTGCCCGATCGGTACGAAGAACAATCTAGCCGATCTATGTACGAAACCCATAGGACGCGAAACTTGTGAGAGACACATGAAGAGCATGTGTCAGGAGTATCGTCTAGGGAAAGCTGTTGGAGCAAAGAAGTTAGAATCAACAAAGGTGTAGCGAAGCTAGCACCTGCGTTGAAGGAGGGGTGTTGAAATTTACACCTCCACATAATTGTCACACAACCACTGTGTTGTACGTATATTTTGGCCCAAGGGTAAAACAGTTGAGTGTGCTGTTTGCTGTGCATATTTTCTGAAAGTTTTGGGGTCCCCGTCGCAGAACTCCCTAACTTGGAAAGCATCAGCAAGAGCTGAAGCCGAAATTGGGCCTTTAAAAAAATAAGCACTATTGGGATCCAATTCTTGGAACCCAACTGCGAACATTCCTTAGAGGGTACATCTCATGGCAATCTTTTGAAGGAAGCTCGATTTTTCAAGTTTCCAATTGCATCACATCTATGACATCTATCCGACAGAATCTACCCCTGTCAGGAAGCTGCCAAGGCGATGCCTCCTGAAGCCATCGACATCATGAAGAAGATCATTGCGGCCGCCGAGAAATCGTCCGAGAAATCGTCCGAGAAATCGCCTGCGGAGAAGCCGGCGGAGGCCGGCAAGCTGACGCGGCCGGCCATCAAGAAGTGGCTTGGCTCTTCACTGCGGGTGGAGTTGTTTGGGTTGGATATATCGGGACTAGAGATGTTTTGTGAACATATTTGTTTGGGGAAGAAAAGGCCGGGACCTTCCAAGACGTTTAAAAAGAGTAAGAGACCTGGACAAACTATCAACCCAAGTGACACAGATAATCTTAGCATATCCGCTGCAACCCTGATGTTTCTCCGCGCCGCAATTGTGGAAGGGTTGCGTATTTTTGAAATGCCATGTCGGTGGACTTTCGAAATGTAGATGTATATGTGATCCATGATGATGATGATGATGACGACGATGACGATGACGATGACGATGATGATGATGATGATGATGTGATGGTGATGGTGATGGTGATGGTGATGATGATCGTGGTGATAGTGATGATGGTGATGATGATGGTGATGATGGATGGATGGATGGCTGGCTGGGGGTGGGTGGCTGGATGGATGGATGGAGTGGATGGGCGGGTGGGCGGGGGGCGGGTGGGCGGGGATGGATGGATGGATGGATGGGTGGGTGGGTGGGTGGGATGGATGATGGATGATGATGATGATGATGATGACGACTGTGAGGGTGGAGCAACGTCCGAGTTAGACGGAACATGACGGAACATATCTTAACCATAGCCTTCTTTTTTCGGGGCGCATTTGTCTTAAGAGAATTTCTCCTTGGCTGCTGAGAGGATCGGCAACTCCGACGCAGAAGGCGTCGATATGGAGCGCGCCATTTTCATGTGGGACGAGGCGCCTAAATGGAGATTTCGCCGATGCCCATGGCTTTGATTCGTCCAGATGTAAGATACGCACATTGTGAGGGGCGACGAGGTGCTGTAGCCCCCTCGTATTGTACAGACCCTTGATTCTTCAATGCTTGGTAACAGAATCCCACCTACTAGTGGTCTCTTCTGGCTCTATCAAAATCCGTCTTGTCCCAAGTCTTCACCTTGCTGGTTCCAGGAGAAATCCAAGGAGTGCTTGAAGGACAGGTTGATGGTTTCTGCTGCGTTTCATTTTTCCATCGGTAAATGATAATTCAATGACAATCATAGCTGAAACTTTCCCACTTGGCTATAGGCTACAGGGTTGTCTTTATAGAAAAGATTCAACTGAAGCCACTAAGGTCTTTTCTACCGGAGTTTGGACGATTGGTTTATGAGTCTCCTCTAAAATCTTGGGTCCCAGTGGCTATTGACCACTTGACTCCCAGGCTTGTTGATAAGATGCTTGACAAACTCCAAGGGTAGTTATCACACACACCCACACCCACACGCATGCGCACACGCACGCATACTTGCATCATGAACCAACGACTATTTGGGATGCACTTCCGCTGAAACCCAATTTTTGTCGGATCTACTGTAACTTCCTTTTTGTGAGGTGAGACCACCTCCTTCGCCCCGCCCTTCTCTCAGCATTGATGCTGATAGCCTTCACCTCAAGTGGAGTTCCTGGAGTTTCAGCTTATCTTTCCGGGTGAAAACCATGTTTTTCTGCCAAGCGAACCTCCGAAAAAGATGGGAACGATCAAAGTCATCATTTTGATGGTGCCATCCCTTTTCTGCATGTTTTTCCATATCTCTTTCAGGGTTCTGGATAAGATCCATGGACATAATTACCCATAGATCATGATATATGATATAATAGATGTCTATAGACTATATATCATTATATCATCTATAGATCATAGTGGTTATATCCAAAGAATTGATACGGATCCCAACGATGGGACTTCTATTCTCTTAATCTCCCATCACTGGGTCCCCATAAATTCCACCAATAGTAATATTACTAATGTAAAATAGTTATTCAGCAAATAAAACTACCCTCTGGAAAATCACCATTTTTAATAGGTAAACCATCTATGAATGAGCCATTTTCCACGGCCATGTTAAAAAGCCAGATGGTATATAAAACCTGCAAAACTCAACTTCCATCAAACCGTGTCCCCCATCCGCCGTTAGGAGATCCTGGAGGGAGAGATGCCGGAGGTCGTGAACGGAGCCATGCTGGTCATGGAAGAGGTGGTCTGGCCGGATCCGAGGGACGCCAAGAACTGGCCCGAGTTCTTGCGTCAGGCGGATGGCAGCTGGAGAACATGGGGTGTGAAAACCTTGCGAAAATCAGGGAATTTTGACAGTTCAACACCGTTTCGGTGACAATGGGCTAATGATTTGTTTACAAAATGAAGTAACATGGGGTGTTTTGACAATTGTTGAAGTGTTTTTAGCTTCGATTGGATGATTTTTAGTTCAACACATGCAGATCATAGCGGCTTCACAGGCTGACATGGTGGTTCGTGGCGGGCAAACCACCCCAAACAGGTTGATTCTTTGTGTTGGGAATCATTTGCACACATGAGTTCGGGATGATGGGTAATTGTGGATGTAATTCAAGATTTGATTGAAAAAGTAAGATTTCAACAGGTTTTTGCAACAAAGAAGAGGGTTCAATTAGTAATACCCCTCGCCAATCAAACATGGCCATGGAAAATCGTCACCTATAGATGCTTTTCTCATTATTTTCTCATTAAAACATCCATGTATATATAAGGGGATTTCCATTGCCATGTTTGATTACTCATGTCGGCCTGCCGCTGCTTGGGGCTGAAGGAAGAGCACCCGAAGAATCATGCGTGTTTGTCTTAATGCGGATGTACCTGAGCAGATCTAATTCAATAAACAATCATAAACAAACCAACAAGCAAATACTAGCAGTGACAGGTACTAACATATCTATCACATCTCATTCCGGTGGGCTGCCTTCAGCTTCGGTTCAACCCGATAAATATGATGATAGACAGAGAGAGAGAGAGAGAGAGAGAGAGAGGGAGAGGGAGAGGGAGAGAGGGAGAGAGGGAGAGAGGGAGAGAGGGAGAGAGAGAGGGAGAAAAAAACACATCTAGCGAGCGATGGGAGAGGGAGAGAGGGAGAGAGGGAGAGAGGGAGAGAGGGAGAGAGAGAGAGAAAAAAACACATCTATCACATCTACGACGTCTGTATGCTTTTGTCTGACCATTTCCCACTGAATGGACAATTTGGGAATAAATGCATCATTCTTGGACACCCATATCCTCCCTTACCTTCTCCCCCTGCAGGTGGCGGGGAAGTTTTTGGACGACCAGGTTAATGCTGATGAGCCCTTCGTGCCCCCGGAGAACGCCCGGGAGCACTGCCTCTATCTGATGAACCCAACGCAGGCGGACGCCTACCTGGAGAAGTTGGGGCTGAAGAAGGTGGGAAAGACCGGTGACTTGAACTTGATGGGTGAGATTTGTTGGGGGCTAAGGGTGGAGGATGTGGAGGAAATTGTTTGATCAAGTCGGATGAATCAAAAGGGTGAAATTATAGCAACTTTCCATCATTTTATAGCTGGTTGTATTACTACACCCCATTCTCACCAGTGAAGTCTCTAATCATGATGAAATCACTTGACGTCCCGTTGTTTCAACACCTCCAGCTTTTGGGTAAAAACCGGTCGGCGAGACCGCAACAGGATCCCAACGGGGCTGAACCTACCAGCCAATTCAGGGGGTCCCTGGTCAACATGCAAATTTATAACTATGTTATGACTCTAGTTACTAACTTGCCTATCTCCATAGAAACAACATTTTCCCTTTCTCGGATTTTTTCCGGGTTGCTTTAGTCGATCATAGGTGGTTCATTCCGCGACTTTTGGGAGGTTTTTTTTTGTTGATTTTTGCGTGGTTGGAAAAACATTTACCATGGGTCGTTGGGAGCAACCCATGGGTCGTTGGGGGTTTACCGCAGTTATACCCTCTAGTAAACTAACAGTTAGCTATTGAAAATGACCATAGAAATAGTGGATTTTCCCATAGTTATCCTTTTTGGTAAAAAACTTCACCAATTTCTACTGAGGCAAACAGTTGATGCAAGACGATGAACGCAACGAAGCCTTGGGCATGGATGATGGTGACAAGGTCCGGGTTTCAATCTGTTTCTGTGCATTTACGGGGTTGAGATAAAGTCACAGTTTGGCGCGTTATCTAACATGATATACTAATAGTCGTCGATTTGACTATGATGATTACAGTGTATTAATATGTATTAATGTCAACCCTGGATTAGTAAACCCCTAGCCCTAGATTGTTTAATTGGGAGGGTACCATTTAAGTATAATATTATGACTATTTGAGGGGTACCCCCTATTAATAAACCATGGTTTATTAATCCGGGGTTGACATTAATAGTGATACAACTAGTTGGCATATCACCCGTATTTGGCCTCGGCTAGTCCAAAGTCTGAAACCCTGAAGGTCTATGAATCCTTCCCTGACACCGCAGTGCTCTTCATAAAGGACTTGGTGAAAAAAGCGGCATGAGCCGATGTTTCCCCTAGCTCGGAAATCCTGAGAATTCCCAGGGCTCGGACCAGGATCTTATAGGCAAAATAGAATCAGAACCAGGATTTCTTGGATTCTCTCAATTGGTACAAGGGAGCATTTGGGAATCACCAACATCCTGATTTCAGGCCGGTTTTCACGGGTCGCGAATCATTTGCTGCGACTGCAAATGCAGTCGTTGGATGCAAAAGTTTGGAACCTGGAAACCAGGCTTCCAGTTGACCCACAATCTCCGAGACGGGTCCGAGACCCTGCTACTTTCCTAGCTTTGCCGTGTTGTCATTCACGGTGGAGTTGGGACATGGCAGACATGGTGATCCAAAAGGTGTGGATGCAACACGCCGCTGGGCATGGTGGGGCAATAGGTTTCCGACACACTCATTTCATGGCTCTCTGAATTAAGCATCCCATCTCAAAATACCATGAAATACCATGTTGTATCCTCATGATACCCCAATTAATTCTACCCAACCAAATCCTATTCTACAGTATCCCATTACATCCCATTGTAACATCCAGTCTCCCAATTTCTCATCCCATCCATCCGATTTTTATCGCCAAGTCGGCCAAGTCCCCAGGCCGCGGCGTCCAGGGAATCAGACATCACGTTACGGAAATGGAGTGTGGGAGTCAGGACACCATGGCCAAAAACCATGGCTTCGCCGGCGCATCCTGGGGGAAGATGGATGAAGATGGACGCATCTTGCGCTGGTTGTAGGGGTCCGAAAAATGGGGGAGAGAGAGCCCAGAGCCCAGCGGCTTGGGTCAATTTGAAGGTTGAGGATATGAACAAATTCTGGGATTTTGATGGATTTTGAGGATGCCGAGACATGCCGAGTTTCTTTTTACACCTCCGAAAGATATTTGCCCAACATCACTGGCGGCCGTGGTTAGACCGCAGATGCCCCGTCCAACGAGTTGGTCGATGACAAGAGTGACAAGTTCGTTGATGTTTGTTGGTTTACGTTGCCCATCAAACTATATTATATAGTGCAAGATTATATAATATAACATGTATAATACATAATAATCATAGTATATAGTATAATATATATATACATATGTATGCACATATGTATCGTTGTATATCCGATAAACCCGAGTTCGTAGAGTAGTTTAAACTCATCATGAATCCACTATCAAGTTTCATTTTTTGCAGCCATTCTAGGCCTCTGAAGGTGATGGTGTAAGGAACGGCTGCCTTCCTCCCCCCGATCTTCCCTGAAAAAACTGCGCTTCGCGCGAGGACCTTGCTACAGTTGCAGGGGGGCGACTTGCTTGCAACTGTGTGATGAAAGGACGCACCAAGCAAAATGACGGCGATGAACAGGGAGGTTGAAATAATTCTAGATTAATTACATGATCCAAATATTACATAGACTTTTCCGTTCTGATGTTATATAGGCGTTCTTGAACAGGGCGTTGGTTTAACCAACTTTTCCATCTTATCCAGATGATACCGACTTCACGATATCCAGGTATCCAACTTCTCTGCATTGGGATTATTATATCATCATCTTAGGTCACGGGAGCTATTGGCTTTGCTTCTCAGCTTTGGCCAGCGTGCTTCTGGTGGCCGCTCGGCAAGCGATGCGGATGAAAGGGAGGCTGGAGAGGTCAATCAGGTGGATGTCACCATGGATGATTAGTAAGAAGAATCATGGCGCTAAGATCTATGGTGGAATTATTTGCCCATCATCTATGGTGAACCCTTTTCGGTGGATAAACTTGGCAAATCACCAAATCAACATGTCATGCTGGAATGATCATTTAATGAGTGAGGACATGTGCAACTCTGATTTTGAAGGTGACCCCAAAAGATGAGCCTCAACGGTATTTGGCACACAACAATTCACATGCGATTCAGATCCATGTTCTGTGCTCTAGGCCAGATATACAATTTGACCACCCGCTCAAGAATCTCATGAAAACATATGAGGCCAACCAATAATTGCACCCAAACTTATCCCTCTTCCACCAAAAAAATGCCATAGAACTCAGAACCATCAGTTCTCTGAAATTCCATCTCCATCCATAACTAGATCCACATCTCCATGGTTTCCCCCCCAAAAAATACACTCTGGTTATTTAACATAGCCATGGAACATGGCTCATTTATAGATGATTTTCCCAGCTATAAACCTCCATTTATAAGGGATTTTCCATGGCGATGGGGCTATGGGGTGAAGATCACCTTTCAAAAGTCTCCACCTTTCACCCGAGATGACTGCGCTGTACGCCGTGTTCATGGCACCGCGGGACGATCCTGTGACCATCACCTGGCGTAAAGCGCATGGAGGTGCTGAAGAACAGGGCTGCCATGTGGTCAGGGTGCCCCAGGACCCCAGGATGGGACGGTGGGAAATACTGTGGTGACATGACGGGGGCATAATTTATGGCATCTGGATGTGACCACTTCTTTTTGTGGGATACATACTTATAACTTATAATCACATATTGCATCTAGGTTATATATATATATAACACATATGTATACATATATCTGGTTGGTGGTTTGGAACATTTTTATTTTTCTATATATTGGGAATAATAATCCCAACTGACTAATATTTTTCAGAGGGGTTGAAACCACCAACCAGATATGTGTATATATTATTTTACCCATATGTAGTATATGGGTTTGCCCAAAGCATGGCGGATTAAACCAATGCAAAACTAGGGCCTGAAGCATCGGGATTTCCCGAATCCATGGGATGCATGGGCCGCAGACATCCTACTCCAACCTGGCAATTTTCATTGGCCAACTTGATTTCCGAAGCCCTGGGATGAAGGGGCTGAACACATGGACACTAATTTCAAAGCCCCCAATGAATGTTCGGGAGTTGATTGGAAAACATCAGTGAAGAACTGCATCTTTTTGAGGCATTTTCCAATATTTTCCATCATGGTCCGGAGAAAACATGAGAAAACCGCCAGGGGCTTTCGCAGACGCCTGGGTGCTGAGGCTGATTACGTTGGCTTCTACTTGCTTCTCACCGCCTCGTCGGTGGCAGGCCTGGCCATGGGAGGTTTGAATCCCAAAAAGCATCGAAGTATTGGGGGATTTTTCAAGCATTGTTTGACTAGCGGAGGGTAGGAGATTGGAGATTGGAGGAGATTGGAGGAGAGTGGGGATGGGAGGAGATGGATTCAGTCAGTGGTCAGTTCTTTCCAGTTTTCTTATTTTTAGTTTGATGATAAACCCATTGAAGACCACAGCATCGTGAAGACATCATCCTAGCCACTAAGATCGATGCCAACACCAACGTTTTGCCACTATCTTTTTCCAGTGTGCAATTATATGCATATATACATATATACACATTATACATAGAGAGAGAGAGAGAGAGCAACCCCCCAAAAGATAAAACAGGAACTTGCCGTTTTTTTTTCAAAATCGGATTTTCGCAGCTATCTTTATGGGGCTCGGGGTGTCCATTTGTGCATATGCCGATGAGATCTTGACCTCAGTGGTTGGTGCCCCAGGTTGTGCAGCCTGTTTGATGCTGATGAACTCCTGCGGCTCAGCCCACATCCTTTCAGCTGCAGGCGGGCTTTTTGGCGGCTATGGGGCCGCCAATTGGATGGGGCGCTGACGGGATTCAGTAGAGCAAGCAGGTGAATATCTTAGGTGAGCCGGTGAATGGCAGGGGAATGTACGGAGTGAATGTTAGGTGACTGTGTTAGTTTTTGCTATGATGTCGATGTGGAGAAATATCATGTCCTTCTCCCCAACAAAATGTTGGTTACCTGAGGTTAACCATGACGAAAGGCACCAGAAGAGACTTTGCCACCCCGCCCACACAAGAGATGCAGAGTGGACGGTCCATGCAGTCCTGGAAGGGCATCATCAAGCCCTTGCCACATCACTAGATGTGTACTCTCATGAAATGGCTGAAATGGAACAGCCTGGAACTCCCTTCTGCCCCCGTGCCATCTGCCATGAGGCTACGCATTGCTGAACTGGTTGCAGGGTTTGATTGCAGCCATCCTGCCCGCGCACGAGCGCGCCAAAGCCGGATGTGCCTACGGGATGATGCAGAAAACCTTTGCACCGCTGGACGGATGGGGGGTACGACGGGTACGAAAGGAAGAGGATGGCAGATTCCGGGTTAGCCTTGGTGAATGGATGTGAATGGCAAGTTAGTGAGCATTTCTTGCAATAAATGCAAAACGGACTCTAACCAGCAATTTGTTTATTTTGTTTGGGGTGCTAGGGTACCGAAGATTAGCCATAGGTTATTGCAGTTACAGGCTACAGTAAATTAATGCGATTGATATTGAAGTTACAGGCTATTACAGGCTACTGGCTGCAGCTTACGAAGGACCTAAACAAAAGCTCGGTTTGGTACGGGATCTATTGAGTTTTAGCCAAGGCCCTCGTAAGGGGAAATTACTATCACCAGGGCTACAATGATGTTCCACCCAGCTCCATAAATAAAATGATGCCATGCCGCCGGCAGGAGCTAAGCACCTACGACAAGGCGGACTATTACAAAGAGTTTCTGGGCCTTGACAGGGCTGTGGGGTGCGCATTTCATCTGAAGACTTCTCCTTTTAGTTGGGGTTTGAAAGGGGCCCATCAATGAAGATGGGAAGATCAAACATGCACTTCACAAGGTTGTGCCAAATGAGGGTCATATCTTCAGGTAGGGTTGCTCGCTCATGTCCTGCTAGTTTCTGCTAACGATAGGGCCAGGGATCACCCCCTTGACTTAAAAAAAAATCAAGTCCTGCTGTCCCAGAAGTGTTTTGGTCATTTCCTATTTCCTTTTGATTGACCACCTTCGGACATCTACATACATGCTGCAACTATACTTTTTTCAAAATTAACTTGGGCCCCTCACATGAGATTCTATAAGCAGATCCAAGGGAGAAAACACACACAAACACCACACATACACACACACACATATATATATATATAATATAGCAACCTCATGGCAATTAAAAAATGGGAAAATGAGAAAATGAAGCCATTTTCTGGGATTTTTCATTGGTGCGATTGGCTTCACATTTTCCCAGATATTTTGCCCAGGTACTACGGGGTGATCATCGTCCGCACCCTGCTCTTCTTGGCGGGTCTCATCTGGATGCAGCACCTCATGGTGCGACGGCTGATCGCGGTGGAAACCACCTCACGGCGGCGCCTGGCCGGGAGGCGGGCGCCTGTGAGAGATGGGCTGGTGTTATGGATGTGGATATAATATGATATAATATGAGATGACTTTAGTGAGAGTATATATATATTCCTCTCTCTCTCTCTCTCTATCTCTTTAAATAAATAAATATATATATATAAGTGATATATAAAATTATCAATGAATTAAGATTGAGAGGGAGATGAAGGATACATAATGATACATAATGATACATAGATACAAGTGGGATTACACTTAGCCAGAACTGGAAAGAACCGGGAGTTGATTGGTTGATTGGGGTGGCTGGGAGGTCGGGAAAAATGATGGAGCACCCAAGTTTGGGGGTGTTATAAAGTCACAGATTACCCTTTGGTAGTTTAACCTAGCTATGGACGATCACGTCATCTACAAGTGGACCATTTTCATCCATCGTACATAGCTACTGTATATGAAATTACTGGTTGGATTGCCAGTAGCTACCAGAACTTGTGCATGTCATGTCGACATATGCTTTCTTTAAGACAGGATGGGCATATCAAATGCGACAGGCGGTTCCTACCATCTACATAGCCCGATGATTGTTGAGTTTATCCCATCTAAAAACCATTCCCATCCTTAGACCATGGCACCATTTGGGTGAAAAAAATGCTCCATGTTCTGACAGCGGAGGTGTTTGTCCACCAGCATCAACATTCAGAAAGTGGGCGCCATCGTGGCATGTGGCGTGAGCATGTGGACCGCGGGTGGAGTCGGATGGATGTGCCGTTTGTGATTAAAAGACCAAGAGATGGCTCAATTGACTGAAGAGAGTTTGAGTGTTCTAACCTAGGCCCCGCCCTGAAATGTGTTGAAATCCTTTGGGTCACATCTGAAGAAACTGATCCATTAATACCTATTGAAACTGACATGAATGGGACATCTGCCAGGGCGCTGTCATGGGGATGGGTCAAGATTGGCTGTTCCCGAAATGGCTGGTGAATCCTTGGAAATGACAACGGGTTCTGATTCCCACGGAACCAAACAATTACCTTCCAGTAAATTAACATAGACCCTGAAAATCACCCATTTTTAATGGAAACTAGTCTTCCAACCCCGACAACTGCCAGGGTCTGTGTTAATTTACCAGAGGGTAGATGGTGAAGAAGATCGCTGTCAGTCATAGCAGAGAGAGTTAACATGATCAAACCAAACATACTTCGAAAAGAGTTACCCTCTGGTTATGACTAACATAGCCATGGTATAGATGGCCCATAGAAATAGATGATTTTCCCAGCTATAAACCTCCATTTATGGTTGGGATTTTCCATGGCTAGTCATAACCAGATGGTATAAGATGTTACAAGTCACAAGGAGGTTCAACACTGAAGCCACTTGGGCGGCAAATCTTCACCCCATAGCTCCATAGCCCTGATCTCCAGGATTTATACGGCGATTGGCGACATTGAGCCACCGGAGGCGGCTATAGAGGACCGGATTTTTTTTTTGGGGGTTAAAGGTGAAAGGGTATCCCCCAGCCTGATCACTCATATATCCCAAATGAGTCAGAAATCCGGGAAAAGGATGGAAAAGGGATCTGTATCACTAATATATCACGAATAGAGCACTAAAAAGTATCACGAATGGTTTAGGGAAAAGGGATCACAAAATGGATCAATGACAGTTACGGCCAGACAACATGAGACATTTAGAGACGATACTCGTCTCGCTGGCCGTGGGCGCTAGGAAGCGAGTCTGCATTTGTTGGGCCACCTGTCCTTCTGGGAGCAATGCTCCAAGATCTCCGAGTGCATCTTGGACACCAACGTGGAACCGTGGAGCTGAGATCAGAGACTTTTTTTATCCCCAGATAATCACTGGTGGTTTGGAACATGAATGGATTATGACTTTCCATTCAGTTGGGAATGTCATCATCCCAACTGACGAACTCCATCATTTTTCAGAGGGGTAGGTATACCACCAACCAGATCAGATGGGCTGTGATGGGAGTCAGAAATTTGCCTTCAAAACCCCCCCCACCTGGGGGTACTGGCCATGTCCAATGCCGCAGATCGTCTTTCCATTCTCTTTTTGATGACCCTTAAAAGACCTTCCCAGCCAGCAGAAATGGCCCTACCATGTCTGGCTCTGACCCAGCCCACAGCAGGTGCTTACGTGGTGGGTTTGCTGCTGCTGCAGCTGGTGCTAGGCGGACTGAACTTTTTGCTCTTCGTGGGCACGGTGGTGGGGCGGCCCATGATGTGACGTCCGCAACATCACCATGGATGGTTTTGTAAGGGAAACCGTTCTAAACACCGTTGATTGCTAGGACTCAGGACTAAAACAACAGTATTCAAGTAACATACATTTTTTAGGATCCCCCAAAAGTCGAAAAACAATCATAGACCAGTATTTGAGGATTGGATTTCACCTTTCTATCTTTTGTGGAGGTTACTATAGACAATGCTAATAGCGACCTCACGTTGCGACGTCACGGGAGTGATGGTTGGAAGAGCTATATAACTATCCCAAAACTGCCCCACATTTCAGATCGGTATATCAGGTAATTCGATGAAATCCATGATTGATTTGTTCGAACCCCATTTTTTCATGGTGATTTTTCCTGAGCTGCGTCGTCCAGAAGAACGACACATTAGGAATATCTATCATTTAAAACTATTTCAGGATCTCATTCCAGTCCTGTATTTTCCTGTGTTTTTCCATGATTTACCATGCTTTTCTCAGATTTTCCATGATTTTCCATGATTTTCCCAGAGATTTTCCGCATCAAAAATGGCACTTTGATCCCTGGCCCTTCCACGAAAAGCCCTGCTTTTAGGTCACGGTTCTGGTGGTGATGTGGATCATCCTCTGGGACCTCCGTAAGGCACCAAAGGCTGCTGGTGATGGTAAAAATATGTCATTTCTATATACTAATGGTATGTTGATGGTATATTAATGGGTTTATTTCTAATGTAGGTTAGTGAAATACTATAATTTACCCAGATTAAATGGCTTTATTTCTAATTTTTTATATACTAATGTATATATATATATAGCTGGTTCATATGAATGGTAAAACAATGTCATCAACCACCCATGACTGGGAATGGTAAACATACCACCTATAAAAGTGGTGATGACCGGGGAATGGTTTATGATTGTTTTACCCTATATATATATACACATACATATATATATAATATATATATATATATCCATTTAAAGTTTCCTCTAACCACAATCGTGCTTTTATTGTAAATAACCACAATAGAAGTTTTTACAACATTGTAGCACCAACTTCGCGGACTGGCTGATTTTAGCCCTTCCGGTGGGTCAGTGGGTTTCCTTTTTGATATAAGTGGAGGAATGTATGGATCCCAACCAGCTAATTCTTGGCAGGGTATCGAAGATTGGCCTGGAATAGGCGAGGTTGCAAAAGGTTGAAACACTTAAGATACATTTAAGTGGGTTTTTGTCCTATGAGTTTTCATTTGGCAAAAGGCAACCGGGCTCATGAATCTCCCAAAAATCAGCCCTGTTACTCTTGTTGGAGGACTTCCCTGCAAAATCAAATAGCCCAAAATCCACAGTTCCGTGGAACATAGCGACGCCCGTGATTTCTTCAGGCCTTAGTGATCACCAAAGAGTTTGCTCCGACACACCCGCGCACAAGGCCCAGAGAGGATGGATTTTTAGAGGAACGTTGGAAGTTTCAAGCCCTTAGATATTTGGGAGTGGCTATGTTGGGATATCAGCCATGTGAGTCCCCACTTCCTAAAACATCCGAAAAAAACCATTGAAAGTCAGCAAGATCATCCAATGAGTGCGTGTTTCCCATGGCTTTTCATAGACGTCCTTTTTCCATTGGTTGATGAGTACCTCCCATTGAACCACGAAGCATCTTCAATGGTGCCATCCACCCAAGAAATCACCATCGTGGAAAAACACCAGCCAACTAGGACAATCGATAACATGTACCGTCAACATATGCTAACGCAGAGATATAATAAAACCGTAGGGCGCGATTGAGATTGAGTTAAGCAACCAAGTTCTATTCTTTCAACGAAATGTTAGTTGGCATTGTGGGAAACCCACCTTTTGATCAATTTTTTGATGCATGGTCTGTGAAAAAAAAACACCCAGTCAGCCAGGGGGTGTCCACATGAGTTGATGTTATGATGCTTTCCGATTGTTTTATCCCCATAAATCCCCACGAAATCAGCCCCAAAATAACCATAGTATACTTAGTATAATAACCATGAGATAACCATAGTAAAATAATGGTAAGTTGATGATGATGATGTTTCTAATGCTAAATTGATGTCCATATTCTGTCTACTGCAGGATGCTAAATCCGCTAAAAGAATCAGAAAAAACATCCATTGGCATCCCATTTGACGTCACCATTTTTGAAAAGTGGTAGCCTCTGGCTGGCAAATTCACAGTTCGGCTCTGCAAATCATCCATTTTTACTGGAAACTCGTCTGAATCAACCCCGATGACTGGCAGGGTCGAACTGTTAATTTACCCTCTGGTAAACTGTCACATAACTATGGAAAATCACCATTTTCAATGGGAAATCCGCTATTTCTATGGCCATTTTCAATAGCTATTTTGACATAACCAGAGAGTAGAGGGTAAATCATCGAACTCAATGAACCATGCCACATCTCCCACATCTCCCCAGGCGGGCCGCGCAGCAGCTGAAACGTGCGCGCACGGTGGTGCGACGGCAGCTGGCGGGGGTGGCCATGAACGGCTTGGCCAGTGACGTGGTGGATGGTGGGGTGGGTGGTATAATGTGGTGTAGTTGGTCAGTTTTTTTTAAAATAGATAAGTAACTTAGTAAATAATATACATATATGATTAAAATAAACATAGTAAAAGGATGCCGAAATTAGTTCTGTTTTGTTCAGTTCTGTTTTTGTTGATAGTTCATGATAGTTCTAATTTTTGGGTGGGAGGGGGAGGAAACCAGAAAAAGTTACTTTCGTTGGATTATATATGTTGGATTAATATGTAGTCTTTTGAGATCCCAAAAGTGTTTGGTTTGTTTGTAGAGGTTTTGGGGTATGAGACTTTGTGCTTTCGCATACCCGCATACTCTAGATTCATGACAGGAGATGAAGAGAACATCTATCTCCGCTATTGGTTATATATATATATGTCATCATATACATGAATCATATTGAATAATCACGTGCACATATTATAGGCACACCCACATGCATATATGGCAGAGAATAGGCCGCTCCTCATCAGATTTTTTCTGGGTTCGAAAACCGCACTTTCCACCATTGAAACTGCTGCCAGCTGGCGCCGAGTCGCCGAGGTTGCGGTTTGCTTCCCCTGGCGGTGAAGACCATTTTGGACGGCCGTGGCTACATCAGCGAGAGCGATCTGATGACGAGCGCCGCGATGCAGGCGCCCACTGCACAGCGGTGCGACATCGGAAATCCGTAGGAGATCGCATAGAAATGCGGGTTTTAAAGCGTTTGGAAAAGGCAGCATTGAACTCAATGGCGGAGTTTCCGGCAAGCTATGTTTGAATCCGAAGATGTCTGATTACTGTCACCCAGAGAATCCCACTCGGATGAGGGTAAATTGTGGATTATATTCTATGGTTGGTAAAAGTGAGCCATTTGACTTTCAAATCTTTCAAGGCTATGTCAATTGCAACCCAAAAATTATATGACATTCTAAAATATTTCCCGCGGGGTAACACTAGCTCCATTTTTGGATCACTATCTATTTCCCCATAAAGTGGTTGGTTTTATTCCCCCCAGTTTTGCCAAAAAACGCATCCCAGGTGTTTTCATCGAAACCAACATCCCACAATATTTTCGATCTCCTGATCTCCCATTGATTCTCCAAGCAAACAGTGGAAAAAACAGGGAAAAATATGTTTTGTTTCTCATATACCATCTTCGATAATGATCATGGAAAGCACAAGATTCTGGGTAAATTATAATATTTCAACCTTATTCCCATGGTGTTTCTCCGACATGTCACATTTCTGCGCAGATCCTGGACATCTTGAGCTGCGTCTCGGCCGCGCTGATCTTGTCGGGCGGCTACAGGCGGTCCCTGAACCAGCACCTCGTGGGGCCGAAGGGTGAATCGGAGTGCCTCGGAGGATGCCACGGGCCGATGGGTTTCGGATGGTTTCGGTGGCCCAGCCGATTGGAACAGAGTTCATTGAAAAAAAGGCGCTGAATTTTCTCAATTTTATCAAGTTTTGATAATTAATATTAATTGACTGGTTGGTGGTTTGGAACATTTGTTATTTTTCCATATGTTGGGAATAATTAATAACCGCAACTGACGAACTCATATTCTTCAGAGGGATAGGTCAACCACCAACCAAGATGATCACTAGTTCTTTTGGGGCAACCATCCCAATGAATAGTCGGGACTTATGGAAATTTGACATGAATGACTCGAGAAGAAGATGTGATCACCCTTTGCCTCCGCTACAATCATGGGGGACAAGCGAACCAGCTACCACTATATAGATATGACTTGATTCACTTGATGGGGTTAGATTGAAAGATACCCTCTGGTAAACTAACGTAGCTATAGAATATCACCATTTTTAATGGGAAAACTCACTATTTCAATGGCAATTTTCCATAGCTATGTTAAATTACCAGAGGGTAGTTGGGTTTCAAACATCTTTCAAAGGTGCCATTTTTCCACTTGTTGGCAAAATATTAATGCTAGTAGGATCGTTGGATGGGTTGATTGGCTGGAAGGGTTTGAGAGTGCGGCTTCAAGAGACTTTCTCGGTTTGAAATTGGCAAATTACAGTAACTCCCGCAAAGGTAGCATTGTTGACAGGACTTTATTGTGCTATCTTTTTTTTGGGGTGCATGACATATTGCAGCCGCGGAAATCGCAGTGGCTCGGTTTGCAGATCCGTGCTTTGGACAATGTTCAGCCATCTTAAAACTATTTCAATCTTAAGGATTTCCTGTGATAAATGAATAGAAGCTAAAGATTTGAAGTTGATTGGTTTGGGGATGAACATGGATCCAGATCAGCAAGGTCAACCATAGCTGTCCGCTGTCCTTTTCGAGCTTGTTGGTCGAAGAGAGGGTTTGGTTACCAAGGTGGTTTCTCAGTTCCTAAAGGGTGACAATTGATTTCGACATGTTTCGACATTTGGATTTTTGGAACATCAATCTTAGTAACATTGAAAAAACATATTTTCCATATATTTCCTTGTCCAAACCACATTTTTGAAGGTGTTTCAACATCTTTCAACAGTTGGATGTGTCTGAAAATGGGGTATATACCTGCAGTTATGGGAATTGTAATTGGGTAAATCATCATTTTCCAATGGGTTTATCATTACAGGAAACCCCCATAGTCACTGGTAAAAACCCATGGGTTTCCCGTAGATTTTCCCCAACAAACCAATCCAATGAGTTTACTCAGATGGCCACCTGGATGGATGTTCTAACACTCAGGCAGTGCAGCTGCCAGTTCGCTACCTTGGAGTCGGTGTGTCTTGGCAGAACTTCTCACTGCAGCTGAGACATTTTGAGAAGTTTTCGGAGACTTGTCCATATTTTTTCCAATGTGTTTGGGAGCATATATCTAAAATGTTGAAAAGATTTCAGAGTCAGAGACTTGCCCATATTTTTCCAACATCCTCTTGGAAGAATCAGTTTCCGAACCCAGAAATCGGCTTGGTACCTGAAAATTTAGGGAACACCTCAAGATATCCACCGGTGAATCAATGTGAATCACCATGTTCCCTATGGGATACCGGGATAAAGTTACAAGATATATTGTAACTTTTTTGATATTTCATCCCTGAAGATTGTTAAAGCGGACCATCTGCATGAGTACCTCAGAAAATGCCTTCCGACCCAGTCTTTTTCTAAGCCCATTATATAGTTCAGAGATGTTCAGAGGGTCTAATCTGTTTGGAATCATTAGCATGCATGTATTAATATTATGTGCAATATATAATATATGTGTATATATTTATACGTCTCTCTCTCTCTATGTTCACACATGTATGCATGGTCTCTCTCTCTCTCTCTATATGGTTTACATATGTATTTGCATGCAAATGTATATCAAACTCCTCTACAGATCATCCCAGTAGCATAAGATCTGTGGAACAGGTGTCATGGCTACGCCACTGCTTACGGCTCAACTGAGGCATTTGGACCCGCCAGACATTACGAGAAACTTGGCTACGACGTGGCTAGAGTGATACAGAAGCCAACCTTACAGCGGGAAAGAATTGGTTGTTCAAGGAGTATGCGACAATTTTTCAACAGCCTGGAAGAAAGCAGATGTATCTTCCATTACTGTCTTTTGTCCATGGTTCGGGAGTTGTATGCATTCTAGCTGTAAGGGACGGACCCGTTTGATGCTGTCGAAATTGGCGAACAAAAACATCTTTAACGATCATGAATGAACATCATTAAAATTCTAAGTTATCCCTTCATCCCTTCTGCCGAATATTCAACAACCCCTAGAAACCATGGTTCAGCGGGGATTTACATTTACTTGGGAGCATAGAATTTGGGGGTGTTAATCTTAGGGGAAAGGGATTAACTAGATTATCTGCTCATATCTGCTCATATCACATTAAAATACACTTGACTACATCTAAAATTTGGATGTATTTAACTATGATCCCAGCAGAATCCAGCAGAAACAGGACTTCCTTGGCCCCAACCCATGCGCCATGCCATGGCTGGAGGCGTCTTCAACAAATCCGACGCCTGGAGCTCCAAAGTCAGTGAGTTGGCGGGTCGTGGTGTCACGGTGAGGGAGCTGCTGACTTTTTACCGCGCCTCGGCTGTGGGAAGATGGGCTGGTGCGGCTGGTGGCTGGGGGTTTGGTGGTGACCTGGTGGTGGTTTGATGGAGCTTTGGGGTATGGTATGTATGGATATGTCTGGATGGGTGAAAATTGGAGCGATTATTGGACCCTTGAAGTTGATGACAGTTGGCTATGTTGGCTGGTTGTGGGCCCCTTGGTATTTCAATGACTTGATCCATACCTTCGATATCACCAACCTCCCGCTTTCAGGGCGCCCATGATCCACCGAGGCGAGTTGAAGGTGGTCATGCCGCACTTCCGCGCATCGGTTCACACCACGCACGACGTGCCTCAGATGCCTCGGATGGGGATGGGGATGGGGTGCTTCGAGGTGAGGCGGCCAAGAAGACATGGCGGGATTAGCAAAAGAAACAGAATCTAAGTTTTACACATTTTACCCTAACTGTTTGAAGATCATAAACTTTAGGACTTAAAACAGCTTACTGCACATATTTTATCCCACCGGATCAGAGGGTAACATCATGGATTCCAGTGTTTTCAAAACTTGGGTCACCGTGAGGTCGTTCGTCATGCCATCATACCGCTGACCAAGCACAAGAGGAGCTCCTACGTTCAGGTGCCTTTTTTGGGGAATGGGATGGAATCTGGGAATGGTTTATAAGGGAAATCATCCCCAAATGGCCTTAATTCAGGTTAGTGAAATATTATAATTTACCCAGATGGAATGGGTCAAGCCTTTTTGCGTGACTGACGTGACTGAGCCCGAAAGAATGGAGTCAACTTTCATGAACTTTCAGAAGCAACCAGAGGTGAAGACCTTGAACTGAGGATCCAAATTGAGGGGTACCGGAATATCTCTGAGAGCCATGGTAGAAGTGGAAACCCAAACTTGAATCATGAATCTAGGCAGATATGGCTTTTTCCATGCTATAAGCCTTCCAAATCTTGTGAAATAAGTAATGACAAGCAATGATAAGATATGAGATGATATGAGAAGTATGTTGATGTGATGCGCAAAAAAAACTGATCACCCTACCCGTACCTGCCAGCCTTGGAGTTCCTCCGCCCCAAAAAAAGGCCTTCGGCGATCAGAGTTGCCGGCCCTCCAAGATGGTCACGTACCGCGCTAAGGGGGAAAGTTTGGACAGCTTGGGCACCTGGGAGCCCCGAAAGATGGATAGTACAGTAGCAATGTAGCAGCAACGTAGCAGCTCTAGTCTTAGATTTCTGATTTAGTGATGTTTAGTGGCCGGTGTTTTTGGAAGTCTTGCGGGGTTCGACTTTTGTAGGTCCAGATGTTCTCGCTGTTGGGGACTGCCACGAAGATTTTGTCTGAAAGGCTTCAAGCTATCTCACATCATAAGATCTCACAGGTATAAGATCTGACAGTTGTGCCAGTATAGGCATATGCTGCATATGCTGATGAATTTAGCTGCTACCCCTTCAAAGTATTGCCCCATGAGTAGCCAAGTTGGTGTATAACTAGACCAACCAAGGGTTTATGGTGGGTAGTATCTATCATTATCTATCTATTTATTATCTATGCATCCACATGTATAATACGTATGTCTGTACATAGTCGGATTATGTTGGATAAACTAACTTGTAACACGTGGCCCCTCCCATCCCATCCTCGGCTCACAGCTTGGACGTCCCGCTGGCCCGGCCCCGGGCCGGGCCCGGCCTCGGGATGGAGGGCCGCGCGCGGGAGCGGCGGAGGGTGGGCGCCTTGCTGAATGCGCTGGGAGACCGAGAGCTGGGCTGCGGGCACGGGTTGTGGGCAGCGTTTCCTCCAAGGGATTGGATGACGTTCGAATGGGGTCAGGTTTTGATGCAATTAAAGAGCCATCAGGATCTCATGGGTTTTGTCGTTCCTCTATAAACATCACAAAGCGTTGGAAAGACATTCCCCCACCTGGCAGGTACTACCACATCGAGGGCACCGACAAGAAGGATCCTGCTGCCCCCTCTGTGGGCAGCAGCGATCTGGATCGGCAGGGCTTCGATGCTAAGCGCGCCTTGGCGGGAGGGCAGGACAAACCGTGGTTGAGTTTGTTAGCTGGGTATATATTTTTTTGATCTTTTTTGCCATGCAGTGGGGGTGTTTAGAATACTCAGGCTTAGTAAGTTAGTGTGGCAAAATTTGCCCTTTGTTTGTTGCATATGGGGATGTTTTTTGGAATCGTCAGCCGAATTTCAGATTATCGCATTTCAGAAATTACTTACATCACTTTTCAAGCGATCTTTGAAGGGAGCGTCTAGGTCCTAGGTTCCGTGGATTTTCGCTATACTCCAACTGCTTCCACTCCCGATCCTACTGGATGCCATGGTCCCAAGGCTACTTCGATGGCATGGTCTCCTCGGGTCAGCTACCAGAGTTGGTGAAGCGCGCCAACGAGCTGGACGCGGAGATCAAGGACCCCCCGCAGGGACAGCGGTGCTGGGTGGGGCCAAGGCGATGGGATGATGGTAACATATGGTAACCATGTGGTATCTTGGAGATGTAATGCCACTTTCTAATACTTAGGGATTTATGATGTTTATGATGATGCGCTGGTTTGTTAGCACATGCAGCTGCAGGTGATGATGATTTGCCTCATGCCTTTAGGCCCCTGCGTGCTTTCTGCGGTTCCCCTGTTGCCACAGCAGTTTTGATGTTTCTTCGCACTTAAGTAGAGTAGAGACGATCAAATGGATCTCCCCTTTCTGGATTCAAACTCCTTGGTCCAACCTTTTTGTTTGCTTGTTTCTCATGAATTTTTGGAACATAGCAGGACTTGGACGGCGACATGCAGATGCTCGTGTATGAGCAGCACGGCCCAAGATGACTTTGGGTTTTGGTGCCGGGTTCCGGGTAGATGGGATGAGTTCACGAATGTCGATGTCTGTTCACGAAGGAGAAGAAAGAGGAGGGCCGCGACTTGGGGATTTCTTGACCCTAGACCATTCAGGTAGCTAAAATGGGGAACTGTGCCAATCTGTGCCATACATCCATACCAGGTCATTTTTTATTGGCCTTACATGGAAAATTTGCCCTCAACCATTGATAAATCTTCTGTACAGAGGCTTGAGGCTACAGAGAGCTCTGGACGGTGGGATGAATCCACGTCACTCAGACCTTTCTGATTCGGTAAATGGCCCCGGCCGTAGCACAGGAATTACAGCAAGTTCATCCGAGCAACTGCACCTCGGCCCCGCAGGAGGAACAGGATCGAAGCGGGAATGGATATCTTAAGGAGATTTGGAGAGAATGGAGGTTGCGAGGCACATGGTATCCTCAAATTTTGCTCCAGTTCACCAGTTCAAAAGGTTGGACACCCACTCTTTTATTGTGTTTTCCGGCCCCCCAGGCTCTGGATGATCCCCAAAACTTCAGCCCCTCAGGGCCATTTGCTCCGGCCTCGAGCCAGCTGAGGATGTCATCAAACAGATGAAGTTCACCATCGAAGGCCTTGATCCAGACCTGAAGGTCTTGGAGGGCAACGTCACCAGGCCCGCAATGGGACATGTACCGAAGGGAAAGGGAGGATGTTGGGAGATGTGGATTCAACAGTTCAACGGTCCGATCTATTCCGGAGTGTACTGAGTGTACACTGATTTGTGGGATGATATGGAATACCTCATGATGAACATCATTTGCACATACCATCTGGTTATTTAACATAGCCATGGAAAATCACAATTTTTAATAGGTAAACCATCTATAAATGGGCCATTTCCCATGGCTATGTTAAATAACAAGAGGGTACATGTCGCAGTTGTCGGCTATCTGCATCTATCTGCAGGATCACAGACAGCCAAAAGAAGGTGGAAGATGGGGTGTCTGGCCGCTCTGGGCAGATTGAAGGCCTGCTAAAACAGCCCGGGGACTCAAAGGGTCATGCGGGGCGGGGCGGACGTTTGGCTTTGGCTGACTGTGTTAACACCTTACAGGACCTTGGGCTTGTTTTTTTTTATGACTATGACACAATACAGGGCACATATACACATGTGATGACATTGTTAATTGACTTCGGTTGAAGGAGCCAACTGACCCTGGATGAATCTCTAAACACGCCCACTGTTGACACTGAACCCCAGGTGTAATTGTAATCCCAAGTGTTTTTGGTCAAACCACCACCAATTTTTTGAGACTTAACCAATTTTTTTTAAACAATCCAACCTGGGAAACTTTTGAGACTTCAGATTTTGCTGTACAAAAATCCGATGGAAACCATGTCACAGGACATGACCCCCCAGTTTCGCCTGGTGCATTGGAACCAAGGCAGCGCATCTGCCGCAAGCTGCAGGCGGGGGAGATTTGATGGCACAGCCATATAAATTCCATGCATGCAGCAAGTACGCGCACACACACACATATATATATATATATCATTATTAAATATATATAATATATACATAATTATATATATATATTGCATATTTCTTATGTAGTTTGGATTGAATGTAAATATATGACATAGTACATAGGATTGCATAAGCATGTGCCTCTGATTTTTTGATCTTCAGAGTCGGAGGCACGTCATTTTCAAGTGTTTTCAAACATGTTTGCGGGGTCGTTGTATGGCGGCGAAGGGTGCGGCAGAACGGATGCCAGGTCCTGTTTGAGCTGCCCAGCACCTTGCAGAAGTGCTTGGATCGCAAGGCATACGGAGAGGCCGTGGAAGCATACTGCTGCCTGGCCATGCCGTCAGCTGGGGGAAGCTGCAATAGTTTGCGGTCACACCTTGACATGGGACGCCCCAAATCTTGAACTACCAGATGGTGATGGTACAGTGATGTAAAGTGACTTTCTACACATATATGTTTGGGAGCCATTTCTTTTGGGTTGGAGGATTGGAGTAGGTCTGTTTCTTGCAAGGGTGCCAGGGCCTTGTCTGAAAGGGGCCGGGACTTCATCCTTGAAACATTCTGAAGGGCTTGGGCTTCACTGCCATTCTTGGTCCCATAGTCATTGGATTGGTTTGTTGGGGGAAATCTACAGGAAACCATGGTTTTTACCATCAAATTGATCGGGCTTTCCTGTAAATTTTCCCATCATCCAATTCTATGACATAGGAAAAATCGAGTCAGAAACACACATGATTCTTGTTCCAGCATTATCTCTCTCCATTTTTCGGTACGTATGCTAGAACTGCAAGTAAGTATTACCGTGGCACCGTGAAAACCATTTGGACATGGCATACCTTTGGACCCCAGATCACCCCTGAGGTTGTTGCTCCGGCTTTCTCCGACAGTACAGGCAGCACGGGTTGGGCTGGCGACAAACGATATAAGATGGGAAAAAATGCTGACCATCTGGAAAAAAATATTGAACCACATTTTTTTTTGCTGAGCACACGTTGGTTTCTAAAGAACATAAAATTGTCATGTGTATTTGGAAGGTATTCGAAGTATTTGAATCGGGGATACCATTGTCTCTACAAAAGCCGGTATCATGTGACCCCTACAAAGGGTTCTGTAAGGCTCCATTTTGTAAGGATCACTTTGCTGTGTACCTGGTTTTTGTAGTAGAGCGATACCTTTGTAGGCATTCCTGCCTGGTCCACCAAAAGTGTTCAAATTGTATGAATCCTTAAATGGACCTACTGGGAAAACCAAGAGTCTTTTGTAATGGATAAATTGTGGCCAAAAACAATTCCAATCTAAGTTTTCACGAAGGCCTTGCAATTCTACGGAAATTATGTTCAGTTAACATCATGCAAACACATTTCCCAAGAATAATTCTCCAAGAATTACCATGAATTTTATTGAATTTTCCTATTTTTATTTATATATATATATGTACATTTATATGTATTTTTTGTCAGGGGTAGACAAAAGCAAGGGCCTGTAGGATCCTGTAGGATCGTCTTGGATCGTCTTGGTGCATAGCCCAGCTATGCAGAAAAATGACGAGAAGCAATCCATCGCGAAGACCGTGAAAAAGAAACTTGGGAAATCTTGGGGAAATAGGAGTGTTGTTTATTTTTTTAAGGTACGACATGGTACGACCCAAGAAGTAGCTTAAGTTAGTCAGAATAATCCCTGGTTGAAAGCTGTTGAAAGCAGTTGCCGTAGAGGAAAAATCAACCCCAGATTCACTACAAAAATATCCTGTGCCCTTGGACCATCCAGAAAAAGGACCTTCAATTCCCCTACAGAAGTTATCAACCAACATGTGAACAAGGCCCTACAAAAGTATTATAGAAATTTAAGGCTATTTCAAAAACAAAAAAAACACAAAAAAAACATAGGTTGTAAAACCCTGAGACTTTTGTAGGAATATTTTTTCTAACCGGGACATTCTTCTGTAGGTTTTTTTTTCCTGACTGACTCCACTTTTGTAGTTTTGTGTTCTAAAGTCAGATTTGTATCTACAAAACCTGGGGCACAGGTTACCCTGGGTAATGGTAACCCCGATGTATTTGATACATCGCTTTTGGCAGATTCCAGCTATAAAGCTGATGCTTGCGCACGCAAAGATCTCGCCCCGGCCCCGGAGGCATATGCCGACCTTTCAGAAGGTGTTGGAGGAGGCCGAGATCCAAGATGGGTTTGCGGTTGAATGATGTTTCTGTGAAATTTTGGCTTCACAACGTTTGCATTTCAGGCCTTGGACCTGTTTCCCCTTCACAACATTTACCCTTGCTATGGTTGATCACTCATTTGAGTTGTTAGTATTATATACCATGTTTTCACTTTCAATCATTCGATCTCAACCTTGTCTCATTTTTCATTTAATTAACTTTCTTGAACAATCCAAGAATTGAAGTCAGTTTTTTCACCACCTGGTTTCACCGCCACTGGGTGCCGCAGGTAGAGCTGCAGATGGGCCGCATCCGCGTGGCCCTGGAGGAGCGGCTGCGGTCTCCAGAGCTGTTGGTGGATGAGGCGGTGAACAGTTGGGGACCCCCAGGGAGCGCTGGCTTTGGGGCGGGGCTGGGGATGGAAGGGGTGGCACTGGGTGATGGTAAACCCGAGGAAAGACCTGGATTCAGCCAAGGATCCATTGGTGTGTGTTTTTTCTGGTGGGGTGGCGGGTTTCCGAGATTGACAGGGAATCATGGGAAAGGTTGGGAGAGACATGTTTGTAAAACCAGCCATCCATATGCATAAACAACGATCATGAAAGAGCGTTGAAGGAAGAGGGAGCAGACCTTTCCAACAATTTTCCTTGAATCTTTGATCATCAACCAAAAAAACAACCATTTTCCAACCATTTTCCAACCATTTTCCAACCATTTTCCATTTTCCACCTCCAAAAAAACAGGACCATCAACCCATCTCCTGGCGCGCCGCGTTTAAGGCTCGGTAACACTGCTGGACCTGGGGGAGGACCAGGTGAAGGTGGTCGGCGAATACCTCACCGGCAGGAGCTGTGGTCATGACGACTTGGATGTTACCCTCTGGTGAGCTGACATAACTATGGGAAATCACCATTTCCAATGGGATTTTATAGTGATTCAATGGGATATTAATGGGATATACCCTCTGGTTATGTCAAAATAGCTATTGAAAATGGCCCATTTATAGTGAGTTTACCCATTGAAAATGGTGATTTTCCATAGTTATGTTAAATTACCAGAGGGTAGATGATAGGCGGAGGGGTTGAATTTCCAGGGGACAAAAAAAGTGAAGGCTTGACTCAATCTTTCGTGAATCGGGCCTTGATGTGCAGAAACCAGGTGTGGAGTTTTGCAAATTTGTTCCTATCATAACAGACATCGCATTAATCGGCTAGCTACTAAGATCAACTACCCTCTGGTAATTTAACATAACTATGGAGAATCACAATTTTTAATGGGAAAATCCACTATAAATGGTGATTTTCAATAGCTATGTTAAATTACCAGAGGGTATTGTTTGGGACATGGGTTGAACCCACCAAACCAGTGAACTATACATCCCTCCCATCTCTCCATGGCGTTTTCAGGACGGCCACCCTACGGCGGAGCTTGAGCGAATGCTTCGCACCTGGGGCCGCAGGCGCGGAGGAAGGAGGTGGGATCGAAACACTCTCTCCAGGTACTGCAGTGAATTTCAACTTGAACCCTGCCAAACATGAGTTTGGACATGCTGGGATATAGCCTTCAAGATGCTTCAACAATTGGCCTTTCAATCCATTTGTAGGGTCCATGTATGTTTGATTTTTTGTCTGAAAACAAAGGGTGGGTGACGTTAAACACCTGCAGGCTCTGCGCCTGCACCTGTCGAAGATGGTGCTGAATTGACCAAAGACCAGGTTAGGGTTTGCACTTCCCCGGGTGGCACGGGCCTACAATCATCACACAGCTACCCGCCAAAATGCACTTCAGTGACACATCCATTTTGCTTGCATTATCGGTGTGATGATCTCAAAGCTGTAAAGTAAAGTCTCATTCTTTAAGTCGTGTTTGTTTTGAAAGGAATGTTCCAATTGCTGCGTGCATTGTTTTGGGCGACATTGTGTGAGAAGCGAACATCAATTTGTTCCATCGCCGTCTCAAGAAAGGAAGTGGTTGAGGCTGAACGTGGCCAGATCCCTGCAGGGTGCATCAAGCCACAGACCACCTCCGGATGGCACGGAGCTTCGCACGGGGATGGATGGTGTTGGTGTCTCTGTTCTTGTGCCGTTGGGGCTACTCTCCTCTCCAGGTGCAGGTGGCTGCGCCCATTTTTCATGCGGTTTGGGAGCCACCAAGCCTGGACCCGCAGAAACTGCAGGCGTGTGCTCCAAAGCTGCTGGAGACAGATCAGTTAAAGGATCTGATCGCAGAGGCCAGGGACCCAAAATGGAAACCTCGCAAGAAACCGAAGCCAAAGACGTCACCTGAGAGGCCAGGCCTGTGGCGCTGCTCTGCTTGTGAGCAGTGGCTTCCAGCAACGGCTTTCCACGTTCGAAATAGGCGCGGCATGCAGTTTCCGCATACATATTGCAAGGAATGCGACAATGAGAAACGTAGGTTGCACCGTCGCACATTGCGGGGGGGTTTGCTTGATTCTCTCCACAGGGCCAGACCTAGAGCCAAAGGGAAGGCGTGGAATGTGACCCTGACCTTCGAAGACGTTCTCGAGATGGTGGAGCAGCAGAACGGTAGGTGTGCATACTCGGGCGTGCCAATGGAGATGGTTTTACCAAACAGTAATTGGAGAATGTCCTTGGAAAGGCTCAACAACAGTGAAGGGTATTCCCGTGAGAATTGTGTGCTAATTGCGTGTGAGTTCAACACTGGAGATTTCAGCCGTCAGAAGGGTGTTCAGGCGGAGACAGTAAAGGGAAGTGCACAGTGGTCCCCTGAGAAAGTTCAAGATGTGTGCCGCCTGCGGGATCACCCAGTAGACACTCAATTGTTGCAGACAGAGCTCGCAGAGGCCCGACTAGGTTCAAGAAAGAGCAGGAGTACAGTTGTACACCAGAGCCAGCCAGATAAAGATGAAGCTGGAAACATCTACTGTTCTGCATGCGACATGTTCCTTAGCTCTGGCAGCTTTTCCCCATCTCGCACCCATTGCTGCAAAGCATGTATTCGGGAATTTAATCGAGCACGACGCTCCACGCTCCGGGGTCATGTGCAAGAGTGCTTGAACACTGCGAAAACTAATTCGAAGAAAAGAGGTCAAGAATTCTCCCTATCTCTCTTGCAAGTGCTCGACATGCTGGAGAAGCAGAGTGGCCGCTGCTTCTACTCTGGTGTTCCTCTGGAGTACAAGCGAATTCACACTCCCTGGCGTTTGTCGATCGAGCGCCTAAACAACTCCATCGGATATACGATGGAAAACTGTGTGTTGATTGCAATTGAGTTCAACACGGCCGATCATAGTCGCAACATTGCAGTCACTGAAGTGTTTGGGACCGCGCAGTGGTCCAAGGAAAAGGTTGACCATGTTTGGGGTTTGAACGGCTGGGCACGTGAACGTATTCCACCAACCCTGACTTGAACACCTTAGGCGGACAGACAGTCAGAGCCCGCGCACGGCCACTTGAACTTCACCAGTATTTTCAGCCGTCACTTTTTCCCCCAGGGTGTGAGCAGGCGTTATTGGCAGTTTTTTTTGTGCTGCCAGAGCTGCGCTTTGGCGATGCTTAATTCGAAGTTTTTGGGACTGCCCAATGGTCCCGCGAAAAGGTTGCGCACATCTGGGGGGGACCATGGCTGGGCGACCAAAGGCGTGCCTGGCCGTCCCAGCTTGCAAGTTGACCTCAGTTGGTCGACCACACGAGAACCCAACTCTAGGGACATTGAATGCGGCATTTATATAGTATAGTATTATTGAGTATGGTAAAAATTGCAGCGATCTCACCGCATCTTAAAAATGACAGTCCTCAAAACTCCCTGATTTCAGGCGGTTGAATTGTTCGAATTCAGCCAGAGTTTTTTAAATTCGTTGCACCTTTGCACCCCGTCATTTGCGCCCTGACGTTGCTGCACTTGTGGGGGTGATTGGTAATTCGTTTCGTTGCACCTTTGCCATTGGGACAGCTGGCCCGCATCTATTGGGCTTGACCTGCCCATTGGTACCGTGCATGAACTAGGCATATGCACTTTCTGGAAGGCTGCAACCAGCTTGAAAGATGAATGGATGTGACCGGGTGAAGGGCAGAGCTTTCTGCTTTGCATGATGTAATCAGCAAGCTAACAGTGGCGAGTGGGACATTGTTTATCATTCCATGTTGCATTTACTATTGGCTGCAGCATTGTTGGATGTCCATCACGTCTGACATTGGTCCCCAACCCTTCCAACGGTCTCAACCCTTCCAACCCAAGCGCAGGAAGAGTTGCGCAGACCGGAGTCGGTAGCCCTGCATGGGGCCTGTGCCAAAGTCACGGAGGCACACTGCTGCCATGCTGGGGCGGAGGGGATTTGGAGGATTTCTGGAGGATGGAGATGGAAAGGAGATGTTGGAGTTCAACTTGACCCATACTTGGAGATATCTTATATAATTATATTCTTACATCTTCATTCTTTGTGTATATCATTATAGAATTATAGATCTTTAGGGAATATTTCTGCTTTGCACAGAAACTAAAGATATCTAAAGATCTAAATCTCAGCTTTGGGTTGAACATGAACATGGGCCCAGTGAAGTTCAAGACTTTTGTTGCAAGCAGTATTGTAACCTTCCCATACCTTCCCCGTCCTTGCCGATTGCAGGCCTATGTGCCGCCTTTGTGCGATGCAGTTGAAGGCTGCGTCAACTGGTGGACAGAGAGATTTGACAAAGCCTCGGGCACCAAAACCAGGTGAAGATCAATCACAAAATATCACACCTACAATGATAATGCTGTTACACACCAAAGGCATCCAAAGGCCAAGATAGGCCCTGCAAAGTTTCTACATAATTTCTTCTCAGTGGATTTTTGCTGCCTTAAAGACGCACAAATATGGCGTTCCAGATCGTTCCAGCAGCGTTTTGCATAGTAGGCTTCCAGAAACTCATCGAGGTGAGTTGCTCGGCAGCACCGGCAGAGCGACGTTTGGGGTGATCGTGGCAACAATTGTGGTGTTATAGCCTTGTTCAGATGTATTAAGATGATATTTGATGATCGATGGTTTGTTTTCATATGTTTTCATTCAATTCTGAGGCCTTTACTGCAATATACTAAACAGTACTAAACGTGTATTCCCTTGTCATGATGTTTTATGGCTAATATTGGCTAATTATTGAAGTGATCCGCTTGACAACTAGATGGGAGCAGTGTGGGTGCAAGTTTGGACGACCCAAAATTTTGTATTTTGTGGATCTTTGACTACACCATAGCCAAGGAAACGCCTCGGGTACGGCAGTTGATGAGAACGTCCTGCCGGATTTCGTGAGTGCGCGGATCGAAGACTTGTGCGTGGGGATTCCCAGGGTTCAAGGCTCGTGCTGAGAGGTGTCAAAGTAGACATGGCCACACCGCTCATGTCCCGCTGATTGTTGAACGCATTCCTCCAAGCTTTCCTGGGGCAAGTCTTAAAAATCGACCCCAAACCTGCTGGTTGTCATGGACTCCTAAGCCAACGAATATCTCACACATTCTCATGATAAACCACCTTTTGTAACTGTAACATGTCGTTCCAGGGTTTCCCTCATCCCTGACCACCCAGCACAGCAGCACGGCACCGCTCGAGGATCGCATCACCCAGCTGGTGGACCAAAAGTGTCCGCCCAGCCGCGTGTTGGTCTCCTGCATCCACTCAGTGCGCGACTCGTTGAGGCTGGGGCTATCACATGATGCGCCATGAATGGGTTGAACTGATGGATCATCAACGGGTGTTATGCCAGAGCAAATCAGGACAGTGATAATTGATGATAATTGCCGGTATAAGACTCCAGACGGACTTAGCCGTAGCTGGCCATTGGTATAGTTGCATCTTTCCCTTGCGTTGCCTGCCATGGCATCATTTATGTCCCATTCAACCACCAATATTGTGCCGTCGAATTGCGCTTGTTCTAGGATGTTTACATCTTAAACAATGGAGACATAGTGCAAACAATGGGATTGAAAAATGCAAGTCCGGGAGAGGCAAAAAGAACAAGTGCAAAAAAAGAAAAAAACAGCAATTGAAAAATGCAAGTCTGAACGAAGCAAAAATGAGAAATTGTATTTGCATTTTTTCCATTGTATTTTTTCATGTGCTTTTTTAAAAATTACATTAATTACATTTTTGATTTACATTTTTTGGCATTATATACATGGTTACATGATGTTACATGGTGCATTTTTTCAATATTGCAGTTTTCTAGAATAAGCTCACAAGGCGCCAGCCAACACAACACCAGTACTTCTCTAGTTTTTTTTTTTGGAGGAGGCTCATCTAACAAGTTTTGCCAGTTTTGACAGCAAGAGGATAGTCAAGTTCAACTCCCCATGGATTTTTTGTTATTTTGTTGGCTACAATTTCCGGCTTCCCTTTCTTCCTCAGGATGCCTGTAAATTTGGCTAAATCTCCATTTAAATCCCTTTAAGTCCATTTGATTTATGTTGGTTCACTTCCCATCTGAGTCGGTTTATTCCACACCCAGCCAGCTGGGCTCAGCCAGGCGGCTGCACTCGCTGCTGCCGGCCCTGCTGACGCGCCTCTTCCGCGCCTTCCTGGGGCGGACGGTGACTTGGCAGCAACCTTCTGCTGCGGTTGGATACCTGGGAAGGGAATGGTTGGAAATTCCAAGTTGAAGACAAAGCCTCAAAGGGCCCCCCACTGTCGGAAATTTTGTGAAGTGGAAGATCCATGATTTTCAATCGTGCTCTAATCTAAGCTTCCACTGTCCCTCTGAGCTCCCGTCCAAGGCCATGGATGCCATGCGATCGCTCTTCGGCACGGCCTGCAGCCAGATGACCTCCGAGCTCTGCAAATTGCTGGGATCCTCAGAGGATGCGGCTGGATGACCTGAGGTGTGGCAGCGATATTGGATGATATGGGAGAAATCTGATTGCCCAACTATTTAGCATGTAATTTGACTGACTTGACTGACTTGGCTGACTTTACCAGTCCACCTATTTTCCAGATCCCCAGATCCTACCTTAACTGCAATCAAACCTGGCCCTTTTAAAAAGGCAACTCACCTATTGCCAGGTCAGATTCCCAGGATCCCCCAGCTGCACCTGCGGTTGCTCCACGCCAGGCACGGCGAGTGCAAGAAACTGGGCGAGTCCAGCAGCAGCGGCTTGGACGATGTCTTGGAGGAGATCGCGAAGACCGAGCAGGCGCTGATCATGCGCCTTGGATGGTGATGTCATGGGGCACATATCTCGGGGAATGACGGAATGACGTTGGTTCATCTTGCTGGCGTTTTACGTAGGGAATGGATGGGTTGCTGGGGGTTGCTGGGGGTTGCTGGGATGATTACTATTAGTGATGACTGGGATCATTCCCGAAAATTCCCTGCGTTTAGCAGCAGTAAGTCATGAAAGCCCAATCATAAACACCGCTGACCAACTTTTACCATTTGGGAGGTGCAGGTACAGACTATCTTGGTGTGATAACTTGGTGGTGTGGCAATGATGGAGCCAAAGGTCCCTGTGAAGTGAAGGGTGAGATAAACATGTAGCAGTTCCCATAGTGTTGTCAACCAGCTGCCAGCCACTTAGCTAGCCTCAGGGAAAGGTATGGCATGACCACCAAGGCATGGTTTTACAGCCCTTACCGAGTGCCAGCCCCTGCAAAGCCTACTGGGGCCTGACAAGGCTGGGTGCAGGGTGGTGAGTGACCGAGTGGTGCGTTCAATAACATGGTAAACGCAAGAAAAGTGACCCTTTTTTGGGGCATATCGTTTCAATATGTTTCAATGCCCCCACGACATGATAGCACCTCAGGCAGCTTTGATGCCTTGTATGGGCATCGGATGCACAGTACCTCTAGAAAACATTCTTATCAAAGGACCACAGGTTGAACTTGATGTGATATGGCGTTGTGTCATGATTCGTGCCCTTACCAGAAGATTTAATCATTTCATCACGTTTCACCTCTTTTGACTTCATCATTTCCACATATTTCATACCAGTTCAATCCATGTCAATCCATTTCCATCCATTTCCATCCCTGGTTTTCTTGAGCACACGTCCCGCTCCGCGACTTGGCCCTTCCCGTTGGAAGTTACCCCCCTTCGACCCGCAGCCGTTTCACGCCAAACGCGACGTGGAAAGGGCACCACAATGCAGCGCCTCGCACTGGTGGCTCTGGCCCTGGTGCAGGCTGTGGGAGCTGATGGGATGGGATGCTGGCTGGGGATGAGGGTTTTCGCAGGGAAATTATCTTCTTATTTCAATTTATGAATATATATATAATATATATATGTGATTATACATGTATATCAATGTGAAAAACTTATTCAGGATCGACTTTCAGGTATCATTTTCTTTCAGGGTTGACCCAACTGGGAAGATGAAGATGGATGGATCAACTTTTGAGGATTTGGACATGGGCCACCATAAGGCAGGCAGGATCCCATCACGGCGAGGCCGTAGCGGGAAGAACCTGCAGCTGCGAGTGCTGCGAAACCGCTGCAGCTCGGGAGGAGTCCGGTGGTGTCGCGAAATCAGGAAGACGGGGAAGACGATCTTCAAACCATCTGAACACTTGATGATCTTGGTGGTTTGAAAGTGGATTGGAATGTGAAAATTCAATTCACCACCAGTCAGTGCTTTGAAACATTCCAGCACCTGAAAAAAGGGATGATTTTGTGGCATCCGGCGGCATGGGCGGCAACGGTGGTACCTGAAATCGGCAGTGCCAGGAGCAGGCCGTGCAGTGCAGCCTGTCACCTGGCGCCCCTTCGGCTCCGAGGTGCTACTGGGTGCTGTTGCGGGTTTGGGTTTTTGGTCATCAAACATGGTTGCTTGGGATCTTCATTTTCAATCGGAAACTTGTGAACACATATACAGGATATATGAATATATATATATATATACATATGAATATATAATAATTATATATATGTTATTACCGGAAGGTAATCAGGTGCTCTGAAGGCTATGGGTTTGATGAAGACCCGTCATCTGAAAATGACCTTCTGACCCTTTGATGAAGCCGTACTGAGTTTGTTGGGCTGACGATCCGCAATGATTTGAGCGGTTTAAGGAGGAGAAACAACCAGTTGATACCAGGGTGAAACCCTCCACCTCCCAGGTGCGACAACCTCTGCGCCAAGAGCGCGGATGACCACTTGCTAGACACCTGGGCGAGCAAGGGTCCAACGGTAAACAGGTGAGTTTTTGTCGGGAAACCGGGGAGGTTTAACAACTTGCATCAGAAAAAGTGAAGTTGGAACTCAATTAAGACGTTAAGACCATATGCCTTACCTGAAAACCCCAAAATGAAATCATATTTTGAAGGCCTCGTCTTCCAACTTTCAGCCATAGATTTCCCCAAAATGTTGGGTCCGTCCCCCCAAGACTCATCGAGTTGTCTCTAAGGAAACCGCCCAGAGCTTTGTGGACACCGAGCGCTTTTGCTTCGCTGAGTGCGTTCCAGCCCAAGAGGACGCCGGGGCCTGGTTTGTCGGACAAATGGGGGATACCCCAATTTTCATAGAGAAAAGGAGGAGATCGGACACACTAACCATCACTAACCCATATCGTGATTCATCCTGCTTCTATATCTCGGGCTGCCTGACTCAGGTGCTAAGCATGTAGCTTCGTCCAAGAATTGGTTGGACTACCCGGATCCTTACAACTTTTGGATCCGTAAACCAGCTCTGTGACTTGCGGAACACCCCAAGCAAGCGCAGTACTGTGACACTATGGCCCTTACCCTGCAACTTATAGATGGGCTAGTTCATCCCTACCCATGGCCCATCATGACCCATCAAGGTGGTAGGTGCCCCCTCCAAGCCTCAGCCGGCAGGACGCCGAGCCGGGTACCCCTTGCCACCCCTTGGCGTTGGGCGCCCATGCCGGACGCCGCGCACGCCCCGCGCTGCGCATAAAGCGGCCGCAACACAGGGAAGCGCCGGTGGCGTTGGCGCGCGAGGCCTCGGCAGGACCGGTGCTGGTGCCTTGAATAGCTGGAAATCAACCATTCATTGATGCCCCAAGGTTGAGCCAACTAAGTTTAGTAAAGTATAGTTTGATTAAAGTTTAGTCAAGTTACTGTAATCAAGTTGTTTTATCACTAGAATCAGCAGGGTTCATGGTGGGAAATCACATCTATAGTTGGATGGGGGTAAAGACCAAGTTATGATTGCATTGAGCCACATTGCGCCTGGATCTTTTCGGATCTTTTCCGGCAGGACCCAAGGGAGGCTCTGAAGAGGTGGATAAGCTGCTGAAGGATGCGCAGAAACAAGCAGCCAAGGCGCAGGAAAAGACCATTGCCGTGCCTTGGGCTGAAGTGGCTCAAGTGGTTGGGAACTGATTGGGGGTCAGGACCCAAGGCATGTTTTGGGGAATGATGTCAGTTGGGTGGCCAGGGACGTGCAGCTAAGAGCCACCTCCTTCATGTTCCAATGATGCGAACGGGCACTTATCCTTCCATCTCACTTTCGTGCTCAAGCAGTTAATGTAGTCTTGGTATGTCTTGGTAAACCAACCATGTTGGTTTGAACACATCGCAGTTCAACTTACACTCTGCTACCCCATAGTAACTTGGTAAAACTTATAGGTCGGTGATCTACCTACTCTTTGAACTGATGATTTTCCATGGCTCCGCTCCCATCCCATCCCATGGCGTTGCCCAGGTGCAACGTGCCAGCTACGGCGGCATCGGCGTGGTCACCGAGGCGGCGCACGTGGAGGACGACGCGCGGCGCGCCGCGGGCTTCGCGCTGGGGGTGGAGCAGCAGGTGCATAAGCAGCTGGAGGAAGCCAAGAGACAAGCCAGAGAGGAGGCTGATTGGGTATGGGGCTGGTGGGAAGATGGGAAAGGGGGAGGAGGAGGCTGGATGATGGGAGAGATGGGATGTATAGACATCTTTTGAAGTGCTAGCGGGTTGGGGGATAGGATTAATTATATATATATAATAATAATATATATTTATTGGATTTCATTACGGGTTTGGACCAGATTTTAGATCACAGGGGCCCTTGTTGCTAGGATCAACTTGAAGTTGACTGATCAAATGGTCGTACAAACAATGTTGGGCTGGTCGATGATGACCAGGTGGCTAGGACAATCTCCTTGGAGTTATCCTGTAGTTTACAGCTGTCCAGAAAGGTAGTGGCTTGGTGCTGGGTAGTCTTCCCACCCAGGCCTTTGCCGTGATGCAAGAAGTGATGCCCATGGTGCAGCACCTTGGCTTTGAAGGGCAACCGGGGAGTCTAGTGGGTTTATGACGAATTCATCCCATTTGTAAGTAGGAGCTGACCATAGTAGGAAGAATCGTCAACCCAGATAACTACTCCAGCAGCTGACCGTGGGTTTGATTAAGAAAAACTGGTGCCACAGCAAGATATCCCTCGATGGTGTTGAGCCCGCCCCCAGCTCTCAGCACCAAATTTGCTACACTTTTCACCCACAGTTCCCATTCGATTCGATGTGTAGACCAACTCTTTCAGGTAACAACTGGCATTGGGGGGCCTCACTCCCTCCCCCTGCCCAGGTCAGCTGCCCGCAGTGCGGCCAAGAAAAAGGCCACCACCGGGCCCTTCTCGAAGTTGGAGAAGTCGCAGGAGGAGCAGGTGAAGGTCTGGTTTTTTTGGGGAGGATGGCCATGTGTTCACCCTCCTTGCTTCGGATTTTTTGATGAAAATTGAGGGAGAGTCCAAGCACAAGAGCCTCACAGGCCACGGCCGCTGCAGCCAGCAGCGGTCTGCAGCCCTGGAGCGAAGCCATGCAGGGCGCAGAGAAGGTGCGCGATGCCTACAGCCAGCGGAGCCACGAGCTGGCGCAGGTTGGCACTGGACATGGTTCTTCAGCCCGCCAGTGTAGACATGATTCGACTAGCTTTCCTTAAACATCAACCCACGTCAACAGACATCAACCATCAAGTCTTGACCGGTAGATCTCTGCACCCAGGCAGCCGCTGCGGCGCAGCAGACGGCCACGGCGCTCTCAGCCGAGGCAGAGCAGTGGCGGCAGCTGCGCAGCGCGGACGAGACTAAGGCGGCACAGGCGGGCGCTGGGGCCGGCAGGTCGGTGGATGGCCCTTGGAATCCCTTGCATCCTGGAGATTTCAAGGTGGAGATGAGGGTTTTCTGATCAAACAAGGTGGGTATTTGTACTTACTAATCCTTTTCCACTTTCTGAAAGAGTGCGCCTAGAGTTTGCCAATGATTTCACCAAAGGCCAAGATGGCCGAACAATTGGTGAAGTGAACAATTGGTGGAGTAGTTGTTTAATCATCCATTTGCTCGGGAAGCTTGAGTGGAATGGCTCCCAGTTTTAAATCAGGTTTTTGAATCATGTGAATCATGTGCATTCAATAATTAATCCAAAAGGGTACCAGGGTGAACTCCAGTTTGCTAGCTGCTAGCTCCACGATTTGATGTGTTTAATGTTGTTTAACCATGTTGAACCTATATCCCAAGTATGAAGGGTTGGTTTGACACCCTATGAGCCACATATTTTTGGGCCATTTTTCCAAACCTTTCAGCGCGAAACCCGCCGGGGATTCCGATTTCGGTAGGTGGAGAGTAAGGCTGAGCAGTTGCAAGAACAGGCCAAGGAGGCTATGGGCGCGGCGAAGGAGAATGAGAAGATGCTTGGTGTAGTGTAGGTTGAAATGAAACTGATAGCAAAATGCAGGTAGAAACCACATATCTAAAGAGATCATTAAGAGATATGAATGAATTTCTGATGCTAACTTATGTGCGTTCTAAATATGTTGAATCCGCTCCATCTGTCCTTAGATATTTCCAATCACTTTTGTGCATCATTTTTCCGATGGGTTTGTTGCTCACCCATGGAAAGATCCTCCAATCCCAAGCCTCTGTAAACCTTGGTGAAGGGGAGTTCAATGCTTCAACTCTGTAGTTGAATGATCATTTGAATTGAAACACATTTATGGGGGTATATATATATATATACCATTAAACTCTAAGAATGCTGAAGAATGCTGAACATCATTTCTGTTTGAAAGGCATTTAAGAGATTCTAAGGGTAGCCAGGAAGCTGTCACTAACCAGATGCCCCAAGGAAGGCGAAGAAGTACCTCAGCATCGCCAAGTCCATCGATGAGTCGCTGCCGGCCTATTCCCGTCAAGCGGAGCAAGGCGAATGGGTTTTGGTTCAAGCCACGGGGGGGGAATGGGTCCGACATTTTTTGTGGAATTTGTGGGGAAAATGGGTGAACAATAGTGAACAGGTTTATGGCAAAAAGGCGAAACGTGGGGAAATGGATGAGACAAGGGAGACGACCCCAAGTTGCAGAGCTGTTGGGAGCTGTTAAGTTGACCCACAATGAGGACTAATCAGGTACAATGGAAATTCAATAGAATTAGGTCAGACATAAAATGACATAAATATTTTCACATGTATCTATATTAATTACTATATTATTCTATATTTAGCAACAGTGATGACATGTGTTTCTACCCCCACATGGTCCAACATTGGTAGGATGACTATCCCCTCCCCGAGCTGCAGCAGGTGCCTATCATGCTATCTCCATGGTGGCTCCTGATGTGCCCGCGCCCTTGCCACCCTTGGTCCTCCAGCAGAAGTGATGGCAGCTTCGCATAGCTTCGCATAGCTCCGCAACGGGATCGCGCGACGTTCGCACGGCCGCGAATGAAAGGATGGATGGTGCTGGGTGATTTCAATGGCCCATGGGTCGAAACCGTGGATTTAAAGCAACAAGATGGTTTTTTTCCCCCTCACGGGGATAACACACCAACAAAATCTGGTTGGTGGTTTGGAACATGGCTTTTATTTTTCCATAGATTGGGAATGTCATCATCCCAACTGACTTTCATATTTTTCAGAGGGTAGGTCAACCACCAACCAGCATATGTTTCAATGTTCTAGGGCTATTCCTGACATATGATTTGGCCTTACATTCGGATGGTAATATGATACTTACTTCCTTCTGGTTCTTCATGTCAAGCCTGTAGCAGGATAAGTCCAGGAATCCTGAAAGTGACGCTCCGGTACCCCAACCTGACCATGGAAAATGAACCCATCATACATACATATATATATATATGTTCCAATGAAAGACGGCAATTTTCCGTCGTCCGATCATAATGGCCATGATCATACCTGATGATATAATATGACATAATATTATCATATGTGTCATATGTATTACATTGTAATTACTACAGCATTTGTCTTGCTATTAGCAGCAGAATTTGTTATTGGTACTACTCGTGCTAGTGTCATCATCATTATCGCTATCCCCATGATCCATCTGGTAAGACATAATTTCTCATCATTTTGCCTATCAAACCATGTCAGACGGCATTTTTTGCAGATTTCACTCACGGTGGAAGGTGGCGAATCAACAGCTTCTTCGAGGGCTCCATGCGCAGCACGGGGTCCCATTTGCCCGCTATGTACATGTTGTAGATGGCCCTCACCCACGAACAGTGGGTAGTGAAGGTTGATAGAAGGCTTTCACGAAAAGTGATTTGATCAAGGGGTTGCAAAAAGGTTTCCATTATGGCCGGAAGAAGATGAAGAAGAGGGAGGAAGGAGGAAGGAAATGCCCCAAGACTCGGGACTCGGGGGTCTTACATCCCAAGCTTCTCGTCCATCAACTTGAGTTGGTTGCCCCTTTGAGACCCTTTAAGACAATATAAGAATTGGGTAGTAAGCATAGCATAGCCACTCAGATTTCCCCTGTGTATCCCAGCTGCAAGGGGATGTACATTTGGGCGAAGCTTTTAGGGACCTCACCATTGCAACACTTGTTTATTTTCAGTTGAGTTTATATCTTGCAGTCTGCAAAGATATAAACAAATGATATGTAAACCTGTTCCAAGCCATTTAGTAACTGCAGGGATCATCCAACAGTAGCCTCTGCGATGTAGGCTTTCTGCCTTCTTCAGTAGCTTCGTGGAGTTGTGCCGTGGCTATGTCCGGGCGCCCGGAAAGGACTCCGGAAATCCCGGGACGATCACCATGGCCTGGTAGGACCTCCCCCCAACAAAGACACAGGTTGGTGGTTTGGAACTAGCCTCTGGCCCAAATCACCTGCCAGCCCTTTGGTGAGGCTGCGCTCGCTAAATTTGGGTGTTTCGTAAACATGGGACAACCTCCTGCCGTTGCTTTGGAGGATCTGTTTGAGCCTACATGGGCCACACTGGAAAGGGGTGCTGCTGTATCCGTGGTGGTTTCAGATGTCATTTGGGATACCAATGCTTTGATGGGTAGGACTGTACCCCACAATAAGGTGATCAGGATCAATGGTACTTTACCTACCGAAACTGCTGGTTTTCCCTGTTTGACCTTTTTGCAAGCCAAGTTTGAGAGGTTCAGTGGTCTGGTCGAATTGTCTGTGGATTCCGGGACTTGTGTCTTGCCGCATCGTCCTATCCTCCGAGACGATGTTCTCAACTATGTTGAACTTTGTTCTGGCATGAGTACGTCGTCCTTTGGGTTTTGTCATGTTGGATTTCGTCACAAGTGCTCAGTTGAGTGGCAGTCTTCTTTGGTTGACCTCCACCGTCGCGTCCACCCTACTGTGCCTGTCCTTCATGCAGACATTTGTGCCAGAGATACCGCCAAGAAAATCCATGATGTTTGTCCTGACCCCTTCATGCTTATGTCTGGGTTTTCATGCCAGCCTTATAGCCGAGGTGGACTTGAGAAAGGAGAACATGATGCCAGGTCTTCTACTCTCCCAGCCACTCTGCAGCTTTTGCATTGGCTTCGTGCCCCTCTTCTTGTGCTGGAATGTGTGGTCCCTGCGTCCAACAACTGTTTTGTCATGGCCCATGTTAAAGCTCTTGAGACTCAACTTGGTTTCCATGTCAGTCAGTGTTGCCTGCGTTTGGAATCCGTTTGGTGTGGTTGCAGATATCGCTGGTGGTTGATTGCTGCTCATCCCGCCTTGGGCCGTGTCCTGATTCCTCCTTTCCCTGAAGCATCACCTTTGACTGTCCGTGACTTGATGCCTTTCGTCAAGAGATGGCCTGAAGAAGTCGAAAGCCAGCTGCGTGTGTCCCAGACTGAATGTGAAAAGTTCCAAGCACATGGACAGCACTTGAGACAGTTTGTTGTGAAAGCAGACCAGAAGTTGCCAACTGCATTGCGTTCGTGGGGAGGGCAGGTAGTTGCTTGTGCTTGCGGCTGCCGTGATCAAGGCTTCTCTGATGCTTTGTTGGTCTCGAAAGGCATTTATGCCCAGCTCCTGCAAGTCACCCTGCCGGATGGTACTGTTATGTACAGACACCTGCATGCAATCGAAGTGGCAATCCTATCAGGGGTTCCTCCATGCCTGGATTGGAGTGACAATGAGAGGCTGAATTTGTGTGCCATAGGTCAGATGGCCGCACCCATGCAATCGGTTTGGATAGGAGCTTCCATTGTGAGACACATGCAGTTGCTTTTCACTACGGACGCCCCTTTGGAACCCAATCAAGCTTTGCATGAATTGAAACTCATTGTCCATGCCCAGAGTAAACAATTCTTTGGAGATATCCCTAAGCCTTTGGACTTGCCCTCAGATTTGGATTTGCACCGCCTTGAGGTACATGATCAACGTGGACACCCCTTTCTTCTGCAGTGTCGCAGGGAGGCCACAGTGAAGGACCTGATCTTCGCTGAGGCAGATCTTTTGCATGTGCCGGTTTTTGATTTGGCAGTCTGTGAGTTTGAGTCCATGAAGCCACTTGACCAGGGAACTTGCCTAGGCACATACAAGTCAGTCGTTGTGGTTTTCACCGATGTCCCACCAGCCCCAGTCCAAAGCCCTATGATCGAGGGGCCAAGCCTGACAGACATGGAAGTTGATGCCAAAGTTGCAACAACGATGCCTACCCAATTGGACCCCCATGAACTTGTTGAAGGGCATGTTGAATACACCTCCAGTGTTGGGTCGGTTTGTCCTGGTTTGGATTCTTCTGCGGTTTCCCTGCTTCAGCTCTCTGCCAAACAACTGCGAGCCCTTTTGCCACCGCTTGTTGGGGATGCCAGTTTGTGCCGTGCCATGCGGAAACAGAGCATGTCTGTTGAAGCTAGGATTGCCCTCCTTGACCATCAACACACCTTGTGGGGAGATGATGAACTCCTGTGGCACCTTACACAAGTGACGGCGCAGCCACACTTTCAAGACGTGACACTCATTGACCCCTTGTTGGTGACTAGTTGGACTCAACTTGGCAATGTGGATTTGTTGCACTCATGGATGCATGACAACCAGAAAACAACCAGGTTTGTGTCAGCTGTCCTATTGGAAGGTCACTGGACTCCCTTCGTTTGGACTTGTAGGAACACCACGCTTGATGTCGTGAGTTGGGAACATGATGATGTCTCGATCGATCCCTTCAATGGACTTCATGGATTGCTTTGCCAAGCCTTGGGTTTGTCGACTTTCCGTGTTGCTTGTACCCGGCGTCCTTTCGGTTTGGACTTGTGTGGTGCTGGTGTCGTGACTTTCATCCGTGCCTCTCTTGAATCATCGGTTTTGCCTTGCACCGAATCTGCCCTTGCCAATTTGGATCAACAATTTCGGTTTGCCTTCAGAAATGCTTTGACAGTCGAACTGCAGACACCCAGACCTTGGTGTTGGGGTTCTGGCTCAGGTGATCTTCAAACCGTCTTGGCTACCTTGTTGCAGTTCCATGGTGTCCCTCCTGCCGTCTCCGGTCAGCGTGCCAAACTTGTCCTCCAAAGCCTTGGTCGTGACCCTGTGCAAGGAGCCGTCAATGGAGTGTCGCCATGGAAGTCTTTGAAACAACTTGCCAACCAGCATAAGCCAATGGTCCAACTTGTGTTGCCTGATGAACTTGCAGCTGTCACACAGGCTAAGAAAGAGAAAGGACCCCAGAGGAAGCAGAAAGAAGCGACCAAACCGGCTCCAACTCGACCAACCGAAGTTGATCCTTGTCGTCTTGTCCTTGCCGACCAGTCCTTTTGTACTGATGATGGAATTGGTGTTGCCCAGATCCCACTTTCACAAGTCGGTCCGTTGGTCTCAGGTATCAGTCTGGTCAACTATGTCGATGCGGTGCCATTCTTGCAGGACAACAAAGTCCTCACACCGAAGGGCCTAGCGTTGTTGGTCATCAATGGGCCTGATGAGATCACTACTGACTTGACATGGTCAACGATCAGGTTCGCAGCCAAGTGTGCAGCCAACCAACAGCCAGTGTTGTTGCAAGGGTTCTTGGTTCAGCTCGGCCAACAGGTCATCGCCCCCAACAGAACGTTGTCAGGTCCCAGTGTCCCGTCCGTCCCAGTTGCCTGTGCGAGAATCACGGTCTTCATGGATCAGTGGCCACATGATTGGGAAAGTTTTTGTGAACACCCTGTCAGGAGCTTGTTGGAAACTCTCCCGCCACTCCAGACCTGCCGTAGTGAAAACTGTGACTGTGACAAGTGGCACCCGATCACTGCAGATGGCCCCCGTGAAGTCCTCCTTGATGTGTTCCGTCGGCAGTTTTTCAAAACAGACTCAGGTAGGCCAGTCAAAGCAGCTCAAAGTACCCACTTCAGTGTGCAGGTGCGTTTTCTGAAGTCCCAAGAACTGATGTTGTTGAAGCATAGTGGACTCCAGGGTGTTTTCCTTGAACCCCGCAGCATGGACGCCTCCATGCCATCAGACGAGTTTCAGGTTGTTTGGATTCCACAAGCATCAGGTGCCGAAGTCCAACATCATGCCCAATGTGAAGCACTTAGCATTGGTGTAGCCAGGTCTGGTCGTAGGTTTGGAGTTCGTGTCTTGGCCAAACACTACCAAGATGTTTTCCTGAAGATCAAACCGGAAGGCCAATTTTTGGCCCCTGGACAGCGTTTGACATGGCACTGTGGCCCCTGGCCTTTTGGTAGTGACCGGAAGATGCTGGGAAAAATTTTTGCCTCTTGGAACTGGCAGGCACGTCCCTTGCAGCCAGCCAGAACAGTTGACGGTGGTGTCATGTGGCTTGTCCAATCGGTGTCGGAGCCTCCGGAATCAGTCTGGAACATGCAGCATGGTCAGGTCATGGTGTCTCGGTGTGAGTCTGCGTCGTCCAGCCTGGCTCAGTCTTCTACGGTGATTGGTTCCCAAAGCACACTTGAGCTCTGCAGCGCCTCAAGCAATGTGGACCCCTAGCTACTTAAGGATCCCTGGTCCCAGTCAGTCCGTGCTGTCCCGGTCAACCTGTCCCCGCCTGTCACCACTCAACTTCAGGAAATGGAGGAACGAATCGAGAAGTCGCTGCTGGACAAGCTCCCCCATGACAAGATGGAAACAGACGAGCAGGAAACCAGAATCCTGGCTCTCGAGCAGCAGCTTCAGCACCTTGCCACCAGGCAACAATCCTTGGAGGGGGTTGTTCATGAACACCATAAACAAAACACGGCACAGGTTCAGGGGTTGCAAACACAGATGGTCTCTCAAATGGAAGCGCAAAGATCCCAAATGGAGTCCCTCTTCGAGAGCCAAATGAACCGCCTTGAGGCCATTTTGGCCAAGAAAGGGCGCTACGAATGAAACGATGGCAGCCCGGTCTTCCAGGCCAAGACTAGGGTGAGTCATTCCTTTTGGGCCAGATCAGTTTTTGCCAAACTTTGGATTTTTCTCACTGTCTTTCTTGGACTTTCTTGTCGTGTCGAAGAAGCCAAAACACCAGGTCCGTCGATGGAATCTCCTGATGCTGCATGGTCCATTGGGGTTTGTAACCCAAGCGGGTTACTTGGCAAGGGAACTCTCCTTGCGGGGTTACAATCGGATGTCATAGCGGTTAGCGAGACACATTTGACCGATGTCTCCAAATCCATGTTGTTGACTAGTCTCAGAGCCACTAGTCCCTACCGTTTTCTTGTGACTGGGGCGACCCTCTCACCCAGGTCTGTTGCAAGTCATGCAGGCTCCTACTCTGGCGTTGCTGTGGTCTCCAAGTGTCCGTCTCGCCCTTTGGGTTCCTGCTGGCCTTTGGATATGTACGAGACCGGTCGCGTGCAGGTTGTTGGGTCTTTTGTGAATCACATGTGGGTCACCGGGGGTCTGTTGTACGGGTATCCCCAAGGCAAAAACCATCCCAATGCCTTGGAACGAACCACTGCCATGTTGCAACACCTTGTTGATCATATGGTGCATGTTGCTGTTGGACCACGTTGGCTTGGAGGTGATTGGAATTACTTGGAATCTCAACTCTCTGTGACCAATCTCTTGCGTGCACGTGGTTGGGAAGAAGTGCAGACCTTGGAATACTTGCGGAGTGGAACCCCGCCACAGGCCACTTGTAAAAAGGTCACACAGAAAGACTTCCTGTGGCTTTCGCCTGAACTCCTTGCAAGTTACCGTGGGCTTGTGGTTGATCATGAGACGTTCCTGGATCACTCTGCACTGAAAGCTGAGTTCCATTTAGGTAAAGCCTTTGCTTGCAGGTTTTTGTGGCCTATGCCGGAGCATGTGTCATGGACTTCAGTGGATTTGTCTTCTGTCTCTGTGGACTTTGCATCTGGAGACCCTACCTTGGCTTACCAACACCTTTGGACTTCTTGCGAAGCTGGTGCTGCCGAGCAATTGCCCAACTGGAAGCCAGCTATGGGGGGGAGAGGCCAAAGACTCGAGCCCTTGAGACGCAAAGGATGGACTTCACCGCCCAAACTTGGCCGTCTCTGTGATGCCCAACCCAACTTCTATGGGTATGACGTCCAACATAGCCGATGGCTGAAACAGCTGAGACGCCTGAACAACTATGCCCAATGGGCTAGAGTGCACTTTGCCTCCTCAAGCCCTGCTGCCACGCTCCATGGTCTCGAACTCTGGAAAAGCATCCTTCGGGCGCCTGGTTTTAGCCCTTCCTTTCAAACATGGTGGACTGGACGTTGTTGTGTTGGACTTGGGGACCCTGGATTTGTGCCCACCCAGATGCCTGCGTTCCATGAAGCGTCCCTTCTGTGCGAGGTTTTCACATGTGAAGTGAGATACTTGGAGCGGCAGCTCACTCAGAACAGGAAAGGGCATAAGAAATGGCTCCACCAACAGAATCCCAACCACATCTTCCGAGATACCCAGCGGCCACCACCAGAACCAGTGACCAGTCTTCTCGATGTCGCTCGTGCGAAAATCTCCGAGATTGACGAAGCTGACTGTGCTTTTGAGATAGAGCCAGCTTGTGCCTTTGATGACTCTAAACCTTTGCAAGTGGATGGCCGTCCCCTCAACATCATCCATGCCACGGACACCAAGCTCTATGTGGACTCAGTGGAAGGCCTGTCCAGAGGCCAACAAGTTGTGCAATCTACCCCTCTGGGTTCTCTTCCTGCTTTGTTCAGTGCGTTCCAAGAACAGTGGCAAAAACGGTGGTGCAGACATGATGGGTTACCACACTCTCACTGGCACGAACTTGTAGCCTTTGCTAGGCAGTACCTTCCTCACCACCCAGTTGAAGCTCTTGTGATCACACCTGCACTCCTGCGTGGAGAAGCCAGTCGCAAAAAGAAACAGTCTGCCTGTGGTCTGGACGGTGTGTCTCGGCGTGATTTGCTGTCTGTTGATGTGGCGGTTTTGGATTGTTTGTGTGGAATGTTTGCCCGGGCCTTGACTGATGGCAGCTGGCCTAAGCAGGTCATCAGTGGGCGCGTCTCCAGCTTAGCAAAAACCACTCAGGCAGCTGAGGTGAACCAGTTTCGGCCTATAACAATTTTTCCATGACATATCGTTGCTTCAGCAGTGCCCACGCTAGGTATTTGCTTGACTGGGCCGACACTTGGGCCCATCCAGATGTGCATGGAAATCGCAAAGCTCATCAAACCAGCGACCTATGGCGGGTGTTGGTGACCGAAATTCAGGCAGCCCATGAACAGCAGAAACCATTGTCAGGCCTCATAGCCGACATAGAGAAATGCTACAACTGCCTACCGAGGTACCCGATACTTGCGGCAGCCTTGCATTGTGGGGTCCCTTTTGAAGTCGTCAAAGCTTGGAGCGGTGCACTCGCAGGCATGGAAAGACGTTTCAAGATCCGTGATTCCTTCAGTGGAGCCTGCACAACAAGCACAGGACTTGCAGAAGGATGTGCCTTGAGTTGTTTCGGCATGTTACTGATGGACGACATCCTTCATCGTTTCATCCATGTCATGAACCCAGCCATCCGTGTCTTGAGTTTTGTCGATAATTGGGACTTTTTGACTTTCGATGTCTCTTCTGCTGTTGCTCAACTGGATTTACTGCTTCAGTTCGCAAGTTTGACGGACCTCACTGTCGATAAAGCCAAAACTTTCGGCTGGTCTACTGATGCTGCTGTGAGAGGTCGTTTTCGCCAATGTGGCATCCCTGTCAAACACTGTGCGCGTGATCTTGGAGCACACTTGGCTTTTTCCCGCCAACGCACCAACAAGACTGTGACTGCACGACTGGACGACCTTGAGTCTCTCTGGACCCGGTTAAAAGCTAGCAAGGCCAGCTACCAGGCCAAAGTCCGTGCCCTGCGTACTGTTGCTTGGCCTCGTGGCTTGTTTGGGGTTTCATCGGCTCCCGTTGGTCGGTCAGTGTGGCTTCGTCATCGTCGTCTTGCAACTCAGGCGCTGTCAGCCGACAAAGCGGGGGTCAATCCCATGCTTCACTTGGGGCTTGTTGAGTCCTTTCTGGACCCAGAGTTTCTTGCCTTGGTTCATACTGTTGCTGATGCCAGAGCTCAATGCCCGGTGGACTTTTGGGCTTCCGACCTTTACCCTGTTGCTTGCGGCCATGTCTCTTGCCCTGCGTCTTCACCTACTTCAGTTTTGTTGGAACGCATCCAGCTTGTGGGCATTAGTGTGCTCTCTGACGGTTCTTGGGTTGACTCCATTGGTCGTTTCCAACCGTGGAATATCAACTACACAGAGCTTTGTTTCCGGCTGCAACTGATGTGGAATCGCCTGGTTGCCGCGCAGGTTTCCCACAGGCGCGACTTTGAGGGTCTTGACTTGGTTGACCCAGCCTCTACACGCCGTGTGTTGGGCACCCTGAGCCCAGATAAACAAGCCCTCCTCCGCCTTGGACTTGCCGGTGGACTCTTCACGCAAGATGCGCATAGCCACTGGAACGAGGGGCCAGGAACATGCAAATGGTGCCAAGAACCTGACTCACTTGAGCATAGGTACTTTCAATGCCAGCAGACTGCCGATCTGCGACACAACCTTGCCCCTGATGCCACTTCCTTGCGTGCTGGCCTTCCTGATGCCTTGGCTCTGCGTGGTTGGTGTCTCCGTGCCCCTTCTAGTGTTGGTTGGTTACGTCTATTGTCTTCCGTCAGTGCTGCTATCCCTGACCTTGGTGTCCCCTTCACCACTGGAGTTTGGAATCAGGTTTTCACCGATGGATCCTGTTTGTGGCAGTCTAATGTGTCCTACCGTGTTGCTGCGTGGGGGGCTGTCCTTGCTTCGCCCTTGTCTTCCAAGTGGAATTGTGACCTCCAAGGTGTTCTCGGGGCAGGGCCACTGCCTGGATTGACACAGACCGCATACAGATCTGAACTGTATGCACTTGCGTTCGTCCTTCACCATGCAGCTCAAGGTGGTTTCCGTATCAAGGTACATAGCGACTGTTTGGGGGTTGTCAACAGGTACCACCTACTGACTGCGGGTAGGGTGCGACTTCGTGTCAACAGTGCCAATGCGGACTTGTGGAGATGGGTGCTCGACTCAGTAGACAGACTGGGCACTCAGAATGTTCAGGTTGTGAAAACAGCGGCGCACAAACAACTGCGCAATGCGAAGACCAAACAAGAAGCTTGGGCCTTTTGGAACAATGCAGCAGCAGACAGAGTTGCACGCACTGCCAACCTTCGGCGGTCACGTGCTTTCTGGGACTTTTGGGAATACCATGCTAGAGCCACTGCCGGGGCTACTGAACTCCACAGACAGATTGTTGCCCTGCATCTGGCGATAGCGGAGCGTAGTGTGCAATGGGATGGAGCGACATCGCTCGATGAAGTGGCGACCACGGTCCCAAGACCGATCAGGACGTTTGACAAGGTTTTTGACATGTCTGACTGGGATGGAACAGTCCCCATGCAGCTGGCGCTCGAATATGGGGCTGGCATGGCAGACCGAATTGTGTCTTGGTGGTGGGAACGCACTAGGACCAATGAGGTCAAAGAGGCACAATGGGTGACGTTCGCACATCTCTACGTCGATTACCAATTGTCGTGGGGTTGCCCAGGTCCAATTCAGTCAGGGAAGAAGTGGCTTGACTTTTTCACAAGGCCCTACCTCGAGCCAGAGCGCAACAGTTTTCTTTTGAGAGTTCGATGGTTCAAGCGAGCCCTCAAATTCCTGTGGAATGCAACCGGACAGACTATTGGATTGGCTATTTGCCGAGGCTCTGGCAATGCTATTTCGAGCTTTGTTGCAACGGCATCAATTCACTGGGACAACGCCTGCCTGATGCAAGCGGACCGCTGGTTGTTGGAAAACTGCAAGACACCTTGCACTCGAGGTTCCAGTGCCTTAAAAGGCTTACCCCTGGCTGGACGTCTCCAGGGTATGGCCGTGTCACCTTGCGCGCCTCAAAGAGGGTTCGCCGGCTTGGACTAAGCCAACCGCTAGACAAAGCGACCGCGCTCCGAACTTGAGCCGGTCGGACCGATGGGAACATGGGAACATGGTGGTTTGGAACTATATGGGATAAATTGTTTGGTTTCCATCATATTTCTTTATTATTGGATTTCCCATTTATTTGTTTATATTTGGTTTACTATATTATGGTTTTATTTTCCATCATATATGGGATAATCCTTCCGATCGACAAACTCATATTTTTCAAGATGGTTAAACTAAACCACCAAACCAGAAAAACGTTGGAAACGTTCTCGGGGTCTATGGGGTCTATGTTGGTTGGGGGGATGGTCTTCTGCAGGTTTTTTCGACACCGAGCCTTTTCTCGCCCAAGCTCCGGCTGTGCTTTGCTCTCTCGCCGCCCCTGTCACCATGGCATCTCAGGCGCAGGGTGACTGGGGAGGATGCCGTTTAGGCCACGTCATTAATAGCTGCATATAGGTGCATTAATGGGTTTAATATGTGCTGAATCCCTTCCAAAATGATCAAAATGTGACATAACTTCCACTTCAGAAACCTTGGTCGAATGATGTTGAAATATGTTGAATCTTCTGGATCTATGACTTGGGGCCCTCGAAGTGTGGATGGGATGGGATGCATCAGCCTGGAGCGCGCAGGGAGCCACCTTGCAGAACTACAACAACGAGTTGGTGAAGTCCATTGAGGCTATGGGATTGACTCAGATGCATAGCCCCAGAAGCCAAGATGTAAGGTTTCCCCAAGGATCGAACCAATACCATTTTAATCCATTTTATCCCATCATCAACTTCTGTTTCAACATGCCTTTGGTGATTGTGGATTTATTAATATTTTTCATGGTATCTTTCTCCAAGAAGACCCTGTCCCACAACACATGCCCAAACACAGCCAGCAGCCCTGCAGGACCTGCGCGAGAAGCGTGAAGAGTTGAATCGTCAGATTCTGAAGGAGGAAGAGGACAAGGCAAAGATTCAGAAGGAGCCCTGGCACCCCACCTAGGGTTGTGGACGGTGTCTATGACTTGGTCTGTCTTTTTTTTGCATGACCAAAACATGCTAACATAATGATATAAGATCCGGGCTTGGCATACATAGTGTGGGGTTTATGCAGTTGGAATTTAGGGATTAGTGCTGCACCCCAAACCTGCATAATTGTGGTCATTTGTATCATCGACCATGCAATTCCAAGAGCATCAATATGGCTTTGCCCAGGGACGTCCAGCCCTTTCACATTTTCCCCCGTAAAAGCAGCCATTCACATCCATTCACCCTATATTTTGGCTCGTAATCCCTTACCCTTATAGTGGGTTTGCGGCTTGTATGAACCAAACCCCAGCAACGAAAGCCTAGTTTTTAGTCTTGGATCCGTTCATGACTTGGGGAGCCACTAAAAGCCCCCAGTTGTATTTCTTGGTTTATAAACCCTAGTAACTTTGTAGTTATACTTACCATGAACCCTAGTTCTACCAGTTCAAAACCAGAGCGAAGTAGCAGATACCTCAAGCAATTGGGGGCGTGACACCATCCAGGAGCTGTCGATTCTGACGGATCGCCTCCAGAAGGTCAATGAGAGCTTGGTGCGCAAGACCCAGGCGCGGAAAGGAGTAGCATTTTCTTCGAAGTATAGGATTTCCCACTATTTTTTTATAGGATCTATTTTTCTAATTTGAGATTTCCTACATTTTATGAATTATAAAGATATCATCTATAATATATATATATATAAATATAGAAACTTGTTTGAAGAATTACTGTTATCCAAAATGGGGGATTGTCCACTGCTGATTTACAGAGAAAAGAACCAAAGGAAAAGGGTAAACGGGTAAACTGGGGGATCCTTTGTTTTCCTATTGGGCTTGCATTGCTCGGGATTCTGTATTTTGAGATAACCTTAAGAAACGGATGGAGTGTGAGGGATAAATCTGGAGGAACTTCAGCCACCGGCTGACTGTTCGGTGGGCAGGCACGCAACGAGTATGACAAGACGATCCAAGAGACGGAGGTGGGGGTTGGATGATCGTCCACCTATGCATGGGCGTTCTGACCCATATCCTGGGTGACACATGTGACACGAACGCGCAGTCACTATTTTTGTTGGCCAAATCATGTTGAATCGATCTAACTCCGCGCCTGTTTGCTAGTTCCATTCCTTTTTGTCTACGCCCCCCATTTTGGGCATTTCGGTTGCTTACTTATATTCAAGATCATTCAAGTTCTTGTTGGATGAATCCATTCTTTTTGTGGAAGAAAATGAAAATACTCTTGCCCTTCCATTGCGGGTATTTTAGGATCCTCACACGGACCCTTCAAACCCTATGGGTGCCCCATTCCATATCATAATTGAATATAATTGACCATGATTTTCCGATCAAAACGACCAGAACTTGGGCACTTTGTCACTTGGGCACTTGGGCACTTGTGCCCATGCGACTCCTAAAATTAATATCTAAAATCTGCCAGGTTGATCCAATCCCAATTTCTGGTACCAGGCGGCCTACATGAAGATCTTAGAATCCTCCCAGACCTTGCTCCACGTGTTGAAGCGCGAGACCGTGCCGTGGCTATCCGTTGTGAAACAACGCGGGGCTTACATCTGGAGGGAGGAGCATCCGAAATCATGGAAGTTTTGGCAAGAAAACATGACATATCCGGGCTTGGCCTCGGTGTTTTTCTTGGTGAAAATGGATGGGCCGATGGGTCCAGATCTACCGGAGGGCCTTGGGATTTGGTCCTTTTCGGGTCGTTTGGCTTTGGGGATGCCCGAGGGTGATCATGTCCTAGGCCCCTTCCATCTCCAGCGGAAGGGTGGACATTTGGGGATTTTTTTCAGGTGAACTTGACCAAGAACAAGCAGTCATCGGAGCCTTGGCGGGAAAGCTGGCACCTCTCCAAGAGATTTGTTCTTCCTGACGTTTGGGGATTCGCCAGTCAGAACCTATGGAAGATATGCAGCTACAAAGGGATGCGGTCTGTAAGGCAGGACTATGTATGGTAGCGTCGATTGCAATGAATCGTAGTACTTGTACTTTATTTGTTTGATATAAGTTGGCAATGTTAATGATCTGATATACCTGCCATCAGCAGCACTGACCGCCAAACGCTGAGGACTGACGGCCGCAGCCCTGCCAGGGCACGCTCACCATCACACGTTCCGGCACGTGCAGGGTGGGTAGCCGTTGGTCCTTGCGTCCATGGAATGCCGGGCGATCTTGCGCTTGCCGCAGTGTGTGGTGACCGAATTTGTGGCGGCATCTCCGTGAGGGATTTGTTGATGCAGAGTACCTTCACCCTGCAGTTTCCGGTTCCTGAGACTCATCATTTTTGGAGGCGAAAGGTGGTAAAATATAGGATGATGTAGGTTTGGGCTCAGATTTCACCCGAATTACAGTCACCCATGGCATATTTACCATTATTTACCTACATTGACCCCCAATAGATTGTTAAAATGTAGGGATATATCCTGGTCCTGATCTATGGATGGCCTGTAGAAATCTGTTCAATGCCACCAGATGCCGAATGGAACATTCTCAAGTCAGCTGTTGGCTGGTGCCCGGGCACCGGAGATATAAAGGCAACTGGAAGTTGGGGCTTTCACAGTGCTGGGCCGTCCTGCAGACGATGCACCCCATGCCAAAAAATATCACTTGGGTACCATGTCATTTCTTACCTTACTGGTAGTTTCAGTAACTGCACCTCTTCCTGGATTTTTTTTTTATGAAGGGAAGAATTACAGAATTCCTGTAGATGTTGTTCCCTTGATTCAAACCATTGACATATGGTTTCCGTTTCCACTGCCATCATCTGCCATCTTCACATAATGATAATCGAGTACTTCGCAGGGCGTAACCGCCCAATCCACAGCATGTCACAGGACTAGTCCCAGAATTGCTGAAAGGGAAACTTGAAACCGGAATCCTACTGTATTTCCTGGTAAAACACATTTTTAAATCCAATAAGACAATAAGAATATCCTTGCCGCAAATCAATCCATTAATCATCGAAATGGCCATTTTGGGTGTATACCAACTCATTGAGCTAGCCACCATGGGTAACTCACACCTCTCCAGCCGCGGGGGTGCACGACGGTACCAGCTCCCGCTGCGGTCGCGGTGCAAAATGCACCTCGCTGTAATGCTGAGTGATGAAAATGAGCGGCTGCTTAGCCGTTTCGTGGTTGTGTCCGAAGGAATGCACCATCACTCATCAACTTCAAGAAAAAGTGGCCTTGACCAAATTAGAAATTACCCACAAAGCCCCTGGTTTATCATCATGTTCCGCATTTGGGTTGCATTTTTCTGGACAATTTAAAACGACGTCACCGACGTCACCCCGAAATAACGACCTGCTTCAGAAATAAGCTCATAACCATACAAGATCCTAGTTTTTCAAAATAGGAAACTGAGGTTTTCAGCGTGTTCAGAAGCAAGTTCCCCTATTTTCTGGCTCTTCTATGGGCAGCTACGGCTGGAAAAATCAGTTTAAAGCGGCAAAGCTTGGGCAGCATTTTTTTTCTCCAGTATTTTCAGACACACTCATCAACTTCATAAAAGTGCTGCAAGTAAGCTTCATTTGGAACTCACTACGGGGAAGCATTTTGGGTGCCGGGCATGTTTCAAGCATATGTTTTTTTGATATTTTTTGGTATATTGAATTAATGGAAGGGGATGTTTGTGGTGGACATATCTGGAAATATGTATGGAACCAAGCTGTTCTATTGGCAAACGGGAATATTCCCCCTATACTTCGGCCAATTGCTTGCACCCTTTTACGAGGTGAGGCCCCCAGTTACAAGTTGGTTTATAAACCCATATAAACCCATCAACTATATATATATACATTATATATATATAATGATATAAATAAACATATTATGATATATATATATATATTATGATATATATATATATATTATGATATATATATATATTGATATATATATGATATATATATATATGATATATATATATATATGTGATATGCATATTCCCTATAAACCCTAGTTAGTTCACCAACTTGTAAGTCAACTTAGCGCTTTCGTTGGGGCCTCAAGGCTGGAGAAACAGAGCCCAGCAAGGACGTGGCGGAGCCTCGGCCGGAGAACGTTGACTTTGGCCCAAGCACTGTTGGTTATGTATTTCAGATAAATGAACGGAGAGAAATGTTGGTTATATTTTTCCACTGTGATATTTACTGGGCATATAACTATCTATAACTATAGTTAGATATACACCCCCTTTAGAGAACAATTTCCCGGAAAAAAACATATATTTTTGGGGATTTCCAATTGCAACGTTTGATTACGAGAGGGTATATCCTCATTTATGTTGCCTGCCCCCGATGGCCCTCTGTTGGTTCAGATCCACACGATGTAAGTTGTTTTAGCTTATATATATACTATCTGGTTATTTAACATAGCCATGGAAAATGGCCCATTTATAGATGGTTTGCCTATTAAACATGGTGATTTTCCATGGCTATGTTAAATAACCAGAGGGTATAGCTTTTGGTTGGTGACCTCCGCTTTTGCAAAGAAAAACCTGTGGCAGACGGAGCAGAAACTCCTATTTCTCTGCTAGATCTCCATGTTCGTGAGCCAAAATCAGCCTGAAACCCACCTTTTGCGGCTAAAGTCAACAAATTTCTTCAGGATTGAGCCCGACATTGTTTTTTAGACCTACATATTCTTGCATTGAATCGTACGAATGTCATACGAATTTCCCCTGTTTCTGGCTTGATTTAAGCCCAAGGAGCTGGACTGGTGCGGTGTCTTTGCCCTGGCCCTGGTGCGAGTGGGTCGACACCTGGAGGTAAAGGCCATCAACAAGGCGGCGCCATATCCAGCCCAGTCGATTTTCAGGTCAGTGAATTGATCGAATTCAATAGAATCCAACCAGATTCATGTATTATCCCATGGATTCATGGATTCATGATTCTCCCATGATTATGCCACGGATTATCTCATGGATTATCCCATGATTATGATCCCTATTAAATCATATTAAATCTATTAAGCCATATAAAGCCACATGTCGAACTACCATTGATGGATTTTCATGGGACGCTTGGCAGGTCTGGGGCGTGGCCAAGGACCTCTTCGAGGGCGACAGCGGCACGTCAGAGCTGCAGCCCAATGCCACGGTGCCGGCAGATGTTGGCAGCGAAACATGGTGATTTCCAAGGGATTTAGCTGAAATGAAATGGTGAACATCATGATTTGGATGTGGATTTAGCATGGTTTAGCTGGCCAAAATCTGGATTACACACATAGAAGCATAGTGATTTCATATAGATGGATCGATAGATAGATAGATTAGAGTAGAGTAGAGTAGAGCAGAGCAGAGCAGAGTAGAGTAGAGTAGGTAAGATCAGAAAAGATAGAAAGATAGAAAGATAGAAAGATAGAAAGATAGAAAGATAGACAGATAGAAATATAGAAAGATAGAAAGATAGAAAGATAGACTAGATAGATAGATAGATAGATAGATAGATAGATAGATTAGATAGATAGATTAGATAGATAGATTAGATAGATAGATTAGATAGATAGATTAGATAGATAGATTAGATAGATAGATAGATAGATAGATAGATAGATTAGAATAAATACATTAGATTAGATTAGATAGGTAGATAGATAGGTAGATCCGTAGATCGGTAGATAGGTAGATGGATAGATGGATAGAAGGATAGATGGATAGATGGATAGATCGGATAGATAGGATCGATAGGATCGATAGGATAGATAGGATCGATAGGATAGATAGGGTAGAAAGGGGAGACAGGGTAGACAGGGTAGACAGGGTAGACAGGATAGATAGGATAGATAGGATGGATAGGATAGATACGGTAGATAGGATACATAGGGTAGGTAGGATAGATAGGATAGATAGGATAGATATGGAAAGATAGGATAGATAGGATAGACAGGATAGACAGGATAGATAGGATGCAGAGGGTAGATAGGGTAGATAGGATAGATAGGATAGATAGGATAGATAGGATAGATAAGATAGATAAGACAGATAGATAGGATAGATAGGATGGATAGGATAGATAGGATAGAGAGGGTAGATAGGATAGATAGGTTAGATAGGATAGACGGGATAGATATGGAGAGATAGGATAGATATGGATAGATAGGATAGATAGGATCGATAGGATAGATAGGATAGATGGGAAAGATATGGATAGATAGGATACATAGGATAGATAGGACAGATAGGATAGGGAGGATAGAAAGGATAGATAGGATAGATAGGATAGAAAGGATAGATAGGATAGAAAGGATAGATAGGATGCAGAGGGTAGATAGGATAGATAGGATAGAAAGGAGAGAAAGGAGAGAAAGGATAGATAGGATAGGGAGGATAGAAAGGATAGAAAGGATAGATAGGATAGATAGGATAGGGAGGATAGAAAGGATAGATAGGATAGATCGGATAGGGAGGATAGAAAGGATAGATAGGATAGAAAGGAGAGAAAGGATAGATAGGATAGATAGGATAGGGAGGGTAGATAGGATAGATAGGATAGAAAGGAGAGAAAGGATAGATAGGATAGATAGGATAGGGAGGATAGAAAGGATAGATAGGATAGATAGGATAGGGAGGATAGAAAGGATAGATAGGATAGATCGGATAGGGAGGATAGAAAGGATAGATAGGAAGGAGAGAAAGGATAGATAGGATAGATAGGATAGAGAGGATAGAAAAGATAGATAGGATAGAAAAGAGAGAAAGGATAGATAGGATAGATAGGATAGGGAGGATAGAAAGGATAGATAGGATAGGGAGGATAGAAAAGATAGATAGGATAGAAAGGAGAGAAAGGATAGATCGGATAGGGAGGATAGAAAGGATAGATAGGAAGGAGAGAAAGGATAGATAGGATAGATAGGATAGGGAGGATAGAAAAGATAGATAGGATAGAAAGGAGAGAAAGGATAGATAGGATAGATAGGATAGGGAGGATAGAAAGGATAGATAGGATAGATAGGATAGGGAGGATAGAAAAGATAGATAGGATAGATCGGATAGATATTGGAAGATTTCACCTCCCAAAATGGTGATTGGACCGATGTGGAGGTTGACATGCCGCAGGTTCTCAAAGCTACACGACACGCCTCGCAGCTGGTGATCACTCACTACGTGCTGTGGCTATGGACCGGAGATCAGTGATTTAGGGGTCCCATAGGGGTCCCAGAATGTTCATCAAAGCTGATGATTTGTATGATTTTATATGCACATAGCACCTCTTTTGAAGAAAAACACATCATTGGCTTATAATCTGGGAACGCCCTGGATGGTTAGTCTTGTACGGCTTAATCTCTTGCCATGAGCAGGAATAGGAAAAAACAACCAAGAATTGCAGGAAAGCTAGCATCAGCCATGTAATCTTCTATGCATTACTTATCTATACTTACCTACTTCTTTGGCTTTTGCTTGTAACCCTGATCCTCTGGAAGGTCTTTCGGGTAGGTCTTTCAAATTACTTATGTCGTTTGATTGTCAAGTTGTGCCCCTTTAAGGGTTGAACCCGTCTTTACAACCCCGCAATTGAAGGTGCAACCAGCTGTATTTTTTTTAGGCCATTGGATATGCATCCCCTATGTCATATGTCTGGGCACTTTGCCCAAGAGCTTGGGCTGTATCATTGACCAAGTGCACCAAGCAACTGAGGGAGAAGGATATATCTACAATTCTATAACATGCAAATTTCATGAATACCCTCCGGTAAACTAACATAGCTATGGAAAATCACCATTTTTAATGGGAAAACTCACTATAAATGGCCATTTTCAATAGCTATGTTAGTTTACCAGAGGGTATGTCCGCATATCATGCCCAACCCTGAGGCGACCATGTCCGGGCAGCGCCTGGCGCATTTTCTGCGGAACTCCGTGCAAAGCCGGAACTGGATGACCGTGCCTTGGAAGGGGGAGCTGGGAGTGAAATATGGCGATCTGAAATGGGGTAATTACAACATGTTGGGTATATGTTGGGTAGTTGCAACTATATAATAAATTGTCCAATATTTATCCATATTTATCCAGATCTTGGATAGAGATATCATCACAGTTTCGACCATAGTTCAGGATATCGTAGAGGTACCTTTAGTGGATAGAGCTGGGTCTATCTACTGGGGTAAACAATGCATTTGCGACTGTGTAGGGTTGGTTGCCGAGGTGTTGCGAAAATCGTGCATTTTCATATGAAACACCATCAAAATCAAGGGCTGTTGGAGATGATCGCCAGCTTACCGATCTGGCAATTTCACAAAGCCCTGGAAGGCGGTCATTTTTTTGATAGGTAAATCATGGTAAATCATCTTTTCGAAATGGGCCCAAGCGTTGCATCCATGACAAACTATTACCTTTTTTCCACTACCATAAAGTTATACAGGGTATATGCATAACTGGTTGGTGGTTTCAAACATTTTTTATTTTCCATATATTGGGGAACTCATATTTTTCAGAGGGGGTGAAACCACCAACCAGATCATAACACCATCCAAATGGCACTTCCGTTGTGTCATCCCGCCCCAACAGGTCCGCGAAGCGCAGGAACCGCGCAAGGTGGTGGAGATGGTCTTGCGGGAGGCAACCGCGGTGGCCTCTTTTTTTTGGGTTGGGATGGTAACCCCCAAAACCAGCGTGGGATCTAAATATATCATATACATGTTACACACGCACACACACACACATATATATACATGTATATATACCACATATACACATATATATCCAAATAATTATAATGACGATGATAAATTTACAACAGTAACAATAACAATGGTGGTGATAGTGATGATAAGAATAATACCCATGATCAACCCTTGGGGGGCGTTTAGAAATCATTGAAATCACCACCACGGGAAATTATATAATTAATATTACATGGTGATAATGATGATTGTTGGGGATAAGTATGATATTGAGAAGATGATTGTTGTTCCAGTGGCTGTTCACTAATTACTCTTGGAGATGGGAAGCCATGTTGATTGTATAACTATATCTTGCACATGTAAGCTCATGGGTTCTACTCGGACCTAGAAATTTGGACTGTTAGATCTTTTGGACGGAGAGATTTTAGGAGCAGACCAGCTGGGCACCAAATTCACGGATTTTCGGATTTTCAATTGATTGAATTGGCTTTTTGTTGGTTCAACCACCTACCAGTCTAGTAACAAGTTATATTGATCAGATGACTGAGACATCCATTTGACCAGTTATTGATGGTAACTTCAGGACCGTGTTGGCTAAACCTGCGGATGCAAAACCTACAGGACTCTCTGACTCTCCTTTCTTGATAGGCCCGCTCACCTATTTGTCCCAGAATTGATGGAAAAAAAAATCAGGACACCACCACCACCACCAGCATGACCATCATCATCATCATCATCATCATGATCATGATCATGAAATCATGAAATCATGGTTTCAACCATAGATTTTGGACACCCATCCATCGAACCTTGGGGGTGGGCAGGTTCGCGCCTTTGATTCGCAACTCGCAAAGTTGCTGGGGGACCCACGGAAGCCCAAGACAGGCGAGGCTGGGGGGTGGGAGGGACGAGTGGTTTATGAGTTGGTGAACTAGTGGTTAAACGGTAGATAGATTTGGGTAAATTATAACGACCTCACTGCGACCTCACTGGAATCATGGTTAATAAGGGGAATCATCCCAAAATGGCCTGGTTGGTGAAAGATTATAATTTACCCAGATAGATCATGATATAGTTACTGTATCTGTAGTTAGATGGGGGTATCAACCAACTCGTAACTGGAGGGGCCCTTCCCATACCCTTCACTTAGCGATATGGAAATGCATGGGTTTTATGGCGAGTTGTCGATATCCATGTTGATTTACTGGAGCATATCTAAATCTACCAACTTTTTCGTGTATCTTCATGCAAGCAATTCAGGATTTACCATGATTTACCAATCAAACGCGGTCTTTGCCCACACAATTTTTGAATCATGCTGCCGTAAGAACCAAGGATGTTTATCCAACAAATCTAAAGAAGCTTTCCGCGACACAGATGTCTCTGATCGGATTGGAATTTCACAAGTCGTTATTTTTGTTCCTAGGGGATCAGTGCCCAAAGCTTTTCAACTGACAGCATTTTGTTCTCAAATTCTTGGGCTTGGTCCAGGAAAACCGCGCCTGGTCGTTGTTTTAGATGCGTTTGATGCCTGACAGATTTCGGATCAAGACACATCAGCATGGCAGGAAAACGATAGCAGAGAAAAGATGCATAAGCAGTGGCACCAGTTGATTACTCGTTTGTAAGTAACTCCATAGTATAGAATGAATCTAGTTGGTGGTTTGGAACATGGCTTGAATTTTTCCATGTAGTGGGAATGTCATCATCCCAACGGACGAACTCATATTTTTCAGAGGGGTAGGTCAACCACCAACCAGTTGAATCTTCGTTCGAATGGTTTGGAGTTGTCTGAACTAAAACCAGAGCACCCCAAACATTTGATGGTTTCGATGGCTGATCCTCACTTTCCTCGGAAAACAATGTCATAATTGGAGGGACTTAAATCCGCCATTTTCACACCACCCCAATATTGGTTATATCATGTTATATCCCATTGTATCCCCATGGTATCTCCATTTTATAAAAAACGATATATATATATCCATGATTATCATCTGATATTAGCCCATTTTCCCTAGGTAAATCCCACGGTTTGGGTCATATTTTTTGACCAAAGTCAGCGGGGCTTACCTGGCCCACCTGGCCGCCTGTTTCGGCGATGTCCTGGCCCGGCGGTCGTGGCGGTCGTCGCCATGGAGGTCGAAGTGAAGTGATTACGGTCCTGGAGCTGGTGAGCTTGCAGGGGAAGCGGCGGAAAGTCCAGGATGCAGCTTGGAGATAGATGAACAATGGAGATTTTGAAGGGGATTTCAAGGGGATTTGGCACCATCTCGTAAGCTGAAAATACTGTAAAATGCTGTGGAAGAGATGCATGAAGCCATGGCCCATAGAAAGTTCGAGGATTTACCTTTCAGAATGGTGATTTTCCATAGCTAATTAGGTTAGTTAGTTTACTGGAGGGTATGCCATAGGAGAACATAGATGAAGAGGAGATTTATCTCCACGTCCTGGTGATGAACGGATGAATCACGTTTAGTAGAGGAAATGGGGATTCTATGATGGAAAACGGGGAACCTTAAGGATGGAACATGAGGATCTATGAAGGAAAAACAGCTTTTGGACATGGGGACGTAATGGGGAAACAATCCCTTCCTCCTAATACTCAACGACCCCCCAAATAATAAACACCTCAGGTAGTTTTTATTATTAGGGGGGGTATTTATTATTAGGGAACCCTACAAAAAAATTAAAACCTTAATAAAAACATATAAAAACTATTTTTCCCGATTTCAAAATCAACTAAATTTCCTTTTATAACGTAATTAAGATATTGCCAAAAATTGGATTTCGAAGCGGACCCTATTAATAAAATTAAAAGCTTAAAAAAAAACTAGTTTGTTCGATTTCAAAATCAGTTAAATTTCCGTATATAACGCAATTAAAGTATTGCAAAAAAATGATTTCGAAGCGGACCCTATTAATAAAATTAAAACCTCAATAATAACAACTAGTTTGTTCGATTTCAAAATCAATTAAATTTCCTTATATAACGCAATTAAAATATTGCCAAAAATTGGACTTTGAAGCGGACCCTATTAATAAAATTAAAACCTTAGTAAAAACTAGTTCGTTCGATTTCAAAATCAATTAAATTTCCTTATATAACGCAATTAAAATATTGCCAAACATTGGATTTCGAAGCGGACCCTATTAATAAAATTAAAACCTTAATAATAACAACTAGTTTGTTCGATTTCAAAATCAGTTAAATTTCCTGATATAACGCAATTAATTAAAATATTGCCAAAAACTGGTTTTCGAAGCGGGCCCTAATAATAAATTAAAAGCCCTAATATAAAAACAAAAAAAATCGGACGGACCCTAATAATACACACCCCGGGGTTGACTAGTTTTTATTATTAGGGGGCAAAACCCACAAATGGTAGCTTTATTTTTAAATTGTTTTCTAAAGGGGATCAATTAAAAGTCAAATTGGCCAACCTGAAATTTTCAAAACTGGGAGATGGACCCTAGTTTTTAGTATTTGGGGTACGTTTAGTTTTTTAGGGGAAAGGATTCACCAACAATATCATCTCCAATGCGGGTTGTCTGAGAATGGCAGATGGAACCACAATTTATGGCAATTTAAAGAGATCTACCCTCTGGTAAACTAACATAACTATGGAAAATCACCATTTTTAATGGGAAAACTCACTATAAATGGCCATTTTCAATAGCTACGTTAAATTACCAGAGGGTAAAATGATGATAAATCACATTGAATGACTGGATTTCATGGGTCATATGAGGTTGAGATCAGGGCTTTTTACTCTTGAATACCCTCCAGCAAATTAACATAGACCCTGAAAATCACCAATTTTTAATGGAAACTAGTCTTCCAACCCCTATCTGCCAGGGTCTATGTTAATTTACCAGAGTGTAAAACGGATTGGTCGTTTCAATCTAGCAACGACCCATGACCGCCATGACTGGGACAATGAGTCTCTTCTGGCACTTTCGGGTGCCAGTAGCAAAGTTGGCTGGCGATGATGTGGGTCAGCAACAACGAATGCTGGTGGACATGACCAGCCACACATGGCGCGCAAAAATATAGTAATTATAATTGAAGGGAGTTAGATCAGAAACATCACTGGATTGGTTTGTTGGGGAAAATCTTAACCGGAAACCATGGTTTTTACCATCAAATATAGGGCTTTCCTGTAAATTTTCCCATAATCCAATTCTATGAAAACAGGAAGTCCGTAGAAGCCTTTAAGGTCAACCACTATTTTTCTCTTTTCATTCAGCACTTCATTATTCAGGACCGAGGCCTGGCCAAGGTTGACCTTGAATCCACTTGCAAAAGTGACCTTTTGACTCATGTTTCTAGGAAAGGTTGGCCCCGTTCACCAGCATCTTCCCTTGGTGGGTCCGTCTCTAGGTCGCTGTTTCCATGACTGGCCGCCAGCTGCGGCAGATGATCTGTGCAGAGTTGCCTTCCAAGCCCGGGTCACGCATTTCCGTGCAGCATGGATCGTCGCCACTGAGCTTGGACCTGACCCTCAGGCAGCAAGGGCTCGTTGGCGAATGCGTCACTTTGTCCTATGTCTACCTTCCTGTGGATCTGCTGGCGGCTTGGAAATATTTTAGAGGAGAACAGGTGGAGGATGAGGAGTTCTCGCTGCATGGGCTGACACGAATTGGAGGAATCAAGTGGGAATGGCAGATCCTAGAACTGCCGAGCAGCCTTCAACACCTGGAATTAAGTCGTCATTACATTGAAAGCCTTGTGCGAGTCAACTTTCCAGGCGGCATCAAGACAATTTTTTTTGGTGAACATTTCGATCGAAACTTGGATAGCACAACTCTGCCAGTAGGACTTCAAACCTTGACTTTTGGAGATCACTTTAACCAAAGCTTGGCAGGTGTGACTCTGCCAGCGGGTTTGCGAACCTTGACTTTTGGATATTATTTTGACCAGAGCTTGGATGGTGTGACTCTGCCAGCAGGTCTGCAAACCTTGATTTTTGGAAATCTCTTTAACCACAGCTTGGAATGGGTGACTCTGCCAGCAGGTCTGCAAACCTTGACATTTGGATATGACTTTGACCAAAGCTTGGAAGGTGTGACTCTGCCAGCAGGTCTGCAAGCCTTGACTTTTGGAAATGATTTTGACCAAAGCTTGGATGGGGTCTCACTCTGCCAGCAGGTCTGCAAACCTTGATTTTTGGAAATCACTTTAACCACAGCTTGGAATGGGTGACTCTGCCAGCAGGTCTGCAAACATTGACTTTTGGCCACGAATACAACCGAAGCTTGGCTGGCATGACTATGCCAACAGGTCTACAAAGCTTGACTTGTGGCGATTGTTCGGGCAAAAGCCTGAAAGGCTTGATTTTGACTCTGCCACAAAGTCTTCAAATGTTGAATTTTGGTCATCATTTTGACCAGAGCTTGGATGGCAGGACTCTGCCCACAGGTCTGAAGAGCTTGACTTTTGGAGACCGATTCAACCAAACCCTGGATGAGGTGACCTTGCCTGCGGGGTTGCAGTCCTTGACCTTCGGAAGAAATTTCGATCAAAGTATGGATGGAGTGACTCTGCCAGCCGGTCTGCAAACCTTGACTTTTGGAGAAGAGTTTAACCAAAGCTTGGATGGTGTGACTCTGCCGGCAGGTCTGCAAACCTTGATTTTGGGCGGTTTTGAACAAAGCTTGGATGGTGTGACTCTGCCAGCAGGTCTGCAAAATTTGACATTTGGTGATTGTTTCAATGAGAGCTTGGATGGCATGACTCTGCCAGCCGGTCTGCAAACCTTAACTTTTGGCGGCAAATTTAACCAAAGCTTGGATGGCGTAAATCTGCCAGCAGGTCTGCAGAGCTTGGCCTTTAGTCATTGTTTTAACCAAAGCTTGGATGGTGTAACTCTGCCAGCAGGTCTGCAAACCTTGGCTTTTGCCAGAGACTTCAACCAAAGCTTGGATGGTGTGAGTCTTCCAGTGGGTTTGCAGACCTTGACTTTTGGTGATGATTTTCGTCAAAGTCTTGATGGTGTCACGTTGCCAGTAGGGTTGAGGGAACTTTCTTGTCAGGGTGTCACGGTGGCTCGCCATTGAGCAGCAGTGTTTTATCCACAGACGAAACGCTGTGCTGGGATAGGACCCTTTGCCCAGTGGAGTTCTGAGGATGCTGGAGGCATCCTCTTCTATTCTGATTTTGATCACATTTGGCTTGCGATCCGCAGATGATCACAAAAAATGCGAACATGTTCCAGTCTTGAAATTCGGACATGTGTATATATTTTGATTTGAGTCTATATTTTTCTCGGTTTTACATGCCCCCGGAGGTTCACAATTCGTCAGTACAGTAGCTGACACAGGGCATCTGTGCGAATGCAAACACAGGACGTTATTAGCCCCCTCACCCCACCCCACCCCATGACGTAGCCACGCATCCGAGAGAATACACGTCTACGCGGATGCAACAACAGGACGTTATTAGCCCCCACCCCAGCCCACCCCACCCCATCATGACCTCTAAAATGATAAAAAATGCATATTTTACCACGGTGAATTATGAGCCGTGGTCCACCTACCCATCTGGGCAAATAAGGTGACCTCACTATGACCTCATCAGAATCATGGTCAAGAAGGGTAACTATCTCAAAATAGCCTTATTTCATCTTATTTCAGGTAAGTAAAATATTAGTCATTTATCCAGATGTCTATAGGCTATCCCAGCAAGACTTCAGGTCCCTCCTGCCAGGTGGTGACCGAAGGAATGCCAACCGCTTCAAGTCGCAGGGCTGCAAATTACTGCTGGGGCTTGGCTGGTGGTTCAACTTCTGGCCTTCGGAAGTGGATTTTTCCATATTTTCCCCGGTGTGGCATGGCAATAGTCAATGGATTGGTTTAAGTTTAAGGGAAAATCTTAACCGGAAACCATAGATTTTCCCATTAAATATGGGGCTTTCCTGTAAATTTTCCCTTAAACCAATCCATTGAAATAGGATTTTTTTGAGATTATTCGTGGGTTTTCCATTCTTATGGAAACATATGGGTCAATTTATGGGATATTATGGGATAACACCCAGCTTACATAGGAATAATTATTGTGCGATAAATATGGATTAATCCAAGAATTGTTTTGAAAGATCATCAAAAAATATAAACCATCCACTTCCAAGGGGGTACTTGGAGGATTATCCCACGACTCGATTCCCTGGCAATCATTGTCAAAACCCACAACAATTTCTCTTCAAAAGGGTGCGGAAAATTTCGGCCTTTTGCCCCCCAAAAATGGTTTTCGCAGAAGAGCGACCTTTTTCTGGGCAGAGTGGCATTTCTTGTCAGATGAACATATCAATCCCGTTATGCAGCGGCTTACGTTTGCCCGACCATGCCCGACAAACAGCGAAAATTCCGGAAACCCACGTGGACTGACGATTCTTACAAGGGCATTTATTTTGAGGAACAGCGTTTTTCTGCAAGAACGGCGAACCTTCTAGTACTTTTGAGCAACAGAAGAAATAAGTAAGTACCACATGGAAGATCCAGGATATGGATGGATATGGGACAACCAATTTAGGGGACTTATAGCCTTTTTCACACGCATTTGTTGATGAAACTAGTAGCGGTCAATGAAAGTCCCATCCTGACATAGATATTATATATCACCACCATGGAAGAATTGTCGTACTCTTCAATAATTTCAACGCTCTTTGGCCAAATTCCACCGGCACAAACAGGTCACAGTGACTACGATATAATTTGAAGTGCAATCTTAGACAGAGGATACATCTATGAAATATCTGCACGGGAAAGACTATATAAAGTTTAGAAAAGTTTAGATATATTTCTAGATTTGATCCCCTGCAGAGCGAACATTCACACAAAGTTTCATTGAGGGTCTAGTTGCTTTATGATGTTTTAGGTTTATTGAGGTTGGTTTAGGATTTACTCAGGGTTGATTTAGGATTTCTTTGGGGTTGTTTCAGAGTTTATTCGCAGTTGGTTCGGTTTTTTTTGGAGCTATTTAGGGTTGTTTTAAGATGTATTCAGGGCTGTTGCAAGGGATTTTGTGGGTTGGATTAATTGGAGGTTCTTTAGGAGGTTCTTTAGGGTTTCACAATTTGTGGAGGGTTTTAAGTTTAAGGTTCTGCAAATTACGGAGTATATAGTATATATATATATTTACACTATAATATACTACGTAAATTACTGCTGTATATATATATAATCTAGATATATTTTTTGCCGTGGGACGATTTTTTGTGTTCGCCGTAGGCAAGCACAAACATGCAACGAGATGCAGGCAATATCAATATTTGGCATGTTCGCAGTTTGCGAGAAACCACGAGCCGAAACAACAGAGCAAAGCGCAGTCCCTGACGGAATTCCATCAGCAAACGTCAGCGCCCTAGCGAACTGACTATACAGATACCGTGGTGAACTTGCCAGCAGCCATGGACATGGATACATTGTATTACATTGTTACATGATGTGCCAAGGTACCATAATTGTACCATTTGGTAATCTAGCAAACCGAGCCAGCTATGGAAAACCAACATTAGAAATTTAATTTAAAATCATTTGTAACTCATGTTAGCAATAGCTACCAACTTTTCAGCTATAAAATGAATTATAAAACCAACATTCAGTTCCAAACGGGTGATTTGCCACTTGGATTTCCAAGCCATGCTTCCCAGAAAAACCATGTTAAATCCCCAAAAAATCCCGGTGAAATCTGATTTTTTCGTAGTAAATCCATGGTAAATCATGGTCAATCCTCTTATTCTCGAAAACAGCCAGGAACTCCATGGAGTTGGAGGTTGAACGGCTCTGGGCCAAGAAGCTTCAGGTCTGGGGCGCCAAAAAAGGATTTTTACCAGCAAAAGTGCTGGATTTCACCTGCGAGAAATAGGATTTTACCATGCTTTTGCCAACATGGCAGATTTGACCTGCAAGAAATGAGATTTTAGCAGCAACAATTAGGATCATTGGGGAAAACAACACTGCAAAGAAATGGACTTAACAAGCAAACCTGGTTGGTGCTTTGGAACATGTTTTTATTTTCCCATATATTGGGAATAATCATCCCAACAAACTCATATTTTTCAGAGGGGTAGGTCAACCACCAACCAGAAACAATGAGGATTTACCATCTCCCATCTAGCATATGATCATTGACGGTGATTGACAGGTCATTGATAGATATTGTTGGTGATCCTGGGCAGTCAGCCATCTCAATCATGTCAAATTACAGTACCACAGTATAGGAGGTATAGTATAGATGGCAAATGTAATCAACATAAGACATCCATAGGTTTTCCTAAGTAATGATCTAGAATGATCTAGATTTGTGGTGGATTTTCCGTATCTATGCAGGTTTCCTGTGGGGTACATGCACCACTTCATGCTGCCAGCTGCTCAGTGTCGAATTTCCTCCCGTCCATCGCGTTGTGCGTCGCCTGCGATGACGCAGCAATTGGGGCGCAGTACAGAGGAACTGTCGCCCATTGCGGTGGAAAATGTGCAAAGTTATAGGCGGAATGGAGCCTTGGCAATGTTTAACGATGGCCGGAATGGATTGGAATGGATGGATCATCAAACATGGGGATTTGCTAAAAAAATGGATCTAACTGTGACAATCCTAACAGATCTAACAGTTTGGACCATCGCGATTAGAATCATCGGTTTTTTCCAGCTACAAACGGGTCATAGCTCTGTTCGACCAGAGGGTTTCCTGCTGTTGCTGGAAATATCTTGACAACACATGGGTCTGAGAATGGTATTTTCACTCCCAGTTCTGGCAGCCTTAGTAGGGAACATGTTGTTTTAACATGTTTAAACCAAGTTTTAAACCAATGCTCATAGAATTGGATGATGGGAAAATTTACAGGAAACCCCTATATTTGATGGTAAAAACCATGGTTTCCTGTAGATTTTCCCTTAAACCAATCCATTGAAATGCAATCAAATGTTCCTATTTCAGACCTTGCACAAGTCAAGCCCCAAGAAAATGACCATCTCTGGTTGCTTGGAAGTTGGATCCCCGGCGTAGTTTCTTGTGAGGTAAACCAAGGTAAACCCTGGCTGCCCTAAACCTACCGTTTGGGCTGGTTGATACAACCCATGGAAAGGTGATTTTATGGATATTTTGGGGATGCGGTTTATGGCCTTGGGTTTGTCACATTATGCGATGTTTGGGAATATTGAACTTCTCTTATGGCGTTTGTTTGCATGACACCTCAGAAATCATGCATGATCATGACATATGATTTCCTTGTAGCCAAATTATCCGCGCATTTGTGGTCTCACTCTGCACCCTGGAAAAAATCCAACTCTTCAGCAACTGGACCCAGCAACCATAGCGATGAACCCCCATGGATCCCTTTATGGAACGTGGGGCTCTCAGAGAGACTGGCGATGCAAATGGTAAGGTCCCAATGATGATCCCACCCAATCTGTTGAGTCCTTTCCCCCTTGTATCCCCCAATCTTGGATATATGCGTATATATCTTTATATATATATAATGGCTACATATATGTATATCATTATAAATGCATCTCATTACACACACACACATATATATATATGTATGTATATATATATGAATATATATATGTGTGTGTGGATGTATATATGCACATATAGTAGTATAGTATTTTTTCATTATGATTCATTGTGGTCCTGGCTTCAGAAGACCCCAATTAGGGTTGTGTAATCTCCTAATGGAGCGTTATTTGTCCATCCTATCTGGGATGTGATCCTGCCTGGAATTTGCTCCTTCTGGACCAAACTTGTGGTGTGACGGTAGCACGTCCATTTGCCTTCAGAGCTCTGACTGAGTGCTCACCCGCAAAGTGCCAAACTGACTAATATTGTCCCGGGGGGCTTGAAACCACCAGCCAGATTGATACCCTTTGGTAAACTAACATAGCTATGGAAAATCACAATTTTTCATGGGAAAATCCACTATAAATGGCCATTTTCAATAGCTATGTTAGTTTACCAGATTGATACCGCATCCCAACTTCAGTGATCCCACTGCCCCGCTGGACAGGAACTAGTTCCACACACATGCTGGGCGCTGCTCCCGGCCTGAAGCGATGTCGCTGTCGCTTTCCGCTCTACGCGCAGGTGCGGCCAGGGGGCTGCATTGGAGGGTGGTTGCAAGGGGAAGTTGAGCAACAAGATGGTACCATCACCAGCTGATAACCAGTGGAAAATCACCATAAACCATGGAAAATTAACACATTTTGGGGGGTAGAGGTGAGGGACTTGGGGGTTCCATGTGAGATTTTGCTGGTGTGCATTGGGAAAAAACCCTGCGCAGGTTATGGCAGGAATGGTGCTTGGCATCTTGTCCCCCGGCTATGACAAAGCCTGCGGGGCCAGAGCCGAGTTGATTTTTTTGGAAATGGTCAAGAGACATCAAAATATTTAAGATATCTTAACATAACACACACACACTATACATATATATATATATAATTATATATACAAATTTAATGTAATATATCAAGTTTTTTTTAAAGATACATCAAGTAATCCAAACTGTTGTTTGTCTCAACATGTATGGTGCAGATTTCAAATTTATTTTGTCTATCAGACGATCATGAATCATTAGGGTAGCCATCATTGTATCACGATGATATGACGATGATGATGGCGATGGTGATGATGATCGTGATGATGATGATGATGGTGGTGGTGGTGGTGGTGGTGATGCTGATGCTGATGCTGATGCTGATGGTGACGACGATGATTGCCGTTGTCATTGTCATTGCTATTGTTCTTCCAGTCACCGCGACTGAGGCTAGGATGGCTGGCACCAGAGGTGGCAGCGAATCCATGGATCGAGGTCGAAAATGGGGGATTTTTCACGGGGATGACACACCAACAAAATCTGGTTGGTGGTTTGGAACCATGGATTTTTATGACTTTTCATATGTTGGGAATAATAATCCCAACTGACTTTCATATTGAAAATGGTTGAAACCACCAACCAGAATTCATAGAAAATCTACTTGGGCTTCTGTGGCAATGAGGCGTTCATATAAATAATCACCCAATCATGGTTATTTGAATGGGGGAACGGGATGTTAACCATCAAATTCGAGGATACCATATTTTCAGCGAAACCTATATTTCGGGCAGATTCAACAGGTCAAGATGGGTCAAAGTATAGTCAGATTCAGTTCTAGCAATCTGATTGGGCCGTTGTTTTTTGGGAGGTAAGGTGAAGTGAAGATGGTCTGATCTGAGAGGAAAAACCCCTTCGGTGCGAGGCCTTGGGAAAACTATTTGTAAAGATGGTGATGCTTGGAGAAAGTTAGCCATGTCGAGCAAAAATCAGCTGGGCAAACCTTTCGACTTTCGAATCTGCCCATGTCTTTGCATTTGTGGTGGTTGCATCTCCATTTCTGGTGACTAGCAGCAGCACGCCCCAAGTGATATCGTACCTCCGGTAGGCAAACATGGCTGGAAAATCACCTAACATTTAGTTCGACAAGTTCCCCTTTGAAATCATCCAATCATCCAATGTCCAATCTTCGTTCGGGGATGTCCCATGACTTCCAAGATGCTGGTTGCCGGGGCCGGTACCTTGTTTGACCCCTTGGATCTTGGGTCATCGGCCCACCGTGAAGGCACAACTCGATAGGCAGTGACTGTATCCCAACCAAAAAAAGAAGGGGATCTGGGAATCTGGCTTACCCTCTGGTAAACATACAAAAAACATCAAACAACTATGGAAATCACCATTTTTTAATGGATAAATCAACTATAAATGACCATTTTCAATAGCTATGTTAGTTTAGCAGAGGGTAATTACAAATCACTCTTAAGTTTTGGGTGCAAGATGTAGAAGCAAGCTTCCAGGCCATCATTCCAGTCTCTGTTGCTGTTGATCCCAACTTTTAAGCATGACCTCTTCCCCATCTTTATTTCTTCACCAGGAAGTCATCTCTTGTGAGCTCCAGTATGTCTAAGGACGGTCAAATCATCTCCTTGGTCCATTGCTTCACCATCCGGCCATACCCGGCCCCCCTTGGATCCCTTGGGCGCATCGAAGCAGCAAAGGAAGATGATCATCGCACCCATCATCTTCTGCACCGTTGTCTCGGGCATCGCGCATGTGGCCGATGCGGCGAAAGTGGGCCGCGTCGCACTGAAGGCGCGTGAGATGGTGCAGGGGCGTTCTTCCATGTTCTTCCCCTGAGTTTGCTTGGAACGGGAGGAACATCATGAATTCCGATAGTTTTGCGACGGAAAGTGTGAGACTCATTTCAATCTTCTTAGGTTTCTGATGCAGTCATGTCGCTCAGGCCATTGTTTACTTCGAGGTGATTTCAACCTTGGAAGCTTGGTGCGGAGGATTTTTAATCGGGAAGTCATCCAGCAAAATTCAAGTACGTTCTGACGGAGTATTTGGGGTATGACTTGGAGGGTGAAGTCTCTTCTCAGAAAGTAATTATTTGGATCCATAATCGGGAACGCAAATAAATAGATAAATAAATGATTTACATATTAAATAATTTAATAATTATAAATAAATAAACATATATTATATATATGTACATATGGGCATGTAACTGTAACCGCATCAATTCACCGCAATTTAGGGGGAATTCATCCAACAGAAACAGTCATCCTCAGAATCAGTTCTCAGTTGTGGATGATAAGACCTAGGAAATGGGAGCCCCCTTGGGAAAGCCAATGCCATAAACCTACCATCTGGGGATGGGGAAAAAAGCACATTGTAGCACCCATAATGGTGAATGTTGGGGATGGTTTATGGCTGCCAGGGTTTACCGCATTAGTTGCATCGCTCAAGCTGTGGGCATTGGGCTTGCACCGAAAAACAACGGTTGCTTGTCCTCCGTCAAGCGCCCATATTCTTGGGTAGTCTGTCTTCTTTAAAGTGACCCAAAAGAGATAGAAAAAAGAGAGACGGAAAGGTAGTTTCCCCGATTTTTCCACTATTCTTCCGTAGGACTTTACTTTTTCCTCTTGATTACCCTCTGGTAAACTAACATAGCTATTGAAAATGGCCATTTATAGTGAGTTGTCCCATTAAAAATGGTGATTTTTCATAGTTTTTTTGTATGTTTTCCAAGTACTGTCCTGGAAGCCGAGGCCCTGATGATCGGGCTGCTGGTGGCAGAAGTGGTGCAACCAGGACGAGGTTTGCATGCGGCAGCTGTGCTGTAAAACACCACGGGTATCCTCCTGCGAGGATCATTTGAGGGCTTTCAACTGGTTAAGAGCCATATTCATAATCCAGTTCCATCAAATGGAATAAATGGAATAATCCATTTATAATTGTAAATTTTACTAAATGATGGTTCCAGTTTCATTAATATATTATTTCATCAAATGGAATAAATCCACATTTTTGTTTATTAACCCTGTGATTCGGAACTGGTGAATCACTATATATGGTATACTTAAGCATGTATAAGCGCCCACGAATCTGGGACTAGGCTTAGTCACCACTCACGATCCGCGGACGATGATCCTCCTAGTGCGGATGATCTCAGGCTGTCACCGCGGCCCTGAATTTTTTTTGGCCTCGCCACCGAGGAACCAGATGAAGCAGCAGTGAAAAAGTACGAGGAAGAAGCAGAGCAGCATTCCACGCTGGACTTTGTCATGGGAATTGCGCCTGGGCCGCCAGAGTGGAATTCCCATGCAAACATCATCAAAAACCTGTGCGGGAACGTACTCCACAAGGCCAACGCATATGACTATTGTTTCGTTGACCATACTGATGCTACCCGGAGGCAACACATATCTGTGCATCATCATATACCACAAGCAGTCTGGAGATACCACGCTTTTAACATTTTCAGCGCGTGTAAGAAGGGACTTCAGAGCAGTCATCGCATAATATCTCATACCACGGAGTGTGCGCATACCACGGTTCCGCGTTTTTAAACCAGTCTGGCATGGAATGTGGAAAAAATTGGAGTATGGAGAATATGGAGAGTTTCTGACTAGAAGTTTGTCGAACATGGAGCAGCCGCAATTCCAGTTTCTCATGATCATTTTCCCTATTTGGGGGTATACCCTCTGGTAATTCAACGTAGCTATGGAAAATCACCATTTTATTAAGTAAATCATCAATACATGGGCCATCTATTCCATGATATTCCATGGCACACTGTTAAATCACCAGGGAGTCCCTTAATTTCAGACAATCCCAAGCGTTTTTTTTTACGTCGGTTGGTCCTGATGAATGTTTTGGGGCTAAGTCGATGAGGTCCCCAACACCGTGGTCAGCGCCTTCGTAGATGGTGAGATCCTTCAAGCGACCTGGATTTGGGATGTGCTGGGTGAAAATATGGTGGTTTCCATCAAGGTACCCGAAAGCTGGATGGTTTATGTCATGGAAAAATCCATCTATAATTGGATGACTGAAACGGGTACCCCCATTTCAGGAAATCTCCATATGGAAGGGGATCATCAACCATACGTGGGGGGGAAGAATCAGAACCAACAAAAGAGTGGCATGATTATGATCGATAATTCCAGTCAGTAACATGGTCAGTAACTGAGTGAATACCCTTCTATAGTTGGGATATGATGGATAGCCCAAATATGACAAGCTGCCTGGGTTGCCATTGAAGCCTCCATTCTGCTTGGTGAACCCAGCTTTTGTTGTCACTCCAATCTGCGGCCATTCCAAGTGAATGGCCACGTGAATTCAAGCCACGTTGTCTGGGGATTCACTCCCCAATTTGGATGATTAGTGCATTCTCAACGTGGCCAACGTGGCAAAACTTCCCACTTTGTTGGAGATTCCCTAGTGGATTCCAACTTTTTTGGAGGGGTTCCACCGGTTGCCGTCGTCTTGTGATTTCGACTTGCGAGTTTTTACTGAGTTGAACATGCCATGCTGGTTGCTTCAACTTCTCATTTGGGTTGAAAATAGGGTAGCCATGGGTAGCCCATCCGCTGGCTTATCAAATGCCAATACATGGGGGTATCCCCATGATATCCAAATTATATCCTCATTTATGTTTGGTTTTAAGACCCATAAACCCTCCATGTTTATCCGCCAATTCAGGTGCTCTTCTTCTCCGTGATCTTCGGATTCGCACTGCTGGGAGCGGAGAAGGCGGGTCATCAAAAGTGGCTCCCATTATGATACTTTATTTTCCAACAAGAACCATCCATGTTTGATTACCGGAGAGTAATGTCAACCCTAGATTTCATCCAACCCTAGGCTGTTTACTTGGGGGGATACCATTGAGGTAGCAAATGATTACTAAAAATCGGGGAGCCCCCAGATTTTTAATCAGAATTTATAAATCCGATGGCATCGAAATGTTGGACATTTGAGAGTTGTTAAAACATGATGAGATTGGAGAGTTATTCCCGAGAGCGTCTGAGCGTAGGGTTCTTCCAAAAAAAGAAGCTGAGATAATACGTCTTCAATACGTCTTCATTACATCTTCACATCTTCACATCTTCACATCTTCACATCTTCACATCTTCACACCTTCACACCTTCGCATCTTCACATCTTCACATCTTCACATCTTCACATCTTCACATCTTCACATCTTCACATCTTCACATCTTCGATTCACATCTTCACATCTTCAATTCACATCTTCACATCTTCACATCTTCACATCTTCACATCTTCACATCTTCACATCTTCACATCTTCACATCTTACATCTTCTTTCTCTCTCTCTCTCTATCTCTCTCCTCTTCTCTTCTCTTCTCTTCTCTTCTCTTCTCTTCCCTTCCCTTCCCTTCGCTTCGCTTCGCTTCGCTTCGCTTCGCTTCGCTTCGCTTCGCTTCTCTTCTCTTCTCTTCTCTTCTCTTCTCTTCTCTTCTCTTCTCTTCTCTTCCCTCTCTTCTCTTCTTCTCTTCTCTTCTCGCTCTCTCTCTCTCTCCCCCTGTTTCTCTCTCTCTCTCTCTCTCGTTTCTCTCTCTCTCTCTGTTTCTCTCTGTTTCTCTCTGTTTCTCTCTCTTCTCTTCCCTCTCTTCCCTCTCTTCCCTCTCTTCCCTCTCTTCTCTTCTCTCTCTTCTCTTCTCTCTCTTCTCTTCTTCTCTTCTCGCTCTCTCTCTCTCTCTCTCCCTCTCCCTCTTTCTCTCTCTTCTCTTCTCTCTCTTCTCTTCCCTCTCTTCTCTCCTCTCTCTCTCTCTCTTTTCTCTCTCCTCTGCTGATTTCTCTTGTATCTTAAGGCGGGGGCGGTGGCCACGAACGATCGCGAAAGGCAACCCTTTCGCACGAAATGAGGGGTCGATCGTTGCGATTTTGACAGGCCCCCAACCCTTTCGCACGAAATGAGGGTCGATCGTCGAAAACTGGTGTAAAATTGCGATTTTGACGGGCCCGGCACAACTTTTTCGCACGAAATGAGGGTCGATCATCAAAAACTGAGGTAAAATTGTGATTTTGACGGGCCCCGCGCAACATTTTTCGCACGAAATGAGGGTTGATCGTTGCGATTTTGACAGGCCCCCAACCCTTTCGCACGAAATGAGGATTGCCCGTCAAAAGCTGAGGAAAAATCGCGATTTTGATGTATGCGTAAAAAGGGTCGGTGTGTAAACGCGGCTGTGTGTAAAAGTGTCTGTGAGTAAAACGGTACTGCTGGTGTGTAAAAGCGTTTGTGTGTAAAAGCGTTTGTGTGTAAAAGCGTCTGTGTGTAAAAGCGTCTGTGTGTAAAAGCGTCTGTGTGTAAAAGCGTCTGTGTGTAAAAGCGCCTGGGTGTATAAGTGTTGATGTATACAAGGGTCTGTGTGTAAAAGTGTCTGTGTGTAAAAGCAGCTGTGTGTAAAAGTGTCTGTGTGTAAAAGCGTCTGTGTGTAAAAGCGTAAAAGCGTCTGTGTGTAAAAGCGGCTGTGTGTAAAAGCGTCTGTTGGTGTACGTAAGAGGGTCTGTGTGTAAAAAAAAAAGTGTTGGTGTGTAAAAGCGCCCGTGTGCAAAAGTTTTGGATGTTTTGGTGTGTAAAAGTGTCTGTGTGTGTGTAAAAGCGTCTGTGTGTGTGCGTGTGTGTGTGTGAAAGCGTCTGTGTGTAAAAGTGTTTGTGTGAAACAACCTCTGTGTGTAAAAGCGTCTGTGTGTAAAAGCGTCCGTGTGTAAAGGGGTCTGTGTGTAAAAGGGATCTGTGTGTAAAAGCGTCTGTGTGTAAAAGCGTCTGTGTGTAAAAGCGTCTGTGTGTAACAGTGTCTGTGTGAAAAAGTGCTGTGTGTAAAAGCGTCTGTGTGTAAAAGCGTCTGTATTTTAAAAGCGCATGTGTGTAAAAACGTCTGTTTGTAAAAGTATTGATGTGTAAAAGTGTCTGTGTGTGTAAAAGTGTTGGCGTGTAAAAGCGTCCGTGTGTAAAAGTGTTGGTGTGTAAAGCATCAGTGTGTAAAGGTGTTGGTGTGTAAGAGTGTTGGTGTGAAAAAGTGACTGTGTGTAAAAGTGTCTGTGTGTAAAAACGTCTGTGTGTAAAAGTGCCCGTGTGTAAAAGCGTCTGTGTGTAAAAAGCGTCTGTGTGTAAAAGCGTCTGTGTGTAAAAGTGTCTGTGTGTGTAAAAACGTCTGTTTGTAAAAGTGTTGATGTGTAAAAGCGTCCGTGTGTAAACAAGTCTGTGTGTGTAAAAGCGTCTGTGTGTGTAAAAGTGTTGGCGTGTAAAAGCGTCCGTGTGTAAAAGTGTTGGTGTGTAAAAGCGTCTGTGTGTAAAGGTGGTGGTGTGTAAGAGTGTTGGTGTGTAAAAGCGTCCGTGTGTGAAAGCGTCTGTGTGTGTGAAAGCGTCCGTGTGTAAAAGCGTCCATGTGTAAAAACGCCTGTGTGTAAAAAAGTTTGTGTGTGTAAAAGCGTCTGTGTGTAAAGGTGTTGGTGTGTAAAAGCGTCCGTATGTAAAACTGTTTGTGTGTCAAAAGCGTCCATGTGTAAAAGCGTCTGCAAGTGTGTGTAGCATGTAAAAGTGCTGGTGTGTAAAAGCGTCTGTGTGTAAAAGTGTAAAAGCGTCCGTGTGTAAAAGCGTCTGTGTGTGAAAGCTTTTGTGTGAAAAAGCGTCTGTGTGTAAAAGTGTCTGTGTGTGAAAGCGTCTGTGTGTAAAAGTGTTGGTGTCTAAAAGCGCCTGGGTGTAAAAGCGGCTGTGTGTAAAAGCGTCCATTTGCAAAAGCGTCTGTGTGTAACAGCGTCTGTGTGTAAAAGCATCTGTGTGTAAAAGCGTCTGTGTGTAAAAGCGTCTGTGTGTAAAATTGTTTGTGTGTAAAAGTGTTAAAGGGTCCGTGTGTAAAAGCGTCTGTGTGTGAAAGCGTCTGTGTGTAAAAGCGTCTGTGTGTAAAAGTGTCTGTGTGTAAGAGCGTCTGTGTGCAAAAGTGTTGGTGTCTAAAAGCGCCTGGGTGTAAAAGCGTCTGTGTGTAAAAGCGTCTGTGTGTAAATTTGTGTGTGTGTAAAAGTGTAAAAGATGTAAAAGGGTCCGTGTGTAAAAGCGTCTGTGTGTGAAAGCGTCTGTGTGTAAAAGCGTCTGTGTGTAAAAGTGTCTGTGTGTAAGAGCGTCTGTGTGTAAAAGTGTTGGTGTCTAAAAGCGCCTGGGTGTAAAAGCGTCTGTGTGTGAAAGCGTCCATGTGCAAAAGTGTGTGTGTGTGTAAAAGCGTCTGTGTGTAAAAGAGTCCATATGCAAAAGCGTTTGTGTGAAAAAAGTATCTGTGTGTAAAAGCGTCTGTGTGTAAAATTGTTTGTGTGTAAAAGTGTAAAAGCGTCCGTGTGTAAAAGCGTCTGTGTGTGAAAGCGTTTGTGCGTAAAAGCGTCTGTGTGTAAAAGTGTCTGTGTGTGTAAAAGCGTCTGTGTGTAGAAACGTTTATGTGTGAAAAGGATGTGAAAAGTAGCTGCGTGCAAAGGTGTCTGATGTTGAACTCTTTATAGACATTTGCTTTGATTTACTCTGAAATCTCCTTCTCTTGACATTTATCCATCTTCTATTTGTTGCCTTTTAATATGTTCTCTTGAACTCTTGGCTTGATACTATTCTTCTCGTCTGCCGTTAATACATCTTTAATATACTATTGTTTTGTTATAGTAGAAGAAATATTAACACTAGAAGAAATTGTCTCGATATTAACCCTAGAAGAAATTTCTCCTCTACGCTCTCGGGCTATCCGTCGTCTAGTGCTTAAGATCCTGGATACACTTTCACATTCTATTTTGGGCTTCCTATACTTCGATGTACATCTCAGTTGGTAAGGTTAGTGCCGATGGCTATGATGCACTTGTAAATGAGGTTGCCCAGTCCTCAGGTGAACCAGTGTCAGTAGTTACCTATCATGGAGATGGTTTTGCACTTGAAATTTCCAATGCTTCCACGTTCGTTTTCGGATTTCTATGTGGGGTTTCATGATGGATATATCATTCATGTATATCCATATATAACATATCCAATACATATATGCATATTCAGATATAATTACAGCAAATGAACACAGGCACACGCGCACACACACACATATACATATATATATATACACATATGTGTGCGTGTGCGCGTGTCTGCATGTAGGTATGCATGTATATATGTAACTATATATATATATGCGCACACGCCTATGTGTGTGTGTGTGTGTAAAATATATGTAACGTGTAAACCAAGCATTTGTTGCGGTGAAGAATACGTCAGGTGGAAGTGCTGCATAGCTTGATCGACCAAGTGGCCCATGGGATGTTTGGCGTGGTGAAGATCATCATGAAGTCGCCTGGCTGTGAAGGGTAGTGAGGGCTGCGGTGTTCAAGAAACATATGTTTTTCATGGGGCTTTTCCAATTTAAGCATCGGGCATAGAATTGACAAATATTGACAACTGATGTTTGGTGATTACTTGGGATTACAGTATACTACCCTTTTATATCAGGGAATGTCACAATCCATGAATGGGGAATCCGTACCAACCAACCAGTATGAAGGGACTTGTGATAGGGGGCCAAACCCCATATGTTTTTTTGTTAATTTAAACGGTCGATTCTTTTAAAGTAGAATATCCTGTTAAAAGTAACATGAAATATTATATAAGTGATTTTCTCTTTTTGGATTCCCTGGGCTAATGCCCATGGTTTTCCCAGGGGATATGCAATCAAAGTTCACATGGTGTATATTCCATACCGGTTTTAGTTTTCTGTAAGGCAGCTAGATAAACATCAGTGGAACATCATTAGTTTTTGGATTTGTCCAACAATGGGGCGTATCCCTAGATTTGAAGCAATTGTCTTTGACTACTCCAGTTCTCGACAAAACCAACTTATTTAGATGATTTAGTTTCTTTTGGGTGGATAGGATGGATAAACATCCTGCATCACACACACACACATATATATAATATAAATGATATATAAATATATATCATTTATATATTTATTCCAATGCATCCCAATTGTTTGAGTCAAGCCAACTTCACAGAGATCAAAACCGCCAAGTTATTCAGCCCCTGCCTGAAGAGTTGGTGAAAACAGCATTTCCCACCCATTATATTAGATGATTTTAGACGTGAAGAGCCAAGGCGCCAAGGTCGTAGCCCACCATATCAATCCCCCAGATATAGTCGTTCGGGAGGGGATCGACTAAGGAAATGTCAAACATGCCTCACTCATCTGGGGGCATTCCTGGAAAATCGACCACAATTCCGGCTACAGTATTTCAGGATGATGAGTATGGCGATCAAAATTTAAGGTCCAGGGAGCCACCGGTTTTCGTCATGTAGTTTTTTCCATCCCCATGTTGGGTGCCCAGTTTTGGCCCATGCGCATTTATACTGCCTCAGAATGTGCTGCTGGATCCATCTATCTGTCCATCTTTCTATCTGTCTTTCTGTCTTTCTTTCTATCTACTATCTATCTACTATCTATCGACTATCTGACTACTATCTATCTATCTATCTGTCTGTCTGTCTATCTATCTATCTATCTGTCTAGCTATCTATCTATCGATCGAGCGAGCGAGCGAGCGACCGAGCGACCGGGCGACCGAGCGACCGAGCGACCGAGCGACCGAGCGACCGAGCGACCGACCGACCTACTTACCTACACATCTATCTATCTCTATACACGCACACACACGCATATATACAAAAAAAAAGTATAATATCCATATATAATCACCAACAACGAAATCACATGGTATATCCGAGGATGTCCCCATGAAATTTTGGTGTCACACCACACCGCCTCCAAGGTTCGCCCCCTTTGGTGCCTTTGGCGCCATGGCTCACACCGTGGGGAAGTACGGCATTGGCACTTTAGGGACCGGGATGGACCGGGATGGACCGGGGGAACGGGGGAGGTGTATCCCGATTCCTGGGTATCCTAGCTCTAATGCGTATAAAACCAACAGAATCTCATGGGGATGTACCTGGACTACAGGATAAGATGCATATAACATGGGGTAGGCCCGGGTAGGCCCACTTTTAGGCTTATAGGCTATTATCCCGATAATATCCAGCTACTTAGTGGGATGCGAGTGCGGCTCAAACATGGGCATCTATGGGCGCAAACCATCAGAGTTTCAGATCAATGATTTTAAGCTATGGCCAAATGGAATAAGCAGTCCACAACTTGGGGCCGGCTGGAAGTCCAAAACATGATCAACAGACAAGAACAAAGTCTACTAAGATACAAGTTTGGACCAATGTTGGTGAGGAAAACCGAGCTCGGAACCATGTCCATTGGCCACATTGGATGGTGTTGCCAACAGTTCACATGGCCAAGAAAATCCACAGCATCGTGCGGCTGGGGATGTCTCTGATTTTTTCACCGCTGATGTGTGCACTTACCTTGGGTAATGCACCGTCCCAATAGGAGTGGCTCAGCCACTAGTCAATCACTGAATTTATTTTCGGTATATAATGAAGACACGTGAACATAGTTCGGAGAAGTCACATCAAGAACCTCTAAAACATGATCGAAACAGTGGGCTTGAAACGGCTGAAGCTTCCAACTAAATATACACGGTTTATTTGTCAAGTGAGGGGATGGTGGTGGACTGCAGGAGTTTACTTGGCTTGGTGGCCACCAATTACGTCACCTCCCTCTTCTTCGTGATTGGCGTCCTGGGTCTAGCACCTTGGGCGGAATTGGCTGGAACCGCCTTTGAGATACTGGGGGATATCTTAACAAATGACTGGCAAACTGGGGAAGAAAAAGGCCGAACAGGGTGTAGAATCACTCTCACTATGGATTCCTCTCCGCACATTAAAAAACACAAAAATGGATCTATTGATCTATTGGAAGTATTTTCTGGGTACAGATGGCTATTGACATAACTTCCGGTTCGGGTTCACCAATTCAGACCGCTCAGGTTTGCCTCTGTGTGGGCTTCAACATCTTCCGTTTCCTCTACTACCTCAAGCGCGAGCCGCTGGGTGACTTTCTCTTGGGCCTTTCTCTTGGGCCCTACTTGGAGGATCATCTCACTTAGCAAATTGTTAGTAACAACATTTATAACTTACAACTCATGTATGGTTGGTCACAGAGGGAGACTTATACACGACCCACAGTAAGACCCACTTAACGCAGTTTGTCGGCTCACAGCTGGGGCAGGTGATGTATTCCCAATGGATACACAGTCACAATATATGATGTTACCCTCTGGTAAACAGTCACATAACTATGGAAAATCACCATTTTTAATGGGAAAATCCACTATAAATAGCCATTTTCAATAGCTATGTTAAATTACCAGAGGGTAATCACAAAAACTAATTGCTCTAAAAAAACCATCAAATCCCATGAGTCCAGTTGAATCTTCAAGGTTGCCCTGTGTATGTAACCTACGTATGTGCATATCATATCCACATATATATATATATATCCACATAGCAACCGTATGATGTGCTCAGGTTGCTGCTAGTTCTGGCCACCTCTTCCTCCGAAAGCGCCCTTCCTTCGCTGCTGGAGCGCTTGCAGGACTTTTTTTTGGGGGGGTTACCCGGGACGGCGTCATCAAAGAAAGGCAAGTGGACATCCTCTATTCGTTGGGGATGTTTGGATTTTCCATGTCTGATTTGGGGGTATCCCACGTTACAAAAAGGTGATTGGTTGTGATTTACGGTAATTTCGTGTGATGGGGAAAATTTATTCCAAAGAAAAGCTGGGACTATATAGTTTAGTTTGGTGTTGATATTGATATGTTTCTATTGGTGGTTTATTGTGTAAACACTCTAGACGGCACTTGTACGATCTGATACGATCAATTGGGGTTTTGTTTTTATGTGATTATTTAAATGTTGAAATTATGGTGCAGACATGAACAGCTCTGGAGGGAGAGGTAGCAAACGTGCAGAAAGGTGCCTTTGACTGTCGTATATTTGTTTCGATGTTTGAACATTGGTATATATATATATGTGTGTGTGCGTGTGTGTGTGTGTGTCTGTCACGAATCCTTCGGCTGTTGAACACACAAGGTTAGAAGATCAATGCGACAACCCAATAGCTTGCGCGGAGGCTTGAAGAGATGTATCACCAAAACATATCGATATTATCCATGTATAGAAACGAAGGGTTGGTGCCAGAACCTACTTTCCTTCCACACTGACACTCATCACCAGTGGCATGTTCTGAGAGCACATGCCATGCTGATTGATGCTGCAGCTATGTATCATCACCAGTGTTGCTGTGTTGCTCAGCCTTCTCCCATTCAATCATCCTTTGTCATCCCTAATTGCCACCCACATTTCACCGGAAACCCCCTAGGCCATCCTAAGCTCCGAAAAAACCATGGGGTTTCCACAGGAAGCAGGGCTCTCGAAGCCAGTGGTGGGTTTAGTGGTTCCCCTGGGCTATTCCTTCAACCTGGACGGCACGACACTGGCCTAGGGCGGCCCGGGGCTGGGAAGGACGATGTCAAGGGATCTGAAGAATGGAGCCCATGGAGACGGAATCATTGGAGAGGACATGATATGACCTGGAATTTTTGTTTGCCCCTCAAGCCTGCAAGAAATGGGGTTAGCACAATCCTGGATGCTAATCCTGAGAAGAAGGTACGGTTGACATATCCCCAGCCATAATCTACAAATAGGATTGAAGGGGAAATTTCTGTGGTTCTGTTACATTCCAGCGGAGGGTTCGTGCTTTTATCCACTGCCCCCGCAATGTCAGAGATAGCATTGACTACGGTGGCACGCCGCGCATGGTGGTCGATCAGTTTTCGTTTTCTTTGCCAGAAATCTGAGCTGTCATTCTGCGTTCTGGAATTTTCCCAACCAACACGTCGGGAAATGTTCCTTGTCTCAAAATCTTTGAATCTAAGATGTCTTAAGTTATGACTGTCATGGGTTTTGGCTTTCTCATCCAGTCAGAACATGTCTGAACCTTGCGGCACTTGCGGCACCGCCACGAGGAACATCTACATGACGCTGACGCCCCTCTTCATCAGCCAATGCATGGGCGTTGACCTTTCCTGGGGCGACAAGATCAAGGCCACGGGAGTTGTCGCACTGTTCATGGGCGTCGAAAGCGTTGAAACAGTTGAAACCAGCATCATCCATGGCCAAATCCTGAAATCAACGATCCCAGCATCTTATGCAAACTACAGAATAGCTTATCAAACTATGGCTATTATTAAGTTATTATTGTATATCAGGTTGGTGGTTTGGAACGTTTTTTATTTTTCCATAATCTGTTGGGAATGTCATCATCACAACTGACGAACTCATATTTTTCAGAGGGGTAGGTATACCACCAACCAGATATCATCCATATGTTTCATAGTTGAAACCTCATAAGACCCCTATTAATTTGATGGTTGATGGTGAAATTCCATTGAAACATAACTAATTATATAATAACCAGTAGAACCATTATTACCCATTATTACCCATTATTACCCATTATTACCCATTATTACCCATTATTACCCATTATTACCCATTATTACCCATTATTACCCATTATTATATAACAATATATAACCAGTACAACCATTATTATTAACCATTAATAACCATATATTAACCATTACAATCATTATTAACCATATATTAACCAGTATAACCACTATTAACCATATATTAACCATATATTAACAATTCTTATCACCACGTTCCTTCGCCGTGGGATCAGGTGCTGGCCGTGGCCATGTTAACCTCCAAGGGCGCCGCGGGGGTCAGCGGCGCCGGCTTCATCACCTTGGCCGCCACCTTGGGCTCCATCCATCCGGAGATCTGGGGATATCTGGGGGCCATGGTATAGATGGCCCATAGAAATAGATGGTGAACAACTGGGTTTACCGAACTTAAACATGGGTGGATTTTCCATGGCGAAGTGTTAAGTAACCAGAGGGTAATTTGGGATACACACACACAGAGATATGTACATACATACATGCATGCATGCATGCATACACACATATCTATATATACATAAATATGTATAAATCTATCTAGTTCTCTATCTATATTTGTTTATTTATTTGGAGATTGCCAGATTTAGCCTCTGGTACCCTCCGGTAAACGAACAGTTTAGCTATGTTAAATGGAGCTTTCGAGCTGGGAATTGTTTACAGTATACATACATACATACATACATACATACATACATACATACATACATACATACATACATACATACATACATACATACATACATACATACATACATACTCTCAAATGAGACTGGCAGCGTCACCGTGGATCCTCTGCTGCGGCCGCGCAGCTTTTCCTTTCACCTCCAAACGCCGTCTGCCGTATGGCACAAGCTATGGCCTCTCCCTCCGCAGGCTCGATCCTCGAGCCACCCCCAGCTGAGGATGATGTAATGGTGTTCCCCTTCTGGATTGGCACATCACGATCAGGCATGGTTTCACATGCATTGTAAAGTATTTTGTTCGTGATGTGTTCATTGCACCATCATTGTCATAGCAAAAATGCACTCGAACAGGCAAGGTCTGGCGTCAGTGAAAATTTTCTTTCAAGTTATCTTGAAAAAGGACCCCATAAACACAATTTAGACAAAGTGTGACGACTTGGCTTTCCACAAGTATTTGTCTTGGCACCCCTAGGCTGGTTCAGGCTTTTCTGCTTCGGGAGATATATGATTGGATTTTGCATTTCGTTGCAGCCATTGCAGTTGAGAACGCTTGTCAGATCGGGCTCGCAATATTTCAGCTTCATCATGCAAACTGTACCATCCTGATCTCAAACACGCACGCAGCATTGAACAATCCATGATTTTGGTAAGAGCATCGGCAATTTGTGCTCCCGAAGGGACCCATCTGATCTGTATGCCATTTTGTATGTGTTCCTTGATCAGTTTGGCCTGTAGCTGAGTGCGAAACTCTTGACAGGCAGGAGGTGCAGTCCTACTGATTAAATCATACAAACTCTTGCAATCAGTTGTAAGAATCCCCTTCACATTGGTCTGTTCCAGAATGGTTTGACAGCTGGATGGAAAAGTTTCGGATGATGTTTCTTCTTCATCGTCCGGTGGCAGGGCTGAGAAAGCAGGTGGCAACTGTTGGAGTAACCCATCCGCTCGACGCCAGTCACATCGCGTATCTACCAACCAGGCCCAATACAGTCGGACCCATGACAAGCTATCTACAGCTCCAGCTAAGGCCATGGCTTCTGCAGAGAGTGTGCTGACTGCCACACGTTGAATCTTCTTTGAATGCCAACAAATGGGATTAATCGGGCTTTTCTGATTTTCCCCAATCTTTTGATGTGCAGCCATGATTATCATGCCCTGATGCGAATCAGGAACTTTTTCCGAAGCAAAAGAGGCGTCTGAAAATGCTACAAATCTGATGTCAGGGATTGAAATTGGTTGAATCCTAAGTTCTACAGCTGCATTTTCTTTGGCATCATGAAGAACCCTGTTGGCTTCAATCAGCGTGGCCACTTTGGCCTTGTTCACTTGGCTTTGAAGCCAGCCAAGGCGAGAGCACAGGTCAGGTCTAGTGTTGACTGCTCCATAGAGCAAACTGCCTATCAAACCTCTCAGATTCTGTCTCTCCCTCTCGTTGACCACATCTTCTTGTTGCATCCTTCGTGCTCGAGTAAGTGTGATTGGTTGGATATCCTTGATGTATTGTTGTTGATCAAGTGTAATGGAGAAATCATCATGTTGTTTGATATGAAGGCCAGTGAAGGTAAATTCTTTGTGTTTTCGACTGCCAAAAGGAAAACGTTTGGAAAGTGTCATCAGCTTTTCTTGAAAAACTTCCGATCCGCAGCATAGTCCATCATCCACATGAACTCCAATAAGACCTTGTGTTACACCATGTTCATCGGTCAGGACAAATGTGCATGGATCAAATGGTGCTGCTTTGAATTGCGAACTTTCCAGTGCTCCCTTGAGTTCTTGAAACCATAAATACGGCGCATCAACTCTTCCATAGGCTCCCTTTAGCAAACGCAAAGTCTCGCCTGGTTTCAGTTGGAGGCGATCCCGCATCTCAGGTGGAGGTTCAATTCCCAAGATTCTAGACCCTTGTTCTTGTCCTCTCAGAAACGCAGTCTTGATGTCAAAGCTCCCAATTGACCAGTTACGGCTTGCCGCCATTTGCAAAATCAACATCCTGGAAAGTTTTGACATGGTAGGGCTATCCCGAGGAATAGTGTCAACCAATGGATCTTCATACCCCAAAACAACCAATCTTGCTTTTGCTTTCAGTGAAGGTTTCCCCTGTTCTGTTTGATCCTTGGTGTCGGGTTCTACCTCTTTCCAAGTGAGTATCCATCGGCACCTCAAAATATTCTCCTGTGGAATTTGATGTCTTAGCACTTTGGCAACAGTCTCAGTGGCTAGCCAGCTATCAATCTCATTCATTTTGGCTTTTGCGAATTGTTGTTGCTGTTCTGGACTTAAGGTAGCAAGCTTCACCTCTGACCTCTGTCGCTTGGCAGCTGACACCAAAAATGCCATATGATGAGGATTCTCCTCACGACGCCAACGGTTGATGTCCTGTTGGCAGACATTTACCTCAAAACACCAGGCTTGATCTTGATCTAGGTGCCAACATTCTTCACAAATAAGATCAGTTTCACTGTCATCAGGCACAGGAACTTCTATTGGATGGTTTCCGGCGGTGACTCGGATGTCTCCGTCTGGTCTCGCGTCCCTGGTTCATCATCCGGTTGTTCGGAGCCATGAGAATCACTTGGTGTGTTTGAGATCTGTCGTGGATCAGCGGCGGCAGTGTCATCAGGGAATTGAAAATTATTCATTGAATTGGAATTATTGGGGTTATTAGGATGAATTGTATCATGATTGGGTGATGAGGTAGAATTGGAAATTTCGTTGTCAATTAAGTTGTGGTACTGGACACCACCATGGCTTGGGATTATCGATCTCATGAGTGCTCCAGGTTGAGTTTCTTGTGTGATCACGGGCTTATCGGTTACTTCTTCCATGGCGGAAAGTGGACGGACATGTTCAGGAGCAATCCGATAGAGTTTTCCACTACTGGTTACCCACATGACTTGATGACTCTCCTGGATGACCACTTGCATTGGCCCTTGCCACTGTCCATCTGCCTCCCCACGTTTTTTCCAGATCATAACCCAGTCCCCTTTTGAGTAATTGCCACGAGCTGGCCTACTCCTGTGGACCATGGCACGTCGAAGCACTTGCTGATTGTCAACACTGGCAAAGGCACGTCTTGCCCTTTCTCGTAAGGCAAGTTCTTCCCGAAATCTCAATCCCTCAGGGGATTCTTCCAGTGCAGCAGAGTGTGATGCCAGTGACGGGTCACTAATGACTGAGCCAACTACCCGACTGGATTTCCCAAAAACCAACACCTCTGGTGGATAACCCCTATGCCTACTCCATTGATTCTTGGTGTGTGTGGCAAAAGCGAGAGCTTGGGACAACTGGTCTAAAGACGTAATTGATTCTTCCACATCCATTTTTCCCAAGATTTGCTGGAGAATTCCGCCATGACGCTCGGCACGTGAATTTTGCCAATGTGCATCTGGTGCTATGGTTTTCACTGGAATCCCATGTTTCTGAGTGAACTTGGAAAATTCTTCTGAGTTAAGCTCAGTTGCAGCATCTACACACAGAAGTCCAGGTGGACCTGCCCAGGAAATCCATCCTTGCAACAATGCCTGGATGGCTGCAGTGGAGCTGGTCGATGGCACAGCAACAGCAGTTTGGTATGATGTGCTTTGATCCACAAAATGGTAAAACATGAATTGGCTCCCCTGCTGATTGGACCATTTCACTGCATCCATGGACACGACATCACCAAAATCGCCAGGGGCATGTATTGCAGACGGACGAGCAATCTGTGGAGTCTGTTGCTCCTGACATGTGGAACACTTGAGATCCCGAATACCCTTTTGGATTTCAATTGGACAACCAAGTTGTTTGCAAAACTCTCCTAGTTTGGCTGCTCCCGGGTGTCCAAGGTTGCGATGCAGTTTCAGCAACCATGCTTGGGTTTCTTTTCCAAGCCTCAAGAACTCAGGACCATGTTTTTCACTGGCTAAGTCAATTACCTGTCGTTGGTCACCAGGTATTGGTTCAATCACGATCGGGCTTTCAGGATCTCCTTCAGTTGGATTACAACGGAATCGTTTGGAGGAGGATTCATCAAGCCTGTCAGGCACTTCATGTGCTTGAGGCATCGCAACAGGCATTGGGCTCAGCTCAGGTATTGGTGCATCGGCAGAGTCTGCGGGAACTTTGACCCTGGCAAATATGGTCAGGCTCACTCGGGCCGGTGTGGCTTTTCTCCTCAGACCCTTTAGAGTTAATCTACCCCAAGGTTCCCACTCATCTTCAGCTTCAATAGTTTCTAGTCTTCGGCGAATGCAGATTCTTTTTCTGAGTGGGGCTTCGGATGCATGCATGGATTTGTTTGGCCCTACACACCGGTCAGTGCCTCTACATAGAACCAAATGGCGCACTTCATGATTGACACACATGCGTTGGACTTGATCTACAAGGGGCCCTTGTTCAATGACTTGGATTCCCACCCTTGGAGCGACCTTGTCCGCCTCAGTCATGATGGTCTGCCAATTGATGCACTGAAAACGGTCTGCAATCTGACCAGGGCTGAGCTTTTGATGCAAACGGCGCTTCTTGGTGGGATGTTCTTCAACATCATTTGCCAGCACAGGATGAGGCCTGGACACCTCACGCATGATCACTTTGGCTAAAGTCTTTGCAAATTTGGCTGGATAGTGTTGGGAAAACTTCGATAGGGACATACTTACCCCTCCCCACATGGTGTTTCCTTCAATGGGTTTATGCACATGTTCTTGATTACAATACTTGCCATGAATCTCATGCATAAGCTCACTGGAAGTTGTCAGCACTTGCAGTCGTTTCCGAATTGGTGCCAGCGACTTCGGATCCTGAAGGTTTCCAACCCGACACAAATCAAAGCGACAGCGTTCACAAAACTGTTGTAATTCCTCCAGCTCCGGAAACTTGAACATGTCTGAACCGCCCGGCTGTTCCCAGTGAAAATGTGAGCCATGAGATACCTGCCATCGATAAAGCACAAGACCCAGGGCGATCTGCCACACATGATCAAATCTCTTATTCATCAGTTTCTCCTCCAATTCCAGTGATTTGTTCATGTTCAGGAAATTCCACATGGACCATGGACCGCATTCAGGACTATACCAAAGGTGCTTTGGACATCTCAGCATGATCATCTGAAATAAACGTATCCTGGCTTCTGGTTTGCGGAGGTCACCTTCAGACAACCCAAAACGCTGTGCTTGGCCATGGTGCTGATTCACTTGCTTGGTGAGTTCGCTCTCTGGTGAGCACATGACTTCTAGCAAATCAAGTCTCCGAGTTTTGACAGCATCAAAGTTGAGTCTTCGCACAGTATTGATTTCTTTCTCAAAAACAGTCACCCAATGCTGAAATTCTTTGGAAAAGCTCTTTGGGTGTGCAGTAGTTGTGAACTCAAAATCGATATCAACATTCGGAGGCAAGTCATTCAGCTGTTGTTGGGCCCAATCCTGTGCATGTAAATTAGTGGCCTCATGGTCGCGGAGCACACTCAGTTCTCGTTCTTCACCTGGATGCCCTTGAAGTGGCCAATCAACTCTTGGAGGGCTGTCTCGATTCCGCACATGCGTTGGTGCATGTTGTGGTGATTGGCTTGCATGTTCGACATCTGTTCCTGCAGATCTAGCACATGGCTGTTGGGAAGATCTTCTTCCGACAGAGCATCCCAGTCCTGAAGGCTGGTCTCGACTGGCATCTTCGGAGTGGCCTTGGCAGAGACTTCCTTGGCCTTTGTCTTGTTCAGGCTGGTGGCACTCGGACCTGGTTCGATCCTGGCATCTGGGTTCATGGTCTCTGCATCCAGTTGCTTCTCGACGAAGATCAGGAATCGTTGGTGGGCTGTCTTGTTGCTCTTGGCATAGGTCGAAACGAACCATTCTGCCCACACTGCATCTTGGAATGCCTGTTCGTAGCTCTTGCCTCGATACTTTTCCCCAAAGTCGATGATCTGTTGGCGCATCTCGATCAGGGACATCTGCTGAAACTTTGCCGTCTCCTGTTGGGTCTCGGCAAGGCTGGTCTTTTGAGACCGGGCTTTCATGCGTTGCACAAGGCTGGACATGGTGCACTTCACTACACAGGTGAGGTGAGTCACTGGGCACGTTTTTTGCTGCGACTTTGGGCCTCATGTTTCGTTCAGGCACACTGCAATGGTTCTGTTCGGCAGACGGCGTTGAGATTCCTGGTGAATCATGATTCCTCGGATTTTCCATTGTCATCACGGGAGTTGGATCCACTGACCGCCGCCATATCTCATTTTTCTCGGACTCAGGAGGTATCCCCTGATTCAGGGCAGGTTCTTGAAAATCAGCATCATTCATCAGCCCTACTTGGAATTTCTTCTTTGAGTTCCAAAGTTCGTTGATATCCAGCATCATGAGATTGCGAGGAGACATACCTACCTGGAGATATCGTTTCAACACACCGCTCCATAAAGTGTTTTTCTCAACATCAATGATGGCTCCAATCTGTTTCAAAAAACTGGCAGAAAGCAAAAACGGTGTATTCCCCTCAACAATAGCTACTTCAAACCACATGTCTCCAAGTGGAATAAGGAGTGCATGCTGGGCGCTCAGGGTCTGATGGTTGCCGAAACGGAAAACTAAGTTGCACTGGGTTCTGCGGATCTTGGCACGGATGCTTTCAGGAACCCCAGTCAGGATATCTTTGACTTGTTGGCTCCCGACTACAGTCCTTGAGGCTCCTAAGTCAACGATACCAACCGTCCCTGAGGAAGCAAAACAGGCTACATCAGTTTGATCCATCACTTCCGGCTCAGACTTATGATTCTTTCCAGGCATGCAGTGTGACATGTTCATGACTTGGGACATGGCTGGCTCGGACTGTGAAGGCAGGACAGACCTACGGACAGACTCACGGCTGGTTTTCAGGCATTGCCTCAGTTTGTGTCCCAATCGGAGAGCCCATGGTGCCGGCTTATCACAACCCCAAAATCCCCGATTATTACCTTTATCCCCATTATCCATGTGAACATTAACATAACATTCCTGGACATCTGGACTGGCTTGCTGTTCAGTTGCATTCTCTACCGGGGCATCGAACACTGGCACATCGATCACTGTGGACAGCACTGGGTCAACAATGGCAAAGGAGGTCGGCACGACAGTGGCAGTTTATCCGGCATTGGTGGGATTCGATCTGTTCGGACACTCGGCTTTCCAATGCCCTTTCTGATTACACAACCTGCAGTGACTATTGGCAATCCTTTGAGCCAGGCTTGACCCTTTTCCTTTGGTACCTGCTTTGCCTTTCCATGGACCTTTCTTTCCAAACCCTTTTTTTACAGGCCAAAAACCACGGACTCGAACCCTTTCACTCAATCGCCTTCTGGCGTCCTGATACGTACTGAACAGAGCTGCAAGTTCTTGGTCTCCTTGGACAATGTCGGTGATGGCGTCCTCAAACTGAATCACCATGTTGGCGTCCTCGTCATTGTCCGCGGCAAGGGCTTCAATGATTTCATCCTCCCATGGTTCATCATGACCATAGTAGGTCTCGGATTCTGCTTCCTCAACATCTTCGGTGGCCAATGTCAGATGATCATAAACCTTCTGAGTCTTCTCTCTGCGTTGACCCTTCATGTCTTGGAAGAAATTTGATCCCAGCATTCTGATTGCAGCGGAAACCTTCTTGAGATCTAACTGACCACCGCTTTCAGCGCCTGACTCGACGATGACTCTTTTCTTGTCATCTGGTGTCAGACGGCTGCTACGCAAAGTGACATACGCTTGCAGCTCACTCAGTGACAGCTTCTTGGATAGCATCTCGGTCCAAACAACGTCCATTCTGGCCAGAAAAGAATCTGCTGTTTCATCACCTTTCTGTTGCGTCCTGAACAACGCTCTCTCAGCTAGTTCGAACTTCTGTTCCAGTGGCACCTGTCCCCAAATGCCTCCTACGATCTCCACAATCTTCTGTATGCATTTTGGATCATTTGAAAGAATCTCAGAACGATGCAACTGCAGTTTTTGAAAGGCTGTTCCCTGACATCCTAGCACTAACCTTGTTGCCAGCTCCTTGATCTTTGTCTCAGGCCAGGCCATCATCAACATTTCCACCTTCTGCGTCCAGGTGTCAACTGAATCGTTGGCAGGGTTGAATGACGGCACCAGCATAGCCAGCTGATTAGGTACAAGCCCTGTGCTTGAACCCTCAGCTCCATCGCCACCGCCCTCAGTGGCCATGCGTCGCCGGTTGAACCGGCTCCGCTACCAATCTCAAATGAGACTGGCAGCGTCACCGTGGATCCTCTGCTGCGGCCGCGCAGCTTTTCCTTTCACCTCCAAACGCCGTCTGCCGTATGGCACAAGCTATGGCCTCTCCCTCCGCAGGCTCGATCCTCGAGCCACCCCCAGCTGAGGATGATGTAATGGTGTTCCCCTTCTGGATTGGCACATCACGATCAGGCATGGTTTCACAACATACATACATACACACATACATACATACATACATACATACATACATACATACATAAATACATACATACATACATACATACATACATACATACATACATACATACATACACAGTATACACCACACACCCAGTAAAAACGATTCCCCCCAACGGCATGCGTTATTTCCTTGTATGCCCATGAAAGTAATGTCAACCCGGCTTTTCCACCCCGGTTGACTAAATCGGATGGTCCCAAAGATTGTGATGAAATACTACGAAAAAAACATAGAAAAACTGGTGCCCCCCTAAGAGAAACCAAGGATTTGTTGTACAATCCTCGATTTTGAGGCTGCCAGATGTTGTGGATGAATTGGCAGGAACTCGTCCCTGGAATGGCCATCGTTCTGGGCATTGCGACCTGGCGTCCGATTTTTTGGGGGAAGCTGAGTGGGTCGATGATCCGTCCATCCCCCGACACGCCATGTTTTTGTGACTTATTCCATGTAGTTTCATGGTGTAAAACATCGCCCAAAACCAGCTAAGTCATACATTTGTGGCGCATCAGCCGCATCCAGCTCTAGTCACTATAGTCAACTTTTTCGTCATCCCCAAAAGATAGAAGAGTAAGATCCCAGCAAATTTTAGCCTCTGGTGATTTAACAGTTCGCCATGGAAAGATCCACCATTTTTAAGTTCGGTAAACCATCTATTTCTATGGGCCATGGCTTCCATGGCTTTTCGAATTTTTAGGTTCTTTTTTGGGATGGCCAACTGTGCGGCCGAGGATAAGTTCATGTCCGAGTGCCGATCCCTGACCAACATTTGTGGCAATGCCGTAGCAGCTGTGGTCATTGCCCACATGGAAGGGGAACTGGACATCAAGGAGTGGCTTCCCAGATGGGGCAATGGATTCGTTTTGGGAAATCCTAAGGGGAAACCATGGATATTCATCTGGGAAAATTACGACCTCACTGCGACCTCACTGGAATGATAGTTAGTAAGGGGAATTATCCCAAAATAGCCTTATTTCAGGTTAGTGAATTATTATAGTTTACCTAGATTCATGTAAATTCGCATGAAACATGGCGGTTTCCGGTTTCAATTTTCCCTTGCACCATTGACTAAAGGTAGCTTCTTCAAGAAATGCTGATGTAGTTAGCGAGTTCAACAATAAAATCTCCACAGGCTTCTTTAAACACTTATTCTCAAACCACCTCAGACTCTCTGTTTTATTTTGGCCAGTGTTGCGAGAAGCTACCACCAGTGGGGCTTTGTGAGTTTCAGGTAAGGTATCAGACTTGGCTGGTCGGTTTCCCTATCCGGGGATTTCCCTATCAGCGCCCCATGGTATCGTCCCACTTGAGGAGTTCAAGGCAGCACTGCATGGAAGGAAGGAACATGAAAGCATTTGGGCTGCACGGAAGGGCCTGGTTGTTGGGGTAACGCCCAGGAGGTCACGGGACCCCACCTTCCAACTGGCGTTCACAGCTGCCAAGCATACCCTCCAGCAATTGAACCTGGCAAACCTTGCCATCTATATATAACTAGATGATTCTCACATATGTATACATATTTTCTCATTGAAAGTTGGGAAAAGTTGGAATTTTTGGAAACATTGCAATCGGTCCACCGTGTGTAAAGGGAGCCTGAAAAACCACCTGCCATCAACGATTTTTTTTGAATCCATCACATCAAGACTGTTGCTGGGATTCATGTCAAGCACCTCTGACGATCTTATAGCGTTGAGTGCTACAAGCCGGCGCAGCACTATAAGATCGTCAGAGGTGCTGCTTGGGTAATTTTTTTCCAGCTCTACAGCAGCCGTAATTTTTGTTGATCTCTTTGAACTGCATTGCCGCTTAACTTTTTTTTGGTGAGCATCACGAATGTGACTTCTGAAGGTATTTGCGAAAACAACTGCTTTCAAGTTTTCACATGTTTTCACATGTTTTCACTGCACATTATACTATCATACTTCTTACAAATGTCCCCGTGCACTTTTGTTTGTACAAAATTAGCATGAGGTACTTCTTCTAGCCCGTGAATGACATTTTTTTTAAAATGCACTCAGGTTATATCCATATTATTTACTGATATGATTCACATCGTTTTCCCATTGAACCTTCTAATTCTCCATTGCGCCGGCTGGCAGGTGATATTGAGGATGGTGGGAAGGCCAACGAGAGCAGCTGGGACATGCTGGGACTAGGATCTTGCCACTCCAGGTGGTTTTACAAATGTCCGTGAACAAAGGAATGGTATTCTGAATGGTCTATCAGTCTATCATGCAAAATTTTATTTCTCTTTTGTATTTATTTCTGATCTTTAGGATTGTATGTTCGGTATGTTGAAAGGGGATTGCATATGCATCCGCACTGCCGTGTGTCATTTCCACTCCCCAAATAGGCTGTTCTGCTGCCGTGACCCTGGGACCCTGGGACCCTGGGATACGATCCGAGGCAGTTTGGACGACACTGATTCCGACGTTTAGGTGAGCCCGACGTCCCACCGTCAAGTCGTCGTTCAAGTCTTGAAATCCTGATCCACTGCGAAAATCTCGGTGAATGTCAGCCCAAGACTGGTGATTTTTCAAAGTGTGTAAACAGTGGGGCAGCTCCACCTCGAAACAGAAACACATATGGTTTTACTCAGGGCCCCATCAAAGCGCCAGGGTTTTGGAACCCTAGGATGACATGACTTGGGCCTTCAATGGCATGTGACATCATGTGACTACATATCCAAGGCAGATGTAGCATCGGTGTTTCCTTGTCCCCCGGTTGCTTGGGAGGATGCCACCCAAAATGGGAGGATCGGGCTAGATTCCGCAAGGAAGGTGCTGACTGGGCCAAGCCAATTGATGACCTTTCTGTCGCCAGATTGTGACGGCCCCGTGTAGAGCGGTGACACCGCGGCGTCATGCCGCAACACCATGACTTGTCAAGACAAGGGGACTTTTGCGACACATGATTGTTTCGATGGTACCCTCTGGTAATTTAACATAGCTATGGAAAATCACCATTTTTGATGGGAAAAAATCCACTATAAATGGGCCATTGGGTAAGTCAAAATATTCGAAATAGCTATGATTCATCCATCATCCCTTTAAGCCTCCAAGACTTTGAGCAGATCTAGTGGTACAGTGTTACTTAGCACGTCCTGACTGAAACCCATAGATGCCATAGATGTGAAAACCTAAGGAAGCGGGGGCTGCCATTTTTCGAGAAACGTCCAACAGCAGTTGTGTTCTATTCCTTTTGATGCCGCTGCGCCTTGCGGTGGTGCCGCCATGTGCACCATGCATAGTCCGCCCAACCCAGCGATGAGCCGAGTTTTAAGGCAGGTGTGTCTAGCCAGACGAAGGTTGGGTGTCGGAAGAGGCTGAAGCCTTCAGTTCAAAACCCCTGCTAATAGGTTTTTAACCATCAAAGATACGTGGCTATTGATTGAGACATGATGCGTGGTTTGTGATTACTTCGAGGGCTATTGGGGATTATCATAACCATTCATAACCCATGAGCAGGGAAGTCCAATGGAATGGGGGAAGGTTTTGCTTCACAGGATTTCCGGTGCTTTTGAATGGTTTGTGAATACTGTGGCCTCATGATTGACACTTTTTGAGAACTGTATGCCAACATATATTATATATTGTTACATGCAGTAGGCTCGGATATGTATCTAAGGGACCCCAAAAAGAAGGTAGCTCAAGTGTATCATACGCAAAATGTGAGACGCTACAGAACGTATCAGTGACTTTTTTTGCGGTGTCCTTTGACCGTCTTCAGTTTTCCCGTACAACACATACAAGTCAAATCCTAAGATATACATAGATATACATAGATATACTATATACCATTACATCCGGGTAAATTATAGTGACCGCATTGTGACCTCATTGGAATAATGGTTAGTAAGGGGAATCATCCCCATAGTGGCCCCACATGTACGCATCGTTCTAGTGTAAAGATGGAGGCATAAGCCAAGCAGCAAACATCTCGATTTTGCGCGTTTTTTTTTTGGGGCTTACAACAGAAATGGGCATAGTGGTAAACCTCCATGAAAACTATCCCATAGGGCACTTAGGGGGTGCTTCACCTGACACCACATCTGAGACATTCTGAGACCCTTCCGAGTCTGTTGCACAAAGCGGGCACAGACCTTGCTCCGGGGAACTCTGGTGACAATGTACTTGGCTCCGGTGTTATGTGAGATTGTTCACAACGAAAATTGGACATGTGGCCAACCAAAACATGAACAAGAGATTCTAGATAAAATGATGAAAACAAGTGACTGTCCTGTGTTCGGACCCAATAATCCGTGCTATATCCCACACTTTCCTTCGTCCAATATCGAATTTCCCACGAAACGAACCAGTGGCTTAGTGTTGGTCTTTTTATTCATTCTGAGTGCCCAGATCAAGACAAATCAATCTGGGCGATCTAGGGGCAGGCCTGATGGTCGGTATGCTATGTGCTGCTTGGCCATGCACAGTAAGTAGGTCATGAACCTAGTTCAAATGAGGCAAGCAAGATAAATCCACTTAGAACTGGGGTTGCATGATAGAACAGTGAAATCCTATACTACAACACTACTTTGCCACTATATAATGTGGGTAAAACAATAATAAACCATCCCCAAAAAATCACCATAAATAGCTGGTATGTTTACCATTCCCAGGTCATGGGTGGTTTATGGATCAGCTTTTGAGGAGACCAGGAAAAGAGTCATCAGAGCCCATTGTGACCCGGTCAGCTTTGGGATGCCTAAAAAGGCTTACACCGTGAAAGAGCGGCTGCCGCGGATTTTTGTTCAGCATTTTTCATAGGATCGATGGGTTAAGGTTTCCCATGGTCTCCCATGAATATTAGGGACATGGAGAAATTTCCCATTGAAGCCTCCCCGGGACCTCCATGTGGTTTTCATTGGTCATAATGGATCAGATTTTCTGTGGTGATAGCGAGGTTTGAGGTCGATATAGATGATACCCGGCTCCATTGGTCCATGGCTGGGCCTTCGGGATTTGGGGATTCACCATTGACACCGGAGAGTACGTCCCACCCAAAATAGCAGTAAATGTCCCATTGACAGAAGAATGAAATGGAAACAGCCAAGGCTTTTGGTCCTTTTTTTTTTGGGGGGGGCATGATCATTGGGAAGCCGCTGGCTGATTTTCAACTGTGACGCAGAAGCCTTTTTGACCAACACATAGGAGTCCAAGACTTGGTTTGAAGGGAACACTTGCAGGAACCCTATAAATTCATCCCAGTAAGAGCTTTTGCGCTGCTGAGTTCAAAGATGGCCTTGCGACAAGGGCATGTTTTTGGGTGTCATGTGATTTAACAACTCCCACAATCAAGGCATATCCAGGGAATGATCTGGGCATAGTGATGTATGATTCCACTTGAAAATGGTACCCTGCTGAAAACATGAAACCAGCCAGTTAGGTCCCCCTAAAAGAGAAAGTAGAAGAACCAGGTCTGGATCACAATGGTTGTTGAACACAAAAATCTGATAAGTTGAACTGCTGAACATAGAATCCTTGCCAACCTGCGCCGAAACCCTTGGGCTGATCTAAGAGAGGGGCCGCTGGCCCCTTATTGGAAGTGACCGCCAGTCCATAATCAACCAGGGCTTTCAAAATTTGGGGCTTGACATTCCCCATGGATCCTGGATGGACTGCCATACACTTTGGTTTTTACAGACTTTTCTTGGAATTATATATATGCATATATATATATAGATGTATCATTTATTCCATGTATATATCCCACTAAAACTACTGATTAGCATTTATCGTTACTATCTTACTACTAACAGATACTAACAGATTCCAACAGTTCACCCATCCCCCCGGGTAAACCGCTTCGGCCAGGTCTATGCGGTGATTCCCTTCAACCGCAACGGGGCCATCTTGGGCATCCTGCGGATCGCCTTTAAGGCGTGATCTTCCAAGGATCAAAAAGGGCTATTTTCGGTTTTCCCGACATGTCTGGCACTTACAGTAATTTTCCATGTGGTTCATGTAGGGGATTATGGGGTCAGCTCCTTCAAGTTTCAATTCTCGCCAACATTCACCATCCCATTGCTGCCGTTCGAATTCAGGGTTCAAGTTGGTAGCCGTTCCAGCCCAAACTTTGACATTGGGCTGGTGCTCCAGGCCTTCTTCGAATATGTGCGAGAAGAGACCTTTGGGAAGTTCGGGCTGCAGCAAATCCAGGTTTGGAGGAATCTAAACCGTAAATCGGAGAGAAAGTGGCTGGCTCACAAGTTCGCATTTTGGTTATCCGATGTTATCCCGTTTCTATATTTACATATTTAATGTAATTACGTATTATCATCAACATCCAGATCTTGCAGTTTCTGGATTACATCATGACTCACAAGCTCACAAGATACAGACACACAGTACTCAGTACCCCCAATATTTCTTGCACACTCCAAATCAAAACCCTGGGCCCAAAATGCCACTGGGGTATCTCAGAGAGGGATGACCTTCCTGTAAACCAACTTAGATGTAGAAAACTCACCATTGAGATTTTAGATCCATTTTTTGTCATTTCGCAGATCATCTTCCTACGGTGAGTTCCCAGTGGGTTTTCGACATGTTTCTGTAATTTTCTGTATGTTTAGCCCGGTTTTTTTGCCTCTTTTGTGTGAGATCGTTGCCACGGTTTTCGGATGTTTTCTGAGGGGAACCAGTGGGTAAAGCTCGAATATCGGAACGCTTTTTTCTCCACTGAGATTCGAAGCATGGCATTTTTTCCAGGAAAGCCATGCCAAGCTTTCATCCCCATCCCCAGATCAAAAATATACCCTCTGGTAAACATACAAAAAACGATGGAAAATCACCATTTTATAATGGGAAAATTCACTATTTCAATGGCAATTTTCAATAGCTATGTAACAAATTACCAGAGGGTAATCTTCATATCCGATTCTACTTCTATAGGTCCATATCCATCCATATCCATATTGCCAATTCGATGAATCAACAGAATCAACCGGACACCCCTTTTTTTCTATCCCCGTCCCCATCTCGGTTCTGTATCTTGTTTTCAGTTCCACAGTCCGGTTTGTTTCGGTGAACAAACCGGATTGATCAGGTGGACTGTGCCTTCATTGGGGAAATGGTTCGTGATTTCCTGGAGACGGAAGATGCCAGTGTTCTGGACAGTTGCGGATGGATCTGGATAGATTTGCTGGGAATCGGAGCTTAGTGGGAGGAATTTCATTCTGTAAATCTGGGATAATCTGGGAACATTGACTCCAACCAGCTGAAAAGGGACCTTTCTGTGTCATCTACGTTCTTTGTATCGAACCATTGATGCCATCTCAGGTGGTCAATTTTTTTATGTGTGACCCCCTGAGATTTTGAGATTTTTGAGCTCCACTTCGGTCAAACAAGCAGAAAGAAGCACATGGTTGACAAGCATGGTTATCACTTATATATCTTATATATATATATCTCTCATCATTCATCATTCATTTAATTGGATGATATTTGGCATGGCCAACGGTGTATATAAGTCTCGACCAACTTCGACTATGGTTATAAGCTGTAGAGAGAGATCTTGCCAGTTCCCAGAGGTTCCCCAGCATGTTTGAAAGCGAACCTAGCAACTCAAATCGTCATGTTTGAGAACGATCATCTACCATGCAGGAAACTAACATAGACGTGGAAAAACTGTAGTTTTGCTAGGAACGTCAGTTGCAAGTGGTGGGTTTTCTACATCGATGTACAAGTTTACCAGAGGGCACCATACAACGATTTTGCAGATGAACCTGGCGAGATGACTATCATCCCATCTTCGAAGAGCATAGCAGTTAGTCAGTTAGCCAATGGATAATAACTTAGTTTACTGTATTTCACTGCAGGTTTATACCTGCAAGTCACATCAAGTCACCAGGTCAATGTATAATACTAAATACACAACAGGTCAATCGTCCATATTATATATCATTTATAATTATACGCTCTACATGTACCCTCTGGTAAACTAAGAGTTTGCGACATAGAACATGGCCATAGAAATAGTTGATTTAGCCATGAAAAATTGTGATTTTCTATATGTATATAAATACATATTACCATTTTCCCATGGTTTTCCCGGCCACACTGAGGGGTTCTTACGGTAAAAGTTAAGGCCCGGTGTTTAATCGAGGTGGTAGCCGGCGCGTCCGGCATTTTCCCAGTAAATTTCTACACTTGTGAAATGTCCATGTGCATTTCGACTGCGCAGGCTCGCACAAACAGGGTGTTGCGGGATTAGCGGCCGTCATTTTTCCTGTAAATTTCCGCACAAAATGGCTCTCGTGCAATGTTCGTGTGTATTTCGATTGCGCAGGCTCGCACAAAGTGTGCTTCCCGGTCTTGGGGTCGGTCTTCCTCCTCACCATCTTCATCTTCATCTTCATCTTCATCTTCATCTACATCTTCATCTGCATCTTCATCATCGTCATCATCATCGTCATCATCGTCATTGTCATCATCATCATCATCATCATCATCATCACCCTCATCATCGTCAATCCTCATCCTCATCCTCATCGTCATCCTCATCCTCATCCTCATCCTCCTCCTCCTCCTCATCCTCATCCTCATCCTCATCCTCATCCATCCATCATCACAATCATCAACATCATCACCATCATCATCATCACCATCCTCATCCTCATCCTAATCCATCCATCATCACCATCACCATCACCATCACCATCATCATCATCATCAGCATCATCATCATCATCATCATCATCGCCATCATCATCCTCATCATCGTCAATCCTCATCCTCATCCTCATCCTCATCCCCATCAACATTTTCATCAACACGAAGATCATCATCAACATTATAATACATGAATTATCCTTTTACTCACACCACACTGTTTGGGGTCTCTTGACGGGATAATTGTTTGCTTACCAGGGGGTACCTGCTGACCCCGGCGCCAGGACAGTCTCTTGGACGAAGTCGTGGCTTCGGCCCAGATGCGTTGTGTGGAGCCGGTGCTGATGGATCCGACGCTGGGCGGACAGCTTCGAGGGACCATCGGGGGAGCATCGGGGGAACAGATATAGATATCATGTATAGATGGTTAATAATGGTTAATAATGGTTAATATATGGTTAATAATGGTTATACTGATTAAGAATGGTTTTTAATGGTATATTTAATGGTTAACAATGGTATATTTGATGCGATTTACCATATTTATAATGATTAAATAATTGTTAATGATTAATGGTTAATATGATTAATATTATAGTTTGATAATAGGCATTAAAATAGGTTAATATAGTAATAATTTAATATTTATATGTGTGGTGACATATTAAAACCCAATAAATGGTTAATAATGATTAATGGGACCAATGATTATGTAGATGACATGCCCTCTGGTAAACATACAAGAAAACTATGGAAAATCACAATCTTTAATAGGTAACAGGTAAAACCAACAAAATCACCATCTTTAATAGGTAAATCAACTATACGTGGGCCATTTTCAATAGCTATGTTAAATGACCGGAGGGTATTATACCGAATAAAGATGGACACACACACACACATATATATATATATATGAAATGGACGGAATGTTAGGAGAAGGGCTTGATGAATTTAAATGGTGATATAAGGCTAAAGGACAAAAATGATGGCCAGACTGACTGTTGAAGAGTGAGTCAATGGACTAGTTCTTGGTAAAATTGGTGGGGGAAATAACATAATTAATTATCACCTGGCTGAAAGTCAACTTTTTTTTTGCGTTGAGTCTCCAAGAGGAACCAATGATTTTTTCACACCTTTTCAATGGGTGTGCCAGTCTCAATTTCAAAGTTGCCGGGCAGACCGCTGCAAAAATGAAGGACTTCCATGGTGCCTATGATATCCCAGCTGCAGGTTTTTTCAAACCATTGCTTCTTGGTACTTCAAAACTGGCCAAGGGAATCCTTCAGCGGTCTAAAATGCAACCTCTTTCAGGAAGGCACCTAGATAGCCAAGTAGGTTTATGAACATGTTAAGTGGGGTCTATAAAGTTAGATGGGGTTGCAAGCCAACAAACATACTTGTCCCTTTACTCAACTGCGGTTTTGCCGAGGGCCATGGTGGAAGCAAGATGCGAGGAAAAGAAAAAGACCTTCAGGTTCGACTGAGCGTGGCACTTGAGAACCTTGAAAGTCTGAAATGCGAAACGCATAAGGTTAATGGTTGCAGTCACAAGGTAGATCATGGCATATCAGAATAGAAACCTATACCGTATCCCCGTATACCCCGTGGTAAAAAACATGGCAATGGAAATTGCTCCATGGACGGTTTTCCCATTTAAAACCTCCATTTATATGAGATTTCCCATTCCCATGTTTGATTATCATCAGCAGCTAGAAGCGCCCCAAAACCAGGACTGCGGGGCCACCTGACGTCAGTTCCATGCTGTTTCTTTCAGGCCACAACTTTGCTCTTTAGGATTCCCGTGAGTTGAGGTGGTTTGAGACACCATTCTTCGCCGCTTTGGGTTTCACCCGACATGGATTGAGGGGCAAAAGATGCGGCCCGAAGTCTGGCCATGCGAGGTTTCATTCAGCTTAAGATGTTGGATATCGCAATATATCACAACATACTGTGGATGGAAGAAATCCTGCACCACTTTGGATGGTTGAAACCCTATAAATACTGGGATAGACCATCTACCAACTGGTGCAGGATTTCTTCCATCCACAGTATCACAGTCTTCAGCCACCTGTCATTTTTTCAATGGACCCACATTCAACATATATCACAACTCAATGCATCTGGCCCTGATCTCATGCGTCTACGACGCGACAAACGCCAAGGCATTGGTGGGGCAATCGCTTCGTGGATTTGATCGCAGCAGTGGTGGCGGATGCTCTGGAGGATCCCCAACGACTGACCATTTTTTTTATGGCTGGGAGTTCTTAAGCAATTTATATGGCATTATGTAGCTATAGTTTTATGATGTTTTGTGGCCTTTACTAAGATTATTGTTATTTATATGTTGTTTTCCTGATTTTTGCAATATGATTTATAGATACTGTATATCGGATGTGTGTGATGATCAGGCAGCCGATTCCCGTAGAGGTTTGGAACATGATTCTGGTTTGGAACCGATGAGGTTTGATACGGCCCGCAGACATCTGCAGATACAAATCCAAGGTGGGGTCCCCTAGGCCCTAATGCCCTAGCTAAGTTGATTTGCAACTAGATTAACAAAGGTTACCAATGCTTTGTCAAAGATATAACATATGATATGATATAACTAGGTTTTTACGTAGGTTAACTCCTTGTTTATGATTTTTCGCTATTGTTTATATGATCAACGGCTTCTTTGTTGACCGAACGGACCGGGAAGCGAAGCCCAGGAGTCGAGCTATGGACCGGTTTCAAGGCTCTTGCAGAAGGCCATGGTGAACTTTGCGGGGCCATGGCAAATTGCCTTACTCAATGTGCGGATCCAAACGGATCTACATGAATCTAATCATATCTACATGACCTAATCTATGGATGTAGATTACCTATCTAATCTACATTTGTAGATCCAAAACTACATTAATCTAATCATATCTAATCTACATTACCCTCTGGTTATTTAACATAGCCATGGAAAATGACAATGCTTAATAGGTAAACCCAGGTAAACCATCTATAAATGGGCCATTTTCCATGGCTATGTTAAATAACCAGATGGTAATCTAAATCCGCAAAAATTGGAAGATGTTTGAAGATGTTTGAAGATGTTTGAAGATGTTGATATGCTGTACTAAGCAACCCCAGGCCTCAAGCCAGCAACACATTTCACATTTGCAGCCAGCTGGGGACGGCTGCCGGAAGGATATCGACGTGATTGAGAGGACGGTCTATCGCTGCGACAAGTTGGACGATTGCTACTGGATTTGTGCCTTCTGTCTCTCGCCCAACAACTCGCATGGCCGGAGATATGCCAATTGTCACATGTTACAGTAAGACCCATTGGAATCCTTTGAACACGATAGGACCATTGCAAAATGGTTGGTCATTTCGCTAGTCAGTAAGTCCCATCAACGGGATCAATTTCCACGGTTTTAGCAATGTCTATTGCCTCCCTGGTGCCCAAACAAACTGGTTTTTCTTTCAACCCCCCGAGTTCTGTGTGTTAGTTTATATACCCCATTGGCTATAGGCTATCTATAGATATACTTTCCACAAACCATTGTTGTTGGAGTTATAAACTCACTTAGCTATCGGGGGAGGGTCCCACCGTGTAGGATGCCAAAAGCGGACTTCAAAAAAGAGTGTCGGTAACAGCCTGAGGGCTGCTGAACTCTTCGAGAAGGCGATAGAGAAGAACAGCCTGAGAACGGCCCAAGGAGATTACAGATCTTATAGTATAACTGAAGAACCATCGTCATGTTGTCGGATTGACCACAAAATCTAAACATCAACTGGTTCTAATTCGACAGTTTGGAGTAAATTCTCCCTTCAGCGAACGCCCAATCGAATAAGCCTCACTGGGGGGACCAAGGTGTGAATCAGCACGCAGCCATTTGCGCGCCTCGGCATGGAAGGGCAGGGGTGAAGTCTGACTCACTTGAATAGAAGAGACCCTCAACATATACTCAACAATTTAACTGCACATATATAAACAGTATTAAATGATACAGGAGATGAATATTTTGGGGTTGCCAATTTCAACCCTAACCCTTTATATCCGTTTGTGCTTTATTACGGTTTAGACCAGACCGAGGAGATTTTGTGAGCTTTGATGATGGGGGACGGCATGTTATTAGTGCGGATCACCTTTAGCGCTCTGTAGCGGGGTGGAAACACACCTAGCCACTGGCTCAACAGCGGTTCATCTCCCAACAATGAGTTCTTGAAACCCATTTTCCATTTCTCGCCATTTCTCGCCATTTCTCACCATGATGATAATCCACGATATGATTTTCCATGTCTATATATATATATTGTATATATATATATTTATATTTGTATGTGTCATTCCTATAGTCTTCCAGATCTTCCAGTGCTTGTGCTGACTATATCATACTATATCCATCTCTCCATTCCGGGCTGCTGGACTGGGCTGCACCATCCCTGGACCCAGGATAAGAACCACGAGGCCAAGGACTCGTTGACGGGCCTTCCGCATCCTCTTTGTGCCTCGGGCCTTGCGAAGCCAAGGGGAAACGATGATAGGAGCCTGTGGCGACATGAACATACGTATTTAGAATGTTTTAGAATTAGATAGTGGGGATTGAATCGAATATAATAACTAAAAGTAGATCTGGATAGATTTGATCACGATCTCACGTCGCGACGTCACTGGAATTGTGGTGAGGATTATGAGAATCATCCCAAAATGATTTCAGGTTCGTGAAGCATCATATTTTTCCAGAATCACCATGATTCACCATGATTCATTATCAGTTTTTATTTGGTTTAAAATAATTGTGATGGCGGATGATGGCGGTTCAGAACTCCCCTTTCAGAGGGGAAACAACCATGGGATTTACGGGCCTATCAAACCATTGGCCACTATCATTTTCCATTGTGGAAGCCATGTAATTTCTGGTAATTTGTTACATAGCTATTGAACATGGCCATAGAAATAGTTGATTTACCCGTTAAAAATGGTGATTTTCCATAGTTATGTGGCTGTTTACCAGCCATGTAATTTCTGGGTCAATGTTTAAAGACCTGGCCAACCCCCGCGGCACATCTCTGTGGGATTCAGCTTTCGATTTTTTCTCGGCTCATGGGAGCCGACCACAGCTCGTGAAATCCTCTCTGTTCTGTTCGTTCAGTCCACAGATCAATACTGGTTAATAATGGTTATGGATAATTATAATTGTTAATATTAATTGTTAATCAACTGGTAACTAGTTGATCAACCATCGTTGATTACCAGTACCTGGAATGGAGGTATTTTGCCAGACTTTTGGGCATGTCTTGCCCTTTTTTTCGCTTAAAAGACTTAGAAACATGACCTCATTCCGATGATGTATACATGGACCTGACAAATGCTAGATCCCATTTACGCACCTTTTGAGACCAGGCAATGGGACATCCCATGTCGAGGAATTTATCGAGGAACTTGTGATTTTTTCCATTGCCAGGTTGCCGGGGTCTATCTTAAATATCACTATTCTTAGTCAAATCAATCACTAACTTTGTTGCCAAAATCCATGAACATTTCACCACCAAAGCCCCCAAAATCGTCTGATGAATTGATTCATAAGCCCCAAAATTAAGTGGTGGTTGGTGTTTTTTAATTCATAGGCCCCTTCCAAAGACACCTGTCTTTGGAAGGGGTCACCCCCTTTCCCGATCACCTGTCGGGACTTTGCGGCTGCCACATGGCTAACTACAAAGTACAAGGTGGGGTCCGCAGTCCAAAGGGCTTCTATTATGTTCATATTATGTTCTATTCTATTGAGTTATAACTTTAAACTGGGATTTGTCACAGATATGTCTAGTGTACGAGATGTTTTTGTTTTAACCAACACATATCATTGACAGAGGGCAGCACCTTGTGGATTGATTTATTTTTGTATACCTGGCGGTTTTGCCAATTTTCAGACATATCCAATTGTTGGTCGAATATCCTATATTGTGTTCCGTGTATATCAAGAAATATCCCATAGAACATACCTGGTTGGTGGTTTGGAACATTTTTCCCATATATTGGGAATGTCATCATCCCAACTGACGAACTCATATTTTTCAGAGGGGTAGGTATACCACCAACCAGATACTATCATCCATATGTTTCATAGTTAAAACCTCATAAAACCCCTATATTTGTTGGTTGATGGTTAAATTCCATTATATAACTTTCAACCAGTATAACCATTATTCCCCATTATTAACCATAGAAATCTCTTGGGCTCTGCATGCCCGGTGACACCGCGTTTAACCCAGGCGATTGCGGTTTGCCCAAGCACCTTGGTGTTTCTTATGCCGGCGTCAAAGTCCCCGCGAGGAAGTAACAGATGGGGAAGTAAGGAGCTGTGACTTCTAGTCTTAGGGATATCCAGGATATCACACGCTAATACATATGTATATATATATATACACGCATACGCACATGTATGAGTATGAATCTATACATGTATAAATATATCATTTTCAAACACATATACATAGACATCCAGATGCA